TTTTCTCCAAAGAAAAAGTTATATCGTTGCATTTAAATTTTTTGAGAAAATCGGTGTTTTATGAAGTAATGTCGAAAAACGCCATCTTGCGGCCAAGCAAGCAATTAAAATAATATCTTATATAGCGTAAATTATAGACCAAAAAAAAGGCCTTTTCAACAATTTTATTTTTTTGAAAATCGGTTCAGCCGTTTAAAAGTTATTAACATTTATTTGTCAAAATATTCAAACCACCCCCACCACTTTATTTTAAAAGATAGAGTCAAAAATATATAACAAAAAATAATCGAAATTATCTTAACTATAAAAATAAAACACGTTCTTGATACCTTTATTTAGAAAATTTTTGAAAATAACGACTTTTAAAAATTAAGATGGCGGATACTCCCCCTAGCGGCCATTTTAGAGACCTGAAAATTATTTCCAGCATTTTCTTTTGGCCGATTTAGTCATAAAATTTTTTACCGCAAGTCTCTAAGACAATTAGTTTGCGAGATATGGCCGAGAGCCATCCTTATTTGGCCACCCTGTACAATCCGTAAAAACTTGATATATCTCGAAATTAATGCTATTTTTGGAAATTTTCGATTTTTTGAAAATTGTAGAGAAAAGTTTTTTCTACAATCTAAAATCTAAAATGATAAGGATGTTTATATCTCAATTATTTTTTAAAATAAATACGATTTTTCATCAAACTGCATTAAAATCTGTAATTCCGATGCAATGCATAAAAAACTCGAAATATCTCGAAAATTATGCGATTTTTGGAAGTTTTTGATTCTTTGAAAATTGTAGGGAAAAGTTTTTAGTATAAAATAATACCTACAGGGTGTTTGTAGCTTAATTAGTATTCGAGATAATTGCGATTTTCCGTTGAATTGTCAAAAATTTGTACAATCCATAAAAACTTGATATATCTCGAAATTAATGCTATTTTTGGAAATTTTCGATTCTTTGAAAATTGTAGAGAAAAGTTTTTTCTACAATCTAAAATGATCAGGATGTGTATATCTCAATTATTTTTTGAGATAAATACGATTTTTCATCCAAATGCGTTAAAATCGGTAATTCCGATGAAATTCCATAAAAAACTCGAAATATCTCGAAAATTAAGACATTTATAAAAATTTTCATCTCTCCAAAAAATATAGAAAAACGTCTTTTCTACTAAAAAATCAACTCAAGACATTCCCAACTCGATCAGTTTTCCATACATTCCCAGAAATTACACCCACAAACATTTTTTTATCTCCCCGCCATCCTGTATATACTTCTAACCGGCAATAACGCACGGACCGCGTACCGAGAGAGAGCCGATTCGACGCTTCACACGCATGATAACCCTCGATAATAACCGAAAACCACTTAACTAAGAGCTAATTCATAACGCGAACAGTCATGTCACTTGCTTTATGCACCATCTACCAATCGATTATAATATAACTCCCGGAGTCTCGAACATTTACTGCTACATTCAGCGAATTCCTAAACATCCTAAGCGCTGGAATATATACATTATATAACCTGTTGTATGTACATACAGACGCGGTAATAAATCCTCAGGAATGGGATTCTGGATGCATGAAATTCGAGACCTGACAGTTGATGAATTATAACTCACTTATTACAAAAGTAAATGATTATTTCGGATAAGTTTACAATAACACCTATTACTCAAGCCCATATAAGCCTGTGTAAACTTGTTTGTGACGTCAGAGAGTGACGTATGTCGATCAATCCTTAGCAGTTAATTAATATTGGAATATCTCGAAAAGTACACGTTGCACTTTGCTGGTAATAACCGAGTAAAAAAAAATCATCCGGTTTTGTGCATTTGCTCTGCACTTCTACCATATCTCTGGGAATAACCGGAGTTATCATCTTCTTATTTTTACGCCCGGGGTTTTTACGAGGGGCGTCGTAAAAGCTTCTCGCGCTTTATTATCACTCTTCTTGTAGAATGGCCGTTAACCTTACGTGCAACGTTTTGTTTCCTTATGTATTAGTTATAGGGCGTGTTAAAGGGCCGTTAAGATGACAAGGGTTTATTGCAGATTGGGCATTTTTTTCGACCTATTTATACGGGGTGGGTCGAGAAAGAAGTGGCGTAGAATTAGGTTTGAGTTTACATTTTTGATGCGCCCTGTATAAGGGAGTAAATATTTTTATTACTTTAGTGTTAGATTGGGAGTGGAAGTTAAATAAAATTCATTAGGCGTTGAATAATGATGATTTATATAGTGGGAGAAACGAGGGAGGAAGGATAATGGGCGATTTTTCTTAATAAAAAAGAGTGTAATCGGATAAAATCCAATTAGCAAATTACGGATGTTTTTAATGAAGATTGAAATTCCCAAAATCCCTTTTTCGAAAACTAACTATCTCGATAATCCACCATCGAATATCCCATATAATCCCTAATAATTTCCACGTTATAATTACATAATAGGAATTTCGGTTATGTCGGAAGGTTTATAAATTATTCCAAAACTTCCACTCGACAAACTATAACAACATTAAATATGCAATAAGATGTTAATTAGAGCTACAGAAAGTTATAAATTACAGGTAAAATTGAGAAATTTTAATTTTTTTGAAAACAATGTGAGAAAATAACCGGCTATAAAATCACTGTTTAGTAAATTCACTTGTAACTTCTAAACTTTTTATAAACAAAAAACATTCAAATAGGCATTTTAAATAAGAAGTTAGCCAATATATGCAGGTGAAACTAACAAAGTACCGAGAAAAACTTTATAGAAATTTGTAGAAGTTCTCCACGTACATTAAATTTCCCCAAACTAACCGATGATACTTATCTCTTTGGGTAATAATCGAAGCAGAAGCGCCATGTAATCGATTTAACGCGCTGGAAGGCTGCAACTCCACGCCGGGAAATACAATAAATTAACCAACTTCTGCGAAATTAGGAAACTTAGCGCCTTCGCGCAACAATAATAATCGTGATAAACGATCGAAGCGTTTAATGTTTCATAAATTGCCATTTAAGCTTTAGGTGTATCGGTCGAGAGGATGGTATAATGCTATCTAGCGTGCGCTGATGGCGGTGCAATCAGGTGCAAAAATGCACCGGAATGTGTAAAGTTATGAGTTTTTGGGGTTTGATTTGATGTGCAATTTTGTTGTAGTTTTGATGAAACATTTTTGCTAAAAAGCGGGATTTATGCGACTTATATTTTTATAGAATAGGCTGAAGATAAGGAAACGAAAAATTTTTCAATCTTATTCACTCGCTTCTTCTCCATTTTTAATGAAATTTCCATCAATTTGCTAATTTTTTATGAAAGTTTCATAATTTGCATTCTAATTTTTCGCTATTTTTATAAAATTTCCATCGATTTGCTCATTTTTTTAAGAAAGTTTTAAAATTTTCATTCTGATTCACTCACTTTTTCTCAATTTTTTATGAAATTTTTGTCAATTTTCTCATTTTTCTCAATTCCAAATTTTCAATCGCCTTTTTCGGCTATTTTTATGAAATTTATAATCATTACAATAAATTTAATCATTACAATCACAAAAATTCTACGAAATTCGTCAAGTTTTGTACTGTTAAATTTCAATAACACAAAAGTAGATATCTTTCTTATACCATTTAGTTTATTCAAAATCCCCTCACGTTTCATTCATTACTCAAACGAAGAAAAAAAGGCTCTGGTTCTTCGGGGAAAACCCCGTCTGTTTATCGAATAACGCATCCTTTATATCCACCTTTTTTCCCCGAATTTTTCCCTTTTTTTTCGAACTTACAATCAATCGCGAAGGGCAGGAAAAACGGGATCTCCATTTCCACTCCGGGCGAATATTCCAATTGGAGAAAATGTATCGGATTCCACCGCAGGTGCTACTCCCGGAAAATTTCTATAATACTATATAGCGATATGAGGAAACTGGTGTTTTATATTGAGCCTTTTATAAGTGAATTCCTGGATAAACGATCATGAATTTTACTTAATATATTTTCAAGTCAATAAAGCAATTTAATTTTGTCAAATAATAATTATTTTTTTTATTTAAAAATGACATTTTGTGACAAAATAACCGGTTATAAAATCGCTCCTTTATACCTTCACGTGTAACTTCTAAACTATTTATGATAGAAAATCCGTTATAGGCTCGTTTTGTAAGAAAATTTACCCACAAAACACTCTAATAATAATAATCTTGGGATTGAAAACGAATCGTAAAAGAAATAACATTTCGCCGCGTCAACAATCCGATTCTAAAATTTTTATATTTCAGTTTAAGTGTACATTTACTTTCGGGTAATTTCGGATTTTATTTCCGGCGTAAATTCACCTTTACATATAAATTACGTGCTGGATATCCTGCAGGAAAACGCGATGTGTCCTCGTTAAAAGTTTATAAACCCCAACGATATTACAATATATAAATATAATATAATTTAATTCATCGTTATCCTGGATTATTATTTTTCGTTATAAAGCGAGAGCGATGAAATAAAAGTCGAGTGTAATTTGTAAAAATTTATTTATAGAAACAAATAAAATATCTTTTTTCGTATGTATAACAAATTTTATATATCTAATTAAAATATTCCGGACGAAAATGAATCTCGTTCGCATTTGTAAATTTTTTTTTTCGATTTTTCTCTCTCGTTATACAAGAACAATGAGGAACTTTACCTCCATTTTAACTAAACGAACACACGCAGAGGTAATGCGGGAATTAAATAAGGATTAAAAGGTTTTGAAAGTTTCCTTATTATAAAATAGATTTAATTTGAAATGCCGCGTATAATTCCGTACAAAACTTTTAATACCATATATTCTCTTAAATATACAATGTGATTCGAATAAATTCATTTTTTTCTAAAACTCCTTTAGTATGAGACTTACTACCCCTAATATTTTTTCTTAATAAAATAATAACACTCAAAAGGAGATTGAAAATGCCTTTTAAACGAAATGTAACAAGCCTACACTCTTCTAATTTAAAAAAATTAGGGGTAGGAAGCTAAAAATAAGAAAAAAACCAAAATTAACACCTCAAAATCTACTTGAAAAAAAAATGAATTTATTCACTACATCCTGTACAATTAACTTTTGATCGAAAAATACGAACGCGAACGCAATCCGAATTTCGACCGGATTCGAAAAGAGAGAGCGTTGTGTATAATACATTTTACATCATCAATAATCAATTACCCTATAATATCGACATCAATAATATTATTTCGAGGAAAACGACCAGCCGGAGCATCGCCCGCAGCGAAGAAGTTATTCCGGCGTTTTGCGCGCTCACTGAAACAAATTACACACAGGAATTGTAGCTAACGTCAATTAATTACCATAAAATCAATTCCGTTATAAATGTGCCCCGAAGGGATAGGTTTTTTTTAAGGGAGTTCCGTGGAGAATATCTGGGGTTTTTGAAGTTATAAGATGGTTATATTGGAAAAAAGAGGTGTAAAGATGTAAACTATATCTTTCACTACACTTCTTAACTCTTTCCTACACTTCAGAACCCTTCCCTACAGTTCTCTTTCTCTCCATAGTTTTCCTAACCATTTCTTACACTTTAGACCCTTTGCCTACCTTTCTTTACTCTTCCCAACCTTTTCTATCACTTCCTTACCCTTCGCAACTCTTCCATATCCTTCTATACTCTTCCCTACGCATCCTTTTCCTTCCTTACCCTTCCCTATCCTTCCCAGCATGTCAAAACTCTTCGCTACCCTCCTTCACCTTTCCCAACCATTTCCTGCACTTCACAACCCATCCCAACCTTTCTCTACTCTACTCCCCACCAATTTCTATCCTTCCTTACCCTTCTCTACCCTTACCTACCCTTCCCTTCCATCTAAACTCCGTTTTAGGATGAATAGAAATGGTGTTTGTTACCTCTTTCAGGGACGGGTTCTCGGGCGCTGCCCAGCTTCAGCACGGCCTCCTCGTGGTAGACGTTTTCTATGTCGGCGACGCACCGGAGGATCAGACGGCCGTCGTCGAAGTGCTCGGCGTAGAGGCGGATCACCAGGCCCAGGTCGCTCCATTCGGAGCGCTGGTAGTGATGGGGCAGGAGGGGCTCGCTGGTGGCCACCTGGAGGACGAGCGTTTCGATTGTAATTAGTCGATTAGAGTCGGATGTAGGTGAGTTGGAGGTGTGGGAATTTTAGTGGGGGTAGCTGCGTGGTTTGTCTTTGGGGTGTGGTAATAATTTTTCAAAAATTCGTTTGGGAAGTGAAGTTTTGAATGTACTAAAAGGGTTATAAATTTTTTTCTACACGGTTTGATTCTAAGGGATGGTTCAACTATTTGGAATTGTATGGGGTTGAAGCTATTTGGTAGACTTTAAGATAAGATATGAGGGTATATCTGGTGAAAATTTCACGTATCTAGCTCTACTATAGCCAATTTTATAGAGCTTCAAAGAAGAAACTACTCTAATTTAACAAGTGGTATAGAAGGTTTAAATCAAAGGGGTAGTTCCACACTTTGGAGTTTAATGTTAATGATGCTATTTGGTAGACTTTAAGATAAGATATGAGGCTATATCTGGTGAAAATTTCACGTATCTAGCTCTACTATAGCCAATTTTACAAGGCTTCAAAAAGAAAATACTCTAATTTTGACAAGTGGTGTAGAAGGTTTAAATCAAATGGGTAGTTCCACCCTTTGGAGTCGAATGTTAATGATGCTATTTGGTAGACTTTAAGATAAGATATGAGGGTATATCTGGTGAAAATTTCACGTATCTAGCTCTACAATAGCCAATTTTATAGAGCTTCAAAGAAGAAACTACTCTAATTTAACAAGTGGTATAGAAGGTTTAAATCAAATGGGTAGTTCCACACTTTGGAGTTGAATGGTAATGATGCTATTTGGTAGACTTTAATATGAGATACGAGGCTATATCTGGTGAAAATTCAACGTCTCTAACTTAACCGCTTCTAATATTATAGCGCTTCAAAAAAAAACGAGTCTCCATAATTTTGACGAGCAGCGTATATATAAACTCTCCACTTTCCTCCAATTAATTTAGCGTTAATAAAATTGATTTACAGACGAAATTACCGTGTAATTGTTGAGGAAAAACGTCAAACTAGCCCTGGGCCTAGCCGGAGGGCTCGAGCAATTGGCTCTCAATAAATCCCCGTAATCCAAGGGCTCCCCGAACACGCTAATTGTCGGAGCCGTTTCGGGCGGCTCTGAAATTAAAAAAAAAACCCTAATTAGAAAAAAATACTGTTAAAAAAACAACCCTTAGAAGGAAGGGTTCGTTAAAATAGCGCATTTGGAAACATCGAACGAGTCAATAGAAAATCGCAGAAGTTTCGTAACTACAGTTTACCAGTTCTTTGACAGTTATTTGACATTTCAGTGACAATTCGTTGACAGTTTGTGTACTATTAAAGCTAGAATTCTCAGCCAGGAAATTGAAATTCTAGCATCAACAACGTCCGCGCAAATTACATCACATTATATCCAATTACACTCTTCCATTCCCCGGTTATTCGTCGGGTTACGTAACCAATCCGTTATCGTTGCACTCCAAGGATAAGAAAAGCGCCGATTTTCTTCCGGGCGGGCCGGAAAATGTCCGAACGCCGGCGATCGTAGGTGTAAATATTTGTCGAGGAATCCGGGGAGTTCCGGGGATTAACTCGATTGACATCGAGTCGAGATGTTTGCGGGTAATTCCCCGGTCGTATAGCGCTCGAATTGTTGGTTTAGTTGATGGTGTGTGTGCGAGGGAGGATATTTTTCTAATACGGTTCGTTTCGCAAACTTGGCGCTCGTGAGGGAAGGATCGAGAGGGATGGGTTTGTGTTAGGATGGAAGTTGAGGAGTTTGGGGAGGAAATTGGGAATTGGGGAAGGACTCGTTTGAATGTCCGGGTCAAGGTTCGTTTAAAAATCGACGTTTCGACGATAGAAAGTTTCATCATCAGAGTCAAAATTGAATCAATTATTTTTTGAATTTTATTTTCACATTTATTACTGCCATTTTCGATAGGAAAAAGGTTTAATTATCATTAAAATCGATAAGGGAAATTCAATAATCGACGTTTTGGTTCCAGAAAGTTTCATCATCAGTGTCAAAATTGCAAAAATCAGTCAATTTTTTCAGTTATACATTTTTTTACAACTTTTTCTTTATCATCACTTTTAACCCCTCTATATTTTTATCTTCTCCGACGTTTCGTCCTGGCAAAACCACCATCAATTTTTACAAAATCGCCCATTCAAATCGGCGAATTTATCAACTAGGCGAGCGTATTAAAACATTAATAAGGGTAGCACGTTTACGGGGGGCGCGAGATTATTAAATAACAAAACCGGAGATAAAATAAGTCATTCGAGCTACTTGAGTTTAGTAGCGGGACGCTTCGTTAGCATGCCGAATGCGAGAGGATCATATTTTACAAGTTTCCACGATTTATAACCGGCCATAAATTATTATTTTAGATTTTACACCTCAAAATTAAACGCCCCGAAATCTACCTCTGTATGTACCGGTATTAAATAAGATAAATTTATGATTTACTTTCGCGTTGGGAAATTGGAAATTTCCGCACAAAGCGTCGTTTAAATGAAGTTTAAATTAATTTCGAAATCATTACGAGACATTTTTTCGAACAAAAACGAAACTTTATTTCTATCTAAATTTCATTTTTACAGATCAAACATGTATCCTCAAAACAAAAAAAAAGATCCCGGCATTTTCGAATTGATATATACATTTATATTTGCGCATTTCATATTCAATTCATACAGTCGTATTCCCAGCAGGAAGGACAGAAGGACACACGCAGACACATACGTGTGTCCTTTATCGAATATCCTTATGCATACCGGATCCTGCGAGATTTCCCCAGTCTCCACACAAAATAATTCGATTTCCTGCAGGTATATATAGCAGGAATTCACTTCCAAAAATTCCACAAATACGCCAATTTAACCTAAACTTAGCTTTAGTTGAATTCCTGAGAAGTTAGAGGCCTCGTTAATAGAAACGCCCTGCATATAAGTGAGTAGCATACGAGGGTAGGGTGAAAAGTTATCGGCAGAACCATTTAGAACACTTCAGAATCATTTAAAACTGTCTAGAACCATTTAGAACGATTTAGGACTATCCAGAACCGCTCCATAATCAATTAGAACAGTCTAGAACTAAAGATTTCGACCTAATAAAGAGAATAGTATGTAATTTTTCAACCGAAAATCGCGGTGTTTCTTTGTCGGGTCGAGAACTTTTCGCCTTGCCCTCGTACACTATAGTTTTTCTACGACCTGTTTTTTTGAAAGGAAAATGAGCCTTACGTATGACGAGCATGGGTTTGATGTCGTAACGGGTAGTTAAATGTAGCGCGTCAGTGGTGACTTCGCAGGTGAAGTTTCCTGAAAGGACGAAATCGATGTTCCTCAGGACGACTTGCGTGGAATTCGAGGCTTCTTCCTGCGACAGAAAATTGCAAATTTAATCAACTGAAATCCGATAAAAACTCTTATAAAATCGCATCGAATTTATGGGAATTAATTGGTTTCGGAGTTGCAGTGGATAACCCATTGGTTAAACATAACCTCTGTAATTACTGTAGCTCAAAAATTATGTTTAAAAAAGAGAGATTTATCGTTCAAAGCTTCAGCTTTATTCTCTCGCATTTCCCTTCGTTAGGGCCTGTTTCTTTTTAATTAAATCCCGCCGCTGCAGGATCAGAATCCCGGATTTGAATGGATTCGCAGGGCATGCAGGATGCTTGTGCGAATCGAAAAGAAAATATGGAAAAGTTCGCTGCAAACACAAACAAAAGTTTATATACTCGGTAAAGGAACTCAAATTTCCTGCGACAATCAATCCTGCATGTGAGCAGTAAACTTTCGTTGGGCGAAATTGTTTGTTTGCAGCAGATCCGGGAAGGAAGAAAATCGCGAATAAGCTATGATGGATGAATATAGAGATAAGTTCGGCATGTAACAGTGACAAAATAACCGGTTATTTTGTAACGTTACACTCGATAAACACAAAATTCACTTACATCGACGTTGATTTCTTTGTAAGGAAATATCTTCTTGCTGTTGGGGTACTCGCTGGGCGTGTACCTGTAGAACTCGTACCTGCCCCGGTACCATTTCACAGTGTACAAGGCGTCATCTTGCAGATCGTACGTGCATATCAACGTGGAACTTTGCCCCACCGGTACCACCTTCGGCTCGATCGACAACAGAACGTTCTGTAGCGTCAACACATCTGAAACAAAAATCATAATCATTGTCTATTTGTCACTTGTCTCCACTTGTCATTCGTCTCCTCTACTTGTGTCACTTGTCTACTTGTGTCATTTGTCTCTATTATACTTGTCTACTTGTCATTTGTCACTGAAGGTCATTGTCGTCAAATCTTCCAATAAGAAATGACTAAGAGTAATTTAAAGCAATGTTGCCAAATGGTTTAATAAATCGCGTTTCCAGCGAGAACGTCTTAACGTATGCAAATTGCTGCACGTCGCGGGGAAATAACGAGTTCCTGGCTGAAAATAGGATAGATAGTAACTGGATATAACTGGTATTGTTTTGGGGTAACGAAATGAAGTCGTTACCGCCCCGGAATTGCTCGGCATTGTTGCAGGGGGGATGTTACCCTTAGGTAACGCGATTTACATGCATTCGAATTGCACTAATTGCAGCCGTATTGTGCACGTGCATTAACTTGTCGCCCGGTGGATTTGTATGGAAAACAGAACAGCAGTTTAAGGGTTGTTTTTTTTTTTGGAATTAATCAAAAAAGTATTTTAAAAATCCTTCTATTAGTCTATTAATGGTAAATTTGTAATAAGGGTAGATATATTACTTTCGATGAGTTTGGGGGTTTGTTGAAGCTAAGCGAAAATAAATTTTGCATATTCATACCGCAAAATTCGGAATAGTTCTGTACGTAATAACCCCTAACTATGAATAAATAATACCCGCTTAGGGGGGTGGAAGTTTAACGAACTTTCCGCCGGCTTTTCCATACCGTTTCCTCCTGACCTATCGGGGAATTAACATAATAAAATAACCCCGAAGAATTCCGGGAATTCCTCGTCGAATTTCCCCGTTCACCGGTCGCAACTGAAACACCCTCTCGTTCGGAAACAAACATCCCTTATACGAGCCTACTCTCGCGTCCTCGTTCCGGCGTTTCCCATTGTCCTTGTTTACTTACAAGTGCCCCTAAGAGAGACAAGATGCTCTAAAGTACCTCGGGATTTATTCTTTTTTTCTTCTTCTTTTTTTCAGGGTGCTGGTCGTTGAGTGGAATATTTACAAACGCGAGTTCCAACCCCCAACGATTTGGTGTGTTAATATGGTATGACGTCACGCTCAGTTACCATTGAAAGTATTGTAGATACATAAAAGGTATGTAGAGTTTATTCAATAATTACAAGCGCGATAATAATAATGGATGTATTATATGTAGGTTTCTAGTTTGAGCGTTGTTGAGTTAATTTTATGGATCGTAAATCGGGGATATAAAGCAATTAGAATTGAGTTATCTATCGTTCGGTGTAATTGCGAAAGCGCCTGTTCGGTTTATTTGTTCGCGTAAATAGGTGTAAATATCTAATAAAATGCCCCGGGCGAAATTACATCGGAGAAGTGTTAAAATCGTGGATTTTAATATCGCGCTTAAACGTAATTTAATCGTTCGTTGTCGAGGACCTTTATTTCGTCCGTTGATCTGTTAATTTAATTTTCAAATGGGATTCTATTTCGAGGAAAAATCAATCGATACGAAATCGATGCTCGGAACGGATTAATATAAACGTTAAAATTCCGTAAAACAAATGTTTCCAGTTCCGTAAAACCATCGAAACTGAACAATAAACGTCCCTTTTACGCCGAGTGATTGATATTTGTTTTACAATCGACCGTTAGTTTGTATTCTTGTTGTTTGTCTGCTGGCGGTTTATTTTCTCTACTTCATCATATCCCAGCGCGTATTCACGACAAACCCTATCGAATGCTACCCGGTTTTATTTATAGCTCGACAACTCGGAGATTAATCATTTGCCCGCGCATTTTTAGAACGTCTCCATTCATTACTTGTCACACTCTAGATCTGGCTAGTCATTTATACACACTTGATTTTTTAATCGAATCTTTGATTGGCCGATTGAGTGATTAAAATTCTAGTCATCAATGAGATGTAGAAGCGAATTGACGCATGCCGAAGGCATCGATTAACATTTGATTAATCATTAATGAAAAAAATTAAGTATGCCGAAGGAATCGATGGCGCCTGCTCGCGGAATTTCTGTTCGATTTTTTTAATTGGGTGAATCCCAGCTGGGCGCGTTTTAATGTTAAGGCATTCTCGGGGCGTCCCTTTTGCATCTGGGCGCGAAAATAAACTCGAAATAAAGAGCGTATAAATTACGGTGCATTTGCACCTGTGCCTCGTGCACGGCACACTCGGATTCCGAAATAGAAAATTAATTATCGCCAGAAAACGAGCGCGGCTGTCTTGATGATTTCGCTTTTCTTCTGTACTCTTCTTGTTGTTCTTCTTTTTCTTTCTTTTCTCATTAGAGTATTTTTTTTTCGCTATTCGAGTAGATTTTATAGTGGGTTGTATAGTGTAGTTTGTCTACGACATCGTGGGGAATTTCGGGTTGTCGAAGAGGAATTCAATTAATTCGAGTGTTGATTGAGGTTTTTAAAATTTAATGAATCAGTTATTTTTGGTTGAAATAAAATTGTTATACGTCGGTGATTTTTGAATTGCGTTATAATTCGGAGCGAATTCATTTTTCGATGGGGTTCGATTTGAATAAAATTTTTCGACGCGAACTTGTTTATTTTAATTGCTAAACAAGTAAATTACCGTTTCGTGTAAAACGAATTTCTGGTATAAAATAACCTACAAACATTTTCGGAACGGAAGGTTTATTTATTTTAATTCGGAGGTAAAACAAACATTTTTGATGTTACATTGTGTAATGTACAGGGTGGACGAATGTTGGGAATTTATTGAAATTTTTAGTGACGCCTATGGTAAACGTAAATTACTTGTCAAATGTCAACAGTATTATTTTAAAATAAAAGTGTATCACCCTGTATACATGAAATACGTACGAATTGGAGAAATTAATTATTTCATATATAAAATTTATTTTTTTTGTCATTCGTCGAATTCTACTATTTTATTAATTATATATCGATTTTGCAGTATAATTAATAACGATAATTAAAAATACAAATCGTTATATATTTTTCAAATAATTAATCAACTATACAGGGTGTTAATTAATCTTATTTACTTATTTTAAAACGAGTAATTTTGAGTCGAAAAGTTCATACATATCTCAGAAGCTTGGTTATCGATATACATTATTTAAACACCCTATATAAAAAAATATTTACCGGCAATCAAGAGCAATCCCAAGACGATCACCACTTCGAAAATCCAACACAACAACGTCATTTTACCGTCCTAAATCCTCTATCACAAACACGTATTAAAAAAAACACAAATAATCACAAACAAAATTCACATGTTCACCGGTAACTCGGAAAAAAAAATTGCGAAAGAAACTCGCGCGTAGATCGACGCGTATGCGCTGGCGGAGCGTCGGTGTCGCGACGCCCGACGTCAGAACGGATATGAGAGAACTCAGTTGGCTCGGAGACGCGCGAGAAATTCCTCCAACGCATGCGCTCGAGATCCTAAAGGGCGCCAAAAAGGTACCGAACCGTATCGTAATTTATGGGGATTTTTTTTTGGGTAAGTTGGCTACACTTGTTTAGATGTTTATATTGGCAGCAATGATTCGGTTGAGAGTGCATTAAAGTGTGTTTTTTTGAGTCTGTCGATTTTTTTGTGTATAAAAATTACTATAACATAATTTACTGAACATTTTAGATAGAATAATGACTCTTTTAGTTAATGTTCTGGTTCGTTTAGATAGTCTTTTGACTCTTTTAGATTATATACTGACTCCTTTTGATGTATATAGTAATGACTTATTTAGACAATTTACTGATTTTTTAGTATAATAATGGCTTTTTTAGCTAGTGTTCTGACTTTTAAGATATAATAATGACTATTTTAGATAACTTACTGACTCTTTTAGACTCAACATTAGAACATTAACTGGTTGATATTCGTATGCAATTTTCCAAGAATACGAAATTATCACAAATTCTTAAAATATTGCAACCTATGCAGATAAACAAAGACTATATCCAGTGAAAGATAAAATAATTCATTCTCTAAGAGAAAAGTTTTCTTTCATAAAAGAAAATCCTTTTGTGTGTGTTATTCGTTTTTGTCTCGTCGGAAACTTGTACTGCTAAGTAAGTGTAAAGCGTGGCGTTTTTCGCGACTTTCCGCGCGAATTTTCCGGACGTTCCGTCATTTTTGGAAGAGCGATTTTCCTGGAAATTCTTTTATTCCGCGACCGGCGTGTCTCGTTCCGGAAGGATTCCGGGGAAACCCAAAAAAAAATATCCTCACAATTGGATTAAAGGGTTTCCGAGGAGGCGACGAAAAACAATGGGGATTTCCTCGTATAAAAATTAAACTGTACGTGATGATTTAATTACCTGGGAATTTTCTTCCGTTGAAAATTCCTGTGGAAAGGACTTGAAAGTTCGAATAAAAAAAATCTTTAGGCAGATCCTGCTGTAGTATCGAGCAGGAAATATGAAAATGCGATACTGTAGATGGCATTTATTGTCTCAGGGGAATAATTTATGAGTTTTCCGAGATTTTCTCGATGATATTTCGACGGTAAAAATGGTTAAAAAGAGCAGTGAATAATTTACAATAATTTACTGCTATTTATTGCTAACTATTCCCAATTTTAAAGCAATTTAATAGAAAATCGATTGGGGTTGTTTTGCTGGAAAAGTCATCGAATGAACGTAATTGAAGGTATAATTAAAAAGGTTTTTCCTCCTAGCAGCACTTCTAATTAGATTCCCTTTCGCCAATTAAAATTTCGAATCGCTTGTAATTAAATGGAAAAACGGAGAGAAAAAGAGTTTATAAATAAATAAGGGAAAAAAGAGAAATATCGAGATTCTCGTTTGATTTACGGGCGATAAAATGCAGGAATTTATCACGAACTGGCTAGTGTTTATCCAACGAATTTCCAGACTTTACTTTAGTTAATTGCCCGTGATACCTGGAACGTCCAAATTATATTCCAGAGATGTTTAAAATATTACTTTATATTAAAGTAAACGGATGAATAATTGTGCCATTAGCGAGAGTTGTGTATAATGTTTCTGAAATATGTTAATTATTTGTTATTATTCAAGTGCCGTTTGGTGAAAAATTGGTATTATCTCTAATGATAATTGATATAGAAATATTTTGTTTGGTTTATTTTGTTGAAAAAATGTTTCCCTATAATTTTTGAGGAATCGAAAATTTTCGAAAATGGCTTAGTTAAGATATATTGAGTCTTAAGTAGTGCTTAGAAATTGCTAATTTTAGTGTATAGTTCGATGCAAAATCGCTATTATCTCGAAAAATAATTAAAACAAAAATATTCACCTCATTTCGTTGTGTAGAAAAAGAGTTTTACTGCAATTTTTTAAGAGCTACAAGTTTTCGAAAATTGCTTGGTTTTTGAGATATTTTCAGTGTTTAATTAGTGTATCGAAATTATCAATATTAGTACAACTCGATGAAAAACATGCGATTATCTCGTAAAATAATTGATTAAAATATTCTGCTCATTTTATTTGATCGAAAATAAGTTTCTCTACAATTTTTGAAGAATCGAAAATTTTCAAAAATCGCTTAATTTTTCGCCAAATCGAATTTTTCAAAAAATGTACCGATTCTTCATGATTTAATAGAGAACATTCGGTGAGATATTGAACAAAGAATTCCTATGAAATTTCGAACAAAAAAAACTCCCCTTACTCGTTTACCCAAAACCCACTTCCTTCTTTCATCCAAAACCCCAAAATTACACCATTACAAAAAAAAATTCACCAATCATTAAACCACCCAACAACACTCCCATCTTTATTATTCACAAACGACATCATCTAATATACATTCCGAATTAATTCAAACACAAAAAGAACACCATCCGAATCCTCCCTAGCTCCAACAAAACGGCTAAATCGGCTCTTATCCAAATATTTAGTTTACCATTAAACCATTCCAGGCGGATTCTCAAAATATTATCGTGTTTTATTCGGAGGAGACAGTTGGACGCACGCCGGTCCTCCATCCGAGAAGGCCGGGACTCGTTCTTCTTCTTTTTGACGTCTCATTTACATCGTTCAACGGCCCGACAAGCGGGAAATATTTCGGGAATTTCCCCGCCCGAGCACGTTCGCTCGAACAATTATTTTTTTATTTAGGCACACTCGAGAAATGGTCGAATTGATTTAAGAAGTTTTCTAACACGATCATGAAGTGTGTGGGGGTGTTTGGAGCGGAAAATGGAAAGATTTTGGGACATTCTGTATACTGTATACATTGTTCATTAATCTAGGTAGTGTAGAGAAGTTTAAAAATGGGACACTCTGTATACAGTACATTTTTGCTGGAACTTTCCAGTATCGTTTTGAACTGTCTAAAATCATTTAAAACGCTCCAGATCCATTTAGAACAGTTCTAGAACCATTTAGGACGCTCCAGAATCATTTAGAACAGTTCTAGAACCATTTAGGAGGGAATACTCCAGATACCTTTACCAATGTATACAGGGTGGTCTTGGTTGAACATTTTTTGGAACACTTTGTATATAGCGCATTTTCGATGCATATACGAGGTGCGTTCGAAAACCATTTAGGGACACCCTATATAGGCTCGAAATAGATAATGAAATGCGGAGGAAAAAAAAAATCGTCATAAACGTGTACTTAAGAAGCCCGTTAAATCCTCGTAAAGTTATTTTGTATGCAACAAACTGTCTCGAATTATTTTTCCCAGAATTTCCATCTCGCTATTATTACAACTCGCACAGATTTATTCACTTCAATGAGGCTACAATTTTCCAAATTTTCCCATCGATAACTTTATAACCTTAACATATAATACAATGAATTATCCAAGTTAGTGACGTCACGACTCGTTCGATTTGAACAAAGCGTATCTACATTCGTATAGTGCATTCATTGTATCAACGCGTGACGTCACGACGGTGTTAACTCGAATATACTGTATGCAATGGTTAAAAATAACTTCTAAATATCCCGGCATTTTCCTCAAGAGGTATCGCGTCATTAATTCCGGAAAGTTTCCTTTGTGTTTCCAAAGCGGCTTTGCCGGAGCCGGCTTAAAATTCCACTTTTTTGGTTAGAAAACGGCATTATAATATACCGGAAAGAAGAAGTAGAAAAAAAAACACAAACTTTAAGAAGTCTATAAAGAAAGTTATACGAGAAATTCGTCCGCGAAAAACCAACTGGGGATTATTCGATATGGCACGTTCAACTTTAATAAATCGTGACGTCACGTTTAATCTTCTCGTATTAGTTTGTGACGACATGCTATTTCAATTTTACAATTGACAATTTACATTCCAGAGTCATCTAATATCTAAAGGAAAGTTCCAATGCTCATGTTATAGGGCGACTTGATAGAGTTTCTCGTTATTCCCGCTCAATGCGATAGATGTCCATAAACGTCTACTTATTAAACGTGTCCATAGAGGGCGCTCTATGAAAATTACAGATCGCTGTAAATTAGAGAAATCTGTAAAGGGTTGTAAACGAGTTTTCTTTTAGTTAGTAATGAGAACCAGTAGATGGCGTTGAATATTTCATATTTTGGGATTTCCTGACTATTAGTGTTGTTGATTTAAAGTGGCTTATTTACTAACTAATAATGAATTGAGTAGTTGGAAAATTTTATTAATTGTTATTAATACATTTTTGAATATTTCTCAAAAATATATCGTAGGCTAGAATTTAATATAAATCCCTCAGTAGGTTTGAATAAATTTCATATTCCATATATCGCAGAGTGCCGTGTTGACCGTGAGCAAACAAAGGCGTACTTATTACAAACAAAAGCCGGGTAAACGGGGAGGATGAGTATAGAATAGAGGAAGAAAGGGTGGCTTTGGATGTAAACAAATAATGCCAACTAGATTTATTAGATATTTAAGCAAATTTATCTACCACTCGGTAAAAGAGAGAGAAATTAGTATATGTAATATTCAAAATTTTATTCTAATAAATAATTACAACAATTCATTAAACTTCTTCAGTCGATTTGTCGAATACTATAAGCGGGTTTTATTGGATAGATTAGAATCCGGAGGGCCGTGAATTCGGTCGTTTAATGCCTCCTCATCAAGTCGGCGGCGCGTTGTTCATAAATCAAGGGATAATCCGGGGCGGCTCTCCGGGATATATTCGCGTGATGTATAAGTGAATAACGTCCGAGACCGAAAAGAGGCACAACTGTTCCGATTTTTCCGGGAGGGCATTAAAAGTTAATGAATTTCAATTGATGATAACGGGGGGGCGCGCTCGAGCGCTTTTTCCTCCACTCGAAGTCACTCGAAAAAGGCTCGATGCAAGGCCGCCTACTAAGCGATCGCGGTTTTCATGCTCGATAAGTGTATGGTAATTCGTGCTAATCAAGTCGGCGGTTTTGTTTCCTGGTGGTTGAATTGAATACTAATTTTGTATTGGGCTTTGTTTTCTATGTTATATCCTATAATGGCTATAATCCCTATGTCATTGGATATTTATTAATATGCTGCTCCACAAAAGTTAAGGAAGTTCACAAGTATTGAGATTAATTTAAAAGTTGCAGGTTTTTTGATCGCCAAATTTAGTATGAGTTGTAGAGGTAGAGGCAAAAAATCCACTCAGATGTGAGAGAAGACATTTAATTTCGCATATTTGAAAATTTGGTGATCAAAAAGTCTGTAACTTTTAAAATAATCGCAAAAATTAGCGAACTTCTTTAACTTTTGTGGAGCAGTTTATAATTGAATGTCTTATTGATGCTCATTTCTCATTTCTTATTTCTCATTTCTCATTTCTCATTTCTCATTTCTCATTTCTCATTTCTCATTTCTCATTTCTCATTTCTCATTTCTCATTTCTCATTTCTCATTTCTCATTTCTCATTTCTCATTTCTCATTTCTCATTTCTCATTTCTCATTTCTTCAGTAAAATGTTTAATCATTATTTATTTTTCGATAACTTAGTCCAATTTTTTCGACTTTTCTTGACATTTTTCTAACTTATTTAATATTAATGATATTTTTAACGTTCTCTATACCAAATTCTTAATTTGCACTTAATATTTCTTTTATACTTAATAATTTCTTCATTTTAAAGAGGGAAATTGAGAAATTTTATAGAGAAAAGTTCAATTTTCAATTACCCAAGAATTTCTTAACTCGTTTAATTTTATAACGATTCGAATATTTTTGTATAACTTTTACATAACTTAGGTACTGCAGAAATACCGATTCAAAAGAAATAAAAACACAAATTATTAAAAAAAACCGTCAAATTTACTTCAAAATTCTACCAAAATCACCTGAAAAATCCACCAATTTACACCTCTATATAAACATCTCGAATATAAAAATCATCGATTCATTCACTTCAATAATCTCCAAAAAACCAAAACAACAATACACGCAATCATCATACCAACATTAAGACAAAATCCCCAACAAATTCCAAACCACCCTTTAACTAAGTACACCTATATAGCGATATACCAGGAAAAGTGGATATATTAAATAAAAAGAACGCGAGCAAAGCAAAGCCAAAATTGCGAGCCAAAACCAGCAAGGGCCAAACAAAAGAGACCCAAGCCAAAGCATTCTCTGATGTTATATATTCCCAAAGAGGGTAGTCGAGCGTCGACAAGTGGATGAATCTAATATAACATCCCTTCATCCCTTCGTAACTCCGTATTCCGCGTCGAACCAGCGCCGAACCCACCCTCTTAGAAACCACAATTTGCTACATTTACACCCCTTAATCAACCCTTTTTTTGTAATACAAAAATCAAAAATCTACCCATTTTTACCACAAAAATAATCAACACGCTTTAATCACTTCAACTATATTTTATATAAATTTTTAAATCTATCTAACAAAAACCTCCCCGATCCACCCCTGCCTGAGCACTTCTCACCCCTACCTCTTCTTACACTCAAGCATGCCATGTTAAACCATAGTTATGTATACGATATCCGCAAAGCCCGTCAGAACGTGACCGTTCCCACCCCGATCGCCGCCCGCCCCCTCACAGTCTAACCACCCCAAAGGTGTGTACACTGTGAGAAATATTATTTACCTTGCAAACAAAAGACGGCCGGGCTCCGCCCCCCGCACAGGCCACTGACTAATGATAATGCGGCAGGGTCGGGCGGTGGGGGTGGCGCCGCCCCCTCGGGGAATCGCAGGGGAAACCCCCGCCGGGGGTGAGATGTATTTCGAGCGGCGTTGCCGCGGCGATGTGGAAATCGCAGATGCGGGGAATTTTCGATAGATAACGATCGAAATCAGGTGTTGTGAAAGTGTGTGTGAAAATAATTCGTAAAGCGATTCATCATTATTATTTCGCGGGTATTACGGTGAATTAAGCGTTTTGTTTATCAGCTGTGTGGGATTAGAGCGGATTAAACGAGTATGTTTGTTTTAAATTTTTGATGGACTGATAAGAGTTTCGAAAAAAGCCTATTTACTATTTACAATGGGTATACTTTTTGAATAAATATTATTCTTGCGATTAAAGATGATAAAAAAATTCAGTTTGGATATTGTAAGGTATTCAATTCGTAATCTTGCTGGGTATTACAGGATGTAGATTTTTTTTTTGATAATAATCAAATTATAATAACGTGCCTTTTAGTGATATAAAAAAACGGTTTATTAAATGTTTGATAGGTTAGAGTTAGAAGATAAAAATTGATACAAAACAAACAATTTTTTTTTAAAGTAAGCTCAACGTCTTTCCATGGATTAATTTAATTTTTCTGAGAGAAGGAGAGAAATTTATTGCTGATTCATTTTGTAGATATTAAAAATTTTGTTTTTGAGTTTGCTAGGTTGAGAAATTATAATAAAATTGTTTTATTGAAATTGTTAAGGGGTGGTTTTTGAAGATTTTTTTGAGGATTTCAATTTTTTTACTATTTTCAGTGTTTTTTTCTGTAAATTTTTAAAATTTTGTGAATTTTCTCAAATATTTTGAAGATTTTGTTCACTATTTTGGAATCAATAATTTTTAGTTGATTTTTAAGTATTTTCTAGATTTCGTTCAATATTTTCAATCATTTTTAGTGGATTTTCAAGTATTTTCAAATTGTCTTCACCATGTTCAATGATTTTAGTATAATTTCAAAGATTTTTAAAGATTTTGTTCACTATTCAATGATTTTTAGTAAATTTTCAAGAATTATTAAGATTTTGTTCACAATTTTCAATGATTTTTAGTAAAATTTCAAAGATTTTCAAGATTTCGTTCATCACTATTTTCGAGATTTTGCTCACTATTTTCAATGATTTTTAGTGAATTTTCCAATATTTTCAAGATTTTCTTCACTATTTTCAACGATTTTTAGTGGATTTTTAAAATTTTTTAATATTTTGTTGACATTTCCAACAATTTTAAGTAGATTTTCTACCATTCTTTACAATTTACCAAACTGTTCTGAAAACCAATCCATTTCCAATTACATTTTCATCTCCAACACAAAACCTCTTCATCATAAAACCCCCATTCTCCTCGAACAAACCCTCCAAAAACCTCCCTCGAAATCCAACACAATACACGACATACAAAAGTAATAATCACCGCATAACCGGCACCTCCGCAACAGCAACAAAATCAATGACCACCCCCCGCCCCCCCGAAAACATCCCCCCCCCAAAAAAAAAACCACCCCCGAGCGTCGTGTCGCAACCCTTTACACAGCTCCTCTACATGCAACGCACCTAACTAACTTCACCCTCCGAAACTCCCGACAAGAACCGGTTTAGAAGAGTAGGGGTTGCTCCGGGGGGGCGTGCCCAACCCCCGCCGAGGGGGGTGAGCCTCTCGGGCACGCCCCTCACACCGCTTTGTTTTCGCAACGGCATCGCGGCAGCCAGGAAATGCGGTGACTCGAACCATCATTGTTTTCAGCCATCAAAATGTTGAGATAACATTTTCTCTAGTCAGATTTAATCTAGTAATCGGTACGAACGCATCGCGCTCCCGCCCCAGTACCGCATGCGACATAGTGATATAGTGATATAGTGATAGTGATGGAGTGAAAGTATGGATGAGTTCAGCATCGGAAGCGGCGCCGAGAGTCCGTTAGATTTGAGAGGTACCGCCGACGGGAGTACCGCGAAATCAAAGATCAACAGTACTGCGAAAAAAACCAATCAACAGCTGATCAAGCCACCTTACTCGTACATAGCCCTGATCACCATGGCGATCCTGCAATCGCCCCATAAGAAGCTCACCCTCAGCGGGATCTGCGAGTTCATAATGAGCAGGTTCCAGTACTACAGGGATAAGTTTCCGGCGTGGCAGAACAGCATCAGGCACAATCTGTCGTTGAACGATTGCTTCATCAAGATACCGCGGGAGCCGGGGAATCCCGGAAAAGGGAATTATTGGACGCTGGATCCGCTGGCTGAGGATATGTTCGATAACGGGAGTTTCTTGAGGAGGAGGAAGAGGTATTTTTTTTTTTTGGATTTGTTTTGGTGTGGCGGGTGGTGGGTTTTTTGGAGGGTTTTGAAATTTTTTAATGGGTTTTTATTCGGATGTTTTGAGTGATTTTTGTGGGTGATATTCGAAGGGTAAAAGATTTGGGATTTTTTCACTATGGTATATTAAACGATTTGTTATGAATAGTCAAGAGGATTTTTAAGATTTTTTTTAATGATTTTTTTCGAATTTTAAATGCTTTATTTTTGAGTTTTTAAAGATTTTACTATTTTATGAGATTTTAATCATAATAATGTTTTATTTTTAAGGATTTTCTGTGGATTTTTAAGAGTTTTGGATATTTTTTTTTCATTATTTTAAACAGTTTAATTTTCAATTTTTCAAGATTTTAATCACTGTTTTAAATGATTTTCAATGATTTTCAAGATTTTTATTACTATTTTAAATGATTGTTAATGAATTTTCAATGTTTTAAAAGGGTTTTATTACCGTTTTAAATGGTTTTCAATAGTTTTCAATGATTTTAAAGATTTTTATCACTATTTTGTTTGATTTTTAATGGATTTTCAATAATTTAAAATGGTTTTATCACTGTTTTAAATGATTTTCAATGATTTTAAATTTTAAAGATTTTTATCACAGTTTTGAATGGTTTTTAGTAGTTTTTTAAAGATTTCAAATACTTTTCACAATTTACAATGATTTTTTTCACTGTTTTAAATGATACTTTTCACTATATTACTTTGAGAAATACAGTTTACTACTTAAAATGATTTTAAGAAAGATTTAAAATGATTTTCAAATTCAGTTCATTTTAAATGAAACTTTTAAATGATAATCTTTGACGATATTTTATTGAATTTTTCAACATCATCTGATAATCTAATAACCTTCAAACCATATCTTAAAAAACCATCATGAAAATCTTTACAAAAAATCATTACAATAAAATAATATAACCTATTAAAAATTGTAAAAAAATACAACTAAAACCCATTTAAATCCATACAAAAATTCCACGACAACAAAAAACAAAAAAAGCAATCGAAATTGACCGAATAACCGAACAGCTAAAAACCAAAGAACAAGAATAATTGAAAAAATCCAGTTCACTATTTAAAAATGATTTTATGAAAAATTTTAAATGATTTTCAGTGGATTTTTATTATATAATATTAAATAATATCATCACTATTTTAAATGAAGCTTTTAAATGATAATGTTTGATGATATTTTATTGAATTTTTCAACATCATCTGATACCTAATAACCTAAATACCTTCAAACCATCATGAAAATCTTTACAAAAAATCATTACAATAAAATAATATATCCTATTAAAAATTGTAAAAATTACAACTAAAACCCATTTAAATCTACAATAAAAACCATAAATCACTCCAAATTGACCGAATAATCGAACAGCTAAAGACCAAAGAAATAATTACCAAAGACCAAGGAATAATTCAAGAAATCTTTCAAAAAAAAAACCCAAAATCCCTTCAAATCCCCACACACCACCTATTTACACATTAAAAATCAACCCCAGCTTATAATCGATCTTCAGATACAAGCGGCCCCAAGCCAACCTGATGCTGCGCGACCACCACATGGTGGCCTCCTTCCTCTCCGGCCATCCGGACACCTACCAACAGAACATCTTCAACTACCCCAACCTCCACGGCCCCGGCCCCTACTCGTACCTGCCGGGCTTCGGCGGCCCCGGCAACCTGCCCCTGCTCGGCCCCGTCGACCTATCGCGCCTGGGGCTCGGCCACCTGGGGCTGGCGCCGCCGCCGCTCTGCAAGCCGGTGCCGGTGCAGGCGGGCGGCGGCGGCGGCGGCGGCGGCGACGCGCCCGAGGAGTGCACGCGGAGCGCCGTGGAGGCCAGGAAGGGCAAGAACGGGTTCTCCATCGATTCGATCATGGGGCTCGTGGGGGGCGAGAACAAGCGGGATTTGGGGGGCTTGGGGGCATCGGCGTTTTCGGCCATTTCCTCCGGCGATGATTGGGGGAGGTGAGAATCGGATTAGGGGGAAATCGGGAGATTCGCTGTCGGTTTGATGCTATTTATTATTAGGTGCGTATGTTGTTGTGTAGATATGGATTTGATGACTTTGACTAAAGTATATTATAATTTTTTTACTTGTACTTGTGTATAAATATGCCTAATATAGGTACTTGCTTATATGAAATGTAAAATGTAATTTCTACTATTCGATCTCATTTAAATTTACGTACGTTTACCAATTATATGGGAGTTGAAGTTATACAGTGTGTTCCCGAATGGAGTTGACGTGAGGAAAAAAATGTTAATTTTAATTTTCATGCGAGAAAACAGCAGATTCAAGATTTAGAGTGGATTCAGTGCAGATTCAGAGAGTAGATTCCGAGTGATTTCGGAGTAACTTCGGAGTGGAATCAGAGAGAGATTCAGAGTGAATTCGGAGTAGATTCAGAAAGTAGATTCAGAGTGAATTCGGAGTAACTTGGGAGTGGATTCAAGAGAAGATTTAGAGAGGATTCAGGGTAGATTCTGAGAGTAGATTCAGAGTGAATTCGGAGTAACTTGGGAGTGGATTCAAGAGAAGATTAAGAGTGGATTCAGAGTGAATTCAGAGTGAATTCAGAGTGAATTCGGAGAGTAGGTTCAGAGTGATTTCAGTGTAGATTCAGATAGTAGATTCAGAGTGCACCAGCAGAACTTTTTTACAAAGGAAGATTTTTCTTAAAAAAAATTAAATTAAAATTATTATTTAAAATAAAATAATAACGATTTGTTTTCCTCTCCTCAACTTTTTCCAGGGACACATTATGTATAAATAATTTATGTTTGTAGGTAGATATTAAAAATTTTTACAAATTATTACAATATTTAGAAAGAATTTAGTGGAAATGTAACCCGTAATGTTTTCCTTATAGGCATATTATAATATATTTTTTAATTGGCATTTTGTAATAGGTATTTCAAATGACCAAAAACAGCACTGTAAAATAATGTAATAATAATGTGATTTTATCGTTGCAATATTTATTTTGTTAGATTTAGATTTATTGTACAATTGTATCTGTACATATGTAGGAATTTTCGTAATGTTCTTTATTCCTAATAATAAGTAGATGAGATATATTTACTTATTTATTGATCTGATTTATCTATAGACAAAATTACACTTATATAGATATTATTATATCTATATAAGCATATAAATAGAATTGTAGTTTGATGTATTATATACAAAAAAATGACTGTCAAATTTAATTTAAAACATAGATAGTAAAATGATTGCTTATTATATAAAAAAAATGCAATAAATTGTATTATATTTATTAGAAACACCATGTAGATAACAAAAAAATTGTATTTATATCTATTATTTTCCGAACTAAACTGTGTATAATAATAGAAAACAATTCGTCATATTATTTCATAATGAAATGTATTTATCATAAATAATAAAGTGATCATAGTTACCTATAGGTATAGCATATAAAATAAACTCTTCTAACTTTCATTCGTTCTTATTTAATCACCCTGTAAAAAAAAGTCTTATAGTCTTTCTAAAGTTAATTTGACATATTCATATTCGTATAATCATTTTAGCCGAGAACACTACCGAAATTAAATTTCTTTAAATTATCTTCAAATACAGAAGATTATATTGATTCTTATAACTCTAATATATAAGTTATTTATTGTAGTTACCAGGGAGAATAAGTGAATATTTTACCGTCGGATAGTAGAAATGCGGGAAATTAATAATGCAAGGAGAGTCCGAGAAAACAGCGAAAACTGCTATGCTATACATCCTATATATCCTGGCATATCCTGGAAACAATGGGAATATCTGGAATAGATATGGGGAATATAACACAATCGAGATATGTGAGACATGAACGTGTGAGAAATCTATATTATTAATAATGCCCGGTATACAGAGGAGAATTGAAAAGAGCAGATTCAGAGTATATATTCAGAGGGAATTTATAGCAGAATAAGAGTAGATTTAGTTTAATTTTACTGTAGATTCAAAGTATAAATTCAGAGAATCAATTGAGACTGTATTCAAAATAAATTCAGAGTATAGGTTGGGACTATATTCAGAATAGATTCAGAGTAGATTTGGAGTAAATTCAGTGTAGATTCAGAGTACCTACATTCAGATTGTAGATTGAGAGTATATTCAGAATAAGAGTAGATTTAGTGTAGATTCAAAGTATAAAATCAGAGAGTATAGATTGAGACTATATTCAAAATAGATTCAGAGTAGATTTAGAGTAGATTTGGAGTAAATTCAGTGTAGATTCAAAGTATAAATTCAGAGTATAGATTGGGACTATATTCAGAGTAGATTTGGAGTAAATTCAGTGTAGATTCAGAGTACCTACATTCAGATTGTAGATTGAGACTATATTCAAAATAGATTCAGAGTAGATTTAGAGTAGATTTGGAGTAAATTCAGTGTAGATTCAAAGTATAAATTCAAAGTATAGGTTGTGACTATATTCAGAATAGATTCAGAGTAGATTTGGAGTAAATTCAGTGCAGATTCAGAGTACCTACATTCAGATTATAGATTGAGAGTATATACAGAATAGATTTCGTATAGATTTCAAACTAGAATAGTTGATTCAGAGTAAATTGAGTGTAGACATCTTAATTAAATAACTGGATTTCTCGATAGCTATCCCATACCTATAATTACTCCACTAAATACAGAACTAATAACTCGCAACAAATAACAAATCAGACAAAACACAAAACAGTCAAACATATACTACTCAATTTAAATTCTACACAAGACCCTCAAAAACACTCCCCGGGGGGACACGCTACACGCTACACGCTACACGTTCCATAATGTACACAATATCATATCGACTCTCTTACTTATTTATATGTCCTCTAAACATCAAGAGATCTACGCCCGACAATAGAACAAAACGATATTACATGCCATGGTGACAAGTCCTCGCACGTGACCCAGGGCCCTTTTTTTTACCCTGCGAACTCTCCATACTCACTATATACAGGGTCTTTTGTTGGACACGTTAGAAACAACAAACGCATTAACGCGCCTGCCTGTTTGTTTTTTCGCCGGCTTCAACATCAGAGAAACGGGGATTTTACGTTTAATCGAATTTAATTTCCCAGTTGGCTGGTGTACACGATGGGGTCGTTTCGTAATTGTTTGATTTTTACGATCGAAACTATCATCAAGTCTTCATTAAATTCTTTATTAATATTTCGAGTATTACTTGGTGTTTTTTTTCTCAGTGTAAAGGGAAGTTTATTTCGTTCAATACTCTGTTGTAACTACTGTTGTTTTCTCGGTATATAGGGAACTTTTATTTCGTTCAATTTAACCAAAAAAAATTATCGGTAGATTTAACAGGTTCTTGTAGTATCTCACAAGCGCAATAAATAATCCTAAATAATAAAATGCGCAGTTTAATATAATAATTTACGACGAGTTCGAATAAATATATGCGTGCATATAGGAAAAGAAATGTTAATTTACAAGCGTTTCTTAAGAAACACAAACGCAAATAAACCCGTGCAATATATGTGGAGAAAAATTTATCAACTCCGATAAATATTTACCTACGAAAAGGCATCGGAGGCGCGATAATCTAGATACCCGCTCGACGATTTCCACTCGGACGGGAAACTGATCTAATTCATGCTTGTACCTGTCAAAGTTGTCAATTTTTTTTGTCATCCGACGGGAAACTGGTCTCTCCAATCTACCAACGCATCTTATTTACACCAAATTTTTTCCCTATCGAATCTACCACAGGAATTCTTTTCGGGGCAAACTCTCAACTCTACGAAAATTGTTTTAATCGTACGGTAAACTGATCTCTCAAAATAACCAATCCCGTTAATTTACTCCTGTCAAAGTTAACAGTTTTTTTTCAGTCGGACGGTAAACTGATCTCTCAATTCAACCAATACCATTACTGCACACCTGTTAAACTTGCAAAAATTTTTAATCGGACGGTAACCTGATCCCGATTTACTTAAAACAGCGTCAATTGTCATTAGCCACTTGTCGAAAAACCTATACATATACCGGTAATAAAACGTTTCGCCACCCTCCCTTATAATACATCGTTGGTCCGAAGAATTTCATTAATGCGCGCGGAACGATAAATAAAATACCTCCCCCGTCATCGTCGTCAAAAGAAATAAAAGGGAACAAATATTAAATTAGCGGCCGGGCGCGTTCCGTCCGGGAAGATATAATCTCGAATTAATGAATCGGGCGCGTTCGAAGAGGCTCCGCGGAAGTGTCGCAAATGAAATATTTTAGGGGTAGCTACCCCCCCATACGGTAGGCGACGCGATTTCGCGCCTCGTCCGGTCGAGTTTGTCGATTTATCACGGGACGATTTGGTTATTATTATTGTCTATATTGGAATTATTATTAGCGGGGGTGAGAGCGTTTAGAGCCGGGATATAAGGGTGGTAAATGAGGGGCTGGTGTTTATGAGGCGCGCGTATATAGGCTCTAATTATGCGTTGATGACGGGGTATTTTCGAAATATGTTTGATAAATTGTTAAATATTTTATGTATACTTGGCGCGTTTGGAAGACGGAGTAATAAAAATGTCAGGCGGTTCCAAAATATCCCTACCCCTGTACGGCAAAATCCTGTACAATGATCGATTCGATCGATAGAAATTTCGCACATCGCCTACAATTACTCAAAACCATTCACAGAGTATCAACTTTTAGGCAGGCCAATGGGGAGTGAGTGATATCGGCGACTCGTTTACACCCCGGGTGGACTTCGGCTGATTAATGTGTTTATTACTCCGTCTTCCAAACGCGTCAAGTATAGTTTATGGGTAAATTATTTTAATGTTTTATCAGGACTTATATCGATAAATAATTGGGGTGGAAATATTCTGATTTTGTAGAAAAAATGTTTCTCTGTCATTTTTGGGGAATGAGGAATTTTTGAAAGTCGCTTCGTTTTTGAGATATTTTGAGTTTTTTATGGATTGTTTCGAAATTGTAAATTCTATTACAATTCGGTGAAAAATCGCGATTATCTCAAAATGTAATTGGGGTGGAAATATCTTGTATGCTTTATTTTGAAGAAAATACTTCCCACTACAAATTGTGAGGAATCGAAATTTTTCGAAAACCCCTTAATTTTCCAGATATTTTTAATTTTTTGTGGGTATATCGAAATTACAAATTTTAGTATATTTCCTTGAAAAAATCTAATTATCTCGAAAAGTAAATGAACTAGAAACATCGTAATCATTTTGTTTAATAGAAAATACGTTCCACTACAATTTTTGAAGAGTCGAAATTTTTCGAAAATCGCTTAATTTTCGAGATATTTTGAGGTTTTTATCGCGATTGCATCAAATTTTAGTACATTTCCTTAAAAACATCCAATTAACTCGAGAAGCAAGTAAGCTAGAAACATCCCGAGCATTTTTTCGCTTAAAAAATACTTCCCACTACAAATTTCGAGTACTCAAAAATTTTTCGAAAAATCCCTTAACATTCGAAATACTCAAATCTTCGTTCACACAAACCTCCTTACTTTTCCCCATTTAAAACTACATAACCCCAAAAAAAAAACCTCCAATCACTCAATCAACCGGTTTGTTACCGAATAAAAAACACCCGTTCGCAGTGCGGGAGAGAATCGAAATGCACGGCCAACTAAAACCTCTCCCTTATAGAGCTCTCCCGTCGAACAGTCAAGGAGTTAATTTAGCGAAAAGGCGCGCATCAAAGGAATCCCTGAGCCGTAACGCGCCCGCTACGATGATGATGACGACGATGATGATCCTGATCCGATCTCAGCGGGCCGTGCACGTATATGGAATATATACAGGGTGGGCGTCTTTCCATACGAGCTCCATAGAAGAGACTAAAATAAGTCGATTCGATAAAAAGTGCAGTAAGTTGAATTTTTGAGGAGTTAAGATTAATTTTGAAAAAAAACTAACTTCTGAGTTAGTGACACCCTGTATAGTACAAGAGTTTATACGAGGGGCTAGCTTTGTGCCAATATACAGAGTGTTCAATAAGAACTGTGCGTATTTATAGAAGAGACTTGTATCAAAGAGAAGTTTATGTAAAAAAATGTTAATTTTATGTTAAAAAAAATTAACATCTGAGGGTTCTTATTGAGGACACCCTGTATATAGTGCATAAAAGTGTATATACGGAGGACAGTCTACAAACTAATATACAGGGTGTCTTCAATAAGAATCTGTAGGTACATATCTATGGAAGAGACTTTACCAAAGAGAAATTTGAAGATTTGAAAAAAATTAACATCTGAGGTTTCTTATTGAGGACACCTTGTATATAGTGCATAAAAGTGCATATACGGGGGACGGACAGTCTACAAGCCAATATACAGAGTGTCTTCAATAAGAACCTGCAGGTACATATGTGTGGAAGAGACTGTACCAAAAAAAAGTATGAAGATTTAAAAAAAATTAACATCTGAGGGTTCTTATGAACGACACCCTGTGTATAAGGCATAAGTGTATATACGAGGAGTCGGTTTTATGACATTTCACAAGCCAATATACAGGGTGTCTTCCATAAGAAACATTGAGAAAGAGAATAAGTTTGAAGATTTGGAAAAAATTAACATATGTATGGAAAAGACTGTACCAAAGAGAACTTTGAAGATTTGAAAAAAATTAACATCTGAGGGTTCTTATGAAAGACATCCTGTATATAGTGCATAAAAGTGTATATACGGGGGACAGTCTACAAGCCAATATACAGGGTGTCTTCCATAAGAAACAATGACGAAAAAAATGACAAAAAATGTCCATCTAAGGTTTCTTACAGAAGACATCCTGTATATAGGGTAAGTATGTTATACGAGGGGCCGGCTTTGTGTGCCGGTTTTACAAGCCAACCGGTCCATTCTTTTTATATACGTCGGACTCTTGTCCTCGCTCCCGGAGCGCTGGATTATTACAAGCTCGCGCATCCGGAATGATGTGATATAAACGGGAGTGTATACCTAAACGCCGTATATTCGTGATACGTGGGCATTGTTCCCCGTCGTGAAACGTCGATTTCGAGTATGTTGTGACACATATTGTGCGCATTGTTCGCGGTAAACGCTTCTTCGGTAGCACCGGATTAAAGCGAGGAAAAATATTTTTTTTCGATTCGGCGACCCACAATGTATATTATACACTCTGTATAGTGTTTGTACATGCGTATGAAATTTTTATTTGTAAACTAGCTGTTTGGGTTTGATGGTTTATTGCCCGTGAAAAAGGTATCGGTTTTAAAGAGGTACATTCGATTGTGGTTTGTTCGTTGAAAGAATAAAATAAAACCTTCGATGTTGCTAATAGAGTATACATACTCGAAAATGTTTTGCATATTATACAGTTGAAATGCCACTGCCTATTTAGTATTCAAAATGTCTTTTGATAAATTGTTTTTATTGTTAATTTTAAATGATTTTTATGCCTTTTGGAAACTAATTTTTATGAGTAATTTTACAAATAATTCGTTGTATTAAATGTTTATTCTTTTGGTCCAAAGTGAAGTGGAAGATTTTGGGCCTCAAAATATTCCAATCTGATCCAACTTGCTTGAGTAAAATATCGAAAATAAAAAAGATACAGAGCGTCAAAGTTGAAATAAAAAAAAATGATTTTTCGCAGCAATTTGATAGATTTTGGATGTGTACAGAAGTGAAAATTTAAACCCAGGTGTTTCAATGTTTTGATTATCAATCCAAAAAGAATCGATCATGAACCACTTTCATTCTTTTTAAATAACACAGTTTGTCTTACAATTCATCTTGCTTCAAACGAATTTCGAGGCATTTCTCCGGTAACATTCGATCCCGTTTTTTTTTTCATCCCCCATCCCCGATTTAACCCCGCAAATCCACCGCCGAGCGGGCGCAACATCTGCGAGACCCTTATCGCATCGAATATAATATATGTGTATATCTCTTACGATATATACCGAGTATTTTAATTTTCGACACTCGACGCGCTCTCTGCCATTCATGACCCCGTATAATAGAGAAGGATTCGAGTGGGGTATTATGGGGCTCTGTATGTTAGGCGCAAATTCGCCCGTCGTGTTTCGAATTAATGCGGCAACTGTTCGCGATATTTGGCGCCCGCTAAATTGATATACGTGGATAAATTGTCGCTCGAAATGAAATAGAAAAGGCTTCGGTTTGGAGTGGTTTGTTTCAGAAATGATTAGGGGCGCAAAAAAGGTGCTCGATGGGGATGGTAGAAAACGAAACAGGTGGTTAATTTGACGTAATTTTCGAGTATTCGTTTCGAGGATTGTTTGAAATAAAAGAGAAAACCCGGCTAATATGTTTCGAAGATATATCGGGTGTATTAGGAATGACTCTTTTGGATTGAAAATTGTTTTTTGTTTGTTGAAAAACAACTCTTTTGGATTGAAAATAGACTCGTGGGTTGAAAATGGACTCTTTTGGGTTGATAATCGACTCATTTGGATTGATAGTTCACTCTTTTGGTTTGTTAATTGAATCTCTTGGGCATCCGATTGACTCTTTTGTATAAATAATCTGTATTCTTGAGTAGCTAATCGATTATCTCGAGTGTACGATAGAAAATAGCGATTATCTCGAAAAATAATAAAGATAGGAATATTTTGATTTAGTAGTAAAAATGTTTCTCTGTGATTTTTGAAGAGTGGAAATTTTTCGAAAATCGCATGATTATCGAGATATTTCGATTGTTCTTATTGATTGTATCAAAATTACTTTGTTTAGTGCAATTCGATGAAAAATCGTAGTTAACTCGACAACTAATTAAGGTAGAGATAACGTGTTTATTTATTTTTGTAGAAAAAATATTTCCTTACAACTTTTGGAGAATCAAAAATTTATGAACTTTATCTATTTCGTATTATTATAGAGAAATTAGCCACTGCCGCTTTTTTGAAGCCCTGTAAAATTGACTATAGTCAAGCTAGAAACATGAAATTTTCAAAAAGTATAGCCTTATATCTTATTTTAGAGTCTACAAAGTAGCATTATTTATATTTAACTCCAAAGGGTGGAACTACCCCTTTGTATGAAACCTCGTTCATTGTTAGTTCAAATTAGAGTACTCCCTTTTTTGAAGTTTCTTATAATAGCCTAAAATAAAGCTAGTGACGGGAAATTTTCACCAGATATAGCTTTATATCTTTTCATAAAGTTTACCAAGTAACATCAACCCCGTACAATTTTAAAGCATTGAATCACCCCTTTGAATAAGACCGCGTAAAAAAAATCGAAATTTTTCGAAGAATATTTGAAACGTTTAAATATTGGTTTCCTAAAGAAATTTTTTCCCAATTTTTGGTACACACCAAGCCAATACATAAAACTACCCCTACTAAAAATTTCACTCATCTACCTCCAATACACCCAATTTTATAGACCTTCAAAATTCAAAAAAAAACTTATCACATTACTCGCTTTAAACCGCTACATTTCGAGTGCATTTTTTTTTTCGAAACCCCTCATCGATTTTTCCAAAACGCAATCCCGCCGTGAATCGAATAAACCCGTCCGCCCGATTGCACCCGCTCGGCTCGAGCAAATGCGCCCCGAAGGCGCAATTAAAGGGCATTAAACAGACACCTGACACCTCCGCCCTTATAAAACTGGCACACAAAACGTATAATATAATCGGCGATAAACGAACGTCCCCCGGGGCGCTTGTACACTGCAAATCTAGCGCATAAGTAAGTGCACCACCCTCTCTTTTATACGCCGTACAATCCGATTTTAATTTAATCGCGTACGAATCTAATAAAGTCTCGTTTAAAATCGAATATACCGAGTATCAAAAATTAGTCAGCTGCGAATTGGGCTGATTGAGTGACGGATACTTGGTAGACTCTAAGGTAAGATATAAGGCTATACTTTTTGAAAATTTCACGTTTCTAGCTTGACTATAATAGGCAATTGTAGAGGGCTTCCAAAGAAGAGTACTCTAATCTTGACAAACAGTGTAAAAGGGGTAGTTCCACCCTTTGGAGTTGAATATAAATAATGCTACTTTGTAGACTCTAAAATAAGATATAAGGCTATACTTTTTGAAATTTCACGTTTCTAGCTTGACTATAGCTATTTTTACAGGGCTTTAAAAAAGCGCCAGACACTACTTTCCCTAGATAACAAGTAATTATTTTTCATTACATTATCCGTATCTACCATTTTTATCTTTCAAAAATAACAAATGGCATATTTAAATGTTATTTATATAAAAATTTCTTTTTATTTGCCCAGTAAAACTTACATAATAAACTCTGTTATCTAAAGAGAAAAGTTTACACCCCTATTTATACATACAAACACGCATGAATGTAATAGAAATCAACGAATTTCTTTCTCTAAACAAATTATACAACTTTACTCGTATAATAAAAGAAATCCTTTATTAGATTAGAAATTAGAAAGGCACAAAAAAAACGGAGAAAAAAACAAACAGAAATATCTAAAAACGTACGTAATAAAACCTTTTTTTTTATACATTTTCATCTCCACAAACGCTCGTTCCCTCTTTTCCATTGTATAACATCACAATGTAATTTCGAACCGTAAAACAAACATTTGCACGTAATAAATAACAAATAACAAATACATTGTGTATAAAAACGCTTTATTTGCGCTAATATTGTAACGTAAAAGTTTAATAATAAAATAACATTTATTCACGAAATTCCAAAACGGGCCTGCTATCGCAATGTAAACGTCGAGCCTTCACTCGCTAAACAGAGCACGGGGATTTATTTATTGGGCCTTTTTGTACAAATAATAACGCAATTGTTATTCGTAATCGGCGGATTAACCTTATGTAAATTCACCGGTTAAATTTAACAACCGAAATTGTTATTGTTTAAGTAATCATCTTTTGAAAATAGTATAGATACAAAGGTATCTACAGTGCAATTGTAATAGCAAAAGACTCGATTGCGCGACCTTCAAACGTACTCATCTATTCCTACCCTTCTGTATCTAATCCAAAATACACTGTAATTGTAATTAAGTGGTTGCAATTTATAATACAAAGGAATTTAATTAGTTATCTACAGTACGATTGGAATAGCAAGAGACTTAACTTTCGCGACCTTCAAATCTATACTCAGCTATTTCTACCCTTCTGTATCTTTATTGCGGTGATTATAATCAACTGGTTACAATTTGTTTCTCTCTTGATGCGCTTATGTGACTTAGTAAAGTACATGTTTGTATAAAATAGATAAAACGATTGCGTCAAAACCAACAAATAATAATGATTTAATAACGCTTGGTAGGTTAGAGGTGTTTACAATGAAAATTACGAGAAGAATGGCTTCCCATTATTTGCTTGTTTGGTTAATTTAAGGCAATCGTGCATACTTATTGTTTTTGTTTAAAACATTGTTGTTTGAAGGAGGCGAAATGATGTAGAGTAGATTATAAATATAAATTATACATACCTACATTGATAATAAAACTATGTTGGTTGTGTAAAAATGTTAAAAATAGTTTATTTTTTTAATAATGGCGGGATTAGTTTCTTAGAAATACATCTCTGGATTGTGTGGGGTTTGTTCCGGATATTTCCAGTGTTTCCAGGACGTGTCTACATGGATTTAGAGCATGTAAATAGCATATTTCGTGAATTCTCCTTGCATTATTAATGCAAATCGAGCATATCAAGTGTAGAAGGTTATGCAATAGAATGTTTTTGTATCAACCAAATTCGAAAATTTGGAGATTTTTGGATCATTTTTACAACAGCTCAAATTTAAAGAGAGCAATTTTGGGTAGATAACAACTATTTTGGATAGATAGTTGACTCTTTTGTGTAGATAATTCTTTATTCTGTAGATAATCGACTTTTGTGGCTATACAGATAATCGGCTGTATTGGGTAGATAATCGGCTATTTTAGGTAAATAATTGACATATTCTGGGTGGAAAATCGACACTTTTGTCTAGGTAAATGACTTTTTCGGATTGCTATAATTGAATTGCTTGGGAATCCGATTGACTCTTTTGTATAAAATAATCGGCACTTTTTTGTATTTAATCGATTGTCTTAATTCTTGGGTACTTCGATGAATAATTCGCGGTTATCTCGAAAACTAATAAAGATAGAATGGCGTTGTTTATTTTAGTTAGTAGAAATAACGTTCCTCTGCATTTTTTCAAGAGTGAACATTTTTCGAAAATCGCTTGATTATCGAGGTATTTTGAGTTTTTTTGTGAATTGTATCCAAATTACTAATTTTAGTAGATTTTGATGAAAAATCGTAATTGTCTCGAAAACTAATAAATTAGGAACATCCTTTTTATCTTGTCTTATTGAAAAAACATTTCTCTACAATTTTGGAAGAACAAGGTATTTTCAAAAATCGCTTACTTTTCGCGATATTTAGAATTTTACAGGAAATGTATCTAAATTACAAATTTCACTACAACTCTTCAAAAAAATCTCAATTATCTCGCAAAATAATCGACATAAAACCATCCTTTTTATCTTGTCTTGTCGAAAAAACATTTCTCCACAATTTTCGAAGAACAAAAAATTTTCAAAAATCGCTTAGTTTTCGAGATATTTAGAATTTTGCAGGAAAGTTATCTAAATTACAAATATCACTACAACTCTACAAAAAATCTCAATTATCTCGCAACATAATCGACATTAAACCATCATTTTTATCTTGTCTCATTGAAAAAAAAACTTTTTTATACTTAGAGCACACACATTAACCTTCCTTCGCGCTCTCACAAACCATCCTATTTCGAATTAAATCAGACCCATTTAGTATACACATCCTAAGGCCTTGTATTTCCGGTTCCAGATTAGTCCTGCAACGGTCCTTCTTCCGTGCGAAAGTGCAAGTGCAGCCGAGCTCCATCCCCTTCATCGCTAATTCTACTCCACGTCGAGCGGGGATCTCTCTCGGCGTTTGTATCGCACGGAGAGAACTACAATGGCATAAGGAGAAAGGTAAATATTCGTCGCAATTACACGCTCATCGCCCCCGCGCGCCTCTTTTTTTTTCCTATTCCAAATCCGCAAACAAAATCTCTTCTGCTCCGGAGCCGTACGGCGTGTAAACACCTACTCGATAATGGACGATTCTTGTATATGTTTTGCTCTATTGTTGGAGATTTCGTGAGCGAACTGTACTTTTGTTTGATGGAGTGCTCGGTGTTTGAGATCGAGTTTTTTTTTTGTTTTGGGGGATGGATGGTTACTGGGTAAAAGGCCGAAATTTCGATGTGTAATAGATTATTTTTATCGGTACTTATTGCAATACGTTTTTGGATTAGTGTAGTTAATTTGGCAGTTTAATGCAGGCAGGACGAGATTTGGCAGTTTAATGTATCAACAAAATTAGAAAATTTGGAAATTTTTGAATTCTTGAACAGTTCAAATTTAAAGAGAGCAATTTTGGGTAGATAATCGACTATTTTCGGTACATAAACGACTATTTTGGATAGATAGTTGACTCTTTTAGGTAAATAATCGACCTATTCTGGGTGGAAAATCGACTCTTTTGTCTAGGTAAATGACTCTTTTGGATTGCTAATTGAATCGCTTGGGAATCCGATTGACTCTTTTGTATAAAATAATCGGTACTTTTTGGTATTTATAGCAGTGTAATTGAATATTTTTATCAATACTTACTGCAATTCCTTTTCCATATGGTAAATTAATGATATAAAGTAAATTCTGTATTTTAGAGAATTTTATGTTATTTGGCTGAAATGTCTGGGAATAAAAGGCCCAAATTTAGCTGTATAACAGAAACATTATTTTTATCAATACTCTCTGTAATACATTTATAGAAATAATATAAAATATATTTTGAAATTTTACGATTTATTTAGTACATTGTAAAATATTTGTAAATTCAAACAGAATAAATTGATAAATTTTATATTATAAAACAAATTCCCACATGACTCGCTTAAAATTTATAATTTTCACACGTTCCTAAATTACGTTATTGTTTTAAAAGAGATTTATTTATCTATTTGCATAGCCCATTTAGAATTTAAATAAAGTTTGTTAAATATAGAAAATAATACGAGTATAATGACGTTAGCAAAAGTCTTTTATATCCTTTTACATACATAATACTTAAAAGTATTTATCATACATTTTAAGAGTATTTATATCGATAATACTAACATATACAGGGTGAACTCTTTCATTTCCACCATGTTTTATTTTTAATGCTTCAAGAAATACAATATTTTTCTATATAATAATTAAGTATTTATCATATATTTTGAGAGTATTTACAATTATATCGGTAAATTTAATGCTCACCTAATAATTTGAATTTACCTACAGGGTGAGCAAATATTATTGTGCTTTATATTACGGGAAATGCGATATAAATTTGATTCATACTTCTTCATTTTATTAATATTTTTCCCTACAATACTTTATAAGTATTTATCATACATATCTTTAATACAGGGTGGGCAAAATATTATTGTGCATAATATTTTAAACAAAACGAGATGAAAATACCTTCATTTCCACCATTTTTTGTTTTCAACCCTACGAGAAATACAAAAATATGTTTTACATCACAACCGTTATAAATATTACCCTTTACACATCCAACAAACAACCCTTAAAAACCACCTATTGAATTAACCATTATCCAACAAATAAACTTTTATTTTACACACAACAACCGCCCCTTCGCGCCCCGCGCGCGCGAAATTCAATTTACGTTCATCCCTTATCCCGTTTCATTATATTATTTACAACCCCCTTCAGTGTTCGACAGGCTCCTCCTCTCCACCCTCCGTCGGCCATTGGAGTAACCCCGTTACCGCGGCAACCGCCTCCCCCCTCCCTAATTGGGCGCGCCTCCCCCCTCCGCCCTTCGCGTCGCGACGCGCCTACCCTTATATTAATCGCGCGGGGCCATGTAAATCCAATAACCCGGCGGGGTTTTAGGGCTGATTTACAGATAAATCGGGCTTGACTAATAACAATATTATGCGGAGAAGCGGCTGTATAGGTAGACATAGATAGATGGGGGTGAAAGCGGATCAATATGCACGGATGCTAAAATAGGGGGTGGAAAGGGGCGAAGGTAAATTTATGGTTTATTGGTGTTGTTTTTCCGTTTTTGGGATTGAAAAGTCGATTCGTTCGGTATAAGGTATTGGGTGGATTTGGGGGTGGTTTGGGGGGGTTGGAATTGTTGTTAAAATGGTTTATTATTAGAGGGGATTTGAGGGTGTTTGGTACGATTTAGAGCGAAATGAATGTAAATAGTTAAATAGTTACAATGTTGTCCAAATTTTGTGTCCAATAGAGTCGTTTGTGCATTTTATAGATATATAAAAAATATTAAGGGTTTAATTTATGCTAGGGCTCTAATTTAGGTACTCAAATGAGTCAAATTCATTCATTAATTTCAAATATTTATACGTGAGAGTCGTTTATAGAGTCGAGAGAGTCAGTTTGGAGCATAAAAAATCACATTTCGTCCCTAATAATTGAATTTTATGAACATTTAAATACATTTATTGAATTGTTTTATAATTTTGGATTATTTTTGGCAATCCACCCGTATAATATCAAACTGTTAAATACTATACACATGAAAATTTTACCTAATTCGGTCAAATATCACCTAAACAAAGCTATTTTGAATGAATATTTAACTGTAATTATTTGATTATTTTGGATATATTTTTGGTACCCCTCCTGTATATACAAAAACCGTTAATGATCGTACGCCTCGACGTTTAATTCGAATGAAACGATACTTAAACTCAAACCGAAAACTCCCGACGCTCCACAAAGGTGCAATTTTCCTCTTCGAAACGTCCATTGTCTCGGGGAAATCCCCCTTCTTTTTTCGAGAGGGATTTGTGCCCTGTGTTTTCGAGAGACTCGAATTTGCGCACAATAAATTTCGAAAATTATTTACGCCCCGGATTATTTACGTTATTAACATCGAGCCGCCAGTGCGGCGCCCTTTGGGGGGCTCATTTTACCCTGAAGATGGAGTTTTAGAAAATCGAAACGTCGATTAGTTTACTCTCCGCGTAAAAACCTGAAAATTTCGGCTGTAAAATACAACGAATCGTCGAGTCAAGCAACAATTGATGCAGCTTTATTCGTTTGGTATATAGCGATAATTTTCCGGGGTGTTTTCGCTCGAGATTTTCTCGCGCAAACTATACCGTTTTTCGTGCGGCTCGCGATGAATTCGAGTAGAACAAAAGCGGGGAAAATGAAGGAGAAAATGCCGGGAGAAAACTCCCTCGAGTTTATAAACTTCGGGCCTCCGAGTTATATACCTAATTCGGGAAAATATTTTGCGAGAAAGCTTTTCTTTTGTAGGGAAAATACCGGGCGATTATTAATTATTGTGATCGTAATTAATCTAATAAGAGTAAGCGTACTTGACTCATTGATTGGAGGTTTTTTTAGGGGTGTATTTGATGGGAGAAAAGTATTGTTAGTAAACGATTAATGTAGGTTTAAAAATCGACGTTTCGACTATCGGAAGATTCATCTTCAGTGATAAATTTGTGATTGTTTTTTTGGGAAAAATTGGCCAGTTAACACAACACGACTCCCAAAAATACCTTTATAACTAAGAGAAAAAAAAATGGGGAATTTTCTGAATTGTGTGCAGAATTCCATAGCAGGATTTGAGCAACCTGACCGGGGCGGCGGCGGTGAAAGGGAAATACAAATACGCAAATACAAATAGAAAATAGAGCTCCTATATTGAAGAAGCTCCGACACAAAGCGATGCTACGGGGGTTTTCGAATATTCCGAATCCGCCGCACAAAAGAGGCGCAAAGCTTGAATATTATTGTCACCGCGGGCTACGCTCTCTGCGACCTTATATGTACGTTAGAGCATCGAGGGATTTGGTATATTAAACGAGAAACGTATGACCTATCGCTCATCTCGGATCGTTGCTCCTTTTCTGCTCTACACCCCTCCGCTCGTGTAGATAGTAGAGTTGTGTTAATTTCAATACAGAGCATCTGGAAGTCGATTTTTACAAGCTTATCCTATCTATTTTATCGACTTCAACCGGGACAATCGAAAGGGAAATGAAACCGGGGCGGAGGGCGAGGTGTGCATGAGAATAAGGGCGAGTTTCATCTCCAAGGGCGCCCCGACGTCGTACATAAAACCCTGAAAGGGATGAAAAGAAACTATCCGTCTCGTTTCCGATGAATCTTTTATCGACATTCCGCGAATGTATTCACGGGAAAATTAGAAAATTTCCTTTGTTCGGCGGTGGCGTTTAAAAAGTCGAACCGATCGCGCCGTCTGTTAGTAGAAACTGCCATTGCAAATTGCAATGTTAAAGATTACTCTGTAAGGGATGGTGCGAAATAGATGGCGCTATAAACGTCGAAGTTATGGCGCCATTTATTATATTTTTGTCGAAATAACAATATGTTTATGGCTACTGATAGGTAGGATATGTTTCGATTATTAAAAACTAAAAAAAGAACGGGGATCCGTTGATAATTTGTATATTTCAAAAATATACAAAAATTTGTATATCTGTCCCCTCGAAGATAATACTCTTCTAAAGCATTTTTTTAAATTCCCTGCAGATATTAAACGAAAGAAAAAATGGTTTGATATTATAGGTTTGTCCCATTCATCCAAACATATGAGACTTTGTGAAGATCATTTTTCTGATACATCTTACTGTTTTTGTTATTTTCCTGAATTAATGCTGCTCATATTTTCTTTGTTTTAGTTAACACTACAAGAATTGAAAGCTGTAAGCCCTGCTGGGAGCTGAGGGATCTGACTCTTCGTACTTCGACTTCGAAGTAACAAGGTGGAATTTGTTTTGCGTTTTAATTTTACCCCATAATACTCTCTATTGTATGTATATTCTCTATTCTATATGTATTATACAGGGTGGTCAGTATGTAATGACCCAACATGAAGGGGAAGATTCACGGCCTCAAAATATTACGATCTAACCCAAGTTGTTTTAATAAAATATTAAAAACATAAAAGATACAGAGTGGTAAAGTTGAAATGGAAAAAATGATTTTTCGCAACAGTTTGAAAGGTTTTGGATGTAAGAACGTGAAAATTTGGAGGTAGGTGTTTTAAGATATAGGAAATCATATGATATCCGTTTTGAGATATTTTTTACAAAGCTAACATTCTTTTTATTGAAAAATACTAAAATAATATCATTTTTGTGAAAAAAAAGGTATACTTATCGTTAGTCTCTAAAGTTGCCAGTTTCCGCGATAATCGCGTTTTAAGAACCACACTACAGATTTTTCATTTCATTAAATTCCTTAAAAAAAGAAAAATCTTTTGTTCTTTTTTAATTTCTATCAAATTATCGAGTATCGAATTATTGAACCTATTGAACATTTATTAGGTATACTAAAATAATAATTTTGTTGTGTTATCAGTTTCTTAAGTCTCCTTGTTCTTTTTCTTGAATAAAAGTTAATAATTTCATAATATTTGCTTTAGTAATACGTCAAAATATTAACAATAATAAGTTAGGTATGGAGTTGGTTCTTAAAATGCGATTATCTCGAAAACTAGTGACTTTTGAGGCTAACAACAGATATACTTTTTTCACAAAAATGATACTGTTTCAATATTTTTCAATAAAAAAACGTTAGCTTAAGGGATAAAAAAGTTACACGTATATTTACATCAACAACAAAGCTCAAGGGGTGCCCTGTAGAAAATATCTCAAAACGAATATCATATTATGATTTCTCATGCATTAAAACACCTGCCTTTAAATTTTCACTTTCGTACGTCCAAAATCTTTCAAACAGTTACGAAAAAACATTTTTTTATTTTAACTTTTCCACTCTGTATCTTTTTTATTTTCAATATTAAATTTCAATATTTCAATACTAAAGGAAGTTGGCTCATAACGTAATATTTTGAGGTCGAGAATCTTCCATTTTAATTTGGGCCATTACTTACGCACCACCCTGTATACGTATTCCATTTATATTTTTCTTATTATTGTCAAATGTTTATAATTTTGTCAAATGATGTTCAAATGTTGTATTGTAATTCATTTATTTTGGTTATATGTATTGCATTCAATTTTATATATCTTTAAATAAATACATTTCTAATTAACAAAAGTTGTTCTTATTTTACAATTTGCAATATGCAATTAAATTATAAAAATAAATTTTGAATATACCACCAATTTTTAATTTTGACGTTGGACCGAATAGCCGCAGTTGCCGAGACCATAAATCGAAGAATACGAAATTGACAAGTAGTATATGTTAGTTCGATAAGCAATGTCATAGATGGCGCCATAACGTTTTGCAAACACATCGCGCACGATCACGTATGCTTAGGTTACTTAAGAAAGTATAGCAAAGGGGAGGTACCGGTGGGGGAGGACGGTGGTCCAACAAATTTTACCAACATTCATGATTTGTGACGATGAGTACTTTGAATCCTGCGCATTTTTTTTCTTAAAAAAGAGCAACATACCCCTAGCGTGGCAAAGGAGGTACTGAGCGCTCCGGTAGCCGACATTTGCATTTATAATATTGTCAAGTGGCGCCATCTGTATGCAAACTCGTGGCGCCATCTGTATGACATTCTTATTCTTCTCTTTTATATGGCCTCTTGCTATGAGACATACAGCCATGTTTTCCTGAATTATACATGATTTTAATTACTCATTATTTTAAATTGTAAAATTGAAAATAATAATTAAAAACACACATTTGACACTATAAACAAACAAAATGGCGAAAGCACGCAAACAGTTAAGTTCCTAAGTTAATAAATAAATAGTTTTGTAGTTAAAAAGACCAGCAATTTTTAATATTGTTTATTAAAAAAAAACCGTTAACATTTAAATCGAGACAATTTCTTCAACGCATCGTATCGCAACGATTCGAAGCGAAAAATAATCTCTCTAATCGAAAAGCTCAAATTTAATTAGTATATAAATTAGTAGTAATACACCATACGATTTTCGCTCTAATCGTACAATTCACCGCTATCCATAGCATCGTGGTAGCTCTTTCCGCCCTTCTGCTCCGCGTCCAATTTGATCATATCGTCGATTCTGAGTATAGTTATCGCCGCCTCCGTCGCGAATTTCAACGATTTCACCTTAGACATAGTCGGCTCCAGCACGCCCGCCTTCCTATTATCTCTCACAGTACCTTAAAATAATACGCCACTGTTAGAAAGAACGCAACGTTTCTCTACCTCTTCCAATATACCTTGCCAATTGCAAATCGTCTAAAGAACTATAGAGAAAGCATTGCCAAGCTACATTGATCATGTAAATCATGTAATACATGAAAATCCGCAAGTAATACGCGCAAAAACGAATTCGATTTACCTTCGAGCAGATCCAATCCGACGTACTTCAAATGCGCGTGATCCTTCTTGGTCTGGCTGGAATTCTGGTAAGCCCTCAGCTTCGCCACCAAATCGGTGGCGTCCTGGGCGGCGTTCACGGCCAACGTCTTCGGTATGACCAGCAGGCTGCGGGCGAATTCGGCGATGGCGAGTTGCTCGCGCGAGCTCAACGTCGTCGCGAAGTTCTCGAGGTAGATCGAGAGGGCGGCCTCGACGCTGCCGCCGCCCGCCACGACGCTCTTCGATTCGAGCACGCGCTTCACCACCGAGAGGGCGTCGTGGACGGAGCGCTCCATCTCGTCGCAGTAGAAATCGTTCGGGCCGCGCAGGATTATCGAGGCGGCCGTTCGGGCTTTCGGACTGTACCAAAAAAATAAAGAAAACATTTTTTTATAGTCAATTTATTGGAGAATTTATTTATTTGTTGGAGAGTTAAAGGGAGTCGAAGAGGCCTAGAGAGAGGTCTGCGAGGATTTAGCGAACTCGGAGCTAATTTGGCGAGACTTAGAGAGAGGTGTACGTTGATCTAGCGAAGGCTTATCGGATTAATAGAAACCTATTAGAAACCGCAAATTTGAAGAAATTTAGAAAGCTTCTATGTGAGTTTAAAGCAAATTTGAAGAGACCTAGAGAATTTTATGAAAACTTAGTGAAGGCTAAACAAATTTGAGATCTAGTTAATTTTATAGAAGCTCAGTGGAGTACTGAACAAATTTGATGAGATTTAGAAACCTCTAGTAAGGCTTGAGCAAATTCGAAGACACCTAGAGCATTTTATAGAAACTTAGTGTATACTGAGCAAATTTGAAGAAATTTAGAAAGCTCTAAATGAGACCAAAGCAAATTTAAAGAGATCTAATTAATTTTTTAGAAGCTCAGTGAAGTACTGAGCAAATTTGAAGAGATTTAGAAAGCTCCAAGTGAGTATAGAGCAAATTTGAAGAGACCTAGAGAATTCTATATAAACTTAGTGAAAACTAAGCAAATTTGAAGAGATTTAGAAAGCTCCAAGTGAGACCAGAGCAAATTTAAAGAGATCTAATTAATTTTTTAGAAGCTCAGTGAAGTACTGAGCAAATTTGAAGAGATTTAGAAAGCTCTAAGTGAGTCTAGAGCAAATTTGATGAGACCCTGAGAATTTTATAGAAACTTAGTGAAAACTAAGCAAATTTGAAGAAATTTAGAAAGCTCTAAGGCCCGGTTGCTCGTACGCGGATCAACTTTGACACACATTTGAAGAGACCTAGAGAATTTTATAGAAACTTAGTAAAGTACCGAGCAAATTTGATGAGATCTAGAAAGCTCTAGTGAAGTACTGAGCAAATTTGAATAGACCTAGAGAAGAGCAGCCTCCACCGTAGACCTACCACAGCAAATTCGAACGTTCCCTGGGGGGGGTGGGGGCAATCTACACATTACAAACTTACCCTTTGATAACGATCAACTCATCGTCGGATATCCTCTCCTGCACCACCTCCGCCGCCTCGCCCACCATATTGGCGTCGAACGTCTCGTCGCCCTCCATGTTGCTCAACGACGTCACGAACGACGCCCCCGTCGCCTTGGCGATGCGCTTCAGATCGGCCTTCTTGACGCGACGCACGGCCATGGCGCCGCGCTCGACGAAGTACTTCAGACAGACGTCGTCGATGCCGCCGGAGAGCAGCACCACGTTGACGCCGGTGGCGAGGATCTTCTGGATGCGCTCCTTGGTGATGTCGAGCTCGCGGGCGCGCACGCCCTCCAATTGACCAGGGTCGGTGATCAGCACCTGAATAGCGAGAGAGAGAGAGTGAGAGTGAGTGAGAGGATGGAGAGGATATCTCGCTCTATACAGGGTGTATTTTTTGTTGGGGGTCTACGTAGAGCTTTTGCTATAGTATCTCGACCACCTTGTATAAGGTTAAGGGGGTGAAAAGAGGCGATTTTCGCGATTTCTAGACGGTTCTAATTGATTCTGGGCGCGTTCTAAACAGTTCTAAATGGTTCTAAAAAATTCTAAATGACTCTGGAGCGTTTTAAATGGTCTTATGCAGTACTGGAGCGACCTAAATGGTTCTTGAGCGTTCTAAATGATTCTGGAAGACTCTACTCGAAATGGTTTTAAACCGTTCTGGAGCGATCTAAATGATTTTGGAACGTTCTAAATTGTTCTAAATGATTCTGGAACATTATAAACGGTTCTGGAGCGTTCAAAATAATTTTTAACAATTCTAAATGAATTTAGACAGTTCTAAATGGTTCAGGAGCGTTCTAAATAGTTCTGGAGCTTTCTAAATAGTTCTGGAGCTTTCTAAATAGTTCTAATTGATTCTGGGTCGTTCGAGACTAGATTGTTCTAGACAATTCTGGAGCGTTCTAGATAGTTCTAAATGATTCTGAAGCTTTCTAGATGGTTCTAGATTGTTCTAGACAGTTCAAATTGATTCTCAAGCGTTCCAGATTACTCTAGGTAATTCTAAATTATTCTGGAGTGTTCTAGATTGTTGTAAATGATTCTGGAGCGCTCTAGATGGTTCTAGATTGTTCTAGACAGTTCAAAATGATTCTGAAGCGTTCTAGATTGTTGTAAATGATTCTGGAGCGCTCTAGATGGTTCTAGATTGTTCTAAACAGTTCAAAATGATTCTGAAGCGTTCTAGATTGCTCTAGACAATTCTAAATGATTCTGGAGCGTTCTAGATGGTTCTAGATTGTTCTAAACAGTTCAAAATGATTCTGAAGCGTTCTAGATTGCTCTAGACAATTCTAAATGATTCTGGAGCGTTCTAGACAGTTCTAAATGATTCTAGAACGTTCTAGACAGTTCTAAATGATTCTGGAACGTTCTAGACAGTTCTAAATGATTCTGGAGCGTTCTAGACAGTACAAGATGATTCAGACCGAGAACTATTCACCCTACCCCCGTATATTGTACAATACTCACTTGCACGCCCATCTTCATTTTGGCCTTTTGCAGCGAGAAATCCAGACAGGCGATTTTGGCGTTGACGATCCTCTTGGGCATGGCCTGGCTGGCGACGGTGCAGTTCAAGGCGTATCCGGCCACCAGGAAGCTCTCGCGGGCGCTTTTGCCGTGCGCTTTTAACACGTTCACCGCCTTAATGGGGTACATCGAGTTGCCTTTGGCGTCCGTCACTTTGACGGCGGTCGCCGCGTCGACAACCATTTGCGAGAAGAAATCCGCGTCACTGAGTATAATTAAATTAAGGAAATTTATGTTTTACTATGTTAATCGGATCGTTAAATGTATTATGTAAAGGATACGCTCCTATGATTTTGGAGCTCATCGATGTCTTGGCGACGTTCACGATGGATTCCTTGCCCAATTCCTCCACGGGTATAGTCAAGTGGTCTTGTATGTATCGGCAAGCTTCCTTACAAGCCAACCTGTATCCGCTTATAATCGATGTAGGGTGGATTTTTTGTTTTACTAGTTCATCGGCGTTCTACAAAAACAAACGTATTTATCCCAACACACCCTGTATACGGGATATTTAGCGTTAGAATCGACATTTTAAATCGTTTGAAAGATTGACAGTTTGGATTGAATTTTTTTTCACTTGACAGATTTGACAGTTTTACATTGTTGTTATGGAGTAACTAAGGAAATTTTTTCACTTGACAGATTTACATTGTTGTTATGGAGTAACTAAGGTGGCATTGTTTAAGTTCAATACGAACGGTCTCCAACATGTCAATTCTACAGCGAAACGCCCCGTACATAGTACTTATTCGAACGTATATCGTACTTTGAGTAGTTCCGCGGCAATGATGACGACGGAGGTGGTGCCGTCGCCGACTTCCTCGTCCTGCAATTGGGCCAGTTCGACCAGCACCCTGGCGGCGGGATGTTCGACTTCGAGCAGCCGCAAAATGGTGGCGCCGTCGTTGGTCACCGTGACGTCGCCGATGTCGTCGACGAGCATCTTGTCGAGGCCGACGGGGCCCAGGGAGCTCTTCACTACGTTGGCTATGGTAGAGGCGGCCATCACTGTAAATTGGGAGCGGGTTAGAAGGCGTGCGCGGGGCACCCTCGTGAGCGAACTTTTTGAGGTTAGAATTTGGGGGTTTTTGAATGTGGTGGTTGTTTGTACGTACCGTTTTGAGTGCGAACTGAGGCGCCGGTGGTTCTGGAACCCGCTACGGATAGAGGACTTGCTAATATCGACATTTTTTATCGCATAAGTTTCTCAACCGCACCGCTAAGTTATTCAGAAATGCGTAGGAGAAATTGACATTGACTTGACACTCTTGACAGTTGTACAACATTGGCAACTGACAAGTACGTTAGTTTGTATGGTTTACTTCGATATACAATTATACTCTTTCTTTCTCTTACTTCTGTTTATTACGATAGTGTGCTCTTTCTTTAGTTTTATCACAAGTTTTTGAAAACATGACGTTTATAATTATGTTTATTGTTTATTTACATTCTATCTATAATTAATTACACATTATCTTTTTGTTTTCGTAAATAGTAATTGACCTTTCATACTCCGTACATATTTAAGATGTGCTTCGAATGCCATTAAAATTAGAATACAATAAAGCAGTAGAATTAAGGCAAAAACAAAAAAATGTTGAAAACGATTTTGCAAAATTTTCGTTCCAACGGGAAATGTTTGATGAAAATGTCCACTGTACCCGAAGCAACAGCAATTAAGGTATGTAAAATAATCGTTTGTTAAATTAAATTGTCACAGTGAAATAATCAATTTTTTTTTTGGAAATTCCCAATTCAATTTTCTACCTATGCACGATCTTGTACATTTCTGGTTCATATTGAGTTTCGTTATTTGCGTGTTAATCCTAATTATAATGATAAAAAACCGTTACTACATCAGGGATTGGAGAGGACTGGATTATTTATAAATCGAACTAATTATCCACAATAAAAATTAAATTCTATCCTATTTATAATGGTACATATTTTGATCGATTGATTATTTTTCAGTCGCATACGGCCAACATCAACGGTCAAATAATAAATTACATAAAAGTTGGCAACGGAAAACGAAGCGTGCTGTGCTTCCCGGGCGCGCTCGGCACCATTTGGAGCGACTTCAAGCCCCAAATCGAAGGCCTCAACCGAAGCGAATTCACCACAATCGTCTGGGATCCCCCGGGTTACGGCGACAGCAGACCGCCCAACAGGAATTTCACCGAAAATTTCTACGAAAACGACGCCGATACGGCCCAGCAATTCATGAAGGTAAGTACCCCAATTAGCGAGTACCTTAATTTAGTCTAAACGTCAGTTTTTAGACCCCTTCTGGAGCGTTCTAGATTGTTCTAAACGATTATAAACAGTTCTAAATGATTCTGGAGCGTTCTAGATTGTTCTAAACAGTTTAAAACGATTCTGAAGCGTTGTAGATTGTTCTAGACAGTTCTAAATGATTCTGGAGCGTTATAAATTGTTATAGACAGTTCTAAATGATTCTGAAGCGTTCCAGATGATTTTGGATTACCTTAATTTAATCTAAACACAAGTTTTTAGGCATTAGGAAATTCTCGCTGTTGGGCTGGAGCGACGGAGGCATCTCCGGTCTGATACTGGCGGCTAAATATCAAGAAAACGTGGAGAAATTGGTGGTGTGGGGCTCGAATTCCTACGTGATCGAAGAGGAATTGGAGGCGTACGAGAAACTGAGAGACACCGCGAAGTGGTCGGAGAAAATGAAGGGCCCTCTGGTGGCGATGTACACGGAAGAGGGGCTGCATAACATGTGGAACGATTGGTGCGATACGTTGGTGAAGATCTATTCGAAAGGCGGTGATATTTGCAAAGGAGTTTTGAAGGATATCAAATGTCCTACGATGATTTTGCACGGCGATAAAGATCCTCTGGTGGCCGACGAACATCCCGATTATCTATTGAAAAACATTAAACGATCAAAGTATGGATAAAATATTAAAATGCGTTTTTAATAAGTTAATTTATGATTGTTTTTTTAGGTTGCACAGGTATCCGGATGGAAAGCACAATATCCATTTAAAGTACGCCGATGATTTTAACAAACGCGTCACCGATTTCCTATTGCTATAACAAAAATATTTTATATTCTTAAACGATTTTATAAAGAAAAATTAAAAAAAACTAATTTGTTAATTAATTTATTTCTTTAAAACTTCTATAAACGTTTCTTTGGGTATCGAGACGTTAGCGACCATCCGCATCTTTTTCTTTCCCGCCGCTTGTTGGGCCAATAGTTTCATCCTTCTCGTAACGTCACCGCCATACTGAGAAATAATTTTTGTAGTCACTCTGTATATTAACGAGCCTTTTTTCCCCGAGAATAGTACGGGAAATTCGCTACGAGAGGCAGCACTCGCGGTATTAAATCTTCATTTATAAATGAATGTTTTACTAGACAATATAAAAAATCTATAAATAGGTCTAAATTGATTAAAAGTTTTAATGTGTGTAGGTAATCCTTATTTTTATGAAAGTTTATCCAATACAGGAAAAATAAACTATTATGATAAAAAAACCTAATCGTTAATCATAAACAATTTTAATTGCCATTAAAGATATCTTATTTCTCATTTTAAAATCAATTTAAACTGTTGATTACCGATACATCTGTCCCCAGAGTTCAAAAACGCCATTACTTTTTGACCTCTCAATCAAATCGGTTTTTTTTTTCAGAAATTTTGAGATTTCTACAAGCAAACCGCTATTCTAATGTCGCTACATTATCATTCTTCAATATATTCAATATTCCATATATAATATATCCTTTTATTGCCCTCATACTCTTGGATAATGTCTCATACTCATAGACAATGTTCTTCACCATTAGATAGTGTCTTATACTCTTGGACAATGTTCTCTAATCTTAAATGTAGCATACTCTTAGACAATATTTTTCATTCTTAGATAAGTAATGATAAAGACACATAGAATGTTTCCTACTCTCTACTTTTAGCAAATGTTTGTCCCCTACCGAACAACTAGCGCCTCTATTGGGAATTTTTTCGTACTTCCGGAAGCTACTATACTAACCAATTTCGCCGTGACGTCTTTCCTATAGGCTTTCAGATCCTCCCTAGCCATGACTTTACCATTAACCACGGCTTGTATGGCGATGTGAATCATCTGACGTGGAATCATCTCTTTCAATTTCAACACCATTTGTCTGCCGATGGTTCTCGCCTTCGTCACGTGCACGATATGGCTCAATTCGTCCACCAGAGTACCGTTTAGTAGAATCCCCAACTGAAATGAATCTCCGTTAAGCTGATAGCAATAGATACATTATCTGTACATTATCTAACCTTAACTAAATTGCTTTCGATGTAATCGTTGTTTTCGTAATCGAAGCTAGCGTAACCCGACGAAATGGTCTTCAAAGTATCGTGGAAATCCAACACGATTTCGCATAGAGGTAGATCGTATTGTAGAATCACTCGGCTATTATCTATGTTATTCGCCGTCCTTTGCACCCCTCTGCGCTCCATGCACAAAGACATAATGGGGCCCAGGTACTTATCCGGAGTCACGATCGTTCCTTAAAACGAGCGCAATTTCAGCTTATCGTACACTCGTTGAACGAAACTCACCGATCACCATGGGTTCGAAGGTTTGTTCGATTCGATTCTGTTCGGGAAAATGAGCCGGATTGTTCACGAACATCACCTCCGATTTGTCTTTCACATTCTGCTTGGTGGGTTTCAAACGGATTTTGTAAGTCACCGATGGGGCCGTTATGATGGGCTCGGCGCTGTACTCTTGCGTCAGTCTCTGCGTGAACACCTCCAAATGCAACAGGCCCAGGAACCCCAATCTCCAGCCCTGTCCCAACGCGGGGCTTGCGCAAAACAATCACATTATACTCTCTATTTAAAAACTACCAGGAGCATTTTGAGAAGCCCGACTTACACCCAAAAAAAGTTACTAGAAAATTTCTAAGGTTGCAAATGTAAATGCATATCTTTCATTTAAATTGAATGTAAACTCACAATAATTATATTAAAAGAAATTACCTAAATACGACATAATTACTTTACATTTATAAAACATAATCTCAAAAATGTGGTAAACAAGAATAATAAAGTTTAGCAGCGTGAACTTGACTCGTAATTAACCAATAAACATACGCGAGTGTTGCCAACTTAAATTCAAATCGGTCCTCCTAGTTTTTAAATAGAGTATAAAGGTACATTTACATTCAATTAGGCGCGTGCTTAAGTTTAAAATTTAATTACTCTTGTTTTAATTTTCAACAATTAATTTTGTTTTAGCGTAAGCTTAAAATTCCTAATAGACACATGACAATGTCATTTGTCAAACGGACCAAATTTTAAAAACTAAGCACACGCGTAATTGAATGTAAATGCACCTTTATACTTACAAAAATCAAGTAATTGATTAGTTAACTACCTGGTATCCAAATCTACAGTCACAGCGGAGTCGTTTAGAGTCAATTTCTCGATGGCGTTTCGAAGATTGATGTGCTGCGATTGATCGGTGGGATACACTCCAGCGAAGACCATAGGTCGCGAGGATTTGAATCCCTCCAAAGGCTCCACCGTGCAATCGGTGTGATGGATAGTATCGCCTACGTAGGCCTCTTTGGGGGACCTCATGTTGCAGCCTACGAGGCCAATCTGGCCGGCCACCCTTGAAGCGATTAATCGTTAGTATTTGGTGATCCAAATACAGTTTTCATACAGTTTTTTTACCGGGACTTCGTCGGGGCGAAGGACCGACAGCGATTTCACTTCGTATACTTTCTTATTGTGAAACGTAGCGATTGAATCTCCTAAAGAAACGCACCCGTCTTGGACGTATATTAGACTTAGAGCGCCTCGGTACTTGTCGTACATCGAGTCGAATAGTAGAGCTCTCAAATTCGCTGATCGATCGACTTTCGGACTCGGTAGTTTTGTTACTACGCTTTCTAGAACGCTCTCTACTCCTATTCCCAGCTTAGCAGAGATCTACAATGCATTCGCAGTAATATAAAGGTGTATAAAATGTATCGAAAGTACCTTTAGAACGTCCGCTGGGTTGATATCGAACAGAGATTTCAACTCGTTGGTGACCCTTTGAGGATCGGCGTTTTTTAAGTCTATTTTATTAAGCACCGGGATTATAACCAAATCGTTAACGAAGGCGAGATAAAAGTTTGCGACCGTTTGTGCTTGGACCCCATCGTTCGAATCGACCAGCAAAATAACGCCCTGGCATACTGATAACGATCGTTGCACCTGAAAATATATCTCTTGTAGCAATTGTAATACGAATGTTGGCTGTTTTACCTCGTTGGAGAAGTCTACGTGACCGGGAGTGTCTATTAGATTCAATAAATAGATTTCTCCGTTGTGTTTGTAGAGTAGCGAAGCCGATTGGGCTTTGACGGTTATGCCTCGTTCCCGTTCCACTTGCAGCTTGTCGAGAATTTGACTGGGGCCCCCTTTTATGGTTCCCGTAAGTTCCAGCAGTCTATCGGCCAATGTACTTTTACCGTGATCGACGTGAGCTATGATGCTGAAATTCCTTATTCTTTCTATGGGGATATCGGAGAAGTTTATGCTCGAATCCGCGTCTGCGTTTACGCAATAATGTCGTTTGAATGAGGCTGTGGACCTGCAACAACACTGACGAAAGTAATTTCGATTTTTGCGAAATGATTTTTGGTACTTACCATAGTGGGATGTCTTTTTTCAATGCCGCATACTTCACAGTATTTAGTATTGGTAATATGTTTTTATTAATTCGCATTTGGAATTACTAATTACCAATTTTAAAATCTTTGGTTATGGTATTGACAGTTGTGAATTAAGTAGCTGGATTCCTCATAAGCAAAAGTCAGTTGAACCTGAAGTTAGGTACGCTCACTACTATTAGTTATGCAACCTAAAATACATGTTAATTCGAAAAATAGGGATATCTATTTAAAATAGCTTATCAGTAATAAATATCAATTTAATTGATCTAATAAAATATATTGGTACAAAAGTAAACGATTTTCGAATTATCTTGGCGGATGAAAATTCTCATGTTTTTGTGTTTTTTTCGAAAATGTGGTAATAAAACGCAAAGAAAACATACAAATGAGCTTAACATGACGAATAAAATAATCTTAAAACGATATAAACATCACAAAATTCTCCGTCTTTTTAATATCCATTAAAAAAAATTAGCTTTCGGAACAACTCGAACGAATTTGTTTAAAATCGAAATCCCAAGAGATATCAGTCTTATTTACAAGTTAAATATGAAAATTTTTACAATAACAAATTGGCAATTTTGCGTCGAACATCAGCCACATCAAGCGAAGTTTAATGTGCTAAAAATTTTTTAATGAATATTCGTAAAGTATTACGCAACTATTAAAAAAAATTGTACAAGAAGTACCATAATTCGCACACGACGGGTAAAATAGAGAGTGGCACAAATAAATTACTAAAACACAGCAAATAAAATGAACATAAAGCATAAAACAATACAATTCCTAATCAGAAACCATTACGGCACTTCCTCTATTGCATAATAAGTAAATTTCCTACTACACGTTATAACAATTCTTCTAAAAAAAAAAAAAAACCCGACCCCTTAATCGTTAAACCCACAGCAAATTCAACGTTACCTTTTGCGTATAAACATTCACTAAATATTCGAAACCCTACCAAAAACAATCTTCACTTTTTATCCAAAACCGTACACCATTCGAGACACACTGAAAGAAAAAAACTAAATCCAGCGCGCCCTGGAAACCTACGGTGCCGGATCCAGCATGTCTTTGAGCCTGCGCATCACAGTCGAACCTATATCGCTCACTTCCGGCCACTGACGCAGCACGAAAGCCACACCTACAGCTATCACAACCGTCGAAAGGATCCTTAATCTACAACAAAACCAAAAAACCACTCGGTATTAAACGAAGAAGAGCTCTATATACCTCAATCGAAGTAGCCTGTCAGTCGAAAGAGCGAGTCAACGCAATGAGATATGAGAGCAATAAGATTCGTACGGAGGAGAGTTTTTTTTTCGACTGGCGAGCTACATTGGACGAGGACTATAAGAGTGTATAGATTTACCTCGTACGAAGGAAGGGCATGATGATACCGGCGCCGGTGGCAACCAGCAGGAGTACCACCTGCAGTACGGTGAGCAGCACGTTGATGAGTTTCACCACCAGGGCTCTCGCGTTCGAATTGTCGAGGCCCTCTAACGTGACGTATTGCTGTTGCTGGAGAGCTTGGTGTTCCATTTTTTGAATCTACAATGCATAATGAACATTAAGATAACATCAAATTACCATCCTTTGAAGAGAGTATCCCTTTAGAGGAGCTACCGTTGTATTGTATATAAAATTAAGACGTACTTTAGTTTGACAATGTTCGAGCATCTCGTGTATATCTCTCAGGCGCTCTTCGCTTTGGTATTGGACTTTCTCTTCCATGTCGGCCATGGCCTGCTTCAGATTTTCCACTTCGTTTTGATGGAGCTCCGTCAAATCGTTGATTTGCTCTTCCAGTCTTTCGCTGCGAAATCTCTCCTCCTATCGACGGAAATTCAACCGTTTACAAATCGATATTAAACGCCATACAAATATTGTTGTTCGTGAAATATACAGCAAGTATTATTAACGTTACCTGTAAGGAGGAGCTGAGGTCGTGCATCTCCTGTTGCATGGACTTAATAATGTCGAAGTTCACCCTAAAATTGTCTAATTGATCCTGAACTAACCTAATTTTCTTATTTACATCGTACTTGTCATGTCCGTATCTACAAAAAAAAACCACGATAATACAGAGTCTTCAGAAATGATCATAGACCTATTAAGGGACATAGGTCTATGGAAATGATTGATTCCCACGTGACCAAATAACTGTCATTAATGTCAACGTCAACTTGATCATTAGCGGCACAAACGCGTAATCTTTGTTATACAGATAAACTCATAAAACACCGCAACGTAGGCAATGGGTGCAACAAAGACAACGTCAATTAGACACTTATAAAAGAAAAAGTCAGATTGATATTGTGGAATATTAACCTTTCACTCCAACCTATGTAATTTATCAATCTTTCTTTGTTCAACTCATTGAATTGACCATGTTGCGGTCCGAATTGCGCTACAGTGTATAGTTTATTATATTCACGTTGAAAATAAAAAGAAAATATATAAAATATCCCCAAAAACAAACTCCAAATACCGATTTACACACACTTTACCTTAATCACCACCTTAATAAACAAACGAACAAAGATTACGCGTTTCGTTTAGTTCAAATTAACGCCGCTAGTGCAGCATAAATAGGCGTTTTGTTCAATTTTTTTTGTAATATCTCTCGATAAATTTACCTTCCTATGCTATCGCTGGTGGCGCTGCTGCACTCGCTGCCCTCGTCGCAGGCGAACTTCCCCCCGGGGGCGGCGTGTTGCTGTTGATGGTGGCCGGCGCTCGCCCCCTTGGCGATCGAACCCTGCGACACGGTGGCGTGCAAAGTGGCCGGCAACGTGGCCGATCCCCGGTGATGGTGCTGCTGCTGCTGCTGCTGCTGGTGATGTTGGTGGTGGTGGTGATGGTGCGCCTTGTCGCCGTGATCGCTGCCGCCGTTGGTGGGGGCGGCGCTGCCCTCGCTGCCCGTCGGGGCGCGCGTCGTGCTCGCGTCGCCCGTTTTGGAGGACGTCGAGACGCCGCCGCCGCCGCCGCCGCCGCCTCCTTGGTCCTGGCCCGGCCCTACGTACCACGCTACGAATTAAAGAGGAGGGCGATGCGGTTAGGGCGGCGTGTGCGAGTGTGTAAGTGCGAATTTTTGGGGGTGGGTGGGGGGGGGGGCGGTAAGGGCGGCATGCGATATAATCGGGCGGCGGTAAATCGGGCGCGTTTCGAGTGGCGTATGAGAGATTCTACGTTTCGGTAAATTCGAAAAATAACGGTTATTTTGTCACTGTAGTTACGGCACCTCTATACCGAAAAACCGATTCCCAACTCTATTAAACTTCTCTCGTACAAAATGTCATTAATGTCAATTTTGGCAGTTTTCGTTTATTCGCGTACAATGCGAAAAAAAGAAATAGAGTAGAGTGAATTCATACGATATTTAGTGTAAATTCGGTGTAGATTCTGAATACAGTAGGTAATCAGGAATACAATACGAGAAAAAATAACGGTTACTTCTATTAAATTTCTGTCACACGAAATGTCAAGTCCTACTAATGAGAAAAATTTATAGTTTATCGCAGAGAAGGGTGTTCTGATGCGCCCAATTTACCGGTAAGATTAAAATCTCCAATACATTTGGAGACCAATTTACATTCCTTCGATAAATTTATCTCCTAAATTGCAAATAAAGTGAGAACAAAAAAATACTAATAGTAATTACATACTATACAAACTACCGTCCAATTTAAAGTAACGATAAAATAAATAACGATCCTTAAACGTTATAGATTTTTATCGAACTTTATAAATAATCGTTTACGTATCGTTTAATAATAAAGCGTGATTGCGATATACATAGCTAAATGATTATTTTCGAAAAAACAGAATTCGAACGATTTATATCCTATTATGTGCAATAGTTTCGAATATAAAATTACACGAAAAAATAGCACCAATAACGTTTCGATTTCGATAACGATAACGATTATTTTATAGAATCGTCGGGATTATTAGGAAGCGAAAATGGTGATTATAGAATGCGAAAAATGATTGAATAACGAACTAAATATTTACACGATACTTACTCGACAATTGGCTAATATTATCGGCACTACCGAATTTGTTCTTGATCAAATGGGCGAATTCCCGCGGCTTCGACATCACAGAACCCCCAACGTAACTGATACCATCCCTTATATTTCCACCGACGTTCCTTTATAAACAAAACAATCGATTAATTCACTCTATTAATCGTTTAAAACTAGAATTGGGCACTCTTCTAATGCTCTAGCAATCGATAACTTTGCACTATTAATGCTCTAAAAAATAGAATTAATTCACTCTAGTAATCAACAATCAGTTGTTTTACTAATAGTCTAACAATTGATTAAATTACTCTATTAATCGTTTAAAACTAGAATTGAACACTCTTCTAATGATCTAGCAATCGATAACTTTGCACTATTAATGGTCTAAAAAAATAGAATAATGATTTGACTCTACTAATAGTCTAACAACCGTTTAATTCACTCCACTAATCCTCTACCAAGTCCTCTACTCATTACTTTACTCTACCAATCCTCTAACTAACAATCAATCGAACACAAATCAATCAAATCGTCAAACACAAAATGGGATGAATTCGACTCACTTCAGACCCTGTCCCATGTCTCTGAGCACCTCCCTGGGCGGCCTGTGACCTTGGGCGGCGCCGTGCGTGCCCAATTCGTGCACGCGCTTCTGGTAGACGTCCAATTTCTTCTGCAACTGCGATATGATCTGGGCGCTCTTCTGGTTCTTCTTCTCGAACACCGCCTTGATCCTTTGCAATTGCTGCTTGTCGGCGCTCGCCGCCAACTTTAGGTACTCGTTCACGTTATCTACACAAATCATCATTCATCATTTATCACAATCATCGGACTCGGAACTCACCGTCTCGCATCTTCTGTTCGGTCTTGATGAGATCCTTGACGCGATCGATCTTGCCACCGAGATGCTCCAAAATGGCGTTCGTCTTCGGATCCAGGCAATCGGCGTCGTCGTCCTGCTTCGATTCGTGGCTGCCGTTCGACATGTACGAGGCCGGATAGTCGACGGGGTCGTAGTCCTGCAGGAAGGCGGCCGCCGCGCCGCCGCTGTCGTCCAGCAAATAGATCTTTTGGAACGAGAAGAAAATTTTTAATTATACCGCAACGACATCGGGCGGTGTGCAGGAACGTTAAGAATTGTGCAGTAACATTGGGCAATGTGCAGGAGCATTGGGAATTGTGTGGGGTCATTGGGAATTGTGCAGGAACATTGGGAATTGTGTAGGAACACTTTAAATTGCGCAGCAACATTGGGAATTGTGCAAGAGCATTGGGAATTGTGTGGGGTCATTAGAAATTATGCAGAAACATTTTGAACTGTACAGGAACATTGAGCAGTGTGCAGGAACATTGAGAATTGTGTGGGGTCATTGGGAATTGTGCAGGAACTTTGGGAATTGTGTAGGAACACTTTGAATTGCACAGGAACATTGGGATTGTGCAAGAGTATTGGGAATTGTGTGGGGTCATTGGGAATTATGCAGGAATATTAAGAATTGTGCAGGAACATTGGGCAGTGTGCAGGAACATTGGGAATTGTGTGTGGTCATTGGGAATTGTGCAGGAACATTGGGAATTGTATAGAAACACTTTGAATTGCGCAGGAACATTGGGAATTGTATAGAAACACTTTGAATTGCGCAGGAACATTGGGAATTGTGTGGGGTCATTGGGAGTTATGCAGGAACATTGTGAATTGTACAGGAACATTGGGCATTGTGTAGAAACATTGGGCTTTGTAGAGGAACGTTGGGTGTTATGAAACATTGGGCGTTTTGCAGGGACGTCGGGCTAAAAACTTACTTGATTTAGAGAGTCGTCGGGTTCGTTTGGGGGCAAAGAGGCGGCCGGGGCGGTCCTGTTGGAGCTGGTGGTGGGCGAGCGGTGTTGACGAGAGGGTCTTTGGGGCGGCGCGCCGCCCCCACCGCCACCATCTTGGCTCTGCGAAGGAAACAACATCGAATTAAATGTTTATTTTGTAGTATTTTTTTTAACGAATATATCAATTCGTTTATTCGACTACTTTTTTCTTTCTTTTAAAGGACGAAGCGAACTTGCGACGAGTTCCACATGCAATAAACTACCTAAAAATAAGTTTTTAATGCACGCCCTTGATATCTATGCTGCTCTATCGATGTTACAATACGTATTTAGTTGGCTACATCGTCTTATTAGTATTGTTGTATTATTCAAAATGCGGTGAATTATTTATTTATACCTCGGGCGATCCGTGGGAAAAACGTATACACGTACCTATCTGGGGGAAATTCACCTCAATTACTTCAAAAAAAAAAAAATAAAAAAAATGCTATATATGTTGAAGTATTCACCTTCTCTCTGTTCATAATGATCTCAATGCACGTGCAAAAATGCACTCTTGCACACGACACACTTTTCAACACTATACATAAAATTCAATTCGAAATAAAAAAGAATCCAACAACAAAAAATACCCAAAATACTCACGTAATTCGAATATATCACAAGTATTTCATCCGTAGACATTGTGTATACACGTGCGAGTATGTAACTAATAAAAAAACCGTTAATATTCCGTTTTCGAGCGTTAAAAATGTAAATTAGATAAACAAATAGACAGCGATTTTTCCCGATTTTCCCGAGCGCTTTTCCGCTTCGAGCGCGTCGCCCGATCGCGAGGCAACTGCGCGTTACAAAAAAAAAAGGAAAGAAAACGCGGTTTGAAAACGATTAAAAAACAAAATCGGATTCCGCTCGGAAATAATCAAATAGGCCGGGGCGCCATCGGGATCGTTTTAAAATTAATATTTTTTTTTTCAATTAACGCATAGAGATTTGTACACGTATACAAGGCGTTACTCGCAACTAATCATTATAATGTGAGTAATTTATAATATATGGTTACCCCTTAAAAGTGTAATATTTTCACAAAATTGGGACAAGCTGTATATGAGTAATAATTTCCACCATACGTATATCTAGATATGTGTTTTGAAAATCTCGTACCATTAACCTATTGAGCGTGACTCACCCTGTATAGCACAATTTCACCTCTATCGTTAATTTAGGGAAGTTTTTTTGTTTCAAATTCGATTTTTTTCCATTTAAAACCGTGCTAAAAATTTCACAGGAAGGAAAAAACACGTACTTATCTCGGGTTAGCTTTATCGCGGATTAATTTTATAAAACAAAACAAATTTCGACACTCGCATACTTCTGGGATATTATTCAAAAACCTCTTTTAAAAGGATTTATTACGTGATGTTTTTTTTTGCACAATAAAAATAAAACCAAATACCTACGATATTACTTTAATTGCTTTAATTACGATTAAAATAATAGCAATTATATGTACGAGCAAGCTCCGATTATACAGGGTGATTTCACGCTTTTAAGATGCGTTCGATGGTACATAAACGAAAACTTCCAAAATTGACATTAATGACATTTCGTATGACACAAGTTTAATAGAGGTGAGAATCGATTTTTTTCGGTATAGAGCTGCAGTAACGACTGTTACAAAATAACAGTTATTTTCTCACATATACTTTTTCTGATTACTCTATTCTGTTCCTACATTAGTCCAATTAAATTATTAACTCACCCTCGTACTGTCGACCGATCCGTGACTGAGAGTCTTTGTATGATGTGGATGATAGCCTTGATGTTGTTGCTGCTGCTGTTGTTGTTGTTGTTGTTGTTGATGTTGTTGCGAAAATTCTTTAGGTCTACAGGGTGATGCGCTCCTGCTGGACGTTTTGCTGCCTGTTTGTTGGGCGCTCACATGCAAACTATCCATAGCAGCTAATCTATTAAAAAACAATTCGTTAGTATATTATCCGTTTGATGTGAGATTGTTGTACCTCCATAAATTCCATAATGTTAATTGCACCATTTCGTATACAAAAAAATAGAATAAAAATTTAATTAAACGCTAGCGAAATGCGATCATCAATGAATCATAACACGAAATAGGAACTGCTTCGAGCCGTTTCGTGAGCAATTGCGATAAGTTTGTTGTTAATTGTTGATAACCTTTATTCGAGTCGAATTTTATTAAAGCATTTAAATCAATCGGCACGAGAAGGAAGAAGAATGATGCGAGCAAATCGCAAAACATAAACAATTCCAGTCGTTCGTTATTAGGATTAAATATCAATTCTTATCCTCTTGGAGCGTTCGAGTATCTCTAGAAACATTACACTATCTTATTGACTCATTAATCAATCAATTTCAATTGATATACAAGGAGATAGTATTCGAATTCGAGAATATTATGTACAACATACAGCCTTTAATAACAGTTAAACTTACCTAAAATACCTGAATAATAGTATAAATTATACAAAAACTGAATCACAACTAGTAATATCAATATCGTGCAAAGAGTACATTTGATAGGCGGGTTCAAGGTATAAACTCTATAAAATTATAATTACCCGTTTTTTATATAACCTCCATTAATTTACAATCAAACGAGAACGCTCTTACCTAATTACATCTATCGGTGTTCATTTTCATCGTTAATAGGACAATGGGAATTCTCATCGTAACTTTTTCCCGGATATAATCGGGAACAGTCGATTGTTATTCGAATAACTCTAAAGTTTGAAGTAATCGCTCGCTTTGCGGATAATTGATTCACGAGACTTCGCCTGACTCACTCTATTTACTTTTTAAAATGTATCGGAATAAAAAATAATTTGATTCAATGCACTGGATTAATTGTAGAAACGTCAGGGAGACTGTCAACCAATTGTCAATGTCATCTGTCAAAATTTTGATTTATTATGCAACGAAGTTAGCCACTTATTTTTTTATAGGTACCTGTAGTTATGCAACCAGTTAAACGCAACAAGATCAATTGAGTTTATTATTATTATTTACGGAGTAAGGAATTATTAATTCTATTTCGCAGAAGTATCTTTGCACAATTGTTCATTCAAATCATTCGATAATAAGACTAATTGTAGACGAATCTACTTACAAATTTTATGAAATAACGCAATTCTCACCCAACAGATGGCGCTGTAAAATTCTCAAAAAGTTGTTTTCGAAAGAATTGATAAAGCCCACTGCACTAATTATATACGAGGATTAGTATGCTTGAGAGTTAGGAATTCCAAATGGGAGATAACAGTATTTAGGCGGTTTTCGGAGAGAGAGGAATCGATTTGTGCAGTGCAAACAAAAATGGCTTCTATCAGTGAACAGGTTCCGATTGTAGCCCTGCCGAAGGACGATCGCGCGGAAGCCACCGCTCGGGAATTCCTGGACGCGTTCCAGAAAAAACCGGATTTTTTCGTCAGAGTACCCGGAAGGTAAAACCTCGCTGGTTTTAAGCGAAAATAATAAAATAAATCGATTCGTGACAGAAGCATAAAAGATACGTGGCATTTATAAATCATTATATTATTGTTCGAAATATATTTAGAGTGTTTTAATTGGTGTAAGAGAGGTGTTTATTTTAATAAAAACTAGAATACATTTTGATTTTGTGGCAATTAATAAAAATACATTTATATAGGTGTCTGTAAAATGTGTTTAATAATTTAGACGATAGGTGGCGCTAGTAGTTCAAATTTGTTGTGCGCGCGATTTAGGCAACACTTTATACACTGTATCGTCTGCAAATTTTTTGCAGGGTAAACTTGATAGGAGAACACATCGATTATTGCGGATACTCCGTTTGTCCCATGGCCCTCAAGCAAGACGTCCTTCTGGCGGTCTCCGTGGAAAACGATAAGAAGCTACAACTGCGCAATTTCGATAAGAAATTCAGCGATTTTCAATGCGACCTGCCGAATTTCGAGTACGTGTTTTCCAATAATAATAATATCTGTTAATCCCCGAACATCGAACGGTACTAACTCGATTTGTCGTGGCGATAATGCAGGGTCCGTTCGGGTGAGGGCGCCCCGCAATGGTACCAGTACTTCCTGTGCGGCGTGAAGGGCATCCTGGACGTTCTACCGGTCGACAGGACCGCGAAAGGGATGAAAATCTTGGTGAACGGGAACGTCCCCCAAAGCGCCGGCCTCTCCAGCAGCAGCGCTTTGGTCAGCGCCGCCGCCTTGGCTTCGGCCTACGCCCACGGGGTAAGCCTTTTCACCCCTTATTTAACATTATTTAGTCCTACAGGGTGATACAAGTACCTTACCTATTTGTTTGTTATAAGGTGGAAATTGAATAGGTAATATGAATATGTTCATAAAGGGGGTGGTACGCAAAAATTACCCCTCCCTACTCTACCCTGCTCCCTACTCTGCTCCCTACTTTACTCTGTTTCCTTACTCTTTTCTGTTCCCTACTCTATTCTGCTCCCTACTCTATTCTCCTCTCTACTCTGCTCCCTACTCTGCTCGACTCTACTCTACTCTACTCCCTACTCTACTCTGTTTCCTTACTCTATTCTGTTCCCTACTCTATTCTGCTCCCTACTCTATTCTCCTCTCTACTCTGCTCCCTACTCTGCTCGACTCTACTCCAGTCTGCTCATCCCTACTATACTCTGTTTCCTTACTCTATTCTGTTTCCTTACTCTATTCTGTTCCTTACTTTATTCTGCTCCCTACTCTATTCTCCTCTTTACTCTACTCCCTGCTCTGCTCTGCTCTTTACTCTACTCTACTCTACTCTATTATTTATTTTCTTATTACACAAATAGAATACAACGTCAGTCACATTCTACTCTCTTTTACATTCTTCTACTCTCTTTTACACTCTTCTACCCACTTTTACATTTTTCTACTCTCTTTCTTCTGCTGTCTTTTACTCTCTTGTACTCTCGTCTACTGCTCTCTGTATAATGATTCGCTGTTAAAGAGTTATTTATATACAAGGTGATACGCTATAGGATATAAATTTAATGCTCGTGAGCCATCCTGTATATGTACCAGGTATTTACCTTTACCTAAAAGCAACTTCGGGGGTATGTAGAAGGAATTTGCGATGTGAAGTTGATAAAATTCCGCGGCGACATTTCTCGTTCGAGAGCTCGTTTCTCTCGACCGGAGATAATTACAATTAAGCCCAATTAGAGAGTAAAATCCATTAACACAGCGTCCATTTGACCTTATGTATTCCGATGGTGGGAAACTTAAGTTTACTAATTGCATCGTTGATTTTCATATTTTCCCGACTATATCGGACGCGCGTTCGGGTCGGTTCGCATTTGGCGAATGCGGTACAGTTAGTTTATATGCTAATTACATTATAGAGCGACTATTTTGCATCTCTAAAACGGCCCGAGGAAACTTCCTCTCGTGTATATATACGGGAAACGTTCGCTCGAATAACCGCGCATTTCGGATCGTATACAAACCTAAAAACGGATATAATCATTGAGTCAGGGACGCGCCAGAAGTTATATAAATCGATATTTGATTAGTTGTTTCGTGTATAGGGTGGTCTAACAGGGCTTTTTGCAATTTTGATTTAATTCGAATCATCTACTCTGAATCTCTTTTTAGGAATGATTGTTTAAAAGTAGGGAGAAAACATACGATTTTTCTAGGAATAAGTGTTTAAAAGTAGATAGAGTATACTTTATTTTTTTTAGATAATTGTGTAAAAGTAGAGAGAAAACCCTTTATTTTTTTTAAATAATTGTTTAAAAGTAGAGGGAACACTTTATTTTTATGAGATAATTGTTTTTTTTTTTTTTTTTTTTATGCACACGACTCGGGAAAAGACGAAGCTTATAACGCCTGTTCAGGCGCCCCGAGGCGTTTTTAGTAGGTAATTGTTGATGTTGGTCTTAAACCTCTGAAGGTCGTAACCAAATGAGATAATTGTTTAAAAGTAGAGAGAAAACACTTTTTTTTAGAAATAATTGTTTAAAAGTAGTAAGAAAACACTTTATTTTTTTAGGAATAATTATTTAAAATGTATAGAGGAAACACTTAATTTTTTTGAGATAATTGTATAAAAGTAGAGAGAAAACCCTTTATTTTTTTTGAGATAGTTGTTTAAAAGTAGAGAGAAAAAAAAAACACTTTATTTTTCTAGGAAAGATTGATTAAAAGTAGAGAGAAAAGCACTTTAATAAATGCTAAATTATACAAATTGACTAACTAAATAACTCATTAATTTATAGATTGAAGGACTTACTGACTAAAATGTACTACTTCCCATCTCTATAGTGATTTTATAACGATGACACGTTCCTTGGGTTTTCGGTAAAAGGATCACGTTCCCATCAACACAATCCAAATAATACATTAGATTCGAGTTTAAGAGAGTATACATTATTTTTTTACGCCTCTCTTTGTCTTTGAAAAGTATGTCTCTACTCGTACGTGTAGAGTACAGATAAATCGTTAAAGCTTCCGATTGGTGCATAAAATAAAAAGTAAATAAAGCATTCGGTTAGAGTTGGGAAGAGATCGTCCTTTTGTGACCATCATCAGGCGTTCGCCTGTCGTCGACAATCAGACAATTAATCACGCCGGAATTAATACAATTATCGACAAGGGGCGCGGGCGTCGTAATTACTTTATGACAAGAACAGTTGTTGCGGCGGTACATTATTATTATTATATACGCCCGGCGACTTTAACTATAACAAGGAACATTGTTCTTGTTCGCGTTAATTAATCCTACTCATGCGTTACGTTAATCTTCCATTTACGCTAATTGAATTAATTTCGTAATTGCTTGGTTTCTTTCGCGGTTTCTTAGTAATAGTGGGACTTTAAGATGCGTTCGATGATACGCAAGCGAGAACTGTCTAAATTGACGTTTATGACGTTTCGTATGACAGAATGGAGGTGGGAATCAATTTATTTTGTTGCAAAATAACCTTTTTTTTTGTAAGTATCGTTCTTATGATTAATCTGCACCATAGACCTATTAACTATGGACGCGGTTTAGACAAAGAGGTAGTGTTGTCGATGAATGAGAGAGATGCAGCTAGTTTGGGCAAATGGTAATGAGAGATTGGACAATGCTTTAGCCAATAGTAAGAAAGCAAAAGACCACGTGAGTAACGTTTTCAGATATGCAAGGTAGCTGGGGTAGAGGAGGGCAGCTTATGGTAGAATAGGGTTGAGGAGTGCAGCGGAGGTTATTGTGATTTATTATTTTTTTGCCGAGCAAAATGCATTTTTCAGCTGAGCCTAAATTCCCACGCATTTGCAAATATAGTTCTTATTTTGTATTGTTAATTGGAACATCCTACCTATTAACCAGTACAGATTTCGCAATTTAAGACCTAACTGCTTTTTCTTGTAAAAAATATACTTCTTCCAGGTCATTCTTCTGTCCAAGTGGATACCAAGATAAAAACAATATTTAAATATTAAGCGTATAAATATTTTAACAGATTAATAGCCTTTTTCCACGCACCCTGTATATATTTTATATTTTTTTTGGTCCCGCCTACTTTTAGCCCAAACTAGCTCCATCTCTCACGGACCTCTCTCTCTATCATCGGGAACGCTGAATAACCTCAAAATAACGATTGTGCCGCGTCCATACTTAATAGGTCTATGATCTGCACTGAATCTAATTCGAATAATAACTCTGAAATTACTCTACACCAGGAATCGACTCTGAAGCTACTCTGAATCTACTCTATTGTACTCTGAACCTACTCTCATCTACTCTAAATCAACTGTACATTAGGAATCGACTCTGAAGCCGCTCTAAATCTACTCTGAATCTCCTTCGAATCCACTCTGAACCTACTCTATTCTACTCTGACTCTACATTAAATCTAATACTCTTAAGCTACTTCGAATATTGACTCTGTGAAACTACTCTGATTCTACTCTACTCTCAATCAACTCTCGTCTACTCTAAATCTACTGTACACTACGAATCGACTCTGAAGCTACTCTAAATCTACTCTACTGTAATCTGAACCTACTCTCGCCTATTAATTTTAAATCTACATTACACTAGAAATCAACTCTGATGCTACTCTGAATCTACTCTGAATCTCCCTCGAATCCACTCTGAACCTACTCTATTCTACTCTTAATCTACTATAAATCTAATACTCTTAATCTACACTGAATCTACTTCGAATATTGACTCTGAAGCTACTTTGATTCTACTCTACTCTGAATTAACTCTCGCCTACTGTAAATCTACTTTACTGTACTCTAAACCTACTCTCGTCTATTCTAAATCTACTCTACACTAGGAATCGACTCTGAAGCTACTCTATTTTACTCTGAATCTACTCTACTTTCTGTATTTGCACTGTATATAAACTTTAAAAGATGCGTTCGATGTTACACAAACACAAAATGTCAAAATTGACAATGACATTTCGTATGAGAGAAGTTTAATAGAGGTGGGAGTCGATTTTTCGGTATAGAGGTGCAGTAACTACAGTGACAAAATAACCGATTTTCGCATTTTCTTCTTTCTACCGAAAAAATATCGTACATTGATTCTTTCATTTCAGTTATCGATGTCTAAAGAGAAACTGGCCAATATTTGCGCAGAATGCGAGAAATATATCGGTACCCAAGGGGGCGGTATGGATCAAGCCATCGCTTTTCTGGCCACTGAGGGTAAGTGTTAAGAGGGTTAAGAAATATACGATTTATATTTCATCACCTTACTGAAATTTTCCGCACGTTTGTACACCGTGGAAAAGGGAGTAAATAATAAAATTAATGTACAAAGTAGTGTAGAGAGGTTTGATTAAAATTTCCTTGTCTCGAACGGGGAAAAATTAGCCCGCTGGATGAACCCGGTGAAATTGCGTGTGCTCGCTTTAAATCATAAAAATGCACGAAACGTGACCGGAATAACGAAAATCACATAATTAATACCGTTTAGTCTCGTCTTTTTACGCATTTTTTTTCAAAGAATTTTTACTACAACAAATATTAAATCGCGTCAATTGTACGTTGAAGTTAATGAAAATCTTCCTCGAGCTTTTAATCCGTTCTGTTTTCGCAACGGGCGCGTTAATTCGATGACTCTAAAGCCCTCTATTCGTTAAAACATTCGGAAATTCCTCGAGAAACTCCGCTCGTTAATTCCGGTTTTCCATGCAGCACGGAAATTCGTCGGAATAAATTCACGCAAAAATCCCGGATTTCTCCAGCGATATTCGATATTTTCTATTTATTTTTTCCACAGGTTGCGCCAAACACATCCAATTTTCACCGTTGAGATCCGAAGATATCGCTTTACCTGCCGATGCTGTTTTCGTTATAGCCCACAGTCTGGTCAATTTAAATAAAGCCGCAACTGCCGATTTTAATTGCCGAGTGATTGAATGCCGGTTAGCCGCACAGGTAAGCAAAATATTCCGTTTTAATTGACTAGGTGATTGATCTGACTCATTGATTGATTAGTGAATTAATCACTAACTAAACGACTCATTAATTGACTGAATTATTTAGAGATTGACCGGCTCGTTGATTGGTTGTTCAACATTGGAGAGAGACTATTTGGAATAATTGTTTAAAAGTAGAGAGAAAAAACACGTTATTTTTGTAGAAATAATTATTTAACAGTAGAGAGAAAATACCTTATTTTTTTTAGGAATACTTATTTAAAAGTAGAGAGAAAACACTTAATTTTTTAGAAATAATTATTTTAAAAGTAGAGAGAAAATACTTTATTCTTTTGGAAATAATTATTTAAAAGCAGAAAGAATATACTTTATTTTTTTAGGAATACTTATTTAAAAGTAGAGAGAAACACTTTATTTTTTTAGAAATTATTATTTTAAAAGTAGAGAGAAAATACTTTATTGTTTTTAGAAATTATTGTTTGAAAGTAGAGAGAAAACGCTACAGAATACGAATTGATAAACTAAATGACTCATTAACTGACTGATTTATTGGGAGATTATCTGACTCATTGATTGGCTGTTCAAAATTGAGGAGAGCTTAATTTTTCTAGGATTAATTATTAAAGTAGAGAGAAAACACTTAATTTTTTTTTGAAATAATTAAAACACTATTTTTTCATTAATGATTGTTTAAAAGTATAGAGAAAACACTTGACTGAGCGATTGGCTGACTGATTGATTAATCAATTCACCAATCAACTGACTAATCGATAGATTAGTGACTGATTGACTGGTACAATATTTGATTGACTAACTAATTGATTGGTTAGTGACTAATTAAATGATTAACTGACGATCGACTATCTTGATGATTTTGTAACAAACACTTTCGGCTAAATCGACCTGGATATATCGAAAAGAGAATGGCTTTTCCGGCAATTTGAATATCCAATGAGTCGTAAACCGGAATGGCCCGAAATGGCCTCTTTCCTAAAAGGGCTTTAACGTATTTCGCAGCGCTCTTAGTTAATTGCAGTTTTCTTACACCAGCTGATGGCGATGAAACGGGGCGTCGAATGGAGGACAATCAGGAAATTATCCGACGTCCAGGCGGCCCTTTCTCTCGACCTCAAAGCCATGATTTCCTTCGCCGAGTCCGCCCTGCACGAGCGGCCCTACACCAAGGAGGAAATCACCAGCGAACTGGCCACCACCGTCGACGAACTAGCCCTCGTATCGCTCACCCCCAACACCGAGCACATCGTGACCTTCAAGCTCCGCCAGAGGGCCCTGCACGTTTTCCAAGGTCAGTCCCACTTCTGATCCGAATCCCACTTCTGATCCCACTTCTGATCCCACTTCTGATTTATCCCGATCTTCGGAGCCGGTTTATTAATCGGGCGGGATTTTCTTTGTTGCATGCCATGCAGAAGCCCTGAGGGTGGAGGAGTTCCTGAGGGCGTGCTCGGCGCCCCACGGGGAGGCGACCCCCTCGATCCTGGGGGGTTTGATGAGCGAGAGCCACAGGAGCTTGAGGGATCTGTACGAGTGCAGCGCGCCCGAGTTGGATAGGTCAGTGTTTATATACAGGTTGTCCCGGAAAAGTGTATGTGAATTTCTCCGTAGGTTGGTGGAGATGTCGAAGGGGTACGCGCTGGGCGCCAGGCTGACGGGGGCGGGTTGGGGCGGTTGTGCGGTGGCCCTCGTGCCGCCCCATAATGTGGATGGTTACATGGAGTTCCTGAAGAAGAATTTCTACGGGGAAGTGGAGGATGTGGAGGCGCTGTTGTTCAGTACAGCGCCGAGAGGGGGCGCTTGCGTTTACGTTTGACAGTATTATGATGTTGGGGGTGGTTTTTTTTTTAATTGTTAAGGGTGAATAATTTTTTTTTGTGAATAAAATTGGTTTTTCGTTTGAGTTTTTACGCCCTCTGTGATTTTTTTGGGACGCGCTGTATAATCGGATTTGAGGATTTATTTGGAAAAAAAAATCCAATTTTATTTTCTGTCACTTACACGACTTTACGCCATCGAAATTTCCATTTACTGCATTATACTATCCCGTGGAATATTAGATGGAAAACCCGCGAACAGTTCTTCCATATATCGCACAAAAAACACTTGTATACAAAAGAAAATTTCGGTACATTCACGCGAAATATAAAAACTTGGTATGCGTTAGAAATTCCGTGGAAAAACGGGCTTTTCCACGAGCTTTTCACGAGCTTTTTCGCATATGCACCTGAAAAGGGACGCGCGCGCACGTTCCTCCCGCCTGGGGTTTTCCCGACGGATCCGGCGATTTTCCCGACTTTTCCGTCGTCAGTCGGTTATCTGATCGTCGGCGGGAAAGCTCGAGAGTCGCCCGGAAAATCGGCCTTTTACCATACATTACATCGCGCGCGATTCCTGCAAGTTTTCCCGATGTGTCCGAGGCGAGTTTAGGACGTACGATGGCTGTATAACATTCACGTAAGGGTCTTTTAATTGATTTTTATTGTACGGTTATACAGGGTGACTGGAAATTATATACAGGGTGTGGATTTTTTTTGTAGTACCAATACTAGTAAGAATGCGACTGTTCAAAAGATGGGAGAAAATACTTCAATTTTTTAAGAATATCTGTTTAAAAGCGAGGAGAAAATGCTTTGGTTTTTTAAGCATTACTGGTCAAAAGATGGGAGAAAATATTTTATTTTTTGAGCATTCTACTGTTAAAAAGAAGAGAGAAAATACTTGGTTATTTGAGCATTATTTACTGTTCAAAAGAAGGGAGAAAATATTTTATTTTTTAATAAGCATTAAATACTATTAAAAAGAAGAGAGAAAATACTTGGTTATTTGAGCATTATTTACTGTTCGAAAGAAGGGAGAAAATGCTTAGGTTTTTATAAGCATTACTGGTCAAAAGAAGGGAGAAAATAATTTATTTTTTGAGCATTATCTACTGTTAAAAAAAGAGAGAAAATACTTGGTTTTTTGAGCATTATTTACTGTTAAAAAGAAGAAGAAAATACTTGGTTGTTGAGGATTATTTACTGTTCAAAAGGAGAAAGAAAATATTTTAGTTTTTTAAGCATTACAGTTTAAAAGAAGGGAGAAAATACCTGATTTTTTTTTTATTAACTGACTGATTTTGCCTGATTAAACGACCCATTAGTCAACTGATCGACTAACTAATTGTTTAATTTATGACTAATTGACTAAGTAAATGACCCATTAATTGACTGATTAACCGACTAATTGATTGTTTAATGACTAATTTGGCCTAACTAAACGCCTCATTAAAGTACGCAGAAAATGCTTAACTAAACAAACATAATCCTTCTTTAACTTACTGTTTTATTACATTCGCAAACAAAATATCAATATTTCTTTATCAATCTGTACAAATATATCGAAACAGATTTTCATCCCTTAGCGGCGCTCGGCATCAAATTGACCGCTAAAGGGTTGGTTAAGCGCCGGTCCCTTTTCTGCGGGTAAATTCGTTCAATTCCCGCGACCCTCGAGGACCGAAAACGCCGGTGAAAACCCGCCAAATGGCCCGATGATTTATTCACGCGTGAAAAGTTTCCCGTTTTCCCCGTCCCAGAGACTTTTCCGATGATGAGTTGTATAACGTACACTCCATCCGAATTGGAAAAGAAAAAACATAAAGCCAAATATGGAGATTTTTCCGCCGTACATTTCCCATTTTCCGAATCTCTTGTAGAGGGGTTCTTGTGGGGATATTTCGCGTGAAATCGCCCGGAAAATGAGCTTATTAACTTCTTCGGTTACACGCCAGGCGGCGATTACATTGCTACAATTACTGTAGGATAATTTCACCTTCTCCATGGCGATTTCTCATCAAATTTACAACGATTTTTAGGGCCTCTTGTTTCGAATTTAAAGGAGCGCACGTTCGCAAAAGGAATGCTCGGAACGCCGGGCTAAATAGATTTTTTATTAAATTCGTGCCTCTCCCTTTGTTTTTCGAAACTCTCCCTTGGCAATTCCAAACAGGATACGTTCGGGATAAACAAGCGCTGACGTCACGACTCGCGTATCGCTGTATAAATTATATGCGAAATTGATGGATTTTTTTTCGTGACGTCACGGCAAGGTTTAATTGAACATACTATACAGGGATAATTCAGGACGTGAATATTTGGATGATTTTAAGAAGAAAAGTTTATATCAATGTGGGTCCTAAACCTCTTATTAGTTATCGAACTACAGGGTGTTAAAATTTTAGAAAAAAAATAACTTTTCTATCATAATTTTCTTATTACTCCAGTTATTTTTAAGAAATTTTGTATACACTTTTTAATTATTAGGGAGCATTTTTTGAGGCATAAGATTTTTTTAAATATTCATCCGATGACGTCCGTACGGGGTTTGAACTGAATATGTTTGAAAAAAAAATGGTACACACTGCTTTTTTTTAAAAACTAAAATTATTTTTAAAATCATCATTTATTTTGTAGCAAATTCGCTCAGAAGACTTTTTTCGTACGACGCACTATTTTCGCGTAAAAAAATAAAAACCAAAACCATTTTTTCCCAAGTTTATTTTGAGACTGCTTTGAAATTTTGTTGAAATTTGATAGGCGCCCACCATGCATGGAAACACTTTTTTTTGGGGGATAAAAATTAATTTTCTACTATTATATACCTAAAGTGAAGTAGGGAGAAAGTATTTGATTTTTTAACTAAACAGCTTATTTATTGACCTGTTGATTAATCAATTGACTCATTGGGTGACAAAATGACTCGTTAATTGACTGATTTAATGATTGATTAATTAATCAACTGACTAATTGATTGTTGAGTGACTATAAACGTGAATTAAATGCAAAACAGATATTCGAATTGGATTGAAAGGTCAGTCGTATGTTATAAATTCCCTATTGACTTTTAAAAGTGCCCATAATAAAATTTTCTCCCATTTTACCGGGAATAAAACGTTTGTAATGCGACATATAAAAAGATCCTTCCTACAGGACACTTAAATATATAGCTCGTATAAAACGAGCGAGGCGCGTTTATAAAAATAACCCCCTTCGAAATTGTTGATATATTAAATTTTTTCTACCTCCTACGATTTCGATTTAATTTCGTCCACAAAGTAGGCTACATTCACCGGTAAACGTCAGTTGCCAAATTTTAACTGTCGAACGTCAATTGTCAAACTTCAGTTGTCATTACGAGAACTTTGAGTTATTGATGGAGAGGGTAAAGCGCCGGGGGGAGGGGGGTGGGTACATGTCAACCTATTCTACGGATAATGCTTTCCTATAAAAGCTCCTTGTGGGATATCCGATCCCGATTGTGGGCTTATAGTTCGACGGAAAAGCGATATAGTCGTAACGGGAAAGCGGTAAATCGGGGATTACCCGGGAATCGATTCGATTTAAATCGCGTAAAAATCGTCGAGATTTTAATAAATTCGTTCACCTGCGCCCCATCAGTTTGAATCGCTTAAATAGCCGAATAACCGAGTTGGTAAAGGCGCGTTCGTTATTCGCTAGTTTTGTAGATATTTCTCAATATCTGGCAACACCGTTGGTTAATTTGTCGTGCAGTTTTCTTCCAATAAATTGATAAGATTATTGTTTAAACTTTGTGTTTATTATCATTCGATAATATAGTAAATAACAAATAATTTTATAGTAAATAATACACAATAATTGCGGGTTGGTGATTAAATATACTTCCAGAATCTTCGCAAAAAAATCGCCATTTGTAGCGAAAATTAGTTACTAATAGAATTCAAAAATTTCAGGCTATCTTCTCGATGACTGCGGAGGAACTTGAAGGATTTGCCAGGCTTTAATCGTTCGGAAAAATGACCATACTGCATTCCTACTGCTGCTGGAGATCCGTGAGAAAAGGCAGCTTCGCCTGCGGAGCTTACACTGCGGTGAGTTTCTCCATTTTACCCTTAATAATCGATTAAAAAGAGCCTAATCTGCGGTGAGTTTTTCTATTTACCCTTAACAATCGGTTAAAAAAGCCTATTCTGCGGTAAGTTTTTTCCATTTATCCTTAATAATCGATTAAAAAAGCCTAATCTGCGGCGAGTTTCTCTATTTACCCTTAACAATCGATTAAAAAAGCCTAATCTGCGGCGAATTTCTCCATTTTACCCCTAATAATCGATTAAAAAAGCCTATTCTGCGGCGAATTTCTCCATTTTACCCCTAATAATCGATTAAAAAAGCCTATTCTGCGGTGAGTTTGTCCATTTTACCCTTAAAAATCGATTAAAAAGAGCCTATAACATCGAATTTCTAGCTATTATTTATTCGATTATAATCGTTAATCTATTGTCTGTATGTTCGAACGCTCGAAAAGTGTTTAACAATTCGTTTGTTCGCTTATTTACCTTTCGATGGAAATTAATCCAGGGAAATTTTCGGTGTTTTCGTTGTGGTTACGCCGGAATAAACACGAATAAACCAAACAAATACATTATTTGGAATTCGGTGATGGGAAAGGGCTGCATTAAAGCTCCGTAAAAGCCGCAAAAAAATTTTTTTCATCGGCAAAATTCCGAATTTGACGATTTTATTTTATATTTATTTTTTAGTTCGATTATTATCGGGTTTATTGGGGCACTTATAACGCCATTTCGTCGGGACCGAAGCGGAAACAAATGTAGCGATAATAATTGTATTTTACGGCCGGGGAATTCCCATTTCTTCTCGTACATTTTATTATATGTTCCCGGAAACTTTACGGGAAACTTCCAGGCGAAGTTTTCGCGAGTTTTACGGGCGTTGTTTTCGTGCTCTCTATGCATATACTTACGCAGATTGGAATTGTACAGGGCGATGGTGAATTTAATAGGCAGTAAAAAGTAGATTGGAAGTAAGTTGTAAGTAGAATGGAAGTAGAATGGTGGTAAATTGGGCGCCATTTTCTACTCTAATCTCTACTTTACTCTTCATTTTCTATTATCTATACTCTACTCTCTATATATTCTCTGCCCTCTGCTTTATTTTATCTGTTCTCTAATTTCTACTCTCACATCTTTTCTCTCTACTCCCTACTCCATACTAATAGCTTATTCCCCACTATCTGCTTTCTACTTTATACTCTCTATTCTCTCTACTATCTTATTTCAATCTTCAAATTGAAGAAATTATAACACAAAAAATTAAATGTACCAACGATGAAAACTCCCTTTTCTAACTAAACTATTCATTCACCTACAATATCGAAATACACCCCTCATGTAAAAAAAATATATTTCGTGTTCCAATTAACTTGCGATAAATAAAATCGAAATGATATAGTGTATTGTAAATACATTCTACTCTATACTCTCTGTTCCCTACTTTCTATTCTCTCTACTATCTTATCTCAATCTTCGAATTGAAGAAATTATAACACAAAAAAATAAATGTACCAACTATGAAAACTACCTTTTCTAACTGAACTATTCATTCACCTACAATATCGAAATACACCCCTCATGTATAAAAAAATATATCTCGTCTTCCAATTAACTTGCGATAAATAAAATCGAAATTATATAGTGTATTGTAAATACATTCTACTCTATACTCTCTGTTCTCTACTTTCTATTCTCTCTACTATCTTATCTCAATCTTCAAATTGAAGAAATTATAACACAAAAAATTAAATGTACCAACGATGAAAACTCCCTTTTATAACTAAACTATCCATTCACCTACAATATCGAAATACACCCCTCATATAAAAAATATATCTCGTCTTCCAATTAACTTGCGATAAATAAAATCGAAATGATATAGTGTATTGTAAATACATTCTATTCTATACTCTCTGTTCCCTACCTTCTATTCTCTCTACTATCTTATCTCAATCTTCAAATTAAAAAAAATATAACACAAAAAAATAAATGTACCAACGATGAAAACTCCCTTTTCTAACTAAACTATCCATTCACCTACAATATCGAAATACACCCCTCATATAAAAATAATATATCTCGTCTTCCAATTAACTCGCGATAAATAAAATCGAAATGATATAGTGTATTGTATTGTATATTACGAGCGAATAAAATATTGGCATGAAACTCCGGCACTGCTATCGATTTTATCGTTTTGTCGGAAAGGTGAACTTCCACTAGTCCGGTGTAGCAGCGCATAAAATATTCCAGACTAGACACGGAGTGTATTTACACAAAGGGATGGACACTCCGATACCTTTTCGCCCTATTATGTGTATTATCGGGTCCGGTGGAATTCGAGAGAATTTGTTTCGAATAAATTACTTACAAAACTCTCTTCTACTTTTTCTTCTTCTTCTTCGGTTTATCGATGGGTAGTAGTTTTTGTTTTGTTGATACAGGGTGTTTCGTAATGACATGGTTAATATTTAAGGGGGTGATTCTTGGACCCATTTTAAGCAAAAAAAACTTCATATGAATATTATTTTTTTAATGAGAAACGATGAGTCGTACGGAAAAAGGTGGAGATATCAAATTTGTTCTAAATCGAACGAGGATTCCGAAAATAATTTTTGTTTCAATATTAGGCAGTGGCGTACCATTTTTTTCTCCAAAAATATTCAATGCTAAACCCGTACGGACGCCACTGCTGAAACTTATAAAATTATTTGTACATCAGAAAATGCATATTGACTCATAGAAAACGTGGGCCAAATTCCATAAACATATCTACAATAGTCTCACAGTTATTATTTACAAAAAATTGATTATTTTCTTAAAACTTTAACACCCTGTAAGTATCTCAATTAAATTAAAGCGTTTAGAACATAGGTTCAAAAGAAGTTTTCTCCTTAAAATGGGCCCAAGAATCACCCCCTTAAATATCAGCATTTTATTTTGGAACACCCTGTATATAAGTGTTATTTTACGGGCCAAAGGTCACGACGAACGTCTTTCGGACGTAATTTTATATTTTATATTTTCGATGAGGATTTATAAACCTACGTGATAAATTACCCGGTGTTTTCCTCGCATATTTTCCTGTTTACAACCGTCCATAATATCTAGTAGCCAGGAAAAAAAACAAACGAGAAATAACGAGTACGTATTTATTCTCGTCTATTTTTTGCTCGCTCGGGCTTGAATAGAAGCGAATTTTCGCATGCTTAGTTTCCTTTTATATATACAGGGTGATTTTTATTCCAAACGGCACACTCTGTATAAAATTATCCACGCAATTTTCGCGTAGAACTTTCTTTGGTGTCATCTACAGATACATTAAGCTTTATTATTGTACCACCCTGTATATTAATTATGTAGGTCTCGTTGAACAATCATTTCACTCCATTTGCTAACTCGTACGAGTGTGGGTTGAAAAGTTATCGGGCTGAGTCGTTTAGAACTGTCGTGAACAGCCTAGATAACTCGAGAATCTATTCGAACTGTTTAGAACGCGCTCCAGAGTGATTTAGAACTGTCTAGAACAATTTAGAAACCTCCAGAATCATTTAAAAATGTCTAGAAGCGTTTAAAACGCGCTACATAATCATTTAAAAATGTTTAGAACCCTTTAGAACGCGCTCCAGAGTGATTTAGAACTGCCTAGAACAATTTAGAAACCTCCAGAATCATTTCAAAATGTCTAGAACCATTTAAAACGCGCTCCAGAATCATTTAAAAATGATTAGAATCGTTTAGAACGCGCTCCAGAGTGATTTAGAACTGCCTAGAACAATTTAGAAACCTCCAGAATCATTTAAAAATGTCTAGAACCATTTAAAACGCGCTCCAGAATCATTTAAAAATGTTTAGAATCGTTTAGAACGCGCTCCAGAGTGATTTAGAACTGCCTAGAACAATTTAGAACTCTCCAGAATCATTTAAAAATGTCTAGAACCATTTAAAACGCGCTCCAGAATCATTTAAAAATGATTAGAACCGTTTAGAACGCGCTCCAGAGTGATTTAGAACTGTCTAGAACAATTTAGAACCCTCCAGAATCATTTAAAATGTCTAGAACCGTTTAAAAAGATCTCTAGAATTATTTAAAAATGTGCAAAACCGTTTAGAACGCGCTCCAGAGTGATTTAGAACAATTTAGAACCCTCCAGAATCATTTAAAATGTCTAGAACCGTTTAAAACGCGCTCCAGAATTATTTAAAATGTTTAGAACCGTTTAGAACGCGCTCAAGAATCATTTAGAACTATCTCTACACCAATTTAGAACTCTCCAGAATCGTTTAAAATGTCTAGAACCGTTTAAAAAAGGGCTCCAGAGTCATTTAAATAAAATTTAGAACCGTTTAGAACGCGCTCCAGAGTGATTTAGAACTGCCTAGAACATTGTAGAACCCTCTAGAATCATTTAAAATGTTTAGAACCGTTTAGAACGCGCTCAAGAATCATTTAGAACTATCTCTACACCAATTTAGAACTCTCCAGAATCGTTTAGCAACCAAGAATTATGTATTGTCACCTTACTCTTGCAAACTATCGCTGTATTCGTTGCATACAGGGTGTCTAAAAATAGGGGAATTTACGGGACATCCTGTATGTATAGATTTTCGGTGTTTTAGAGGGGAATTTCGAACGAAGTCTCGTACAGCACTTAGTTCTAATGGAAGTAAATCGGGTTATAGTGTCGTTTCGGGAAGGGTATAATAAGTTTTATAATCGAATTACTTATAAGATCGATATTTTCCGCTTTGATCGTTCGGAAAACGGGGAATTTATAATGGGGTTTTTTGATTTTCTACACCCCTTTCGGAAACTGCCCCTTTTAAGGTGCATTGTTTCGAGTAGAAGAGTTCCGTTTTGATTGGCCTTTTACTTGGCATCGCAAACAGCTCGCGAAATGTTTTAACAAGCGGAGCCCTGAATACGAATGAGGGTCGGGGAAAGTTTGCTCGACAGTGCAATGTAATTATCTTTTGAAGTCTGTTTTCGCGGACGTGTGGGAAGAGGAAGAGCATTGAAAATTGTTCGTACGTGTTTGTTGTAAGGGGAAATGGTACATTCTCAAGTAGATTCTGTTTCCATTTATAAATTTTCACAAAAATTTTGAGGAATCCGAGCAAATTGTCTCTGTTATCTGAAATACTAATTGAGGTAAAATAACGAAATTTTCATTATTTTATAGACAAGACATTTCTCTACAGTTGTCTAATTTTATTTATATCGAAAAACACCTAAATTTTTGAGATATTTCAACTTTTAATCAAAATTTTCCCAAAAAATTTGGAGAATCCGTCCAAATTATTTCTACTATTTAAAAAACTAATTAAGATAAAATCACGAAATCTTCACTACTTTATAGAGAAAATATTTCTCTACAATTTTCCTATTCGAACTAAATTAAAAAACTCCAAAATTTCCGAGATATTTCAACTTTTGCTCAAAATTTTCCCAAAAAGAAATTGGAGAATCCGTCCAAATTATTTCTAAAAAACCAATTGAGATAAAATCACGAAATTTTCAATATTTTATAGAAAAAATATTTCTCTATACTTTTCTTATTCGAACTAAATCGAAAAACTCCAAAATTTCCGAGATATTTCAACTTTTAATCAAAATTTTCTCAAAAAATTTGAAGAATTCGTCCAAATTTACTGTATTATCTAAAAAACAAACTGAGATAAAATCACGAATTTTCACTATTTTGTAGAGAAAACATTTCTCTACACTTTTTCTAATAGAACTAAATCAAAAAACTCCAAAATTTCCGAAATATTTCAACTTTTACTAAAAATTTTCCCAAAAATGTTGAAGAATCCGTCCAAATTACCTCTAATATCTCGAAAACCAATTGAAATAAAATCACCAAACCTTCACTATTTTATAGAGAAAACATTTCCCGACAATTTTCGAATTTCAATCATTTCGAAAAACCACGAAAACCCACCCCTTTATCGCGAAAAACACTGATGATAAAAACGATTACAAGACCATCCTACGTTTCGACTTCCGGCAATTCCATCTTCAGGCTCGAATTTTGCAGGAAAACACGTTTTCTCGATGGCAATAAGCGCAATAATCCGAACTTCCATCGTTCGAATTTTCCTCGAAAGTTCTCCTCTAATGAAAGAAAATTACCTAATTTCGCCAAATGAAAATAAAAGAAACAACAACCCTTAATATCACCGGGACAATTTCCTCTTCCCCATCCCCATCTATATACAAAGGAGATATATATCAGTTAAAAGCGTCTCCGGACTTTCCGGTGATTTATGTACTTTATTTTATCAATTTTTAATTACTTTTTACACACACGCGACGAGCTGACAGAGCGGTTTATTAATGAACCCTCGACTTTTTGTGTATATCTACCGGTTGTCCCGTGAATTCCCTACTTTGAGACACTCCGTATACAACGAATAGAGCTATACAGGGTGTTCCTAAACATCGTGTACATTCGAAAGGGGGTGATTCCTTGGCTTATTTTATGACTAAAAGTTCATATTAATGTGGGTTGCTTCGTTACCGATCTACAGGGTGTTGAAATTTCAAGATTTTTTTTGTTTCTTTTTTAGAGCTCCTGTAGTTTTTGAGATATTTAGCTCAAATTAGGTATAGGATGTAGGGTATACAGTATAGCTTGAGTAGGAGGGGGTCACTTTCAACATTTAATTTAATGTAATTTAATAGTTAATTTTTAGGGTTTTGTTTTATAAAATAAATCATTTGTACAGAAAAATTTTTTTTCTCAATAATGGTAACAGAGACGATAAACGTTTAAAAATAAAAAAAGTTTCTAAACAAAACAGACAATTAATTTTGTAATTTAGAATCTACCAGCGGCGCACAGCAAAAAAGTTCGGAGGAAAAAAAGGGTACATGACCCCTGAAAAAATATCACCTTGTACAATTCAACAACCATCTGATATACCCAAAATTGTGTTCCCTATAAAGCAATCTAGATTCAAAATTTGAGCTAAATATCTCATAAAATGCAGGAGCTACAAAGAAAAAACCAAAAAAAAATTGAAATTTCAACACCCTGTAAATCTAACGAAGCATTTGCGAACCTATGTTTATATGAACTTTTAGTCATAAAATAGGCCAAGAAATCACCCCCTTTCGGATGTACATCCTGTATATCGTTCGATATCGGATATACAACAAATCATCCTGACGGGACGAATAAAGCGGAATTCGATGAATAATAATAACAAACCCCACTCTCCCCCACCGATAAGGGATGGCCTTTGCTCGTGTTCGACGTGCGCTTAATTACCCCGACATAACACCGACCTAATTCAGAAGACAATTATCTTTAATCGTTCCAACGCAACCGATTATCGATTATCGATTATCGACGATTGACTTATGGTATATGCAGTGTATAAACACGCCGGAAATTGTCGCTGTAATTGCACCAGGAGGGTAATTACCCGCCCGTCGAGCCTACTCGATTTACCCTTCTTATACTCTCTTGATGATTGACAGGATTAATTGATTTTTGTTCTGGAATTTTTATGATTATTTTTTGCGAGTTTGAAGGGTGCATATTTCGCGTATTTTTAGTTGGAAAGTTATTTTTCGTAAAGAAATATTTCGTTTCGTAAATATACCGGGTGTTTGATTTGAATAATTTTGCAAAAGTGCACTGTATTATTTATTATAATTTGTCCCGTAACTGTTTTTAATAGATTTTCCCTACAATTTCAGCACCCTGTATATTTTACTGGAATCTTTTGGTTAAGCCGCATTCAAAGACATATTACAAGTACCAATTAGTGGACGTTTCTAAAGGATCTACGGCCAATTGAAAACCTCTAGTTTGTACAGGGTGGTCATGAAAAAACTGAACAAATCTGACCGCCTTGTATAATAAGACAACTTTTTGTACCAATTGCATAGAATCTGGGACCGTAAAAGTCATTTTTTTCTCATTTAATCGCGAAATTTTGTACAAAAACGGATCTACAGCCACTTGAAAAACTAGTTAGTACCTACAGGGTGGTCTAAAAAAAACAAATAAAAAAGTCTCACCAATCTGTAACAAACTGTTTTTATATACCGCTGTATAGCCAATTGCAAAACCGCTGGTTAGTACCGGGTGGTAAAAAAAACTAAATGAAAAATATGACCACCCTGTCATTTCTTTTTCTCATTTAATCGCAAAACAACGCGAACAGCTGTATAAAAAAAATCGATGCGAATTTACCAACGGGAGTGTAAAATTCCCGTAGTGTAAAATTTTCGCATCAATAACATCAGAGACTCCTGTTGAAATAATATCTACACAATTACAATTTACCTGAATCATTATAAACGCAGAGTAAAATTCTATTTTGTATTACAAGCGAGTAGATATAGATATTCCTGCATTCCTGCTGAGTAATAACATGCAATTACCGGAATAAACCATCAGTAATTGCCCCGATGTTTCGCCAATAACTTGCCTTTAATGCTAACAGGACTTTTTCCGGTACGCTTTCTATACAATTCCGGATTTCTTATTTTATTTCGCCCTTTTTCCCTTTTACCTGCTTTCAAGGATATGCCTTCTACACCGGCTCACAAAGCTTCTATTAGTTCCCATGGCGTTTCATATTTTATCCAATTTATCAATGCTTCTAACGGCCATCGCGATAATATACAGGGCGGCCCGTTTAAATCGAATTTTTCAACCCTATTAAAACACCTCCGGGTTCTTTCCATTGCGTCCCGCCCTGTATATACTCTGTAAAAACGATCGAAATAAACATCGTTCGACTGGCTCATTGATTGGTAATTTTTCACTCATTAAACTATGTAAATAAGATCGATGCGAAAGCATCCCTCGCCCGCGAATATCCCCTTACTGGGTATTATTGGATCGAACCTCTAGCAAGTGAATATATATACATATATTTTAATTAAAGTCGAAAGATAGAGAGGTTCGAAACCGAAATCAATTAAGGGCCGCGTTCATTACGGGCCGAATTTCACCCTCTTAACCTATAACCTACTTATTCCCCGTTGAATATTTCAATGTTAAAAAATATTTGTAATAAATCGAACACGAAACATCCCCTATCGATAATAATAAATCGTCGAAATTCGATACAGTTGGCCTTGAATTTTCCTTGACAAATGACAGTTGAAGTAAAGTGTTATGCTGTATTTCTATTATCTTAGTGATGATATTACCTAATGAGTTAGTATCAGCTAGAGCTTAATTAAGTCTAATTAGCATAAAATCTAATAATCTAGTATCATATGATCTGGTACTTAATTGTCTAGAATTATCGTAGCATTCAATAATTCGGCATCTCATGACCTAGTAGTCCTAGTACCTATAATTATCTTATAAGTATAGATCCTAATAATTATCAATAATTACCTTAGTATCCAATAATCCCTTATTTCATGACCTAGTATCTATTATCTGTAATTATTTTAGCATTTTATAATTCAGTATCTTTTGGAATAGATCCTAATTATCAATAATTACGTTAGCATCCAAAAATCCCTTATTTCATGACCTAGTATCTATAATCTGTAATTATTTTAGCATTTTATAATCCTGTATCTTTTGGAATAGATCCTAATTATCAATAATTATCATAGTATCCAATAACCCCTTATCTCATGACCTAGTATCTAATTATCTGTAATTATCTTAGCATCTAATAATCCCCTATCTTTTTGCCTAGATCCTAATTATCAATAATTACCTTAGTATCCAATAACCCCTTATCTCATGACCTACTATCTAATTATCTGTAATTATCTTAGCATCTAATAATCCAGTATCTCTTTACCTAGTACCTAATTATCTACATCAATCATCATAGTATCTAATAATTTATTGAGTGAATAATTTCATTGTTCATTTCGATTCAATTATGAAGTTATTGGATCATTAGTAAATTCATACGATATCTATGTAAATTTTAACAACACATTCGAGTTCCATTTCGCGTCCGTCCGTCGGTTGAGTATACGCTCCCCGGTGTGTGTGTATACGCAACCGTCTCGTTTAATTAATAACGTTGCGTTAAATATTATATTCGGCGGATGTTAGTCGATTAATTAGCGAATATATTGCGGAAGGGAAAACGGGAAGTTTGCGCAACTTCCCGCTGTAATTTTGTACAATGCTTTTCTGTCGGGGTTGAAGTTATTTATTTATTTTTTTCTAAGCGGGTTTTTTTTGGTCCCGTAACGATTTTCCCGGTGGAATTCGTCGCTTAAATAATTTCGTGGAGACCGGGAAAGTCTCGGAAAAGCGCTGAATTGCCCGTTTTTTTTTCTCGGACCGTCCTCGAGCGATCAATGATCAGACGATTTTATCGAAATCAAACTTGCTTTATCGAATTATTTTTTACCGATACATGCATTATTCCGAGCAGTGTATAGTCGAGTAGAAAAAAGAAAATCCCACCTGCGGGCGACGTGTTTACCATCAAAGTGGATTTTTCGAGAGTTTCCCGGCCGGCATTTTCGCGTCGCTTTAAAGGAAATTAAACGGAGTTCTTGTATTACTTTTAGTGATTGATTTTCGCGGAAACTTTCCGACATCGATGCGAGTAAGTTTCCGCGCGAGATTTTTTTCCCCGTCCTCATCCCGATATATATTTTCCAACTTCCAACAAGATTAATTATACGCGGGAAACATATTTATAGGGCTTTTCTTTGCGCACTAATAGACCCGTTGCGTGGGATCCCCGTAATTCGAAAAACATGTTTTCTTTCCGCCGAAGAAAAAATGAAAGATGGCGAAGATGAGAGGAAAAGCGGGCCGGATTTCCCATTGACACAAGGCCCCACTTAGCAGGATTAATACTAAAGTATTAATTTTCCCTCTGTTGTTTGCTCCGAGCAACTCATCAATATCGACAGATAATCCAACAGAAAAAAAGGAGATTTCCCATTAACAATTCAACATCCCGAAGTTAGCTACTAATGGCTGTAATACAGCGATATACGAGGCCTAACAACAACCGTCAAATTCGCGACAAAAATGCTAAAATTCTCAGTGATATTCCTCGCTCTGATCGCCCGATCGTTCGCCCAATCCTGCTCGATGGGCGACTCCTGCAACGCCCAGCCCGACGACGAGGACGACGAGGACGACGAGTGTCCTTTGGACAGGACCTTCGACATGGAGCCGTACGCGGATTGTCCGGGTTACGCGCAAATTCCGCCGCCCGGCGTGCTCGTCTACACCTCCGGGAAGAGGATCACGCCCGAGAGGCAGTGTCGCAGGTGCGATTTGAGGCTCAACGCGCAAAATACGGGGGTGTACGTCAAGTGCTGGCAGTGCTACGGGATGCCCAAGAACGAGAAGGCCAGCTGGGGGATCTTCCCCAATAGGGGGGCTTGAAGGGAGCCCCGAGAAGGAAGCCTCACATGAATGAAACCCTCACGAAAGAAACCTCATGAAAGAAACATCAAGAAAGAAGCATCAAGGAAGAAGCATCAAGAAAGAAGCATCATGAAAGAAACCTCAAGAAAGAAGCATCAAGAAAGAAGCATCATGAAAGAAACCTCATGGAAAAAACAAGAAAAAGGTCTAATGATAGAAACCTCATGAAAGAAACCTCAAGAAAGAAATCTCATGAAAAAAACCTCAAGAAAGAAGTCTCATGAAAGAAACCTCATGAAAGAAACCTCAAGAAAGAAGACTCATGAATGAAATCTCATAAAGAAACGTCATGAAAGAAGCTTTGTAAAGAAGACTCATGAAAGAAACCCAAGAAGAAGGCCTCATGAATGAAATCTCATGAAAGGAACCTCAAGAAAGGAGCATTATGAAAGAAACCTCATGAAAGGAACCTCAAGAAAGAAGTCTCATGAAAAAAACCTCAAGAAAGAAGTCTCATAAAAGAAACCTCAAGAAAGAAGACTCGTGAATGAAATCTCATAAAAAAACCTCATGAAAGAAGCTTTGTAAAGAAGACTCATAAAAGACACCCAAGAAGGAGGCCTCATGAATGAAATATCATGAAAGAAACCTCATGAAAGAAACCTCCAGAAAGAAGTCTCATGAAAAAAACCTCAAGAAAGAAGTCTCATAAAAGAAACCTCATGAAAGAAACCTCAAGAAAGAAATCTCATGAAAGAAATCTCATGAAAGAAGCATCATGAAAGAAACCTCATTAAAGAAACCTCATAAAGAAACTCGCTGGTAATAAATATCTTGAAAAATAGGCTCATGAAAGATTTCTCACGATAAAACATCATGAAGAAAAATAAGTTTCTTGAAGAAAACCTCATGAAAACCCTTGGGCATAAAAGAGACTTCTTGACAAATAACCTCATTATGAAACATCTGGCAATAATCTTGAAAAATAGACCCAGAAAGAATTCTCACCAAAGAGACCTGATAAAAAAACCTGTGGGAATAAGCCCCATGATAAAAACCTCTGGAAATAATCCTCATGAAGAAAACCTCTGAAAATATACCTCATTATAGAATCCTCTGTATACACCAATCATCTCATTAAAGAAGCAATATTTATCCTTACGTAAACTTACTAACTTTGCATTGAAAATACGAACGTGGCGCGTTTCTGGATGAAAAATTCCTGGATGATCCAGTAATCGGAGATTTTTCGCTGGTTCTGCTCAGGCAAGGAACGAACGGTATGCGTATAAAAGTTAAAGCCCCGGAGGGGCTACAGGAATATCTGGAAATTTTCTGGATACGCGTATTCCTATTTCCAGTTAAAGGCGTCGGTAACGAAAGTATTCGAATCGATGGAAATATTATACGTATCGCTTTTCCAACAACGTTTTCTTACAGGGTGGTACTGAAAAATTTCTACAGGGTGATCCAATAGGTTATATGTTATTATCCAAAGTGATAAGATAATTAAAAGTTAATTATTGGAATAGATCCTGGAATAGAATATCCAGAGTGGATTCCGCGAGAGTTCCAATTCAATATTAAAGTGGAACATTTCGTGGATCTTTATTAGACGGGAATAAATAATTTCGTTGGAGCGAAAATAGCCGGGCGATGAGCGAGAGAGGGTAAAATCTCACTCGTAAAATCTCGAGGAAAACTCGACGAAAATCGAAGGAAAACTCCGCCGGCGGGGACGGGTTTTATAAATTGAAGAGTCCATAAAGTCGTTTAAACGCGACGTAATTTTCGCCCGGAGTTTTCCTCCGATCGTTTTTGTTTCTTCTGCTAATTGCGAAGTTAGCTACAATAAAACGATAGAGGGCTGTATTGGTTTAACATACGAGGCCGAACAATTTATAAAGTTATACGAGGGCGTTAGGAGAACTTTCGATGACGCGATTTTTTTGACATTTAACGTGATTTTTTAACATTATTTTTGACATTTGAAATAGTTTGTGACATATTGATATTCCTTGACATTTGTCGTAATTTTTGGCATTTGACAAGCTTTTTGACATTTGACATTATTCTTGATATTTGACATAGTTGTTGACTTGCTTTTTGACATTTGGCATCATTTATGTCAAACTTGGCATTTGATATAATTGTTGATTTGCTTTTTGACCTACTTCTGGGCATTTGACATTAATGCTTGAAATTTTACATAACAAAAAATTGACATGCCTCGTGACATTTGACATATAGTGCTTGAAATTTGACCTAATTGTTGACCTGCTTTTTGACATTTGGCATCATTTTTGTGATTTGACATCGTTTTTGACATGCTTCTTGACATTTGACATATAGTGCTTGAAATTTGACATAATTGTTGACCTGCTTTTTGACATTTGGCATCATTTTTGTGATTTAACATCGTTTTTGACATGCCTCTTGACATATAGTGCTTGAAATTTGACCTAATTGTTGACCTGATTTTTGACATTTGGCATCATTTTTGTCATTTGACATCGTTTTTGGCATACTTCTTGACATTTGACATATAGTGCTTGAAATTTGACATAATTGTTGACCTGCTTTCTGATATTTGGCATCATTTTTGTCATTTGACATCGTTTTTGACATACTTCTTGACATTTGATATATAATGCTTGAAATTTGACCTAATTGTTGACCTGTTTTCCGACATTTGGCATCATTTCTGTCAATTGACGTCGTTTTTGACATACTTCTCGACATATAATGCTTTTTGACAGTTGACACATATATCATTTAACATTAATTATAGCGAGTGCGATACAAAAAAAAAACATCCCAACTCTAAGTACATGTATTTTTTATTTTTATTTCCTGCTAACGATACACAAATCCCGATCGTCTACTCACAATCTAATCGCGTTTTAAAACCCATTCAATTATTCGAGCAGAATTTTCGCTAAATTTCCATCGCCGCCTCCGACGTACACGTGCCGCCCCTCGCCCACTGCGATCGCATTGATGACGAAACCGACCTCGCAGGAAACGATCGGCGCGAGCCTGTCGGGCTCTATCCTCCACGCTTTGAGCGTTTTATCCCAACCACCGCTGAACAGGACGTGCCCGTCCTGCCGGCCCCAACCCGCCAATGCGTTGATGATCCTGTCGTGCGCCCCCTGCGATCGTAACACACTCGATTATATCCCGCAGGAATAATCTATATAGCGGGTGTATGTTGTGTTATAACGATTGTAAATAACGAGAGATTTGAAAAGATTGGCAAGATATAAGTCGAAATGGAGATTAAATTTTCTTTAAATTCGTTTTGGTTTGTTAAAAAAATGTTTAATTAAGTTGGAAAAAGTCATACGTCATAAATGTGTCATTTTTATATCACTATTTAATTGTTTTTAAAAGGGGCAAAGTTAACTGTGATGGTTTACGCTCTTGAGTTTGAAAATTTCAACGGGAAGGAATGTGGTTCAATCCGCGAGTGAAGGAAATTTTTCGTTTTTTTTTTCTTCTTTTTTCTTGGGTTTTTTTACGTTTTTGTCTAAAAAAATGTTAAATAGAAATAACTAAAATAAGACAAGCTTATTTGGGATATAAATTTATTTTAATTTAAATAAAAGTTACATCAATTAAGTAAGGTAGACTGGGGCAAATGTAAAAATGGGGTAAATGTAATATTTTTATTTATTATGTTAATGTTTATTATTATTTTTATAGTTCTTTTGTGCATTAGACAGGGTTTGTTGCTTATTTTTTCTTTATTATTTTGTAGCTCTGTTATTTTTTGAAATAAATAAATAGCATATCAAATTTTAGAGGGGCCAAATATTTTTTTACAATTGCCCCATATGTTTTTCTATATAATTGTATTGCACTTTAGAATCGTTTGTTACATTTACCCCATGGTACGGGGTAAATGTAACATATTGTCAACATTTTAAAAAATATGTAAAATCGTTTTCTTCCTTTTTCAAAAAAACTTTTTAATACCTCGATTCTTTAGTTTAGGAAGTTGTGAATTTAATGTAGTATCAGCATTTCTAATAAGAGAAAAAATAAAGCCACATTTTAGGATTTAATTTGAACTATTCAAATTTTACAACCGATTTGTCAATTTTAATAACATAAAATTTAGTAGGTAGAGCCTTCAAATTAATGTCATATTTTCATTCTTGACAAAAAGAACATTAAAACCCCCTAAAAAAAAGAAAAAAAAATAAAAAAAATCATACAATGCGCGGATTGGAACCACATTCCTTCGCGTTGAAATTTTCAAACTCAAGACCATCACAGTTAACTTCGCCCATTTTAAAAAGAATTAAATAGTGATATAAAAATGACACATTTATAACTTTTTTCCATTTAATTATACATTTTTTTTACTAAACCAGAACGAATTAAAAAAAAATGTAATATCCATTTCGACTTATTTTTAGTCATTACTTTTTATGTACATTATTTGGTAAAAAAATGTGCTTGCTTTCGACGCATTTTATAAATAACACAGTATATAGCATGTTCGAGGTAACAGGTCGATGACGTCACGCGATTTAAATTTATTCGCGATAATCGCATACAGCCTGTTTGTGTTAAATTAGCGGTGACGTATAACAAAGAGTGTGCATCAGCTAACTAGATTAAAGCGGAAGTTGATAAATATTACCGGCGTTTTCGAGACGGCTTTGAAGTGCGACGCGTCGTTGTTTTCGTGCACCGCGACGCCCGTGGCGTCGGTGCTGCCGAACGCTACGAATTCGTCGCCGATTAACGCGATGGGGGCGCGACCGGCGAAGGTGCACTTCGTGCCGAATTGCAGCTTGTCGCCTGGAAAAATGCGGGAAAATATACACCGTTGGAAATTTAATTTCGCATAATAGGGAAATCAATGTTAAATTCTTAGCCGGCTGAAATCCAGTCTACCAGTATACATTTCAATAGAACGTCGCGATGAATTCTAATAAATTTAATTGTTCTACTGGACCGCACGCCGCGATTTGTAGAGGTACAAAGTTATTTGTGTTAAGTATGAGGTACAAAATTATTTAGAAACTATTTTTTTGGGGATATTTCAAAAAAATAAGTGTATCGGTAGGTACAGTTTTGAAAGAGCAACAAATTTTGTTGAAATAAGGGAAAAAATGATTCAATTTTCTGCTAGAATTATACCTCAGCTCAGTAATATGAGATGACATCTGTATGACAGGTTTGGCTATTGTTTAGCAGAAAGCGGTGGACTATTTTTTAGAGTTCTTTTATTTTCTGTTTTAAAATAATCTTTAAGTTTATTTTTGAAGTTTCCTTTTTATTATTTTCTTAGAATTTACTTTCTTTTTCAAGCCATTGTGGCAAAAAGACATATCTACATAATTCTAATTTAATATTAGTGATATTTTTTCAATAAATTATCGTTTAAAAATTCTCATATCTTTTTAATCGACTCGACGTTCACCTATCCTAACCCGTTTTGATACTATCGAAGTGTCGAAACCGTCGAAATTATTTGATTTTTAATCTAACCGAACCAAATCGCGGTGTGAAGTCCCGTAGAACAATTAAATTTATTAGAATTGATCGCGACGTTCTATTGAAATGTACACTGGTAGACTGGATTTCAGCAGGCTAAGAATTTAACATTGATTTCCCTATTATGCGCGAATTATTTTCCAACGGTGTATAGGGTGTTAATTCATTGAATGCCGATACTTTAGGATGTGAATATTTGATTGATTTTAAGAAGAAAAGTTTATAATCAAAAGTTTATATCAACGTATATAAGAAAAGTTTATATCAACGTATGTCCTAAACCTCTTAGTTTTCGAGCTACAGGGTGCTAAAATTTTAGAAAAAAATTTCTATCATAATTTTCTTATTACTCCGGTTATTTTTAGGAAATTTTGTATACACTTTTTAATTATTAAGGAGCATTTTTTGAGGCATAAGATTTTTTTAAATATTCACCAGTGACGTCCGTACGGGGTTTGAACTGAATATGTTTGAAAAAAAATGGTACACCACTGCTTTTTTTTTAAACTAAAATTATTTTTAAAATCCTCATTTATTTTGTAGCAAATTCGATCATAAGACTTATTTTCGTACAACGCACCATTTTCGCGTAAAAAAATAAAAACCAAAATCATTTTTTACAAAGTTCATTTTGAGACTGCTTTTGAAATTTTGTTGAGATTTGATAGGCGCCCACCATGCATGAAAACACTTTTTTTGGAATAAAAATTAATTTTCTACTATTACCAGTGACGTCCACGTCCGAAACTTCATATAAATATCTGCCGTTATAAGAAAATCATAATAGAAAAGTTTTTTTTCTCAAATTTTAACACCCTGTAGCTCGAAAACTAAGAGCTTTAGAACATACATTGATATAAACTTTTCCTCTTAAAATCATCCAAATATTCACATGCTGAAATATCGACATACAATTAATTAACACCCTGTACATTATACGAGGCGAGAGAGAGAAAAAAAAAGTTTCTTTCTCATTCCTGCTCTTACTTCCCAATTTCAAATCGGTCACGATGATATCCATGTTGGCCGTGAACATCAGGTTTCCGTGCATTTGCATGTCCTTGACGGGCTCCGAAATGTTCAAATTTCCATACAATTGCTCCTTCTTGAACACTTTTATCTTCGTGGAGCGATGCACAAACAAAAATTCACAATTGACAGCATGATGCCAAGTAAAACAGAACAATCAGTACGTTGACGTAATGACTACTGACAGATGACAAATCGACAGTTGTTAGAATGACAGATGATGGAACGACATGGTTCATAGAATAACAGTTGATACAATAACAGTTGATAGAATGATAGTTCATAGAATGATAGTTGATAGAACGGCAGTTTCTAGAATGACACTTTATAGAAAGACAGTTGATAGAATGACAGTTCATAGAATGACAGTTGATAGAATAACAGTTCATGATAACAGAATGATAGTTGATAGAACGGCAGTTTCTAGAATGACACTTTCTAGAATGACAGTTTCTAGAAAGACAGTTGATAGAATAACAGTTTCTAGAAAGACATTTGATAGAATAACAGTTCATAGAAAGACAGTTGATAAAATAACAGTTCATAGAATGAGAGTTGATAGAATGGCAGTTTCTAGAAAGACAATTGATAGAATAACAGTTCATAGAAAGACAGTTGATAAAATAACAGTTCATGGAATGAGAGTTGATAAAATAACAGTTCATGGAATGAGAGTTGATAGAATGGCAGTTTCTAGAAACACATTTGATAGAATAACAGTTCATAGAAAGACAGTTGATAAAATAACAGTTCATGGAATGAGAGTTGATAAAATAACAGTTCATAGAATGAGAGTTGATAGAATGGCAGTTTCTAGAAAGACATTTGATAGAATAACAGTTCATAGAAAGACAGTTGATAAAATAACAGTTCATAGAATGACAGTTGATAGAATGACAGTTCATAAAAAGTGACAGACAACAAGTGACAGACAACAAGTGACAGAGACTTACGGTTCCTTGATGGTCTCCGACGTACAAGCGATCGCCGTCGCAGCACAATCTCCAAAATTCCGTTTGATTGTCTTGGAGCAAAACGTTTTTGAGCTTCAACGTGTCCAATTCGAAGGATTTAACGGTGCCCTCGTTAGAGCAGGAATAGAGCGACGTATCGTTAGCTGCCAGGCAAAATACCGAGCAAGGATTCGACTGGACCTCGCACACTTTCTTCAAATCCTGCGTCCATTGCTTCCGGAACAATCGATGCGATCAGGATCCAATTGATCGAAGTGACATTTGATCGGATTAAAAAAAATAACTCACCATGATTTTGCCATCGTCAGCGGCGCTGTACAATTTCCCTTTGTGGAAAATGACGCTGTTAATGTCGTACTCGTGTTTATCGGCATCGTTCGCTCTACATTGTATTTTAGCGGCCATTTTCTACTTTTTTTTTTATTATAATTTTGCACCGAGCGAATTTTCGAGAACGAAATGCGCGAGATTTTATGCACACACTCGCTCGCATATTGTATTTTTAACCGGCGCGCGAATAAAAATAGAATTTTATACCTACTTTCACCGTATGCATATGTTCAGTACGTTATATTTAGATTATCTAGTAGTCCATGCAAATCCGCTCGGAATTAAACTGTCACTTGTCACTCGTACAAAGTGTCAATTTGCGAACAAAATGGGCGTCGAAATGCAATTTATTAACATCCACTTAATTTGTCTATATATAAGTAAGAAAATGTACAAAGCGTCGTATCTCGCGAAATCGAATTTGTTAAAGGGAAAGTGCCTGCTCGGGGTGCTGGTGTTTCGCCCGAAAACGCACTAAAAAAAAAATACACCGGTTGGTAACACTGTTGCCCGACTGTCAATAAAAGAGGGAAATTTATACTTCACGCATAATCCAGTAGGCGCACATCAAAGCGAATTTGTTTATTTACCGCGTGCGTGGGGGCGGCAAATTAACGTCCAGCGTATATATAGGAGGAAAGGGATGATTGATTGACGCATTGATGCGCCCCGGCGGCGGGACAATTAAAAATACTTTTACGGTAAAAACGATTGATCCCCCCCGTAGCGGCGGCCATTAGCCCGGAATAATTAGATAACGACGGATTTTCCTCCCTGAATTCGAAGCGCCATCTACGTGTGCACTATAAATCAAACACTTTTTCGAGTAAAATTTTTTAATATTCTGGAAAATAAAATAACAGTTTATAGAATGATAGTTGATAGAATAACAGTTCATAGAATGATAATTGATAGAATGACAATTTGTAGAATGACAATTTGTAGAATGACAGTTTCTAGAAAGACAGTTGATAGAATGACAGATCATAGAATGACAATTGATAGAATAACAGTTCATAGAATGATAGTTGATAAAATGACAGTTTCTAGAAAGACAGTTCATAGAATAACAGTTAATAGAATGAGAGTTGATAGAATGGCAGTTCATAGAAAGACAGTTGATAAAATAACTGTTTTTTTCCATTTTTAATTATTAAAAAGTTAGTGAATACGGCACTGTTCGTTAAAAGTTAAAGGGACTGCTCAAAATTGTCGCCATTTTGATTGGAAACGCTTTGGAAACACTCTCCATAAATAATAAGAATGTCTATCAATTCATTATTTGTATAAAAATGAGCCATTTTCAATTCAACAATCGAAAAATTAACTTTTTATCATTAATTATTTATTAATTTTTCGACACCTGTATGGTAGTGGCAGGTACGTATTGGAAAATATTCGAAATTTAAAGAAATTTAAGAATTTCCATCATTTTTATTTTCCAGAATATCAAAATAAATTACATGCAAAAGTTGCTTACAATCTTTACGCAGTTAAAAAAAGTACCAACTTATGAGACACCCTGTACAGGGTGTTCTTGAACTTATGGCACTAAATTCTAGGGGTGGTAGTTTGTATAATTTGAGAGCAATTTGCAGATTTCATTTTTGTAAAAAAATTATAAAAAACAAAATTGGAAATATTAAAGATATTTCAAAGAAATGCGGTCCTGTACATCGGTTGAAACCCCATAAAATCGCCAAAATAATGATTTATAAATTAAGAGCGATATCTAATTCGAATTTGTTTATTCCTTATTTATTCGATTTGGTCCCTAAATGTTTAGAATCATGCATTAATTATAAAAGTAAACCGGTTTTTTCAAACAATAGACGAAAATAAACTTCAAACTCAAAAGGAATATTAGCTCACCTATTTTGTTGTTGAGGGTTGCTGGGGTTTGAAAGCTTCTTAATTGTTCCAGAACATCACTATAACGAACAAGAACTAACTAAACTAAGAACACTAAGAACAAAAACAATCAAATAAATCACTAAAGTCTAAACACAAAAATCTATTTAACCCCGATTTTAAAAGCAAAACAATACAATTCTTCATACATCAATAACGTTTTATTAAAACTGGAGGGCGGAGAGGGAAATTTTCGCTCGCTGATAAAATACACCGAATCTGTTTTCGAGTTAAAATTCCTATCAGCTGGCAATTCAGACCAGGGTTGTATTCGCTCTTTGCATTTATTTCTAATGGCTCTATTTTGTTGATTAAACCTGCGAATCGCTCTCAAATTATACAAACTACCGCCCCTAGAATTTAACGCCATAAGTTCGAGAACACCCTGTATATTGTGAGTTATTAAGCGGCGTATGCCGAAGGATTCGATTCGAGTGTATAGGTACTTCTTGCGATTAGAAGGGAATCGGATAATAATGTTAGTAGCTAATCATAGTAGTGCAAGAGGATTTCGGATTTAATTGATGAGGATCGTTCTCGAGGAGTTTCGCTTGTAGATTTAATTAAGGGGAATCTTATACCTGGATATACTCCAAGGTGAAGCGAACGTTCTTGATATATTGGGGTTTATTAAGTTAATAGAGATTAACATAAGCGATTAATATCTGAGAAAATTATAAGTTTTTTTTTACTTTTAACAAATGTAAAAATTACCGTTTCATTCGCAGAAATATTCTCGTACAGTCGCGGCCATTTTGTTTGTTTGTTAAACGTCATTCATGACAAATGTTTGTGTCAAACAACCAAACAACAGCCCACTGTGATTTATTTTCAAGCATCCCAAACCGTACATTTTTTACATCGAAATCTAGTTCACATTTTTTCGAATATCCAATGTTTTTACATGTTTACCAAACACTTTTCTACCTAGTATATCAATCCCTTTGTGATATATTCATACGAAACACGTAGAAAACATCTCAGAAGGAAAATAATCGCAAAGAGCGAGAGATTAATCCGTTCGGTCGTCGTCGGGGCATGCAAATCGACCTTTATACGAATGTAACCGGCGGGGAATCCTCGAAATTCATGAATATTAATTCCACGGCATCTTCTCCATAACCGATAGAACGCTACGGAGGTGCTTCTACCTTTCGGTTATCCGGCCCGTTGAATATGCTAATGCTAATCGCCTACTTGGACCGAAGGGATACCCCTTTTTTACCCCAAGTAGGTACGAAAAATTCGCCATTAAACGGGGACACCCTTTATAACGTTACTTTTACTTCCCATCTCTATTAGTGTTATTGTGAGACAACCTGTATAACGTTATATGTAGTTTCTAGTGTTATTGTGGAAAATATGCGAGTAATGGAATAATAAAATGCACGCCTCTATATTACATAATTTGTACATGCAAAAATGAATAATATAATATTATATAGTTTAATTTTATTACCGGGCGTATATGTCAAGTATTATCCATTTAATACTCCATTATTCTATTAAAACACATCGTAAAACGTTCGGGTGTATTAATGTTGTTTTAACGGGCACTAATAATATTATTCCCCTTTCGCTACACAGACAATATTCTATACAAATTTATACAGGATGGCTACCTTTCATTTGCACGACATAACAATCATATATTGAATGAAAAATTGTGTATAATTGCGAATCAATCTCGTCGAATTTCGAACGATTCCTCCAGGGAATTTATCCCGTTATCCTGCCGGTTGATTTCCACGTCCCGATGGTTCGATTAACATCTGTTTACTTCAACACTAACGAACCCAACTGTTAGCTTATTAACGGATAAAACGTCCATTACATTCTCCACCGTTCATTATACTCCGTTCGCCATCAAACGATAGAAATAGAGCCTTATTTTGTATGCAAAAGATATCACGAGAGAAAATTAAAAAAAAGAATTCGATTGTTTTTCAAATAATTATACTCCGTTCATCATCAAACGATAGAAATAGAGCCTTATTTTGTATGCAAAAGATATCACGAGTGACTCGAGAGAAAATTAAAAAAGTATTCGATTGTTTTTCAAATAATTATACTCCGTTCGCCAACATGAGATTGTAATAAAACTTGCTTTTGTATGAAAAAATACTAAGGAAAAAAATCATAAAAATTACACAATTTTAATATTTATTTTACCGACTTTAGAAGTGCCACTTTGTATACAGGCTGTATCAAATAGAGACCACAACTTTTCTAATCTCAGATAAAGTGACTTACAAAGGTAAGGTGAAAAGTTTGCTTGACAATGAAAAACCTGCGATTTTCAATTGAAAAATTACATTATTCTTCTTATTAAGTTGAAATCTTTAGTTCGAGACAATTCTAAATGTTTCTGGGACGTTCTAGATTGTTCTAGACAGTTCAAAATGATTCTGGAGCGTTCTTATAATGGTTATAGACAGTTCTAAATGATTCTGGAGCGTTCTAAATGACAGTGGATCGTTCTAAATGCTTCTGGAGCATTCTGAATGTTTCTAGAGAGTTCTAAATGATTCTGGAGCGTTCTAAATGGTTCTGGAGCATTCTGACCAGTTCTAAACGATTCAGGTGAAGAACTTTTCACTCTACCCTCTTATCTCTTGATGTCGAACGGAGTATAATTCATGAATCCCATAAATTACAATCTTTAAATTTGTTTTTTTCTTCTTCTCGCAGTTCTACTATACATTAACAGCAGCGCACACGTCTTTCCTGCTGCACGAGGAACTCAAATATTTCCAAAACAGGACGGAGCCCGAGAAATCTTTCATCGATCACGATACCACGTCGGAAAGTAAGTATTTTTAATAGTACATGTTATAAATATACATAAATTTAGCGGCAGTGTTGTTAAGTAGTTAACTACAAGTAGTTAAAAATGTAGTTCAATTACTTTTAATGTATTTAAATCACCTAACTACTTTTGTAAGTCCGGAAACATAAATAGATTCAACTACATTATTTAAATACATTTTCAAATAATTCTTTTTTTCTCTATTAGGTACCTGAATTGTTATTTACGATCATAATTTATATAAATTCCTTTGTCCTTATTGAAAACGAACTTATTTTAAATTAGAGGTAAATGCCCCAATTCGTGGAATTTTGTCATTACAAATTTAGTTTTAAATACTTTTAACTACAATTCCGATATATTTAAATACATAGTTAAATACTTTAGAATAAAATGTATTTAACTACGTATTTAATTACATTTTTTACAAGCAGTTGTAATTGTAGTTAACTACATTATACAAAGTAGGTTCTAACAACACTGTTAAAATTTCAACAAACGGTTAGTTAATCGTCTCTTCTATTCCCTGCAATTGCAATCTTTGTGCTCATCACACCAGCCGCCCTTTTTGTTGATGATGATGCAATATGTGGCACAAGCGGCATCGTTGAATTTCACAGGACCGGCTTGGATCGAACCCAATACGTCGCAAACGAACCTTTTCGCCCTTATTTGCGCTGAAAAATCCACTATTTTTGTTTTTTTTATAAAAAAACTCATCGATTCGTTAATATAGAGATTGAAATTTCCTTTGAAACGAGGTGTCACAAGCCTACCTTTCGAATTCGAAATTTTAGGGTCTTCAAATCTCTCGTAAGTACTGATTAAGGGGTGAAATTAACCGTTTTTTTTTTAATTATTGAAATATTAATTGAGAAAATATATTGTGTAAAATGATTAGGATTACCTGGATTCGATGATACGGCGAAAAATAGTAGGCTTAGCAGCGCCAACTTCATGTTGCTCGGTATCAGTACTGAACTGGTACTGTCACTGAGGCGATATTTATTGTTTGTTGAAAAATGGATTAGTAAGGGAAATGTTTCGTTAACAACAACATTTTTAGGATGAGCTAAATAGTAAACTAGAAACGATGAAAAATACCTAAACGAGTACCTGAAAATTTGCTAAATATATAGATATCAAATTAATTTCGAGTAGAGTAGATTAGAGAAATCAGGAGGAGGATTATTTGAAAATATTTTGTAACAGTAGTTATTGCACCTCTATACAACAAAAAAATCCCATCTCTATTAATATTGTGTCATAAGAAACGTCATTAATGTCAATTTTGGCAGTTCTCGTTTATGTATCACCGAACGCATCTTAAAGTCCAACTCGAATTAAAAAATATTTATTTCAATAATATTTCTTTGTTCAACTGATATTGCGAACAAATCAGCACATGCTTGTATATTTTTTCGGTTTATTTGAGCATTATAAAGTTAATAAATCTTAAAGTCCTACTCGAATTAAAAAAAAAATGCTGGACAAAATTAGAAAATCCGCACCAAATGGGCGTTGAAATGCGAAAGTTTGCCCGGTTAAAATCGGCCCTTTCCCTTCAACGTTTCCATCTAATTATTTATGTATCGATCGATCACCGAATTAAATGTAAAGCCCGGCAATTAAAATATGATTCGTCCGAATCCAACCGGGTCGGTTTAATTACGAAATTCCGCGATTAAATTAATTTTTTTCCGGATTGAAAATCGCAACTGGAAAAAAGCGGCGTTTTCTCGAAGGGAACAATCGAGCTTTTCCGGTGCTCGAAGCTCAAAGGGAGCCCTCCGAAACGAGCGTTTGATTGGACGAGTCGCAAAGAGAGAATGCCATTAGTAATCGAGTTACCTGCTCTAAAATAATGCCTGCTAGATGTCGAGTTAATGTAACGTAATGCGAATAATGTTAAAGAGGGTTCGTTTTCGAGGAAATTTTATTCTACCCCTCGATCGCTTCCACTCGCATTATACTCAAAAATTCATGCATATATATACGGGGTGTGCTTAAAATTATGTAAAATTATATTTTTTTTAATGTTGGTATTGTTTTTTGTTTTAGCTACTTTCGTTTTTACGTTGGTACTTTTCGTACTTTCTTCGCTCGGAATTTTGGCTACCTGTCTTTTGCTCTTCGGATTATACAGGGTGAGTCGAAATGATGTAATAAATTGAAATAATTCGCTAATTTATCAAATTTTTTATAGGATTCCAAATATTTATTAATACCATGGATATGCAACATAATTATATTTATTTTAGCCGATTTGACGTATGTCATTTACAGTCTCATTGTACATGCTGTAAGTAATTTTTTTACAGGTACAGTAAGTGCAAATGTGTAAGCAATACGGTGTATGTGGGTGCAACAAAGATAACTTCTATTTGTGCTTGTATAAAGAAACAAGATAGAGTGATGTTGTGTGAAATACAGCAACTTTCTCGCTCTAATAGCTGTTATTTCAATAATCTTTCTTTGTTCAACTGTTTGTTCAACAAATTTGCACATACTTGTATATTTTTTCGGTTTATTTGAGCATTATAAAGTTAATAAATCCGCTATCGTTTCGAAAAATCTACTCGGAGTTGCGAAAAGTTTTCTAACTGATTTACACAAGTTTCGCGAGTATAAAAGGATTGCATTCGAGCGAGAATTTTAATTAAAAACTCTTTCGCCCAAATAAAATTCCTTATAAATTTTTGTCGTAGATCCAATGGAATCCGCCGGCAGCCATTATTATTACGTTAGACTTCTTCCTTAACTCTTTACACGTGAGTATACCCGAACATCCCGAGATTGCCGGAAAATAACCACAACCCGGCAACGCCGCAATTATTTTTGTAATTCCCATTTTGCAGATATACAGCCTTCTGTGTGTGATATCGCAATACCAAGAACTAAAGTCAGGACGCGGGAGGGCCTTAGACGACCAATTGTGCAGGGTAATTGGTTGTTTAATGTAAAGCGCGTTTGCCAAGTCGCTAGATAAATCCGATGTTTCAGGTACCGAACGTGCATTACAGCTCCCAGCCGACTGCGACCAGTTATTTGAGCTCCCGTAAACAAGTGACGTATTACGAAACGAAGCCTACTCCGACGCAAAGCCCTACGGGCGCCGGTAAATTCGAAAATTTGCTAATTAATTTGACATTTGGTTTTTGGGTTGTTTTCAATGGGAATTCGTATAATGTGATTTAATTTAATTTACGAGTACATGTCGATTTTGGTTGTGAATAGATTTAAATTTATTAAGCGTTTTCATCGAGTATTTGCTGGGGAAATTCGGTAATTAATGTAATGTTTGTATAAAAAGTTTGTTTTATCGTGTTATATTTAAATAACATAATTGTTTCATATGTTTGACTTATTGACGTATTTGATACGTTTGACACACTTCATAAATTTAATACATTTCGCACATTTGATACACTTGACAGATTTGACACTTTTTACACATTTGACACATTTGACACTTTTGACACATTTGAATTTTTTTTGACATTTGACAAATTTGACTTTTTTTTTGACATTTGATACATTTGACAAATTTGACACACAAAACGTCAGCAACAATTTTTTTACCATCCTTCATTCCTTCTGTAGTCCTCGACCCCACAAGCACACAGCCAACTTCTTGCTATATTAACCAATTACTAACCAATTAACCAATTACAAACGTCATACAGTGAGGACCAAAAGTCCGTCGTCCCCCCTTTAACTTTTGAAAAAAATAAATTAATTCAGTTTGAATGGTAAGAGCTTTTATCGCGCAATTTGGGATGTTTATATTGGAGTAAAAATACTATTTTTTGACGTAAAAATGACAGTTGAAACTTTCAAAATGACAGTTAGGTGCTATTTTGAATCTGTTTTCTTATGGAAAGGGGGGTCAAGTGACACCTTGTTTTAAAGGTAATTTCATTCTTAAGTCAACCCCCAAATTTGAAAACATTTCAATAACGCGTATTCACATGAAGGCAAATTTAGTTTTAACCCCCTGGCATAATGATACATTTAAAAATTAATTCTGAACGTACTATAAAATGTGTCAATTAATTGTTGCTATGGTTTCTTGGCTCTGACATTTATTTGTCAAATTTAAAGTTGATGAAATTTACAGTTTTTTCGTTTAAAGGACGAGCCTTTGTCAATTTCATCAACTTTTAATTTGACAAATAAATGTCAGAGCCAAGAAACCATAGCAACAATTAATTGACACATTTTATAGTACGTTCAGAATTAATTTTAAAATGTATCAATATGCCTGTGGGTTAAAACTAAATTGGTCTTCACGTGAATACGCGTTATTAAAAATGTTTTCAAATTTGGGGGTTGACTTAAGAATGAAATTTCCTTTAAAACGAAGTGTCACTTGACCCCTCTCTCCATAAGAAAAAAGATTCAAAATGGCACCTAACTGTCATTTTGAAAGTTTTAACTGTCATTTTTACGTCAAAAAATAGTATTTTTACTCCAATATAAACACCCCAAATTTCGCGACAAAAGCTCTTACCATTCAAAAGTTAAAGCGGGTGGGGGCGACGGACTATTGGTCCTCACTGTATAATATATAATATACATATTATCCAGCGCCTTCTCCATCGATGATACCCGACATCCTCTCGCCCAACATGGGCGGCGCCCGCCGGGGCTCCAGGAAATCGGTCAAGTTCCCCGACAGCAATCTGACGCGCCGCAACAGCGCCCAACTCGCCGCCGATCCGTGGGCGTCGGAGCCGCCGCGCTCGCCCGTCGCGACGCCCAAGGGCTCTCTCGTCGATACGGCGCCGCTGCTCGAACCGGGCGTCGCGACGCGCCACCACTCCGTCGTCCTGCCGATGGTATAGTATCCGGTGAAGGTGCCGTAGAAGGAGGTTTTCATATAATGCTGCAATTTGCTGCTCGTTTATCATCATATATACCCTGTGTGTATATACAGTGTGTCCACGAATGGGGTTGCATATAGGAGAAAAAATTTTATTATTCATTTTACGACAAAAAGTCATTGTTTATAAAAATGTTTGCTTCTTTTAAAAATGAGAATAACACTGAAAAATCTTAGATTAGATCTACAGGGTGTTGTCAAATTAAGAAAACATAAAAATACCTCAAGAGAGAAATTTTTTATTTTACACAAAATTTGTATAAAAGAAAGTTGTTTACAATCTAAAATAAAGCCTAAAATTGTATTTTTTATTTGAACATTTGTGTTTAGGCTTTACTTTGGATTAAAAGCATATTTTTGTAAATAATAATGTAAGATAATAAATAAATTCTTTATTTCTTGAAATTTTTTCCTGTTTCTTAATTTACTAACACCCTATACATCTTATCTAATGTTTCGATATGTGAATCTCATTTTCTCGACATGTTAATTTTTTTATAAAGAATGGCTTTTCGTCGTGAAATTAATAATAACAATTTTTCTTATCTGGTCAACTTTATCTAGGGACACACAAAATTGGAATTTTAATTTGAAAATTTGTATTCAGGCTTTATTTTAGATTATAAACAACTTCTTTCATAAAACTTTTTTGTAAAATAAAAAATAATGGTACTTCTCTCTTGAGGTATTTTCATGTTTTCTTAATTTGGCAACACCCTGTAGATGGAATCTAAGATTTTTCAGTGTTATTCTCATTTTTAAAAGAAGCAAATTTTTTTATAAACAATGACTTTTTGTCGTAAAATGAATAATAAAAATTTTTCTCCTATAGGCAACCCCATCCGTGGACACACTGTATACACACCAAGTTGTTGTTGTTGTTGTTGTTGTACGGAGTATAACGTAAACTTCTGGGAGTTGTTAGAGTTAGAGCGTATATGAGACCATCAAAGCGGCTCGGGTTGTCATTCGTTAGAGTCATTAAAAAGTTTTAATAACTCTCCCCGAAGCTTCCTGAAGCTCCCAGAAGCTTTTGCGACTGCATTATAAGTATATGCGTCTAATTAATTGTTCGGTATTGGGTAATATATGGAGCACGGAGTGCTAGATGTGGCGTTGATTATATTGTTGTTGAATTTATTTATATCGGGAGAAGTTCGAATGTATGTGTACGAGGGTAGGGTGGAAAGTTCTCGGTCTGACAATGAACGACTGCGATATATTCAGTTGAAAATTGCGTTATTTAGTCGAATTAAGTCGAAATATTTAGTTCTAGACGGTTCTAATTGATTCTGGAGGGTTCAAAAATGGTTTTAAACGTTCTAAATGATTCTGGAGGGTTCAAAAATAGTTTTAAACGTTCTAAATGATTCTGGAGGGTTCTAAAATAGTTTTAAACGTTCTAAATGATTCTGGAGCGTTCAAAATGCTTTTAAACTGTTCTATAATAAATGATTCTGGGGCGTTTTAAATGATTTCGAGCGTTCTGAATGGTTTTAAACAGTTCTATAATAAATGATTCTGGGGCGTTTTAAATGATTTCGAGCGTTCTGAATGGTTTTAAACAGTTCTAAATGATTCTGGAGTGTCCTAATTGATTCTGGAACGTTCGAAATGATTCTGGAGCTTTCAAAAATGGTTTTAAACTGTTCTAAATGATTCCGGTGAGTTCTAAATGATTGTAGACATTCTGGAAGGTTCTAATAGATTCTGGAGCGTTCTAAACGATTTCGAAGCGTTTTAAATGGTTTTAGACTGTTCTGGAATGCGATTCTGGAGCGTTCTAAATGATTCTAGGCAGTTCTTTATATGTTTCTGAAGCATTCTAATTGATTGTGATGCGTTTTAAATAGTTTTAGACAGTTCTAAATGATTTAGGCCGAGAACTTTTCACCCCACCCTCGTATTGAGGGTTTAATTGTTCTACAAACTTGTATAGAGTTTAATTAAATTTATTACATGTTTCCTTTTTGTAGAAAATATACAATTCATCACGTATTGTTTACGTTGAATATATTTTTGAATGTGATTTTGTGTACTTGATATACAATTTTCTTTTGTAATTATTTTAAGGTATAAATGAGAGCAACTTTGTGGTATTATATGATAAAAATACGCAGAATGAAACAGGGTACAACTTCCATCGTTACGATGCACTAATTATAGTAAAATTTTTGTATATTATCGCACTAACTAGGTATAAATTTTATTGAAAATAAACCTATTGCCAAATTTTACGTAAACCTATAAGTATGTAATATTGTATGTACAAAATATATAACACAAAACCAACCTGATAATATATTTACATTAATACATTAGCTAGCATATAGTTAATTGAATATTTTGTGTATTATATTGATTTTTTATACATTGTAAAGACGTTTTAGTAAGTGAGTAATTAATTAATTACTTAGAATGTTGTCAATTAATTTTTCTCGTACAGTTCGCACGATTTTATTGATTGAAAACGAATAGCAATCCGTCCATCACTCTATAAAAATAGAAATTTGATGCGCAAATTGCTATTTTATTGAGCCCGATCGAATAAAATAAGCGTTCTTTATTGTTAAAAAAAAACGATTAGAATTTAAATAAATATTTTTTACACAAAACCATCAGAGTTTCCTTCTTATTTTCTGTTTTTAAAAGCTAAATTTTCTTATCGTAGCCAACTATGCAATTCCAAAAATAAACCTTCCAGTACCACCTTTCAGAATCGCTCAAAAATGCATTTTATACACTACAGAAAAAGTGTAAATTGTCCACTAAATAGGCCACTGAATTTTCTTCTTCCTTTTCTTTATTAAGAGCTATAACTTTTCTTTTCACGACCAACTATACAATTACAAAACAAACCTTTCATCTCAACCATTCATATTTCACACTAAGAAAAAGTATAAAATTTTCTTTCCATAGCCATCTAAACAGCTTCAAAACAAACCTTCTAAAAATCACTCTAAAGCTACATTTTCTTTGCACAGCCAACTTCAAACAGTTTGGAACACAAACCAACTTTCGAAATCGCTCATAAAATTTTCAATACACCCAACATACACTAAGAAAAAGCGTAAAATTTCCTTTTCTATCCAAAACAAAAGCTCCAAAACAAACCTTCCAAGAACCACTCTAAAGCAAAATTTTCTTTGCACAACCAACTACAAACAGCTTGGACCACAAACCACCTTCCGGAATCGCTCATAAAACATTAAATACACCCAACATTACACTACATACACTAAGAAAAAGCGTAAAACTTCCTTTTCCATCTAAAAAGCTTCAAAATAAACCACTCTAAAGCTAAATTTTCTTTGCGCAGCCAACTACAAACAACCTGGAACACAAACCACCTTCCGAAATCGCTCATAAAACATTAAATACACCCAACATTACATTACATACACTAAGAAAAAGCGTAAAACTTCCTTTTCCATCTAAAAAGCTTCAAAATAAACCACTCTAAAGCTAAATTTTCTTTGCACAGCCAACTACAAACAGCCTGGACCACAAACCACCTTCCGGAATCGCTCATAAAACATTAAATACACCCAACATTACATTACATACACTAAGAAAAAGCGTAAAACTTCCTTTTCCATCTAAAAAGCATCAAAATAAACCACTCTAAAGCTACATTTTCTTTGCACAGCCAACTACAAACAGCCTGGACCACAAACCACCTTCCGGAATCGCTCATAAAACATTAAATACACCCAACATTACATTACATACACTAAGAAAAAGCGTAAAACTTCCTTTTCCATCCAAAAAGCTTCAAAATAAACCACTCTAAAGCCAAATTTTCTTTGCGCAACCAACTACAAACAGCCTGGACCACAAACCACCTTCCGGAATCGCTCATAAAACCTTCAATACACCCAAAACCACATCGAAACATACCACATACACCAAGAAAAATCCCACAATCTTCGACGACGCGGGCGATCGAGTGGCCCGCGATTGTACCGCGACCCTTCGCTCCCATTGGCCCCCAACCGACGCGGCATCCTCTTCTTATCCTCCTTTTCGCTCCACCTCGATCAAATCGCATTCATTTCGACGAGACCGTTCGAAGCGCCAGGCAACGCGATATCACGAGCACGCAGACACAGAGAGAGTCAAAAAAAGATGGCCGCCAACGAAGTGTTAAACGGCGTGAATTTCTTCGAGGGCGTCGAAAAGCTGCTGGAAATTTGGTTTACGACGCGCGACGGCGACCGCAAGTCCGCCGATCTGCGGAGGATCCCCAGGTAATTCCCCTGGAAAGCCTGTTTTGTTTCATTTAAAAAATCATCCCAGTCGGCTGGGGATTTGTTTCTCTGTTGTTTCGTGTGCCGAAATGTCACCGGTTCGTGATAAATATATTTACTAAATAATTGTAATAAGTTAGGTGATTCCCCGTATTGTGTTTATACTATTCGTTCATCTAGTTAGCTGTTGGATTCGTTTTGTTTAATCTAATCAACGAAAGCCGGTTTAGTGATACATCAAAACTTGCCGAGTAGGCGACGTTTCTTCTGTTTATCAACCTTTTTAAAGTTTATTAGGATAATAAATAGTTCATTTAGATTACGTTTGGTATTAAATTTCCATCGCGAAACTTTCCGTTCGTGTATACAAACGATTATTTAATTATTTTTCCATCGGTTGTTCCAGATCGAAATTGGAGTCGCTGATGAAGATCGTCCGATGCGAGATAATCAGTTTCGTGCGAAACGAGCAAATCGACGCCTACGTGCTGAGGTGAGTGGATTTTTCCGTGAAATTTTCCGATTTTTCCGCGTTTATTCGGGCCGAATACGGTCCTGTGCGGTGTGGAGCGGGATCGATACCTGTGCGACTTGTGCGTAGGTGATTGAAGATTGAAGGGATTTTTTTTTTGGGATTTTTAGGGAGTAAATTGAGAGATTGAAGGTCGTCGGGACGCTCTAATTGCGGGGAATTCGAAGTTCGAAGCGTCCCGACGGCGCTTTTCGGACGATAAAACGCCGGGATTTAATTTAATTGGCCCGCGTGTGCAAGTCCGTTCGAGTTGATGTAGGTCGTTAGAAGGGTAACTGGTATAAAGGATGATATTCTCGTTTTCGAATAGAATTTTTTCTCTAAAAGGTTTCTAATAAAAATTAAAATAGTCAATCCAGAATTTGTGTATTATGATAAATATGCCAGGATTTGCGCATTTTGGAATATATTCCATGATTTATGTATTTTGATATTTAATCCAAGCTTTCTATATTCAGGAACATATTCCAGGATTTGCGCATTTTGGGAAATATTCCATGATTTATGCATTCTGATATAAATATTCCATGATTTTTGTTTTCTGAAAAATATCCCAGGACTTGCGCAATTTGAAAAATATTCCAAAATCTATGTAACTTGTTAAATGTCCAAATAATTGCGCATTTTGGAAAATATTCCATGATTTATGTATTATAATAAATATTCCAGGATTTGTGTAGTCTGAAAAATATTCCAGAATTTGTATATTCTGATAAATGTCCCAGGATTTGGGCATTTTGGAAAATATTCCAGATTTTGCGTATCCTAACAAATAATCCAAGCTTCCTATATTCTGTAAAATATTCCTGGATTTGTGTATTTCGGAAAATATCCCAGGATTTGCGCATTTTAAAAAATATCCCATGATTTATGTATTCTGATATAGATATTCCTTGGTTTATGTTTTATGAAAAATATCCCAAGACTTGCGCATTTTGAAAAATATTCAAAAATTTGTGTAATCTGTTAAATGTCCAAAGATTTGCGCTTTTGGAAAATATTCTATGATTTATGTATTCTGAAAAATATTCCAGAATTTGTATATTCTGATAAATATCCCCCCTATTTTGGAAGATATTCCAGGTTTTGTGTATGATTCCAAAAAAAAAAACACCCTGTATAAAAATTTTGTATCATCCAGTAGATATTTTTCATTGCTTTTTCGAAAGGAAATACTTCTAATGTAATAACGTTAAGGTAACGTTTCCTAAGAATTCCATTGATAACGATAACGTAAATAATAACGTTCCTTTTTTAAACTAGCGCTTTTAGATTAGATAAACGCGTGTGTATCTATCTCACTATATATTCAACATTATATACCGCGTTTCATCGCCCCTGCTCTTATCTAATTGACAACTTAAAATATAATTATATGGAAACCTAAAAATAATCAACCTTGAACTCCGACCTCCCCCCGTATATAGATACAATTTAAAATTTAAACTGATAAACCGCATACGATTTTTTCCTCGTCTGTAACACGCGCGAAAAAATCCGATCATCGGCGATATTCGGAATTCCAGAAATTGTTTCTCTGGAAACTCTGGAAACCTGCTGCACGGAAAACTCATTGCGCAATTCCCTTTCGAACGCCGTCCAGCCGGAACGCTGCAGTTTATTTTTAGCGCCGCTATCCAGGCGCTTTCCAGGCGCTTTTGTCCTGCGACAGGTCTGGAAAACCATCAGTTGAGGCGCGAAGAGAGCGCACAGGACCGGCCTCTATTCAATCACAAACCAAAATCGCTCTAAAACAGTTTCAAAATCGCTCTGAAATCGCTTTAAAAGTTTCATAACCGCTCATCTAAATATGCAAATCAATCTGAAACCAGTTCAAAATCACTCCAAAGTCGCTTTAAATCCGTTCTAAAATTACTCTAAAAGAGTTTCAAAATTGATCATCTAAAATCGCTCTAAAACCATTTCAAAATCACTCCAAAATCACTCTTTTAAATCGCTTAAAATCCGTTCTAAAATCACACCGAAATCGCTTTAAATACACTCTAATATTGCTCTAAGAGAGTTTTAAATCGGTCCATCTAAAATCGCTCTAAAACCACTTCAAAATGGCTCCAAAACCGATCTAAAATTGCTTTAAATCCGTTTGAAAATTACTCTAAAAGAGTTTCAAAACCGATCCTCGAAAACCAGTTTAAAATCACTACAAAACCGTTCTTAATTCGCTTTAAATACACTCTAATATTGCTCTAAGAGAGTTTCAAACCGGTGCATCTAAAATCGCTCTAAAACCACTTCAAAATGGCTCAAAAACCGATCGAAATTCGCTTTTAATCCGTCTGAAAATGACTTTAAAAGAGTTTCAAAACCGATCCTCTAAAACTAGTTCAAAATCACTACAAAATCGCTCTAAATTCGCTCTAAATACACTCTAATATTGCTCTAAGAGAGTTTCAAAACTGCCCATCTAAAATCGCTCTATAACCAGTTCAAAATGACTCTAAAATCGCTTCAAATCCCTTTAAAACCGCTCGAAAAACCTGTCTGAATGTTCATAAAACCCCACTAGAGAGTTCCAAGGAAGCCATACGCTATCCAGGATAGCTCACGACGTCAATGACGTCACGAATTCTACGCCATAACAAGACAACTTCAGGGTACTACCATATTTCATATTTGTTTTTCCAGCGAGAGTTCGATGTTCGTATCGAAGCGACGCTTCATATTGAAAACCTGCGGTACCACCACTCCCCTGCTGTGCCTCGAACCGCTCCTGCTGATGGCCGAACAGTACGCCGGCTTCACCGACGTCGAGGACCTCTACTACTCCAGGAAGAACTTCAAACGGCCCGATTTGCAGGTCCTGCCCCACCAGCACTTCGACCAAGAGGTAAGCACCGACTCCCCACCTCTACCGGTACTACCTACAACCTATTTCTCGACTCATCTACTAGTAGTGCCTATTTCTGGGACCCATTTGCTAGTAGTACCTATTTCTAGACTCATCTACTAGTACCAATTTTTGGACCCATTTGCTAGTAGTACCAATTTTTGGACCCATTTGCTAGTAGTACCCATTTCTGGACCCTGATTTTCTGTGTTAGGTGGCCCTGCTTGATACGCTGTTCCCCGACGGGGCGGCGTACTGCCTGGGGGCGGTGAACCGCGACTGCTGGTACTTGTACACGTTGAATCCGCTGCCGCAGAGGCCGCCGGCGATGCCGAGCGCGCCCGAAGAGGCCGATCAAACGCTGGAGATCATGATGACCGATCTGGATCCGGAGATCATGGCGATATTCACGAAGGAGGAGTGCCTGAACGCCACCGAGGCTACCAAGGTCAGTACCAATTGATTCTGAAGCGTTCTAATTGATTCTAGATAGTTCAAATTGATTCTGGAACGTTCTAAATGACTATGGAGCGTTCTAAGTGAATCTAGATAATTCAAATTGATTCTGGAGCGTTCTAAATGATTCTAGACAGTTTAAATTGATTCTGGAACGTTCTAAATGACTATGGAGCGTTCTAAGTGAATCTAGATAATTCAAATTGATTCGGGAGCGTTCTAAATGATTCTAGATAGTTCAAATTGATTCTGGAACGTTCTAAATGACTATGGAGCTTTCTAAATAGATCTGGATAATTCAAATTGATTCTGGAGCGTTCTAAATGATTCTAGATAGTTTAAATTGATTCTGGAACGTTCTAAATGGTTATGGAGCGTTCTAAATGGATCTAGATAAATAGTTCAAATTGATTCTGGAGTGTTCCAAATGACTATGGAGCGTTCTAAATAGATCTAGATAATTCAAATTGGTTCTGGAGCGTTCTAAATGGATCTAGATAGTTCAAAGTGATCCTTTTGTAGACTTTTACAATGATTCAGGCCGAGAACTTTTCACCCTTTGTTCACCCTTACTTGATGTTTAAATAAAATGTAGGATAAGCGAGATATTGGATGCAAATTTGCTCCAGTTGAAGACTTACAATTTCATACGTTTGCTCTTTTGAATCCAATTCTCATTTGATGTCGAAGAAATGGCCACCTCGTTCGCTCGATTTGACACCTTTGGATTTTTTTACTTTATTGTGCTTAACTCGTAATTCTTTTATTTAAACACAATTAAATTTAACGTGGGGTTGTTTGTGTATTACAGAAAGCCGGCATCGATAAAATTATACCGAATATAATCATCGATGATTTCCTGTTCGATCCCTGCGGATATTCCATGAATGGCGTGACAAAAAACGTGAGTTTGTTGTTTATTAATTGTTTCGTAGTATTTATTAATATTGTGTACGTGCTCGCATGCTGCTGGTTTAGATTTGTTCGGATGTTGAAGATGTAAGTAAACAAATCGAAAAGGAATTGAAGCGGACTTGTTGAAGGATTTTTCGATAATTTGTTTTTACAGTAAAATTTTTCAATGTAGTTTCGATACACTCCATTTTTTTAACGACCGAATGTGTTAATTAATGATTGTTTTATCCTCTTTAGGGTTGCTACATGACTATCCATATAACACCGGAACCTGATTTTTCTTATGTTAGTTTTGAGACAAACATTCCTTCCAGCTCCTACAAGGAGATCATCAGTAACGTTTTGAAAACGTTTAATCCGGGAAAATTCACCGTCACCGTTTTCTCCAATCAAGTAAGCACTTTGTTTCTAATAATATTTTTAATTTGACAGTTTTACATTGTTGTTATGGAGTAACTAAGGAGATTCTTTCAAATTGACAGATTTACATTGTTGTTATGGAGTAACTAAGGAGATTCTTTCAAATTGACAGATTTACATTGTTGTTATGGAGTAACTAAGGAGATTCTTTCAAATTGACAGATTTACATTGTTGTTATGGAGTAACTAAGGAGATTTTTTTCAATTGACAGTTTTACATTGTTGTTATGGAGTAACTAATGAGATTCTTTAAACTTGACAGGTTTACATTGTTTACGATAACAACGGAATTAACCACTTGTTGCAAAGTTCTTATGCATTATTTAAAACATTCCGATCGATAATGTTCTGTTTTTTAATGCGAACAAGGAAGTGTAAATATTTTTCGCAAAAACCATTCGACGTATGGCAAAAATGGAATTTCTTATTCTCTTCGCTCGCTTTAGCGGATTCGATACGGTAACGATGAACGATAACTCCAAACCCAAAGGTCGCACGATCCGAATAAAACCGCCCGATAACGCGAGATAACCTCCAAACAACCGGGAACGAAAAAAAAAAAAAAATAATTTAAACAACTCTAATCTGATGTAAGACGTAACGGCGTTTCTGTTCCAGTTATCGCCCACCAAGGACACCTCCAGGGAGCTGCTGTTCCTGAACCAGCTGGGCGACTGGCAGCGCCGCGACATCCAGCAATGCAGCATCAAGAACTACGATCTCGTCTACGCGTTCTTCTGCCGGTTCCCGAGCTGAGGGTGTCCGGTCGAGCCGTGCGCCTGCGCGGCCACCGCCCCCCTCCTCTCCCTCCGCTCCTCACCCCTCCTCCGTTCCGGCGCGTGCGCGCTGCCCGAGTGCATCGTGCCCAACTTCCTCTTCCGCTACGGGTGCTTCGTCATGGCCTACGAGCTGTTCGCGAAATTGGGGCTGTTGCGCGTGCGCGACGCCCGCCGTTCCGTGGCCTGCTCGTTCTTCCTGCTGTACTTCGTCCTGAACGCGTCCTGCTCCGAATCGCCACTTGTCTTGTTCTCGCGGTGGCGCAACAAAGTGTCGTGAGGACCGGCGAGGAGGCTTTCGAATCGAACGGGGCCGATTCGGGAGTGAAGATGTTTCGAAATTTATAAAAAATGTGTGTAGATGAAAATTTGTTGTTTTTTCCTTCTCGGCGCGGAGCCTTCGGATGTGCGGAAGGCTCGGATATGAATTGAATCCGGTCCATAGATGAGGCCCTAGATGTTTTGCTAGATATATTTACTACATTATATATTTTATATACCTGTTAGATTTTGCGCGAACGCATCAGGGTTGAATAGGTCCATAGATGGAGCTCTAGATATTTCCTATTTTCTAGATATATTTTATATACTTGTTAGGTTGATTTAAACTCGTCGGGTGCCAAATTTACATGCAGGAAGAGCTCAATAAGCTCTCTTGATTAAAGTTACTTTGTAAAATTAAACATTCATATACGCAGGTCAGTAAATATAGCCTGCTAGATTATTCCCATATCTGATGATCTAGTGTGTATTGGAACTTTTAATTCGAATCCGGTTTTACTCGAGATAAGGCGAAGGAAGATTCCTGCAATCTTTTTATCTCCTGACATTGTAAATGTAACGTAGAAATATCCTGTCCCTTTAATCTATTTTTCTGTTCCAGTTGTCCTTAATAGCGAATCTCGCCTATCTATATTGTGAATTTTAAAATCAAAAAAAAAATATTAGAATTTTAACATAGTTTTACTGTAAATAGACATATGTTTACATAATGTTGATGTTAATATGAAAATAAATATAAATTTAGTAGATACTTTTACATTTTTTATACTCCTTGTTCGTAAGCTCATTGAGAATAAACATTTTTACAAACATTAAATAAATGCATATAAGATTTAATAATACATAGAATTTTATATAAAATATATTTGAAAATTCTAACTAATTTTATTATATATGACCCGCATTCAGGGCTCCTTTAACTCTAATCAATCATTTTAATGGTCCCTTTATTTACTTGACAGCTTTAGTAGAGTAATTAATGACATTATCCAATTTGACAGATTTACATTGTTGTTATGATTAGCGTTCAAACGGAGTGCTGAATACAATCACTTGTTTGGAATGCTTTTGAACAATAGGACATATATAAATTAATATTATTCTCCTTATATTCTATCGTAGTAATCCACGGTATCTCCGTTCTTAAATTCACCCTTTTCCAACAAATCCAGCATTTTGTTAACGGTAACGGGCGGCAAGAGTACCGTGGTTTTTTTCACCTCCTCGAAGTTCTTCTTCAGGTCCTCCGATTGGGCGGTCTTCAGGACCATATCGAACATATCGGTATCCACCGGTCCCGGGGAATAATTCAACACGACCACGTCGGGCTCTTCGATCGATAACACTTTAAAAAACAAATCCCTGGCCGCTTTCCCCGATCCGTACATGGCCAAATTGGTCACCGGTACTCTACCCGCTAGCGAGCTGATGTTCACGACGCACAATTTCTGCGCTATCGGTCGCATGCGTTTCATAAAAACGCTGTTCAGCAACGCTAAAAATATGATATATTTGAATTTCCCGCCGCAAATGTCAAATGTCAAAGTTGTAAAAAAAGAAGAGTTGAGGTTACAAAATGGCGTCGACCGAGATGATAACATTAAATTTTGTTAAAAGCAAATAGAAATTAAGTTAATGATTCCAAACGAAGATATTTATAAGATATAAAATAATGAACCCGAATATGAATAATAAATGATAATTGTATGAGAGATGCTTACCCAAGGAGAATAAGTTTACATCGAAATGCTCCCTCCAGGCGACTAGATCGGACAAGTCGGTGCTTTTCTTTACTGTCCCTACGTGCCCGGCGTTATGGAAAATGATCGCGTTTTGGATATCCTTCGTATCTGCGCTGTTTAGTACTCGATTGAATACATCTTCGAACGTTTCCGTTCGCGGATTGAGGAAGTCCGTGCGGTAAGTTTGCACCGTTATGGTTTTATCCACTTCGGCTATTTGAGCTTTGGTCTCCGTTAGGCCCGATTCGGATCGCGCCATTAGTACAATTATGGATTGTTGGTCCAATTTTCTGGATATCTCCAGGGCTATCGACCTGCCGATGCCTCGGGAAGCGCCCGTGACGAACACGATCGTTTTCTTAGTGTAATCTATCGGAGCCATTTTGTAGGAACACTTCACTTACACTAGAATTTTGTTCTAACTTTTAATTACGTCTTATCGTTTAATGAAATTTGATCAAACAAATTAATTCGCCCCTTTTTGTGGTTACTTTACGCTTCTTTTTTTGTTGCATGAAAAGAGGAATGATAGACTTGTCATTCTTGTCAATTTGCTTCAGTCAGTGGACTTTGCTTTGACGTACAACGGTTATTCTTCTTTTTATTTTTACGTCAAATGACGTGACAAACGACGCAAAAAATGTATTTTTTTTGACGTCCTTGAAGAAACAAATAACCTGAAAAACTAGAAAAGTTGCTAGTAAAATACGTCAATAATGAAGTTTGCTAAATTATAAACGATTATAATGAATCTATCGAAGAAATTTCCATACTCGTAAAATCCGTTTAACATTTTTCAGCTATTTTTCGAGTTCAAGGATGACTCATCCGCAGCGATGAAAGGAAAAGGATAATAACCATAAACAACAAACAAACGAAAATATATAATCATTATATCCAATCGAATCAACAGTTTACGTGCCTTATATAAGAATATTACACAAACACATCGAGAATGGAGGAGAAGAGAGTAGCCGATTACTTCGTGGTGGCCGGATTACCCGACGATCCGGACCCCCTCGACGAGACCACTCTATCCGAAGGGGGCAACCTCAAGGCCAGCCACGGCCAACCCCCCATAACCGACATCAGCGTCATATTCCCCAGTTTGGGCGAAGTCGAACCGGACGGTTACGAAACCATAACGAAAACCCCGACCGGTTTAAGCGCCGACTTGAATCACGGCAGTCTCAGAACGATCGAATGCTTCTTGTGCATCAAACGAGGCAGAGACAAACCCCCTCTAGTCGATATAGGTACGCTCGTAAAGTGTATGTAATGTAACGTGTTAACTACTTATTAAATTCCAGGCGTAATGTACGAGGGCAGGGAATATCTAATGGAGGACGCGGAGGTGGTAAAAAAGACAGTAGGCGGTAACGTAGCGAATGTAAACAATTCCACATCGCAAACGTTCATAACGTACAGAAGAGGCCCCAAATCGATGCCCTGCAACGCGCTCGTGGTCACCGATATATGCGTGGTGATAGCCAGCAAAGGGGAATCACCCCCGCACGCTTTCTGTTGCATCAACAAGAACCTGAACAAAGGCATCGTGGGCAGCGATGTGTTCCTGTGCTACAAAAAGTCCACCAATCGAGCCACCCTTCTCACCTACAAACCGGACGTTCTATCGAGGTTTATCTATCGCAACGTTCATCGAGTTGTTTGTTAACGAATAGTTAATTTTAGGTACCCGTTGGTGGATATCCCGGATTTTCCGTTCCCCGATTCGGTGCCGTTGTTCTGCTTACCGATGGGGGCCACGTTGGAGTCGTGGCCCAAAGAAGCCTCGCAACCCAGGCCTGTATTCAGCACATTCGTATTGACAGTGTCCGATGCAAAACACAAAGTCTACGGGTCAGCTGTGACGTTCTACGAACGTCTATCGGACGATAAACTCACCGAGAAACAAAGGGAACTGTTGAAGTACTCGAAGGACTCCGATAGTTTTCTATACGCCAACAAAAGCATCTGCGTACTATCGCATTGGCCGTTTTCCGAAGAGTTCGAGGAATGGTTGAGATTTCTACACGTAAAACACCCACCCGATTCGCTCAGTACGTTCTTTAATACTTCCACTCGTAGGGTATCGCAACGGACGATCGACCGCAGAAGATCCCCATCGAACGGTACATCACCCAATTACTCGACGAGGTGCCGTTCCCGTCGCCGAGGATCCTCCTGCAGGTCAACAACCACTCGGATCGCATCATTCTCACGCAACCCGAGGACCTGCCTTTGCCCCAGAGCGCCGCCAGTTTCAAGCAGCTCCTCGTCAATTTGGGCGCCGAGAACTGCCTGCAGGTGTTGCTGTTGATGCTCACCGAGCAAAAGGTGCTCATTCATTCGCTGCGGCCCGACACGTTGACGGCCGTCGCCGAAGCCATATCGACCATGTTGTTTCCGTTCAAATGGCAATGTCCTTACATACCGCTCTGTCCTTTGGGTGAGTCGAGTTTCGTTTGCGAACGGTGTTCGTCAGAACGCCACGGAATCGTTTTTGAACCGCCTTGAACCATTTAGAACGCTACAGAATCGTTTAGAACTATCCAAAACGCTACAGAATCATTTAGAATCGTCTAGAACGCTTTGTAATCAATTAGAACTGTCTAGAAACATTTAGAACGCCCTAGAATCAATTTATTTGCGAAATGTATTCGAGGGTGGGGTGAAAAGTTCTCGGACTGAATCGTTTAGAACTCGTCTGGAACCATTTAGAACGCTTCAGAATCGTTTGGAACCATTTAGATCACTCCAGAATCGTTTAGAACCATTTAGAATTGTCTAGAAGCGAAGATTTTCGACTTCAATCAAGGGAATAATGTAATTTTTGGACTGAAAATGGCTGTCTTTTTTGTTATACAGGACTCGTGGAGGTTCTACACGCGCCGTTGCCGTTTCTCATAGGAGTTGATTCCAGATTTTTCGATTTGTACGATCCCCCTCCGGACGTGAGTTGCATCGATCTGGATACCAATATCATTACGGTAAGGATAATTTCGGTTTAATTATCAATTTATTTACTCTATTTACTCTTTGTAGATATCCGAAACGCAACGGCAGCTGTTGAACGTGAAATTGTTGCCCAAGAAACCGGCGAAAATATTAAAATCAACGTTAGAATATCTCTACTATCAATTGAGGAACAATCCGTTCAATAACGCCCAGGAGAGCGCCGTCCAGGACGATATCGAATGCGAATTCCAAAGGAGAAAGAAACAAGTAATTAACTCGAGCAATTTAACGATTAAAATCGATTCTAATCGAACGATTCCAGCACGCTCAAGAGTTGGAGATACAAGAAGCCTTCCTCAAATTCATGGTACTCTCGCTCAAAGGCTACCGATCCTTTCTTTTGCCCATCACTAAGGCTCCCACTGTGGGTACCACCGATCCCGAAGCCTTGTTTCAACTCAACGATTTCCTCAGGAGCCGAGACAAGGCCAACCATCGATTCTTCATGTTATTAATGAAAACCCAGATGTTTATTAGGTGATTAATTGTAATTTATAAATGTACAATGGAGAGGAGTACGATGTGAGATAATACGGTTAATACGCCTCAATAGGAAACGGAAAAAATGAAAAATTTCCTTGTTTGTCTGTAGGTTTATCGAAGAGAGAAGTTTCGTGGCGGACGGAGATCAAGGACTGGCCTTCTTCGATGATTGCATCGAGAAAATGGGGCACGAAGAGAACACCAATTACAAGCTGATCGAATTGGATTCGTTCCACAAAAGCGATAGAACGGTGTTCGTATTACCGCCGGAATCGATCGGAGACGGTAACGATTAATTACTCGAAACGCTCGTTTAGTTACAACTCGTTTTTCAGAAGAGTACGAGTACGAAAACTTCGCTCTAAAACGCGAACTGCTCATCGAATTCGGCAGGAAAAAGAACCCTCTATCGTCGCTGTTTCAATCGATCGTACCCGGCTCGCCGATGACCAAACGCACCAAACAGGAGATCAAAACCGCCCAGAAATTAGCCAGGTAAACCTCGACACAACCACCCCTTTTAACAACCTCTATCTAATATATTAAAATGTCTCAGAAAATACGTTCGTTCTCCGGAACTCTGGGCTAGATGCCTGTGCGGTACGAGTCACACGCTCTACTTCATGGTACTACCGAGCATGCTGCGTCTGAACGCCGGAAAGGAAAAGGCCATCCTGCAGCAATCGTACGAACTACTCGTTCGAGCCACCAAGCTCCGATTGGCCTGCGACGAGGTGTGCTACAGGTTGATGATGCAATTGTGCAGCGAACATTCGAGGCCGTTGTTGGCCGTTAAATTGTTAGTTCTAATGAAGAAGTTCGGTATACAACCGAACGCTCTAACATACGGGTGAGCTTCGACAACAGTTTTTAGAGCGATTGGAAGTAATATGTTGGGAATTGTAGGTTGTATAATCGATGCGTTTTGGAGGCCGAATGGCCGGCTTATTCGAGTTCCAGCCAATTGTTGTGGAATAAATTGAGGAACGTCGTGATGGGAGCGGCGCATTTCAGATGGGCCGCCAGAAAGAAATCCTCCATTCACATGTCCGCTTCGACTGAAGGCAGTATGTACTTGCAAGATTTCGTTAAAGATACTCTTAACTGTAAAGGATCCTTTAGTAGAAGCAATTTAAGCGTAAAGTAGCGTTTAGAAATGGTTCGAAACTGTCCAGGGTAAAGTAGGGAAGTTCAGAATCGTTTACAACGCTCCTGAACCATTTATAACGCTCCAGGACGATCCAAAACAGTTTAGAAAGTAATCTGGACGATTCAGAACTCTCCATGAGTAGGAATTACAACAGTTCAGAACAATATAGAAACCTTTCAGGCGATTCAGAACAGTTCAGAACGATTCGGAACTGTTTAGAGTCAATTAAAACAGTCTAGTATTATTTAGAACTACTAAGAATCTTTCAGAACTGTCCGGAACTGTCATTCAGAACGATTCAAAACAGTTTAAAAAGTAATCTGGACGATTCAGAACCGTTCAGGATGATTCGGAACTGTCTGGAACCATTTAGAACTACTAAGAATCGTTGGGAACCGTCCGGAACCGTTTATAACGCTTCGGGACGCATCCGAAACGGTTCGCGACGATTCAGAACCGTCCGAAATCCGCACGATCCTTTTCGCAGGTACCAGTCTACTAGATCAAACCGATCGAGCCACCAGCACGTCCCGTTTATCGTTGGATTCCCACGAAGCGATCCGCGACGAACGTCCTCGGCACGTCCTCAAACGAGGCGCGAGCATCATCAAAGGCGATTTGGGCGGTTTCGCCCAATTGGAATTGCCCAACGGGCACCGAGAACCGCCGCGAGACGACGATAGCGATAACGTAGACGGTGCGATCCGCGAAGATGGCGGCGACGAAGAGAAAATGGCGGCCGGAACGCCCGACAGTCCGTCCGAACATCGGTTGTTATCCAGGTAAACGATAAAATGATAATTATGTACTGCGGTCTTGCGTACAGGCGCGGAAACTCGGCGTATTTTGCGGTCGTAGCGCCCTCTGTCGAGAGTTCCTTTATACGGGAGTTTCCCGACCTGTATAATATACGACCGTAGTTTTTTTTTTACCACGTCGAGTTTCTCGACCTGTTAATGCACGATCGATCTTTAATATTATAATGCGAGGTTTCGTTTTGAAGGTACGAAAGCGCCGCCGATGCGAATCTAATGGATCAAATCGTGAACAAGAAGAGTTGTTCGAAAGCGTTGCTGTTCAATAACAACGCGATCGAAGAGAAGGGAAGCTGCGAGATCGAGGCCAATTCGCCCGGAAAGTTAGTACACTAAAACGGATAAAAAAGCGCAAATTCAAAGAAAGATTTAATATAGCACGGTGGTTAGAGCCTTCATTCCAGATAGCAGTACGATAAAGAAAACTTCCATTAGACACTTATAAAAGAAAAAGAAAGAGTGACATTTGTGTCATTGCAACTTTTCACTCTGTCAAAATGATAACTGTCATTTTATTAATCTTTCTTTGTTCAACTCATAGAAACGACCATGTTGCGGTCTGAATTGAAGCAATTCTGTATATCTATGCTTTTTTCCCTTATACATACTAGTAATAGTTGTCTTTGTCGCGCTCGTAGTACGTGCGAATTCGCGCTTTGATTGTACAGTTGTATTAAAAAAAAGGGTACAACTAATAGAAAGAGACATTAACGTCATATTATTTGTGTAAAACCGGCTGGGATTATTGGAACTTATCAAATGTTTATCAAAATTTAACTATCATTGGTCATTAATTCGTTTAATTAAATCCCAACGCCAATGATTTCCATTTTTTTCAACATATGACATTTGACAAGCTAAAATAATTCTAGCCGGTTTTACGCAAATAGGATGACGTTAATGGCCTGTACTCAGCGCCTCACTTTAACTTTAGAGCGACTCTAAAGTCGCGTCTTTAACTTGACAGTTTTACATTGTTGTTATGGAGTATCTAGGGACTAGAGACGCGATTTTAGAGTCGCACTAAAGTTAAAGTGAAGCGCTGAATACGGGCCAATGTCTCTTTGTATTGCTTGTACCCTCTTTTTCGAATACAACTGTACATGCGCAGAAGAAACTAAACCGTTTCTCGCAGGGTATCCCGCGAAGTGATCACCGAAAACGACCCGCTGGGAGCGTTCACGTTGCCCCGCGACGACCAAACCGCGCCGTCCCAACCGTCCCAAACGTCCCAAACGACCGATTCGCTTCGAATGAATCAAATGAAGAACGATCTAACGGTGGAACCCGTCCTGTTCAGATCGTCCGTTCAACGATCGGCCACGTTCGAGGGCAGCCCGCCCTCCCAGAGTAAATTACACCGATCGGAGACGGTGCCGGCGGCGAGCGTCGCCTCCAGCTTGGCCAGCATCGGCTCCAGCCTCAAGTTGGGCTTCAGGTAAACGATTCGAAGGGACTCTCGCGAGAGAGAGCATGTTGTTTTTTGTAGCGTTTTATACTCCGTTCGCTATCGATCGAGATGATTGTGTGAAATAAGTTCGCTGTTGAAAAGCGGTAGTCGCCACATTAGGACAATTTCGGACTGTTCAGAATCGTTTAGAACTCTTTTAAAACGCTTCAAAACCGTTTAGAAATCGTCAGGACGATTTAAAAACTGTTCGAAATTATTTAGATTGCTTCAGGACGAATTGGAATTGTCGAGAACCATTTAGAACATCTCCTAATCATTTAGAACTGTCCAACACGGGCTCGTTCAGAACTGTCCAAAAGCATTTAGAACCATTCAGGACGATTTAAAACTCTTCGGAATCATTTAGATTGCTTTAGGACGAATCGTAATGTTCGAGAACCATTTAAAACTGTGTAGAATGATTTATAACTGCCTAGAATCGTGTAGAATTACGCGGGCCCATTTAAAATGATTCAGAATCATTTAGAATCCTTCACGACGATTTAAAATAGTTCAGGACGATTCAGAATTATCGGGAACTATTTTGAGCTCTCTAGAATCATTTAAAACTCTTTTAGAACGAATTATAACCACCTTAGAACATTATAGAACTGTCCAGTATAGAACTGTCGAATTAGAACTGACTAGAATAAATTAGAACTGTCTAGAATCATTTAGATTCCTTCAAGACCATTCAGAATTGTCGAAAATCATTTAAAACTTTCTTCATAACGAATTTCTAGAAACTATCTAGAATAGAAAACTGTCCAGAATGAATTAGAACTAATTATAACAATTTAGAACCGTCCGGGATCGTTTAGAACCCTCCAGATTTGAGTTTTATAATTACCTGTATACAGAGTGGCCCAACCAAAGCGATTTAAATATTATTAAAACTAATTTTGCCTATTAGATCACGCTTTATCGATAATTTCTCGATGACGAACGGAGTATGATAAAAAAAATGTTTCGATACCCACCAAAAACGTTCGATTAATGGAAGTATCGAAGCATCTTTAGTAATTTACATGTACTTAATGCATCTTAATGTAAACCGAAACAAAACGCTTGTCGCTGCTCTTTTAATAGAGAAAAAAAGACAGTACTAGATAGTACTAGATAGTACTATCGTAGTAGATGTTTCGAAATTTTTAGCCGCTATTCACCGTCACGCCTGTCCCTGCGCAAAGCCGATCTGAAAGTACCGCAACAGTTCATTGAGAACGCTATTAACAATTTCAGGTAAGTGCGAAAGAGACACACACACACTACACATTACAAAAAAAAAACGAGATAGAAACATCCGCCCCCCCCGCACTATCACGCATGCGTCGCCGCAAATATGACAGCTAATGTCATTTGAACGGGTAAATGCAAATTCGTTTGCGATACGATCGTTTCTATCACTTGAATAAAGATAGTTTATTGAAACTAACGGTGGGTTAGAGTGAGAAATTTGCACAAACGTCACTTTATATGATAATAATTTCGATAAGCGAACGATTTAGCATCTACCTCTATACGTGTCTCTTTCCGAACGCCTACAAACGTTTTTAATTTATCTCTTTCTGTTATGTTCTCGCATTTCTAGTCCGAGTAGTTTGACTAGCAAAAAATCCAACGAGCTAATTCAAGGCGGTCTCAGTTCGATCAAGTCGGCGGCGACGACGATGGTGAAGAAGATGGAGGAGATCAAGGAGGCGATGTCGACGAATTCGACGCCCGCCAAGGCGGCGTCGTCGGCGGGCGGCGCGGACGCCGAGACGTCGGAGGGCGTCGAATGCGATTCGAACGACGGCGGCAGCGACGGCGGCGCCGGCGCCGATAGGGGCAGGAAAATCTCGACGGAGACGTCGGGAAGCTACGGGGGCAGCTTCGTCAATTTGAAGGAGTACGAGGAGCCGTTGCCGGAGAGTTTGTTCCCCATGCCCAAGGAAGATAAAGGAGGTAAGATTAGGATTTGGTGCTCTTCGAAGATGACTTCTAAAAATTGAATATATTTCAAATATTGCGAGTTTTATGGAATCTTCATAGAAGTCTGTTTCTTAGATTATAGTAATTTCTATGCGTGGAGCGTACTGGGACCTGGTGCTCTTCGAAGATGACTTCCAAAAATTGAATATTTTTTAAATATTTCTAGTTTTAAAGCATCTTCATAGAGGTCTATTTCTTGGATTATAGTAATTTCTATGCGTTGAGCGTACTGAGACCTGGCGCTCCTTGAAGATGACTTCCAAAAATTCATATTTCTAGTATTTAAATCACGTTCAGGAGCTCTACATCCTAGATTATAGTAATTTCTATGCGTTGAGCGTACTGAGACCTGGTGCTCCTCGAAGATGACTTCCAAAAATTCATATTTCTAGTATTTAAATCACGTTCAGGAGCTGTGCATCTTAGATTATAGTAATTTCAATGCATTGAGCTTACTGGCGACTTGGTGCTCTTCGAAAATGACTTCCAAAAATTCATATTTCCAGTATTTAAATCACGTTCAAGAGCTGTACATCATAGATTATAGTAATTTCAATGCATTTAACTTACTGGCGACTTGAAGCTCTTCGAAAATGACTTCCAAAAATTCATATTTCTAGTATTTAAATCACGTTCAAGAGCTGTACATCCTAGATTATAGTAATTTCAATGCATTGAGCTTACTGGCGACTTGGTGCTCTTCGAAAATGACTTCCAAAAATTCATATTTCTAGTATTTAAATCACGTTCAGGAGCTGTACATCCTAGATTATAGTAATTTCTATGCGTTGAGCTTACTGTGGACCTGGTGCTCCTCGAAGATGACGTCCAAAAAATGGCATTCCATTAATTTTCAGACAGCGAATTAGACATAACGCTATCGACGTGTTCGCAATGCCACAACTGCTCGTGCCTGCTCTACGACGAAGACATCATGGCGAATTGGTTCGCGGAGGATTCCAATTTGAACACGGTGTGCCAGGTCTGCGACAAATCCACCGTGCCGTTTCTCACCGTCGCCGTATCGGACGCCAACCAGCCGTTCAGCATCCCCTACTTGAACCCTCTGGTGTTGCGCAAGGAGCTGGAGAACGTGCTCGCCCGCGAAGGCGACCTGTGTTTGGCCGATTCGCGCTTCGTCGACGAACACCCGATCATCTACTGGAACCTGGTGTGGGCCTTCGAGCGGATCAACGTGCAAACGCACCTGCCGAATTTGTATTTGCGCAACAAGGCGAACGCCGAGAGCGAACCGCCTGCGAAATCGATCGCCGTCGATGATCGATTCGGTAACGGTACCGGTTACATGGAACCCGTCGAAGAGGGTACCGATCCCCTGACGCAGGAACTCACCGCGTTGGGTAAGTACGATGTATATATTTTTTTTTCGTTTTGTTTGTTATATAATTGTGTTGTTTGTATACAAGCCGATTCGAAGGATAAGGAGAGTAAGTGTTCGATTTGTTTTTTTGTAAGATAAATGGTTGTTATAATTCTAATCAATCGTTTAAAAGAGTTTTAATTTGACAGTTTTACATTGTTGTTATGGAGTAACTAAGGAGATTCTTTCAAATTGACAGTTTTACATTGGTTGCTATGGAGTAACTAGGGACATTGTTAATGCTCGATTCACGGTAGTCTATAACAGGTCAAGAAACTCCTGTGAAGGGTATACGAGACTCCCGACAGAGGGCGCTATATAAAGCTCTTTGAATGATTGTTTAGCGCTGAATGTGGTGCGTTTTGGGAGAAGAAAAGTAAGATTTGTTGTTGTTTAGCTCAAATGGCGGCGCAGGTGCGGATCAGGTGCCATTGGGACGAGCCGGGTCTCCACGCCGAAGGTCCGCCCATGTACATTTTGTGGAAAACGAGAGACACCTCTCAATTTAACTCGAACGGAACGAGTCTTATAACGAAACCGTAAGTTTAGAATTCAGAACCCGCGTAGACCCGATTCCTCCAGAAGAAACCCCTCTCCCGAATTTTCCTTAACAACATTTCTCCAATTAGAGCGCCGTTTTGTCGCTAATTTTCGGCTAAAAACACCTTCCAGATTCATGCAGCAAATCATCAACCACATCCGGCTGAGCGATCTGGCGGAGCCGGTGCGGATGCTGACGAAAGATAGAGCCGACGAGGAGAACACCAAGCGCAATTCGATATACAGGGACATATTGTTTTTGGCGTGCAAAGTACTGGGTAGGGCGCAAATAGACGTTAACACGTTCGATAAGGAGTACGCGGCTGCGCATTCGAGGGCCGTGGAACGACACAATAAGCTCTACAAGCACGACAAACCGATCGGTTTGGCGGCGTTGTATTGCAGACAATATTTCAGGCCGTTGACGTTGCCTTGAGTTCCGGTTTTTTCTTTTTTTTGTTTTTTTGGAGAAGAATTTAGTTATGTTTAATCGTTAAATTTAATGCAAAATGAACACCGTTTTGTTTAGTTTATTTATATTTGTATTTTTTGTTTGTTTGTAAGGATTAACAGTATTTGCTGTAACGGGCGCATAATAAAAATTGTTAATTTCTCCGTATTAATTTTGTATATTTAACCCTTTCGAGTCGTTAAAGGAGGAGTGATAGGCACATGGAAAAATAATCTTTAACGTTTTATTAATAAGAGACGTTTTGTTTTTAGTAAGATATACCTATAAACTAATATATATACTACAAGAAAACTGTTCTTTGTATACATGAAGGCAAAAATATCTAGCTTAGAACATTAAGAATCTTTTTTTTATAGAAAAATGTAAGAGTAACATATCATAATACCAAGGAACATGCCCAATTGATTGCATTGCTTTTAAATATTACTTCATAATATTATATATTTGTTAAAGAGGATTTTTTTCAAATGAAAAATAATAGTAACATTTAAATGTATAACGAACTTTTTTTTGTTTTGTAAGATATGCGTTACCTGAGATATATAAATTGCTATCTCACAAGAGTATATTTTATTATACTGCTTCTACATTCGAGCGATTTTACACAAAAAAAAATGCTCAAACGTACAAACAGCTCAAGAGATTTCTCTGAAAACACTAGTGGTTGAAACATTTTCCTGCCCTTTTCTTTTTCATTTATAATGACAAATTCGAATACGTTAAAAAATTATAATCGTTTGAAAAATATACTATATATTGGTGTAACTCGTTTAGAATATATTAAATATAGCATTATACAATTTGTCATTATACACAATGGCAGTAAATATCTTGGTATTACTTAACATCTATACCCCGGTTCCGAAATAACTGAACAATTCTTCACTGTCAGTTATTTTGAAACCAAAAGTATAATAAAACACAATCGAGCATGATACAGAAATGAACCTGAAAGACGTCTGTAACCATTCTGTATCAGTCTTTTTTCATTTTTTATTGAAAAATTATTGCCCAGTAACAGTTTCATCCCTGGTAAAAGCAAGCCGTACGAATTAATTTTAGGAGGGAATCGCCATTTTTTTTTTTCATCCAAAAATAACCGTTTGGTTTGTAGTCTACAGTAGACTAGAGGAAATAAAGCTAAAGAATATACAGGGTGCATTACGACGCTTTAATGCATCGCAGCACACCCTGCATATACAGGGTGTCCCGCAAAAGAACATAGGGCGTATAGGGGAGCCTAAAATGCGTTGTTTATACAGCCAACTTTTGAATTATCGACGATTTTAAGTCGATTTAAACAACATATTTTGGGCTCCTCTACTCGGTATCGGTTCATACGCGGGACATCCTGTATATTATGTATATAAAATATATCTTTTCCGTATTCGGGAAGCGGTATAAGAGTTTTGTTTGAATAGACGTTTGACTCACTGGAACTCGACGCCTTCTCGATTACGGATTTAACAATACATATACCTTGGTTCCGAAATAACTGGCAGTGACCCACGTTTAAAATTTTGAAACGTTTTTAAACGTTTAAAATTCAAAAAAAGGCCTCACCGTCGGTTATTTCGTAACCGGGATATAGAATGTATTCTCGTTTTTGTACCTAACTTATACATTTTTCCAAGGAAATATTTAAAGACCTTAGAACAGAAGCATCCATGATTGTCAACCATAAATAAGATTATCTAATATTTAAAAAATAAAAACTTAATTTAACATCAACGCTAAACATACGCAATGATTGCTGTACAATTGTCTCTCTACTTGTAATAAACAATCGTAATTTGTTCAGAAATAAAAAAAGAAATACTCGATCGATTACACCGTCATCGAACAACGTAAAAAATCGTCTATTATCTACAAAAAAAATTATAAAATAAAATTTCATTTTATTTATAATAGCGGTAATAATAAATAATCTCAAGATATTTTTTTCGTCGGTCTCGTGAAAAGCACACATTCGAATTTTCGCGAATGTATTTTTGGTCCATTTACGAGGGCGGGGTGAAAAGTTCTCGGCCCGAATCATTCAGAACGCTCCAGAATCAATTAGAATCTTTTAGAACGCTCAGGAATCAAATACAACTGTTTAGAACGCTCCAGAATCATTTAGAACCGTCTCGAACTAAACATTTCGACTGAATATAAGATGGAAAACGTAATTTTTGATGGTCGACAACTTTTCGTCCTACCCTCGTATAATATTTTAAATCCACGTGAAACGATTTCCACCCTTAAAAATGTACAATGTGTGTTCTCCATAAGGGGCTGTCAAATCGAAAACGCACCCTCCTTAACAACTATTATTTATTTTATTTATATTTATTTCTCTCTCGAACATCCCCCTCCGAAAAAAACTGTTATTATAACAGAAATGTTTGTATTACATTTTTCGGAGGGACGTTTCTAAATAGATTTTTATTAATTAATAATTGGATGTATCGTGTAAAAAATGTCATCACAAAGAATGTGCGTAAAGGCTATACTCGAACGAAGCATGTTTACGTCATAAAAATCGTACATATACAAGTTTATAATAATTCCATATACAGGGTGTTTATTAATTGAGTGCCTATTCGGTAGTCAATTAATTAACACCCTGTATACCTGTTGTTTTGATAAGTATCTTAACAGCGATTTAGAACTTTCGGGGATGTATTTATACGCATTAGAATATAATTGTATCACAAATAGGACTTTGCGCCGTTCAAAAAAAAAATCTACAAAAAAAACCCATTACATTAATATCAAAAAGAAACATTACACAATTTCAAACGGCTTTCTCTCCTACTTGCTTCGAATTCTCCATTTAGAATATATAAAATGTAAAAAAAATTAATGTACAAGTTAAAAAAATTATTGGCTTCCTTTCAGAGTCTCGTGGACGAGAACGAATTCTACAAAAAAAAAAAAAGTAAAATATACCGTTAAATTCGCCTATATATATCAAATTGTGCTTTGTTCGACGAATTCAAGTCGCGCATCGAAAGGCCATTTTTCCTTATTTTTTTTGGCCTTACGGAAGATAATATAGGTACAATAAAATTTAATACAAACACCTTTCGATACGCAACGATCATTAAGGCTTCCATAATACTATACTCCTTACTAATTAAAAAAATAATCCACAGCGCGGAACCCACCGCCCATCGATTCGACAATTACAAATACAAAAAAGAAAGATAGAAAGAAAGAAGAAGAGAAATGAGTAACCAACAAAACATTATCACTCGATCCCGGGGGGAGGGAAGGGGAAACACAGAGATCACCACAAACAAACCGAACGTCCCCCGTCTTAGAGAATCGAGCACCTCACTTTGATGGGCATGCGCACGTTGCTCAAATGATGCGAGCCCTTCTTCTTGTTCGACTTCCCTTTCCGGATCTCCCGGACTAACGTGTAGAACGCGTCGTCGACGCCCATCCGGGTCTTCGCCGAGGTCTCTCTGAAGGGAATGTCGTACTGCTTCGCAATCTACAATACAATACGAATTAGTATTACATTTGTGCAAGGTAATTAGTGTGAAGGACCTCTCTAGCTTGGTTCATATCGACCGCCCAAGAGGACAGATCGCATTTGTTGCCGACGAGCACCATGGGCACCTCCTCGGCGTCTTTCACCCGCTTGATCTGCTCCCGATAGGTGCCTATGTCTTCGAAGCTCTTGGCCGAGTTCACTGCGAACACTAAAAGAAAGCCTTCGCCCGTTCGCATGTACTGGTCTCGCATAGCGCTGTACTCCTCCTGACCGGCCGTGTCGAGGATATCCAGCAGGCACGTGTCGCCGTCGATGACGACCTGCTTTCGGTAAGAGTCCTCGATGGTGGGATCGTACTCGTCGACGAAGTGGTTCTGGATGAGCTGTATGGTGAGGGCGGATTTGCCGACGCCGCCGGCCCCGACGACTACGAGCTTATATTCGGTCATTGCGGTGTTCGCGTACCGACGGGTTTCGTGGGCTCGGTTGGTTCCTGCAAACGATTCTGGGCTAAGATTCCTCAACCGCTGTCAAAGCATAATAAAAAGTGAACATAACACACCGGAATTGAGGCGATTAAAAACATTTACGCGCTCGACGGGTCGCTTTAGATGATCGCAATCGAGGATCTAAGGGCGAAACTAACGATAGCTGCGAGTCCGTCACACAGAAATTGAGAAAAATGTATTTTTTTTTAACTAATTTTATGAAATCACCAGCTAGTGACTTGGGGATTTTTCGTTACCACTGTTACCAGCCCTTACTGCCAACTGTAAAATCGAAAATTCCTAAACCAATCTTCTTTTTTCTCGATTCAAATATCCAATCTACCTAAAAAATGCATTTATTTTATATCATATATCATTATTTTACACTATATTTGACTCGTATTGTTATATTATTAATAATTTATACAATAATTGTTTAAATTTCAAATAATATTTTTCGTCTTATTTGTAAATGGTCTTTCACCTATAAGCAAACAACTTCAATTTCCAAGAAATTTGAACCTATCAAACTGTCAAACGTCAAAGTTAAACAGGTGTCAATATTTTTAACAAAATGATAAAAACACAAAAATTACATTAAAATAACGCATATAGTAAATACAATGGCTTTCTTAGAGGTAAAACAACTTACTTAAATTCCACAACACAACTAAATTCACCCGTTTATTTCAGTGGAGAAAATTCCATTTCTTCGATTTACACCCCAACGTAGACGATGGTAAATTAAGCGAATTATTCAAGGTACAACAAACAACAACAAATTAAAACAACCACTAAATCGTAAATTAATTCCAGGAGAATAAAATAACAACAACATCCAGCGGAAACAACCACCTAGTACTGAGCGATTCCCTCGGGCAGATATATCTAGTATCCCGGTCATGGCACACTTCCTGCTTCAGGGCCTACGAGATAAGCGTGGACTTCACGCAGCAAATGACGAGCGCCCCCATTTTGGTCACTATCGGGGTAAATTCACAAATTCCACAATGAAACATTACAAAATTACCGATTGTTATTTAGCAAGACGAGCCAGGCGTTAACCCGTTGATAAAAGTCTGGGACACGAGCAGATTGGACAAAAACGGCTCTCCGTATTGTTACAGGATAACCAGAGCCTTACCGGGTAACAGGCCGGTTCAAGTTAGCGCTTTGTGTGTACACGATAATTTACAATTAATGGCCGTCGGATTCATCGATGGATCTTTAATAATATACAGGTAGAGAAATATAAACTTACGGGTATTTATTTGTATTAATTTATTGTATATTATAGAGGCGATGTCACCAGAGATAGGAGTTCCAAGCAGAAGGTCCTGCGAACATCGAACTCCTTCATAACAGGATTAGCTTTCAAATCGACAGCTTCGAATGTGTTTCTATTCGTTGCCACCGAAGCTTTAGTCGTCGTTTATAATGTCACTCAAAAGGATAAAGAACAAAAGGTTAAATTTTATACAAAGTACGAGGGTAGGACGAAAAGTTCTCGGCCTGAAACCATTCTAGAACCATTCAAAACGCTCCAGAATCATTTAGAACTGTCTAAAACCTTTCGAAGCGCTTCAGAACCATTTAGAACGCTCCAGAATCATTTAGAACTGTATAAAATCTTTCAGAGCGCTTCAGACCCATTTAGAACCTTCCAGAATCATTTAGAACTGTATAAAATCTTTCAGAGCGCTTCAGACCCATTTAGAACCTTCCAGAATCATTTAGAACCGTTTAAAACCTTCCAGAACCATTAACAGTGCTCCATAGTTGTATAGAACTGTCTAGAACCATTTAGAACGCTTCAAAACAATTTCTTGAGAGAACTTGTCGCCTTACCCTCGTATATTGCGATAAAGTAACTAACTTGTAATTGTTGTAGTACCATTTGGATAACATCGGATGCGCGAAAAAGTGCTGTGTATTGGCCGAATCGATGCAAGAGAGCCATTTTATGATCGGCAGGGACGATGTGAGTTATTATTCACACAAATTTGGTTTTATTTAATCAATTTTCGGTCGTTTCTGTTATTTCTAGGCCGTTTATTGCTACACATCGGACGGTAGAGGGCCGTGTTACGCCGTAGACGGCGAGAAAATCGCCTTAGAATGGTTCAGAAGCTACCTGATAATCATCTCGAAATCCACCAGATCGACCAATTTGACCGCGATGCCGGCCTCCAACGAAAACTCGATCAATCAGTCGGTCGTAAACGAAACCAACTCGATCACTGTGCTGGATATCCACAATAAATTCATCGTGTTTTCCACGACGATGCCCAAAATCAAGGCGATATTGAACGAATGGGGCGCTTTGTACATATTAGACGAGGCCAACAGGGTGTACCATTTGGACGAGAACGATTTACAATCGAAATTATCGTTGTTGTTCAAGAAGAACCTCTACGATATCGCCATTAGGATAGCCAAATCTCACCAGTACGATTCCGACGGTTTGGTGAACATCTTCAAGCAATACGGAGACCATTTGTGCGATAAAAGTAAGATTAAATATCATTATTATATAGATATTAATTAGGTTATTTCAAGGTGACTTTTCCGGCGCTATAGAGCAGTACATCAAAACGATCGGGAAATTAGAACCGAGCTACGTAATTCGGAAATTCCTGGATTCCCAACACATCGAGAAACTCACCATGTACCTGCAGGCCTTACACAAACGAGGCCAAGCCACGGAAGATCACACCACCCTCCTGTTGAACTGCTACACCAAATTGAACAATTCCCTCGGACAATCGGACAATCTCAAGGAATTCATACTGTCCAAAGACGGCGATTTCAGCTACGATATCGACGTGGCTATAAAAGTGTGCAGGTAAATTATACCAATTCGCATTATTGCATCTTATAAAATTTATATTTTTCCGAAGGCAAGGGAGTCCAGCGGAGGCTCTCATGCTATCGAAGAAGCACGAAAAGCACGATTGGTACATCAAAATCCAGCTCGAAGATCACCGACGTTACGCCGAAGTGCTCGATTACATAGCCAACTTGAAGTTCGAAGAGGCCGAGCACTATATGAGAAAATTCGGTACCGTGCTCGTCGAAAACGCGCCGCACGAAAGTACCCGATTGTTGAAGAAATTGTGCACCGATTACAAACCGGCCGGCGCCGAATGCGGCCCATTGACAGGTAAAACCGCGGTCTTACGTAAATAACAGGTCGGGAAACTCGGCAAAATTAGCGCCCTCTGTCGGGAGTCGCGTATACGAGGAGTTTCTTGACCTGTTATAGACGACCGTGCACCGACCGTTAGCGATTTCCGTAATCTGTCAATTCAATTCAAATTGACAGATTGAACTGTCAGATTACAAATCATTTAACGAACGATTTTATGCAGGTAACTTCGATGTGACGGTGAGAGCGGATCCAGAAGAATTCATCCATTTGTTCCTGAGCAATTCGGAGAGATTAATCGAATTCCTGGAGCATCTGATGGGCGAAGGATCGGTTCTGAGCCGGCCCGTCTACAACACCCTGTTGGAGCACTATTTGCACGTGTGGTCCAACTCGGAGAACGTATCGGACAAGAACAAATTGTCGCAGAAAATTTTGAAACTGATGCAAAACCCCGACGTCGATTACGACAAGAGCCAGGCGCTGGTCGTGTGCCACATGAATTCCTTCAAAGACGGCATTTGTATTTGTACGAGGAGAGGAAATTGTACCAGCAAATATTGAGGTAAGCAATTCAACTTGTAGTAGTTTTCAATGGGTAATTTCCTATAATTTTTTAGGTACCACATAGCCAAACGATGATTCGAATTCGGTGTTGGCGTGTTGCAGGAGATTCGGGCACCAGGAACCCACGTTGTGGGTGCAAGCCTTGTGGTCGTGCGTTCGAAACAAAACCAACCCGTCCATGGATCTTTTGAACGAGGTAAATCCCTCCCAATCATCTTCTTTTTCTTCGTTTATACGACCTCTTACATACGAGACATACAGCCACCTTTCGACGAGTCATGTATGAACGAATTTCCGTTCCAGATTTTGACCGTAATAGCCAAGGAAAAGTTGTTTTCGCCGCAATTGGTCGTAGACGCCATCGGTACGGGCAACGCCAACGTGACCTTGGGCCACATCAGGTCTTATATAACGAACGAGTTGCAGCAGGAGCGGAAAAAAACCAAAGAAATCGCCGAATTGACGGCCAACTATCGCAGGGATACCGACAAGTTGAAGGAATTGTTGGGGAAACTCAAGGAAGACGTCGTAGAAATAAGGGGATCTAGGTAATAAATGATCGGGTAGTTATTTCTAAATGGTTCCGGATCGTTTCCTAAATCGATTCTGGACGGGTGTTAAATCATTTTGAACTGTTCTGAAGCGTTGTAAATTGTTCTACATGGTTCTAAATCGTTTTGTGCCGTTCTAAATGTTTCTAGACAGTTTTAAATTGTTCTACATGGTTCTAAATCGTTTTGTGCAGTTCTAAATGATTCTAAACAGTTTCAAATAGTTTGGAAGTTCCCTATCCTATACTGGATTGTTCAAAATGGTTCTGGATCGTTTCTAAATCACTCCAGACAGTTATAAATCGTTCCGAACTTCCCTAGATTATCGTGAATCGTCCAAAATAGTTCTAAATGTGTCTAAACAGTTTCAAATAGTTTGGAAGTTTCCTATCCTACCCTGGACAGTTCCGAAAAGGTTCTGGATCGTTTCCGAACGACTCCAGACACTTCTAAATCGTTCCGATCCATCCCGGACCGGTTTCGAACGATCATTTTCAAACATTAAAAAAAATAAAAATAAAAAACAGATGCGCCGCCTGCCATCACACGCTAGAACTGCCGAAGATCCACTTCCTCTGCGAGCACAGCTTCCACCAGCACTGCTTCCAGAGCTTCTCCGACGACGAGAACGAATGCCCCACCTGCCAGCCGGAGAACAAAGATCTGCTCGAGCTGCTCAAAGCCCGCGAACACAACAAAGACCTGCACGAAACGTTCCACTCGCACCTCGAGAAGGCCCCCGACGGGTTCTCCGTCGTCGCCGAGTACCTCAGCCGGGGCGTCTTCAACCGGTACAAGGTCAGTGCGAATCAGCAGTGGGATTCGTAATCAGAAGTGGGATTCGTAACCAGAAGTGGGATCCTAATCAGAAGTGGGATAAAAATTTGTCGTTTGCAGATCATCGCCGACGAGGCGTTGCAGAAGACGTTGGAAATGGCGCCGGAGAGGAACAACAACGTGAAACGGGAGCCGGCGACGGAGTTGGCGACGTACGGCGCGGGCGCCGAGGCGAGATTGAGGCAGTCGGAGGTGAAGAGCAAGCCGAGGGCGGCGCCGGTGTCGGAGGGGAGGATGAGGACGCAGGAGCACCGGTACAGCCATTCGTTGGAGGCCAATATGGAGTATTGGAAGCCGAAGAGCGTTGCGAAGAGTGCTGTGAAGAGTAATCCTTTCCAGGGTGGTGGTGTTAGTTGTACAAATCCGTTCGGTGAGGAGGATTACGACGAGGCTAAGAATCCTTTCAACGACGGGGAGGACGAGGACGAGGATTCCGATAGGAATAATCCTTTTAGAGAAGATTTAAGGCCGTTTTAAGATTCGGGTTTTTTATTTCTACAAGGCTTATATAATTTATATTATTTATATACTAGTGTATAATGTTGCTGTTAATTGTATTTTTCCTAATAAACATTTATAGATATCGCTGAAACGAGTTTTGTTCATGACAAACAAAAAAATCTCAAGTAATACAACTTTTAAATCGATTTGGCAACATGGCGGTATTAGCACGTAGAGACAAATCCTACTGATACAACTTATACATTGACTTGGCGATTGTTGTTATAGAGATAAGTCCAAATTTGTATACAATACGGTGTCTATGAGTGCAACAAGGAGAACTTCGAATAGTGTCATATATAGGAAAAAGAGTGATAAAGAGTGATATTTTGTGAGGAGCAACTTTCTCACTCCATCCAGTATTACTTCGATAATCTTTCTTTGTTCAACTCGTGTATGATTGATACTGTTGAAGAAATCGCAATGTTGCCAGTTTATGTATTAAAAAATTACAATATCCCTAGAAGAAATGTTTTTTTTGTAGATTTTTTTGTAGACCAGTCGAGTCAGAATATCCACAATAGCCGCTGTCACACGCACAAGAGTTAAATTGTATCTCTTGTGCAGCGTCCAGCAGCTTCAGTGAATTTCTCCAAATTCTCCAAAAAATCTCCATTTGAAATGATTATATTTCTCCACGTTCTATTTCTCCAGTTCCTTTTCCTCACTCCTTCACATCACCTCGAATTTCCCTGATTTTACCTGAAATGAAACAATACGGGGGGCGTTGAATTAGTAGTTACCGATTAAAAAACTATATATAGGGTAAGGTGAGTAATTAATGAAAATGAGCACGTCTCTAATTCTCTAAAAACCGTTTTTTTTTCCAATTTGCACTCTTGAATTTCCTGGATTACCTGAAACAAAAAAATACAGTGGTTGTTAAATTAGAAGGTATGAAATAAAGAACTATACAGACTGGGTGAGTAATTAACAAAAATTAGTGAGTCGTGAATTCTCAAAAAAATCTCCATTTACACCTATTATTTCTTCATATGTCCCATTTCTTCAACTCATTTTCTACTCTCAAATTTCTCAAATTTCTCACCCTATATAGAAAAAACTATATAGGGTGAGGTAAACAATTAATGAAAATGAGTGCCTCTCTAATTCTCTAAAAACTTACATTTAAAACCATTATTTCTTTAATTCTTCTCCTCTCGAATTTCCTGAATTTGATACCTGAAATAAAACAGTTACAGGGGGCGTTAAATTAGTAGGTAAGAAACAAAAAAAAACTATATATAGGATGGGGCGTATAATTAATGAAAACGAGAGGGGCTCGTGAATCCGTCATTATCGAATGAATTATTAAAGGATTTCTCCGGAAAAACTTTGTGAAAAATTCTGATCAATATATCGAGGACGTTGATGGGAACTTTTCTCATCGTTCTATATCTAATTGTAATTACATAGGCTCTGTATTTCGATGAGTAAGTAACAGATGGTTCGTAAATTATTCAACATTTTTAATATTCTGGGTTTTCTGTTTTTTTTCGATTGTACACGCAACGAAATTTCGCATTTTTTAAAACTACAAATGAAGTTTTTATTAAAAAAATGTATACTGTGGAAGTACTAAATAAAGTTTGTTAATATGTGATGGAAATGTTAAAACAATTTCTAAGTTATGTCGAAAATAATTTGCGATAAAAAATGTACGTTTGATACAAAAATTCCATTATTTTTGATATTAAAAAAAATACATACGACCACTAGAAAATTAATTAAAAACTTACTAAACTTAATCCGCAAAAATTAATTATAAACTACATACCGAGTTTTAGTAATTTAATTTTACCCCAAATCGCACTAATTTTAGCATTCATTTTCGAAACCGAACGACGTGATACTAAACTTTTTAACGGGCTTCATCCCCTATTTATATAAATATAAATCATCCCCTCTCCGCGCCCCCGCCCCGCGCCCTTTCAGGTTTCACTTACTGTCTTTTAATATAAGCATTTTTGAATAATTCCAACCGTTCCTTATCGATTTTATTGAAAATCCCACTTGTACTTTATAGTTTCTTATTCACCATATTAATTTTTTATGCGATCCACTTTTATATAGGACGTGTAAAATTATAGATTCTCCTTTTGTTGTAAATGTATTGCAATAAAAGACTCGGATCAATTAATTTATCGAGTGGAGTTTATCGAATCCGGCGAGCTCGAGTCCTTCGGAATACTCTCACTATACTTCCTTCAATAAAATAAATCTCTTAGCAACATTTTTAGTCGTTTGAGAAATGCAGAAATGGTTTTTTTGTGTATAGTTTAAATAAAACACCCCTTGCATTTTCGCGTGTAATTCCCAGAAACCCCTCAAATGCTTTTTTGTCTAATTTTACATTTCTCTAATACGACGGGGATTAAACTTACCGGGAAGCCCCTATAAAGCCCCCATTTCGCCCCCTACCCCCGGTGTCCCGTGACATTGCATATCGCGAATTTTTCGCGTGACTCATTAGAAATATATAGGGTGTTAATTAATTGTATGCCGATACTTCAGGATATGAATATTTGGATGATTTTAAGAAGAAAAGTTTATGTCCAAAGCCTCTTAGTTTTCGAGCTACAGGGTGCTAAAATTTTAGAAAAAAAATGACTTTTCTATCATCATTTTCTTATTACTCCAGATATTTTTATGAAATTTTGGTTTTTATTTTTTTACGCGAAAATGGTGCGTCGTACGAAAATAAGTCTTCTGACCGAATTTGCTACAAAATAAATGAGGATTTTAAAAATAATTTTAGTTTTTAGAAAAAACAGTGGTGTACCATTTTTATTTCAAACATATTCAGATCAAACCCCGTACGGACGTCACTGGTGAAAATTTAAAAAAATCTTATGCCTCAAAAAATGCCTCTTAATAATTAAAAAGTGTATACAAAATTTCTTAAAAATAACTGGAGTAATAAGAAAATTATGATAGAAAAGTTTTTTTTTTCTAAAATTTTATCACCCTGTAGCTCGAAAACTAAGAGGTTTATGACATACATTGATATAAACTTTTCTTCTTAAAATCAATCAAATATTTACATCCTAAAGTATCGGCATTCAATTAATTAACACAATGTACATTACCTAAAAAAAATAGAATTACTTACATATAGCCCGTTCAATCGAGCGCTGATGTGACGTCACAGGTATAACCCGCCCGTTTAATCTTGATTGTGACGTCACGCCGGCGTGAAGTTAGGCACGGCAGAAACGAACCCATCCAAGGCAGAAACTCGCCTGGAATTCACAGTTTCCGCCTGAGATTGAGTTGTTCCTGGGCACCTCTAATATCGCTCTATTATCCTGCTTTCCTGAAAATTAAAATAAAAAAAATAACTTACTTATTACCAGTTAATTGTTACCAGATTCTTCTCATTTACTCGCCTCACGCGGAACTGCAAAAGTAAGTTTATAAAAAAGTAAAAAAGTCTCAATCAGTCATGAAAATTTATAAAGAAAATTCGTGTAGAAATCATCAGGAATGTAGTGGGGTAGTGAAGGGTTTTCCCGCTGCGATGGCGTTACTAGTACGAATTGATTTCCCAATAAACCGGTTTTTCTCTACTCTAATGCGCCATCTATTGCGAAAAATCGTTACAATTCACCGCAGCTAATTAGAGAACCGGCCAACTCGGTTCCTTCCGCATGCTTCCAGCATGTTTTACAACTCGCTCGTTTGATTCCAGGATTTAATTAAAGCGCAAAAATACCGCTTCGAAATTTCCAAACTTACGAAATTAATATCGCCTTTAACGTGTTAAGCATCCAACTAATCCGATATACATTGTAACCTAAGCAGCCTCTCCTACGTCATCGCCGAACCGATATATCCCACTTCTGATGGGATATCCCACTTCTGATGGCCCCCTTTTCGCCCCCACCCGGCGCGTACTTCGGCAGTGCGGCATTCGAGCGGGCCCCCTTCGCCCCCCTCCCGACTCGAACCCCCCCTATACGGACGCGAATCTGGGGCGCGAGTGACGTCACGGGGACGGGGCGCACGCGTCACACCCCCCAGTGACCCACATTCTAAATTTAGAATGTCCCTGAGCTAATATTAGAAGCGGAACGAGACGAGGACGTTACCCCCTTTTATCGGAATTGTATGTATGAAATGTACGGGGGACGGTCGAGGAGTAAGGGATGCCGAACGGGGGGTGGAGAGGGGGTTGGTTTTTTTTTGGAATTGTTTTTTTGCTCGAAAAGGGTGTTTTGAGCGTTTAATTGGTGGTGTATTCGGAAGGAATCGAGGTTAACCGGTACGGAAATGTTTGGGTAATAATACGCTATTTTTTCGATTAATTTTTTTGGGGAATTTTGGGGAATAAACCAAATTTTTATTCACAAATATCGGGGAGTTCATTGAAAAATAACATTTACGAATATTTCGAAAAAAACATATTTTTTTCTAACAATTTTCCAACAACATGCAAAACATGCGAAACACTTACTCTAATAACGCCAAGGCCAACTCTTCGATTGTGGAAACTCAAAATCTCAATTTTCCTCACAAAAACCCACACGAATTTTCTCAATACCTACCCCTACATCAGAAATCAAACGGAGCGCTCTAAACTTCGAGCGCTCCAAAACTACTTCGAGCGCTCAAAAACAACTTTGAGCGCTCTAAAACCAAACTTTCGTGTACGAATTCCCAAAAAAAGTTAGAGCACTTCGAGCGCCCGAAAATACTCAATACTCAAAAGTCGTTTTCTGAGCGCCGCTCTCAAAACAACCGCCCAAACTTTGGGGGCCCATCAGTTAGAGTTCGGAGCGCTCAAACCAGTCGGGCGTCCCGACGGCGACTGGCGAAAATCTCGCCCCGTCGAGAAAAGATGAATTCGCCCTCTCTCCCCTGCTCTCCGGAAAAACCGGAGCGCTTCGAAACAAGTGAATGAAGCCCCCCTGCGATTGGTCCGCCGGACTCTGACGTCATTACATTGATTGTCAAATAGCACGTGGCCCGCCGAAATGTTGAATAAAACTGAGAAATATATGTATATTCATATATACCGGGTGTCTCCTAAATGTATATATCGTCCCTCGATTTATATGATTTAATAATAGTTAATAGTAGAGGTTTTTGTTTATGTTATTTTCAATTGTTTTTGGGGTTTTATGAGGGTACTTCGAGCTCTAATTGTTTCTAAAATCACGCGAAGAAAATGCGTCGAAAAAATCCCAATTAAACGACGCTCTAACGCGAAAAATCGAAAAATCAGAAGTGGGATTGAACCGGGAGAAAAAATTGCCCCATCCTATACCGTTGGCATTCTATTTGCGGAAGGCTCTATATACGTATATACAAAGCGTACAGAACAGTTCGTAGACCTTCCTGCAGCATCCCTTACCCTTCCACGGCTCACTTGACCCATTTCGGCCCCGCTTTGACACAGTTTGCAACAAGTATTGACGCACTAACTCCCTCTCTCCAACCGCTCGATGACGTCATACCGTCGCCTATATACCTATACCTATATCTATATAGATATAGGTTTGTGGCACGGCCTGCTTCGCTTCTACCGAAATTATATACCCAGCATATATCCTTTATTAGAATTTGTGTATTTTATGAAAGGGTTTCAATACATCCCATTGTGATATTGCTTAATTTGATTCTAATGTTTTTTAATTGAAAATGTTGGGACTAGGAAGGTTTGTTTTTGGTATTCCCCGAAAGGGGTTATTTATTTCTTAAACATCTAGCAATCTGTGGCACTCGAAGCTCGATTTCCAAAGCGGTTGTAGATCCTTTATTGGCATCAGACCTGGTGAGAATCCTCCAGGAGTTCACGTAAAAACAACGGGCGAATCAGGGGGGGAAAAGGGGGGAAAAGGGGGGAAGCGGGTCGGGGGGGCGTAAAAGGGGCCGATCGGGTCGTCCTGCGATTCGTCGAAAAGCCAGAATGAAGCGTTCTGTGCATCGTCCTCGAACCCCGAATAACCGGGCCAACGATCCCAGTTTGACCCGATTCCTCTCGGGTTTTCATCAATGACATCACGCCGGCCCGCTGACGTCATTCGAAGGATATCTGGGGCATTTTCATTCTGGGATATGTATGTATGGATTTAGGTGTATACAGGATGTGTGTGCTTGTATGGCGATTTCGTCGGATTGGATTGTTGATTGGAGGCGGATTATTTTCGGAATTTTATCGCTATTTTTTGAGTAATGAGTCGTGTACACTCTAATTAGGGTATTAGTGATTCTTTTGGTTTGGAAAAAAATGTTGGTTTACTTCGAGAAATAATTACGAGTGAATTTTTATTCAATTTTGCATACATGTTGCTCCATTTTTGATTGCAATATATGTTATATATGCCATGGGTGCGACAAAGACAAGTTCCATTTGACACTTACAAAGGAAAAAGAAAGAGTGACATATTGTGTCATTAAATCTTTTCACTCTGACAACTGTCATTTTAATAACCTTTCTTTGTTCAGCTCATAGAAATGATCATGTTGCAATCGGAAATGGAGCAAGGTGTATAAAATAACTTAGTTTCTCTCAATTAAAAGTATTACATGTGGATTTGTAGAAACCCCCTGTATATTGATAAATGAATATGCCTTATGTCGTTTAAATTTGCAATATTGTCATTTATACGAGTTGAACAAAGAAAGGTTATTATTAAAATGACAGTTGTCAGAGTGAAAAGTTGCAATGAGTAACTAGGGAGATTCTTTCACCTTTGACAGATTTACATTGTTGTTATGGAGTAACTTCCATGAGTTGAACAAAGAAAGATTATTATTAAAATGACAGTTGTCAGAGTGACAAGTTGCAATGACACAAATGTGCACTTTTTCTTTTTCCTTTATGATTTTTCCTTTATAAGTGTCTACAGTGAGGACCAAAATTCCGTCGCCCCCCCCCTTTAACTTTTGATTGGTAAGAGCTTTTATCGCGCAATTTGGGGTGTTTATATTGGAGTAAAAATACTATTTTTTGACGTAAAAATGACAGCTGAAACTATCAATTTTTTTTTTCTTATGGAAAGGGGGATCAAGTGACACCTCGTTTTAAAGGTAATTTTATTCTTAAGTGATTCTTTGCTTTAAAAAGACTCTTTAAACGATCGATTCGCGATAAAAAGAAGCATTAAAGAGTTAAATTAATTATTAAATTTTCCAGCCCACATTCAGCGCTTCTTTTTAACTTGAAAGGTACACCTGTCATTTTAACTTGACAGTTTTACATGGTTGTTATGGAGTAACTAAGGAGCTTCTTGTACTTGACAGTTTTACATTGTTATATTAAAGTGTTAAAGTGACTCTTTAATCGTTTGATTGTCGTTAAAAAGGAACGCTGTATATACGGGTCAATATCTTTGAAATAATATCGAACTGGCCGCGAGAGAAAGAAAATTCGAATCGCTTTCGCCCAATGTCGTCAAACTCGAACAATCGCCAGCCCGTTTATCCGTCTAAATTTGAAAGAAATCAAGTTCTCCGAATAGTGAAGGGGATATTCTATAATCTATATAAATGCCCGACATCTTCGTTTCTCCACTCAGTTCTCGCGGTTTTCCATTGTCGAGAAGAAAAGGCTCGAAATCCTTTCGAATCGTCTCCCATCATGTATCAGGTAAGAAACAATTATTACGTAATATCTAATTAATTTAACAATTAGGTAGCTAATACTTGTAGCTAATTCGCGTATGATTTATTTAAAAAAATACTTGAATTTCCAACATTTTTTCTATCTAAAAAAATTCGTTATTTTAAACATTATTTTCTTTTCAGTACATTCTTTTCGCGTGCCTGTTGGGCTTGGGTAAATCGGGCGTAATCGATATCGGTAAGTATCAGATTTATTGGAAATTTTTTGGTGAATACGTATTCCGAAGGAATCGAAATCGCCGCGATAAATTGCTGGTAAAGAAACTGCAAAGTAGGCTTAATTGATTTGTTAATTTTATTCATTAATGTAGAGAGTAAATCGTAAAAATTTTAATAATTTATCCGAAAAGGAAGTAAAATTGGGAAATGTTACGCAATCTAGAATAAATTATCGCTAATAATAAACAAAGCGCTTCTGCGATTGATTTCATAACACCGGTAGTAATCGAAATTATTCTAATAAAATTCATCTCGCAATTATCAATCAGAAGATTTAATCACGATACCCGAGAAAGAGAAAGCGATTTTTCGAAAAAAAAAAAACTACTCGGAATTAATCACTTTTACCGAAGGATTAAAAAAATTCGATCGTGACCGCTCACTTTCCGATTATTTTGTCACAAACCATTTCTAAACTCACCATAGAAAGTAAACAAATTAATTTACTTCGACTCTCAAACCGATCAAAAAAGAAGAAGAAAATTTTGGGATTTCATCGATTTAAATTAATGATTTATTTACTACTCTTTGATAAACAAAAGGGCCAAATAGGTTTAATTCTTTACTCAAAACATACACCACAATTGTAACAAACAAAACTAATAAAAACGATAAATCATTGGATTTATTTTCATAAAACCAAAATGGCGTTGTCTGAGATTCAACGAGAAGTCTATAGAACAGCCAAACGGTTATTTTTCCCTCTTTTTTTGCCTCTTTCTTCGGTTCCCACAGCCAATATTACTCTAATGACAGGCCACCATAGAACGATAAACTCCCTATACACCTTGCTCCATTTCCGATTTCAACATGGTCATTTCTATGAGTGGAACAAAGAAAGATTAGTAAAATGACAGTTGTCAGAGTGAAAAGTTGCAATGACACAAATGTCACTCTTTCCTTTTCCTCTGTAAGTGTCTCATGGAAGTTATCTTTATCGCACCCATGACCTATGTAACCCATGTTGCGATCAAAAATGGAACAACCTGTATATAACAGCCCTTTGATCTTCCATCGCAGGTAGCCAAGGAGGCGGCTGGAACCACCAGGACGCCGGCCTCGACGACGGCGCCGGCCACGGCTCCCCCGACGGCTCCATCGGCGGCGACTTCCACCACGGCGTCAGCCTCGTCAGCACCGGCGGCGGCGGCAAGGGCGCCATCTTCGATCTCACCAACCACGGTAAAAAATCTGTCAAATATAACAAATCTGTCAAATATAACAAATCTGTCAAATATGTCAAATATGTCAAATATGTCATTTCACCTCGATTTTTAATCTCTTCGCAGGCACCGACCCCCATCAGGGCACCTTCGGCGGCAGCTTCGTGGCGTCGAGCAAGTACAGCGCCGCCGGGCACGAGGGCGGCGGCGGCGGCGGCGGTCACGGGGGCGGTTACGGGGTGTCCGAGGGCGCCGGTTGGGCGGCCAATTACAGCCCGGTGTTGGGCGCCAGCGAGTCCGTCGGGGGCGGCGGCGGCGGCGGGGACGTCGGGCACGAGGGGTTGTCGGCGTACCAGGGGAGCTTCGGGGGCGGCGTGGAGGTGGAGGAGGCCTACCATTGATGACTGAACTGGGATTTGTTGTTGTTGTTGTTGTTGTACATATTTTGTTGATTTTTTTTTGTAATTGTAATAATAAACGTATTTAAATGTTGAGAGTTGTATTAATTTCTAATTCACAAATATTTAACGTGAAATTTTCGAATGATGCCCAAATTGATAAATTTCTCTTGTAAATGTGTTTTGAAAAACGACGATAGAATCTTTATTAATGCATCAGGATTCATCCAGGACTTTCCCCAGAAGTACCTCTCGATATAATAAATATCTCCCGATACTGGACTTCGTAGCATATTCTCCTTGCCTAATATCCGAAATTTATTAACTCGGAGATCGACGAAAACTTGTGCTCAAATCTCGAATTAAAACGTGAATTTAAAATTTCGTATTAGGAGAACAGAATGTGCGAGGAGGTTTACTTATGACGCTTATTAATCGCGCTCCTGCTCGAAGCAATACATACAAAGGCAACCATTTAATCGAATTTCGGTAATTCTGGTTGCCTATCTATTGTATTAGTAAAGCGCGAGTAATAAGTATCAGGAGTTAACCTCTTCACACATTCTGCTCTCCTAATACGAAATTTCAAATTGGCAATTTATCGTGAGATTTTCTTTCCTCAAATCGAAATCGCACAAGTTTTGTCATTTTTCTCAGTTAGGCAACCTATAAAACGATTTTTGGTAATTCTGGTTGCCTATCTATTTGTATTAGTAAAGCGCGAGTAATAAGTATCAGGAGTAAACCTCTTCACACATTCTGCTCTCCTAATACGAAATTTCAAATTCGCGTTTTATTTCGAGATTTGAGCACAAGTTTTCGTCGATCTCCGAGTTAATTAATTTCGGATATTAGGCAATGAGAATATGCAAGGAAGTTCAATATAGGGAGATATTTAGTATATCGAGAGAGATACGTGTAGGGAAGGTCCTGGATGAATCCTGATGTCTTAATAAATATTCTAAATGTTTCGTCGTTCTTGAAAACACATTTTCAAAGATAAATTAACATTTTGGGCATTATTAATAATTCTTTATTACAAAAATGATACGAAAATAGAATATTAAATATTTTTTATGACATCCTTAATCCTGATTTTAGAATTCTTAGTATTTTTCGTTCATTAAAAAAAACGCCAAACTTTTTCAACGCAATTTGTAAAAATCTGGAGCTATTAAAGCAAAAAGATCGGGAGAAACAAATATTAGGAGTTCGAGTAGTTTGTGTCAAACGTATGAAAATCTCACGATAAAACGTGAATTTAAGAATTCGTATTAGGAGAACAGAATGTATGAAGAGGTTTACTCCTGATACTTATTACTCGCGCTTTACTAATACAATAGATAGGCAACCAGAATTACCGAAATTCGATTAAATGGTTGCCTTTGTATGTATTGCTTCGAGCAGGAGCGCGATTAATAAGCGTCATAAGTAAACCTCCTCGCACATTCTGTTCTCCTAATACGAAATTTTAAATTCACGTTTTATTTCGAGATTTGAGCACAAGTTTTCGTCGATCTTCGAGTTAATAAATTTCGGATATTAGGCAAGGAGAATATGCTAGGAAGTCCAGTATCGGGAGATATTTATTATATCGAGAGGTACTTCTGGGGAAAGTCCTGGATGAATCCTGATGCATTAATAAAGATTCTTTCGTCGTTTTTAGACGATATAAAACTATCAAATTGAAAAAATCTCCTTAGTTACTCCATAACAACAATGTAAAACTGTCAAATTGAATTTCGTTTAATCGTTATACAGGGTGTAAAATAAAATACGTTATAGTTTTTCGCAATGATTTTTATTAGACCAAAAACAAAATTTGTATTATTCATCACCTAAAAAAACACGCAATTGTAGGATCGCGTAGGCTGCGCATGCGCGGCCTACACTGTTTTCTTTTTGCACAAAGTACAATAATTCTTTTTTTTTGTTTCACCGGAACAAAAATTAATAGAGAAGCGCCAACAGTGTTTATTCAAGAAATAAAAATAAACAAATAAAAAAATAAATACCTACTAGATTTGTTTTTTTACACGTTAACGAATAAATTATGGCAAAAAATAAATTAACACGCCTTTCCATCGGGAAAATCGCAAACGATCGATAATTATAGATCAGGTAAAAATGTGATTTACAACCGTAAAATAGGTAAAAATTATAATAAAAAATTAATTAACATTTCGTTTGTTCATTAGCGTCCCTCAAAAGGTAATTTTTGATTAATCAGAGGAGCAATTGGAGAGTTAATTTGCGCCTAAAAAGGATAATTAGGATTAATTCGGGTATGGAAGGAGTATTAGGGACGAGGGACATAAATCCAAAAAAAATCGATATTACAGTTAAGTACAATTGATTTTTTTTCAAAAAAAAAAAAATTAACAAATTCGTCAACTCTAAAAATGTCTATTAATCAACGAAAAATAAATATGCAATTTCGAGCAACCCCCCCTTCCAAGGAATTTCGCAAATAAAACCAATCGATTCGAAAACGAACAAAATTAAAAATTATTTCGTCAAATTATTTGAATATTTTTCATACAATAAACAACCCCAAATAAACACACACGACTTTACTTTTTTTCACCGTATTTTTTTTTTTCGTTTTTTCCACACTTTTACAGAGAGAGAGAGAGATCATCTTGAATCAGCCAATACAAAACGAGCCACGTTTTACCACCCTACTACTTCGCAGTTTCGAGAAAAAAAAATCATAATTATTATTATATCACATTATTTTAAGCTAAACAAACGACATTACAAAATAATCATAATAATAGCGCGCGATAAACTGTCGATTTTTGCGTTATTCTCTCATTTTATTTTTTCGCAATGATCGCATCTTACAGGCCAGGAAACTCCTGTCCCCACGAACCCGACAGTTTCCACACCTGCAATTTTAAGACCGCGCGATTAATTAATTCCCCACCAAACAGGAGAATAACGCAGCAAACGAACTTAACAAAACAAAACGGCTCAGTACGAGAGAAAAAAATTTATATATACAGCATGTCCCAAAATGAAGCTCAAATATTAGCATGTCATTATGGGACATCCTGTATATACATTTCTATATATACAGGGAAGGGAAGGGGGATGATTACCAGTAACGTCACGAGCCCTGTTTCGGAACGGAAGAAAAAAATCGATTTGTAAGAATCGATTTATTCCGTTTGAACTAAAAGAAGGCTACTAGATAGAAGGTTTTTGTTGTTGTTGTTGTTGTTGATTTTTTTCTTCGTTTCTAGGCTTCGGTGGAGGCGATGAGGGAGCCTTTGGGGGTGTAGGCCGTCGCGTTGGGGTCGAGATTGGAGGGCGGACTTTCGGCGAGCCGCACCCTCGAGATGTTGCCGCCCCCGCCGGCGGAGCTGAACGAATCGTTCGGCATCACCGCCAATACTTGGGCTATTTTGCTTTTCAATTCTTCGATTTCTTTTTCCTGCGCTCGATTCGCACCTGGACAGAAAAAAAGGTTAATAAATTGTGTTTGTTAATAATGATTGTATGAGAGAAGGGTGGTTTTTTTTGAATGTTTTGATTGGTTTTTGCATGTTTTGCGTAATTTTTGCGCATTCTGAGTAATTTTTGCTTATTTTGAGTAATGTTTGCATATTTTGCACATTTGGAGTAACTTTTGCATATTTTTCTGAACAACTTTTGCACATTTTGAGTAATCTTTGTATATTTTGCACTTTTGGAGTAATTTTTAATGAGTAATGTTTGCATATTTTGCACATTTGGAGTAAATTTTGTACAAATTGCCGAGTAATTTTTGCATATTTCGAGAAATATTTGTATATTTCACACATTTGGAGTAATTTTTGCATATTTTCAGTAAAAAATTTGAAAGTTTCATGAAAAAATTAACAATTTTGATGCTATTTCATAAAAATAGCGAAATAAAGTGAATTTTTATGAAAAAATTAACAATTTTGATGCAAATTTTATAAAAATAGCGAAATAGTGAATTTTTATGAAAAAATTAACAATTTTGATGCAAATTTTATAAAAATAGCGAAATAGTGAATTTTTATGAAAAAATTAACAATTTTGATGCAAATTTTATAAAAATAGCGAAAAAGAGAGCGAATTAGATTAAAAAATTGAAATTTTCATGAAAAAACTAATAATTTTGATGCAAATTTCATAAAAAATAGCGAAAAAGAGTAAGAAATTTGAAAGTCATGAAAAAATTAACAATTTTGATGCAAATTAATAAAAATGGCGAAAAAGAGTGAATTACAGTGAAAATTTTTAAAGTTTCATGAAAAAATTCACAATTTTGAGGTAAATTTCATAAAAATAGCGAAACATGAGATCAAATTTTTACGAAAAATAAGCAAATTAATGCAAATTTTACAAAAATGAATCTTCTTTGCACATTTTCAACATAGCTACTTTAAGAAAACATCTCGTAAGAAACAATCTCTATACAGCGTGTCCCAGATTCGCTTCTATCTTCTCTCTTCCCTCGACCTATATTACACACCTACAAAACCAATCCGAGACACACTGTAAATATGCATGTACAAACGTGAACACCCCGATTTCGCACCCCCAACAATTAGTGCTATAAAATTGTAAAACTGGCAACATTGCTTATCAAAAACCGTCTTTAATCTACACCTACATCTTCAACAGATCGACGAATTCTACTCAGCAACGTTGCCAGCTTTACAACGCACTCTCTTCAATATACATATCTACTAACTTTCTCTGAGCTCGATCTGTCGCTTGGCCTCGCCCAAAGCGCTAAACAGATCCAATTTGATGCGATTTTCGGCCGACAGGGAGTTCTCCAAATGCGAGTTCTTCTCCTGCATGGCCGTCAGGGCGGCCATCAGCATGTCGGCGTCGCGTATTTGCTCGGCGAGCGAGGCGTTTTCGCGCTCCAACGCCTGACCGCGCTCCTCGTGCCAATGCTTCGACGCCCTGGCCTCGGACAATTCGGATTCCAGTTCGCGCCTGCGCTGTTTGCACGCGTCCGTGCATTCGCCGCGCGACGATTGCTGGGCGGCCACCTTCAAAAAACAAATTCATTGAAAAAAAAATTAGCAAAATAGAAATTATTTAGAAATTAGAAAGAAAAAAATTTGGAACGTTTAGACTACCTATATTATAACTACTAGTGTGTTCTGTTGTGCTTTAGTGTACTCTACTCTGCTCAACTATGTTCCTTTTTCGTCTATTCTACTCTGTTCTCGTCCACTCTACTCTGCTCTCGTTTACTCTACTCTGTTCGGTTCTCATCTACTCTATTTTATTCTGTTCTAATTTACTCTATTTTATTCTGTTCTAATTTACTCTATTTTATTCTGTTCTAATTTACTCTACTTTATTGTGTTCTCATCTATTATACTCTATACTCGTCTCCTTTACATTGCTCTGTTCTCGTCCACTCTAATCTGCTCTCGTTTACTCTACTCCGTTCTGTTCTCGTCCACTCTACTCTGCTCTCGTTTACTCTACTCTGTTCGGTTCTCATCTACTCTACTTTATACTGTTCTCATCAATTCTACTCTGTTCTCGTCTACTCTACTTTGATCTGTTCTCATCTACTCTACTTTCATCTGTTCTCATTTACTCTACTTTATTATGTTCTCATCTACTCTACTTAATTCTGTGTTTTCATCTATTCTACTCTGTTCTCGTCTACTCTACTTTGACCTGTTCTCGTCCACTCTACTCTGCTCTCGTTTACTCTACTCTGTTCTGTTCTCGTCCACTTTAGTTTGCTCTCGTTTACTCTACTCTGTTCGGTTCTCATCTACTCTACTTTATTCTGTTCTCGTCTCCTCTACATTGCTCTGTTCTCATCTACTCTACTTTATTCTGTTCCAATTTACTCTACTTTATTCTGTTCTCATCTATTCTACATTGCCCTGTTCTTATCTATTATACTCTGTTCTCGTCTACTCTACATTGCTCTGTTCTCGTCCACTCTACTCTGCTTTCATCTACTCTACTTTATTCTGTTCTCATCTACTCTACTTTATTCTGTTCTCATTTATTCTACTCCGTTCTGTTCTCGTCCACTACTCTGCTCTCGTTTACTCTGCATTGCCCTGTTCTCTTCCACTCTACTCTACTCTGTTCTCGTCTACTCTACACCGCTTTCACCTACTCTACACTCGTTTGTTCTCGTCTTTTTCTAAGCAAAACAACAACGGTCTCGCTCGCCGTCCATTTACCTGCGCCGCCCTGGCCTCCTCCTGTTTGCGGCTCTTCCTCTCCTGGTTGAGCTGCGCCTCGACGCCGGCCCTCGACCGCCTCTCGTCGGCCAGCCGCCTCTCCAACATCCCTATCGTCTGTTTGTCGGCCGCCTTGGCGCCCTGGGCGGCCTGCAGCCGTTGCTGCAGCTCGTCGACGTCGCGCTGCATCGAAGCCATCTCCCCTTTGGCCGCCTTGTCGGCCGTCGTGAGGGCGGCCACCTGCAGGCGCAGCTCCTGCTCGCCGGCGCGGCTCGCCGCCAGCTCGGCGCGCAACCGTCGGGCGTCCGTTTCGAGCTTCTGCAGGTACTCGGCCGCCTCGCGCTCCTTGCCGTTGCTTGTCTCCTGCTGGTCCTTGTTCCGGTCGCGGCGTCGCGACGCCGCCGCGGTGGCGACGGAGGCGGCGGCGGGCGGACGGGGATCCGGCGATTCTGCGGCTAAATTGGCGATTGGAAAAAGCGTGTTATCAAGAATTATCCGAATATAGGGGTATATAAAAGGATTTTTTTTAGCTGTTAGCGGGTGGTTCAGAACCGTTTGGAAACTGTCTGGAATCGTTTAGAAACGATTAGAAATATTTTAGAACTGTCCAGGGGACACCAGAACTGTTTGAAACGGTTTAAAATAGTTTAGAAACGATTCGGAACCTTTCAGGGTAAACTAGGGAACGTCAGAACTATTCGAAACGGTTTAGAATCGTTTAGAATCATTCAGACTAATCCACGATAATCTAGGGAAGTCTAGAACCGTTTAGAACTGTCTATAATCATTTAGAAACGAACCTATTACGCTTCAGGGCGATTCTAAACAGTTAATAATGATTTCTGGACGATTCAGAATTCTTCATGAACAAATTACAAGAGTTTAGAACAATTTACAAAGCTTCAGGATGATTCGGAATAGTTCAGAACGATTTAGAACTGTCTATAATCATTTAGAAACGAACCTATTACGCTTCAGGGCGATTCTAAACAGTTCAGAACGATTCCTGGACGATTTATAAGACATTTTAAACCAAAAAAAAACCTTACTTTCTTCCAAAATGGCCGTCACCGCCGATCCGTTGCTATGCAAATGATTGACCCTCTGTCTATCAGAATGTTTATAATGCAAATGCTCCCTCTCCTGTTGCTGTTGTTGTTGTTGTTGTTGTTGTTGCACTTGCTGGTGATCCGCCTCTTTGCATTTCTCCAACGATTTCCTGTGATGCTGGTGCGATTTGTGCGCCTGCGCGTTCGCCCCCGTTCCATTAGCTAACGTACCGTTCGGTACGTGGCCGTTCCGCTCGTGTTGCTTGTGCACCTTGTTGTTGTTGTTCGCCGCGTGTTGCTGTTGTTGCTGTTGTTGTTGCTGCTGTACGGTCGACGTCGCCTGTTCGGGCGGTTGCTCGACGGCCGGCGTCGCGACGCCCGTCGTCGGCGTCTCGACGGGCAACGCCTGTTGCATCAGCTGCATGTAGAACTGGTTCTCTTTGGCGACGACCTGTTGCTTGCGCTGTCGCATCCTGTAGCCCACGTACGATTTGAAGCCGAAGCCCAACGTCACCACCGGGTAGCCGATGCAATGCGCGGCAAAAGGCCTACAAAAGAACCAAAAAAATAAATAAATAAATAGAATCGAACGTGTTACAGTTGTGTTCGATAAGCGGTAGCTTTACGATGTATGCACGAGGGTGGGGTGAGTGAAGTGATATTCAGTTGAAAATGTTCTTGTTTTGGGCAAAATCTTTAGTTCGAGACAGTTCTCAATGATTTTGGGGGCGCTCTAGATTTGTTGTAGGTAGTTCTAAATGAATCTGGAGCGTTCTAAATAGTTCTAATTGATTCTGAATCGTTCTAAATGGTTCTGGAGCGTTCTAAATGGTTGTAGAGCGTTCTAAATGATTTTGGAGCGTTCTAAACAGTTCTAATTGATTCTGAATCGTTCTAAATGGTTCTGGAGCGTTCTAAATGGTTCTGGAGCGTTCTAAATGGCTCTGGAGCGTTCTAAACAGTTATAATTGATTCTGAATCGTTCTAAATGGTTCTGGAGCGTTCTAAATGGTTGTAGAGCGTTCTAAATGATTTTGGAGCGTTCTAAACAGTTCTAATTGATTCTGAATCGTTCTAAATGGTTCTAGAGCGTTCTAAATGGTTCTGGAGCGTTCTAAACAGTTATAATTGATTCTGAATCGTTCTAAATGGTTCTGAAGCTTTCTAAATGGTTTTAGACAATTCCAACTGATTCTGGAACGTCATCTAAACAGCTCTAATTGATTCTGGGCCGTTCTAAATGTTTCTGGAACGTTTTAATTGATTCTGGGGCGTTATTTAAACAGTTCTAATCGATTTAGGAGCGTTCTAAATGTTTCTGGAGCGTTCTAAATGGTTCTGGAGCGTTCTAAATGGTTGTAGAGCGTTCTAAATGATTTTGGAGCGTTCTAAACAGTTCTAATTGATTCTGAATCGTTCTAAATGGTTCTGGAGCGTTCTAAATGGTTCTGGAGCGTTCTAAACAGTTATAATTGATTCTGAATCGTTCTAAATGGTTCTGAAGCTTTCTAAATGGTTTTAGACAGTTCCAACTGATTCTGGAACGTCATCTAAACAGCTCTAATTGATTCTGGGCCGTTCTAAATGTTTCTGGAACGTTTTAATTGATTCTGGGGCGTTATTTAAACAGTTCTAATCGATTTAGGAGCGTTCTAAATGTTTCTGGAGCGTTTTAAATGTTTCTGTAGCGTTATCTAAACAGTTCTAATCGATTTTGGAACGTTCTTAACAGCTCTAATTGATTCTGGACCATTCTAAATGTTTCTGGAGCGTTATTTAAACAGTTCTAATTGATTCAGGAGCGTTCTAAATGTTTCTAAAGCGTTATCTAAACAGTTCTAATCGATTTTGGAACGTTCTAAACAGTTCTAATTGATTCTGGAGCGTTATTTAAACAGTTAGAATCGATTTAGGAGCGTTCTAAATGTTTCTGGAGCGTTTTAAATGTTTCTGTAGCGTTATCTAAACAGTTCTAATCGATTTTGGAACGTTCTTAACAGCTCCAATTGATTCAGGAGCGTTCTATATGTTTCTAAAGCGTTATCTAAACAGTTCTAATCGATTTTGAAACGTTCTAAACGTCTCCAGACAATCCCAAAACGAAAAAAAAAACCAAAAATTCTCCACCGATCTTAGCACCCTCGGCGTATCGTTCCTCCAACTTACATCACCCACTACATCTCGTACAAAACAAAAAAAAAGGAATCCTCCGTTTTACCTGCACAGATCCAAATGACCGGGCATGTGTTTCACGTCCCTCAATCTGACGGCCGCCTCCAAATAGACGAACAGCACCCACAGGATGACGGTGGGCGCGCAAATGCCCTTATCCGTGTGCCAGACATATTGCACCCACACGTAGGTGCTGGCCGCGAAGAAGAGCCAATGCACGGGTATGAAAAAGTAGCAGAGCATGTCCGACGTGAGGGCTATGCAGACGAAGAACGCCGAAAAGGCGAGCCCTTGGTATTTGAAGGAATCGTAGACGGAGCGCAGCAGGAGGTAGAAGGGCCAGAGGAACTCGAAGCGGAACTCCAAGATGAAATCGGCCAGGATCACCAGGACCCATAGGATGACGAATTTCAGGTAGAGGAGCGTGCTGGAACGATAAATCGATTAGATCAACTCTTGTTTATAATCAAAAAACCCTCTTTTAACTCTTCTAACATTTGTCTGTTAATGATCGTTTTTTTATTACTAATAAGTTAATTTTCAATGAGTTTGTTTCAAATAAAAGTTAATACAACTATTTTTCTTGAATCTACACAAACTCAATCATCTATTTAATTAATAAATCAAAAGTTATACAGCTACATTGTAACACCAAAAATCTCCCAACCCTTACACATTAAATGCTATTAAATAATTTACGATGAAAAAAAAATTATACGCGATAATAATAAGTCTGTAAACGCGCTAAATGCATGTAATAACGTGTTTTTAGACTCGTTTTAATACATCGGAAAATTGTTAAAAATAAATTTGTGTTTTGACAGGTGAGAATTCTAACCTACAATTTTGCGAATTATATGTCGTAACAGTTGCGAAAATAATGGTGTTTTATTATCGGATGGAGCGTAATGTGCTCGCGAAGGTCTCGCGCGGTAAATTATCCGCAAAAAATCAAAGGGAAACCAGCCATTTTGTACCCACATATGGTATAAAATCGCTTAGAATGTAATCGATGTATGCAATTGTAGCGTTAGACCGGTCACATTCTAATCGCTAGAAAACGTACCTTCCGTAAAATCCTTCGGTTATTTTGCTCTTTTTCATGGGCCTTCTCATTTTAGCTATCTCGGCATTTCGTCTCTTCATAATTTTTCCCTTTTACCGATAAAACCAACGATTTTCACGCGCGCTTCACTCACAGATTTCAATTTTCACCCTTGTTTTCTTTCATGGATTTTTCTCGGCCGCACGAAAACTGTATTTTATCCCGTATTCCTCCGTCGCGAAAATGTATGTGTATTTTTTTGTTGTCAACCTGTCAGCTGTCGATTTTAGTTACATCCCGCCCGTCCAGACGGCGCCACCGTACTCACTTCTGAAATTTTTGACGTTTTGCGCCATCTTGTAATTATCTACAGAACTTGCGGTAATTGAAATGTAGGGAGTTTATTAGCGATAATGTATTAATTTGTGTTTTAATTAGTAAGAAATTGTCATGTAATTGATGTTATGATGAGTGTTGATGTTGCGATGTCGATAAATTGTAGTGATATGTCAAAAAAGTTGGATTTTTAAAAGCGTGTAATGTGTGTTGTCTAACTTTCAGGTGCAATGTGCACACAATAAATAGATATGTTTTTACTGTTGGTGATTTATTTTTCTTCTATCTTGTGGTTAACACACGTGTTGGGCTTTCGAAATAACCATTAGTCAATGCAAAAATGCGGACTATTTAGGAATGCGCTGGAAAGGGCACGTGCGGGCCAAAAGTTAATCTATTAGGGTCAAAAAACGCTCCCTTTCCGGTTTCTCGAATACCTAAACCGACCTTAAACGATTCGACTAATGAGGTAATTAATAGCCCTATTCATCGTTTAAAAAGTACGCTTAAAATTGCGAAAGAAATACCAAAAATAAGCAGAGGACTTTTATAAAAATATCTGGAATAACAAGAAAATTATGATTGTCTGAAATTGTAACACCCTGTAGCTCGAAAACTAAGTAGTTTAGTACAACTTTTCTTCTTAAAATCATCCAAATATTCACATGTTTAAGTATTTAAGGGTTTAAAGAAGACAAGAACAGCGTAGTTGCAGTTTAAAGAAGGGCAAATCGAGCAGATGTTTCCCGAAATATTCCGCAAAACCGTCTGGGAGCATGTCTGTCTCGACCCTCAACCCCCGATCTTTCACCCTTCGACCGGGGAATCCCCCGTCCGGGATACTTCGCTAATGGCGGAAAACCGGCTCGTCTGGAATTACCATCACCTGGCCCGGTAATCTCGAAACATCCCGCTAAGAAACAGCCATTAGAAAGATCTCGAGGCGTTGAGTAAAAACAGGAATTCTTCCTTTATATACCTGTAGTGTAGTCTCTGCAACGTTTCAAATACAAAACCCGATGTTTACTTGATACAAACGCATTTCGTATACGCTCGAAAACATCTGTTTCTTCTATAAATAAACGCCGCTTTAATCGGAAATATTTCGCCCATTGTTTCCCGAACCGAACGCTCTGTATATGCAGCACGTAGCATCCCAGTAAAAAAAACTTTATTAGTAAATAATAGGAGCTTCGCGGGGCACGGGTTTCCGGTGTGAACGCACCCTCGTTCCCGAAATATCCCCCAAGAAACCGGCAGTTTAAAAGGCAAAGGAGAAGAACCACCGCGTCAACAAGCCACTTGCGCCTCGCGGGTTCATTGTCGCCGGATTTTTCCAAGGTAAGAGTCCCCCTCGGTGCTCGAAAATAGAAGAGGCGAGAGAAATACCCCGGGCCCGTTTCCGTTTTATTTCCACCTTAATGACGATGATGCGCCCATTGCGCTGATTCATCTGTACAGCATGTGTAGAATCTTACCACTTGCCGCTTTATCTACAGCTGTCTTGGCTATGTGGAGAAAAAAATTTGTTCGACAATGGATCGCGTCGTGGAAGGAATTACGCGCGATACGCTCGTGCGGGAGGAATAAATTCGTATGAGGTTGTTGAAGATGGTCTATTTCGGTGGCCGCCTACACGGTGGAGGTTGTGGTTTATTTTGGTCTGCGGGTTTTCTACATTTTCTTTGTTAAGGCTCTCGTGCAACGTGCCCTCGGTAATGGAAGACCGGTGTGCGGGTGTCCAAAAATAAATATCGGATCCCTTGTACTGTCTACAAGGGGTTGTTTCCCTTATCTAAAGCGTGGAAAACACTAGAATAGGCTCTTAGAGTACAAATAATAACTAAATTAATAAAGAAACCGTACGAAATTCCGCCAAAAGATGAATAGAAAGTAGTGTGAGCATCATAAAATAACAAAAATCCCCAAAAGACATTCAAAAGATGAACACAAAGCGTCTGAGACCCGCCACTGAGGGATAGAATTAAGCATTATCATGATTCATTACCAATTATGTATTGTAATACATTCTGTATAATGTATTGTATAATTTTTTTAGAAAAAAGAAATCTGCGAATTAGTCTCAAATTATGCAAACTACCACCTCTAGAATTTAGTGCCATAATTTCAAGAACACCCTGTATTGTTTGGTATTAAATAGTGTATAAAATAAAGCCGTTATTACTACAGGTTGTGTTTCGGTGATACTAGATGAATATAGAAACAACTTGAGTAACATAAAATAGGAAAAATCCCCAAAACTTTTTCACGCAATTAGTATTGCCAACTTAATTGCTACGTTAGTATAATTTTCAGGCAGATATATATTTATACAGGAAAAAGGAAGTTTGTCGAAAGATTTTGTATATTATTTCAACGAGATCTGACACTGCTTTTCTCAACGGGAAACGTAAACACGTTTTCCAGGTCGAATGGGGACTATAAAAAAAAATCCACGTGAACGTTTTACTTATTTCGGATCATTCCCGGGAAATACGGGCTGTTGATTAATCAATTACATGTGTAGATACAATTTTTTTTAAATGTAATTAAATAATACACATATAAACAAGTGTATTTTTAAATCGCACTGTATATTGACAAAAGGAGTGTTTAATTTGACAGTTGTAACAACGGACATTGTTTGAATTGACAGTTTTACATTGTTGTTATGGAGTAACTAAGGAGATTTTTTCAATTGACAGATTGGCATTGTTGTTATGGAGTAACCATGGACTCATTAAACGCTTGATTAGCCAGTAACTTTTCGGAAGTAACGTTGGCAATACTAAGATCGAGTAAAGTCCCCTTTACTAATCTTGAATCAAACACCAACTAAATTTAAATATTTGGCTAGCGGTTCTATCTAAAAAAAACACACACACACACACCGCAACGCGTACGCAGAGAAATATTATGAATGAACGAAATAACATGTGCAAGGAGGCGAAAAGTGCACCGAAACAACGAGCGAGAAATGAAAGGAAAAAAAAATCGTATTTAATTTAACGTGTATAACATATACATCCTGCCCGATGCTCGCGTGTTCCTGCTTCTCGACCGGCCGTCGCAGGAGCGCCAAACACGTGCTCGCCCGATCCCGTTTCTCTCATATTTTCCCAGCTTCCGCTTACTCAAACCTCTTTTAACGCCTCTAAATTACAAAATACCAATTTCGTATACGCCGAAAAAAAAAAAATTACTCGCGATTTTTTCCTGCGAATTTCGCTTCACTAACTCATCGGGTATTTCCGTTTCCTCCGCCGTATATAAAATGCGATATATATGTATACATGTATTAGATATGAGTCAGTGGCGAGCGAGCAAGAGGTGGTCGTTGAAAGAGGGCCAAAACGACGACGGCGGCGTCGCGACGCATTCCTTTTTACGATAAATTTAGATCGAGACGGCGTCGCATCCCCCCGCTTCGCACCTGCGACGAATTATCACGTCGAAAATTCGACGTTCATACTCTACTCTAATGCATTATCTTCAAGTCTATCTTACTTCTACTCGTGCATTATCTTACAGTATTACATCTATCTAAGATTATTATTTTGTATTGCATGCACCGCATTGTCGCATTCTTACATAGTTTGTAATTAACTTATAGTACGAGGGTAGGGTGAAAAGTTCTCGGCCTACATCATTTTTAATACTGTCTAGAACAATCTAGACGATCCAGAATTATTTAAAACTGTCTGGAACCATTCAGAACGCTCCAGAATCATTTTTAGAACTCCCCATATACATTTAGAACGCTTCGGAATCATTTAAAACCGTCTACAACCAATTAAAACGCTCCAAAATCATTTTAGAACTGTCTCGAACTAAAGATTTTGACTTAATAAGAAGAATAATGTAATTTCTCAACTAAAAATCGCCTTGTTCTATCTTACATAGTTCGTAATTAACTTATAGTAGGAGTGTAGGGTGAAAAGTTCTCAGCCTACATCATTTTTAGTACTGTCTAGAACAATCTAGACGATCCAGAATTATTTAAAACTGTCTGGAACCATTCAGAACGCTCTAGAATCTTTTAGAACCCCTCATATTCATTTAGAACGCTCCAGAATCACTTAAAACCGTCTATAACCATTTAGAACGCTCCAAAATGATTTTAGAATTATCTAGAACTAAAGATTTTGACTTAATAAGAAGAATAATGAAATTTTCCAACTGAAAATCGCAGTATTTCATTTTCGGACCGAGAACTTTTCACCTTACACTTGTATATGTTTCACTTTATCTCATTCTATCTATCTCATTCTATTATTTCATTCTATCTTACATTGTGCATAAGTCAGTCATATGCATTGCATGCTTATAGTCCATTATCTCATTCTATCTTACATTATGCATTATCTTTTTATAGTATACATTAGTGATTTTTTTTGCGATGATTGTAGGAATAAATTGGAAATGTGGTATGCGTGTTATTTAAATTAATTAATAGGTGGTAATTGGAAGGTTTAGTTTATTTTACTTTAGTGACTTTAAACGGATCGTTAAAATGATTATATGTTGTGAAATTTGCCATTTAAGTTGTCTAGACGATTGTGAAAATAAATATAAAAGAATAAAAATCACTAGGAAAGGTGGAAATTATTGGATAATGGCAAAAAAATTCGTTGTTTTGATATTTACAGGGGATGTTTTCGACATCTTCTTCTTTGTTTTTATTATTGTGGTCTCCACTATCTGTGCTATTCAGATTAAAAAAAATTGACAGAAAAAAAATTAATTCGAATAAAAATATTTGTACGACTACAATTTATTCTACTTACATGGAAATCTCTATTATAATTAAACACTGAGCGAGGCCCAACACGATCAAAACGACTTGTTAGCAGGAGAGATTTTTTTTTTACCCAGAGCCAACTCGGATTCGACGAGGTGGTGTTTTCATAAAAATATGGAAACATATGTAGCATAAAAAAACTCACCAAGTGGTCGATAAAAAACACCCCCATCTAATCGGTACTCGCTCGCTCTTCTTTTTTTCCATACAAAATCGATCTAAACCAACAAGGCTATCCATCCAATTTTAATAATAATAAATCTTGGAACTTAAAATAGTAAGAAAAGATTCTTTCTTCAATGACAGTTGACCAACATGGCCTCGTTTATTTGGATAAAAAGACTGATGTAAAATAATTACAGACATTAAAGTTGATAACAAAGAAATTCAAATAATTTTTGATGTGGAACGTAGGTTGTTTATTAGATTATTTTAGATAATTAGATAAAAAAAAACAAACTGGAGTGACAAGTGGTTATCCAAAATGGCCGACTTTTTGTCTCTTTTGTTTACCATTGTTTCCTTGCTACTTGATGTTCTAAGCAATAAATCTAATCGTAGCAAAAGTAAAGTACATGTAAAATTAGCCAATTGGAAGTGTCACGTGCCGAGTTTCGAGACACGTGTGCGCGTTGCATTCGCAGACACAACACAGCTTGTGGCAGATCGAGATTTACATTTCGTGTGCCATAAATAGCTGTGAAAACCCCCGACTGGATATTATTTTTTGCGCTCGATTTGTTGCGATATTCTTACATAGAAATTCGCCGAACGAAAGGGGTTGATGATGTATCGAAATTTGTACAGAAGGGTTGGATTTTTTTATATAAATTTCGATACCCCGTAGAAACGATGGGGTTAATTCGATTAGAAGGAAGCCCGTTAATCGCGTTTGGTTCGAATTGAACGTAATAATTCGGTCGGAGTCGGCTCGAAAAGTCAATAGAAACTTCAAAATACAGGAATTATGGAGTATTTTCTTCGGTGCTATTTCGAACAATTCGCTTCGTTGCCGAGGAACAGTTTGCACGACAGGAGGAAGAGACAGAGCATGGTAGATTACATTAGTACAATGATCGAAGGATGTTCTACAGGTAAATCCATCTCAACAATCTCATAGAATATATTGTTCGAAACGTTGTCCAAAAACGGGAACAAACAGGCACCTTTAAACTCCACCAGTATATTCTTTTTCATAAACCAATTATTCCTGCTTTATAAGTTAACCTATTTAAACAATTTTATCTTCTTTGTCCTATTCTTTACTAGCTCTTTTCTCTTCTATTCAAGCCCTTTCAAACTCTTCTACATTCCTTAAGTCATCTAAAAGATTACACCACAAAACATTGTCCAATGCAAACATTATGCAAAACTTTACCCGTGATATTTCTCAATGTATTGTCAAAAACATTGCATGAAACTGTTCAAATCTTTGTGCAAAACATTGTCTATTGTATATATCTCAAAGTATTGTCTAAAACATTGTCCAAAGTGGAACACACCAATTAAAAGCTTCTCCTGTAAAAGTACAAAAACTCCACCAGTACATTCCTTTTTCATAGACCAATTATTCCTACTTTATAAGTTAACCAATTTAAACAATTTCATCTTCTTTCTTTCATTATTCACCAGCTCATTTCTCTTCCATTTCAATCCTTTCAATATTTTACTCATTTCTTAAAATCCTCCAAAATATAACACCACAAATAGCTCATGATATTTCTCAAAGTACTATCTTAAACATTGTCCAAAAAACGTCCAAATCATTATACAAAACATTGTCCAAAACATAATTTGTTGAAGTGGAAACAAATGTAGACGAAAGCGCAAAAATAGCCATAAAAACAATAGTAAAATACCACGAAGAGAACAAAAGCGAAAACGGAAACGTATGCATGATGGGAAAATACCACAACATCCTGTATATAGCCGTAAAATTGTGCTTCGTGTGGCAGATAAAAGATCCCCCAACGGTAAACGAACCATCCAGCAATAAAAAACCGTCGCGAAAACCAGAATTTTCCAGGTAACCCAGCTGCTCGAAGAAATTTTCCGCTGCGAAAACACCTTCGAACGGATCCTGATCGGCGCCATTTTCGGCGGGAAAGCGCCCCATTACGTGGCGGGCTGGAAAAGCGACTTCGCTTCGGAAGAGGAAAACCTCAGAGCTGTGGTTTATTTCCTGGACAAAGCCAACAAAGGAAAACTCCTGCTGAAGCCGCACCGAGACCAAGAAACCTATCGCTTCGTCGACACGCCGATGGAAAGCTGCGGGAAAGCTTCGCCTTTAAAAGTACGAATATTCCACCAAGCATTTTCTTCTTCCATCTTCCATTAAACCATCCAGAAGATGAGTCTTGTAGTATCATCTTTTGGAGGCTTATTTACTCCACATTGTCCAAAACATTGGACCCCAAATTACCCATTTATCACTCACACAACCAGTTTCGATTCCTTCATACATCCATCGAGTAATCCGGTCTACTTGCGAACAGATTTGCGTCCAATTGGGTCTACCCGACAAGCTGCTGATACTCCTACGTTTCGGCGCTCGAATCCACCATCAGCACGCCATCATCGAGCATCTATTAAACCGATTGCTCGAGTTCAATCGGGTGTATCCGTACAACCTGGTTTCGTGCCTGCAATTGCTCCTCAGAGCTACGGAGAGGATCCCCACAGAGGACTTGGTGGATCCGGATTTAAGGAAATTAATGTATGATAAGTATTGCGTGTTAGTCGAAGACGGTTTGATTCCTCCCAGTAGATGCGGAATTATCCCGGTGGAGTTGAAGCATCTGTGTAGGTGCAGCGTGAGGGAGTACCTGTGGAGGAACCATGGGTTGCCTGACGGATTGAAATCGTTGAAAATACCGGAGGATTTGCGCAGGTACTTGGACTTGTTGCAAGACTGAATAAAATTGTGTCTGTTAGACTTTGTTTGCGGAGAACCAGGCGTGTGTAATTAAATAAATAAAAAAAAAATAAATCGTTATATACCGAGTGTTGTTTATAGTACGTGGCGCACGCGGCTTTTCGCCCGTAAATTAGTTATCGGCGATAAAAATATACCGCCCGGGTACCGAATCGGCACCTGGACGAGTTTTGTATTGGCGAATAAGTAATTCGAATCTTCGCTTAGATGCACCCGATATATGCACATATGTGCATATATAATGCACCTTTCGTTTGGATTTCTGTGCGGTGGAAGCGTCGCCGGCACGTGCTGCAAATTGCAATGAGAACTGCTTGTAATTAAATGAAATATGAAACGAATTGTTCGAGGAATAAATAGTAAAAATATAGTAAAAACTGAAAGAAAAATGTTTAAAAAACCGATTTTAGAACGATCCAGTTTCATTTAGAAGCGTCTATAACAATCTAGAACGCACCTCTGAGTAATTTAGGACTGTCTAGAACCATTTAGAACGCTTCAGAACAGTTTAGAACGATCCAGAATCATTTAGACGAACATAAACGTAATAAAAAAATATTAAACGAATTATTCGAGGAATAAATATAGTAAAAAAATATAGAAATGAAATGAAATATTAAAATAAAGAATTGATAAAAATAAATAAATGTTTAAAACCGATTTTAGAACGGTCCAGATTCATTTAGAAGCATCTATATAACAATCTAGAACTCACCTCTGAGTAATTTAGGACTGTCTAGAATCAATTACAACGCTTCAGAACCGTTTAGATCGATCCAGAATCATTTAGACAAAAATAGACGTAATTAAAAAAAATATTAAACGAATTATTCGAAGAATAAATATAGTCAAAAAAATTGAAATATTAAAATAAGGAATTAAAAAATTAAAACCGATTTTAGAACGATTCAGATTCATTTAGAAGCGTCTATATAACAATCTAGAACCCACCTGAGTAATTTAGGACTGTCTAGAACCGTTTAGAATGTTCCAGAATCATTTAGACGAAAATAGACATAATTAGAAAAAATAAAGCGTTAGATCGGACGGAAACACTTCAATCTAGGAGGCCCAATTTGAAGATCACAAGTTGTTGTTCGAATTATATGCAGGTATGGAATTTAAAGATTTTTTAAATTTGTTTAAGTTTATTGGTTCGCCGTTCAGGAGATTGTAATAAAACCTAATTTTGTTTAAAAAAAGTACTATTTTTACGTACTATTTATACTATACGTTAGGTACTATTTTTTTCCTGCTATGTATCCTTCTTCTAGCAGGATAATACACCCTCGCTTTAACTTCTGCGAACCTCCCAAAACACAAAACTAATATACCCCCGATAAAAAATCCTGAATATTTCAGATATATACAGCCCTGGACGAATTCTGAAAAATCCTAAATATACCTGCAAAATACAACAACGGAAAATTAAAAAAAAAAAACGATTATTTTAAAAAATAAAAAAAAAATCCGAATATTCCTGCTAAATACAGCACTGCAAAAATCTACAAAAATCACGATTATTCCGGCTAATTGCAGTCCTGAACAAATTCTGAAAAATCCCAAATATTCCAGCAAAATACAGAAAAGGAAATTTAAAAAAAATCCAGAATATTCCATCTAAATACAGCCCTGGAAAAAATCTCAAATATTCCACCAAAATACAGCCCTTGAAAAACTATAAAAATCCCGAATATTCTACCTAAACACACCACTGGAAAAATTCTAAAAAATCTGAAATATTCCACCTAGATACAGCCCTTGAAAATTTCCAAAAAATCCCGAATATTCCACCTGAATACAACCATTGAAAAATTCCAAAAAATTTCGAATATTCCACCTAAACACACCACTGGAAAATTTCTAAAAAAAATCTCCAATATTCCCGCAAATGCAGCACTGGAATTTTTTGAAAAAATCCCGAATATTCCGCCCAAAATACAACCCTGGAAAAATTCCAAAAAAAAATCCCAAACCTTCCACTTAAATACAACATGAAAAAAATCCAAAAAAATCCCAACTATTCCCCATAAACACACCCTTAAAAAAATCAAAAAAAAAATCCACAACATCCCACAATCCACCGAAATCCGTCCCTGTTACAAAACACACACACACACACACTCGCATCACACACATCTCAGGATAGACGTTCAGACATTCGGCTGTTCCGGCGTCTCCCCTTCTCCTGCTACCTGAAAAAAAAAAAAAAAAAAAAAAAAAAAGAAAAACTTGGCACGCGTCGAGCCAAGTAAATATAGAACAGCTACTTGGCCCGTTCTCGTCTCAGTTCTCAGTCCTCAGTTCTCATCCAGCGAGCCCTTTCGTCGCTCATTCGCTCTCCAGCCGTCCCGATCGCGCCGTCTCGACGCCCGATTAAAGTGACGTCCCACCTGTCATCTTTCAAAATCCCTTCATCGCGTTCCCTGTCAGGCTACAGAGGATCGAAGGACGGTCGATGACTACCTGTTGGAAGGGAAAACTGGCCACGGGAGAGCCGCCGGAGCTGGTGCTGTTTTTATTAGCGTGGAGTTAGTGATGCCTCGAGCTTTCCTGTTCACCCATAGGAAGTACCATAACCGTTACCAGGCGGTGGAGGAGGAGGAGGATCGTAAAGGTTGGTGGTTTTTTTTTTTGGGTTTTGGGTTTGTATGTATGATGGATTGGGCGAGTGAGGTTTTTGAGTGGAATGTTCCTGCTGGATGGTGTGAGAGTGTTGTTGGGCGAGTTGCCAGGAAATTGGCAACAAGTCGTTTTTCGAACGTTTTTCCGATCATTTTGGAAGCGTTTTTGAAGCGTTCTTTGACCGTTTTTGAACTATTTTAATTGCATTTTTGAGTCGTTCTTGAAATATTTTTGAACTATTTTTTAGCCATGTTTTCAAGCTTTTTTTGAGCATTTTTTAACAAATTTTGAGTAATTTTTTAAACATTTTTCAACCATCTTTCTTTGATCAATTTTCTTTAACAATTTTTGAAACAATCTTGTATCATTTTTCAACTATTTTTAAATCATATTTTCTTTAACCATTTTTCAAGAATTGTTTAAAAACTTTGAACTATTTTTGAATCATATTTGAAGCATTTTTAAAACATTTTTGAACAATGCTTGGACCATTTGTGAACCATTTATGAACCATTATTGAGCCATATTATCTTTAACCAATTTTTAACCATTTCTCAATCATTTTTGTCCAACAAATCTTATATCATTTTCGAAGCGTCATTGAAACATTCCTGAATCATTTTTTGGATAATTTTTTGAACCATTCTCAACCGTTTTTCAACCATTTTCTCACCCACCATTAACCGTTTTTCAACTACTTTTCGACCATTTTGAAAGCGTTTTTGAAGCGTTTTTTGACCGTTTTTGAATTATTTTACTCGCATTTTTGAGTCATTTTTAAAATAGCAGAGAGAGAGAGAGCATTTTTAACCAATTTTGAGTAATTTTTAAAACATTTTTCAACCATCTTTCTTTGACCATTTTTTCTTTAACCATTTTTGAAACAATCTTGTAACATTTTTCAACTATTTTTAAATCATATTTTATTCATTTCTCTAACCATTTTTCAACAATTCTTTAACCATTTTAAACTATTTTTGAAGCATATTTAAAGCATTTTTAAAACATTTTTGAACAATGTTTGGACCATTTTTAGACCATTTCTCAATCATTTTTACCCAACTAATATTATACCATTTTCGAAGCGTTATTGAACCATTTCTGAATAATTTTTTCCATCATCCTGAACCATTTTTGGGCAATTTCTTGTCAATTCTCAACCGTTTTTCAATCATTTCAAACCATATTTCTTTACCGCATTTTTGAATCAATCTTGATCCAACCTTTAAACCAATTTCGAACCATCTATAAACCGTTTTTCAACCATTTTTCTTTGACAATTTTAAACCATATTTCCTTAACAAATTTTTGAACCAATCTTGAACCATTTTCGAACCACTTTTAGCGATGCCCCGCGCCTTCCTCTTCACCCACAGAAAGTACCATCCTCCCGATCAGGAAGATGAGGATGATTATCATAAAGGTTAGTCCAAAACGAAGCAAATAGTTTTTCAATTGTATAATGAAAACGCGGCTTTTTAAGTGGAATATTCCTGCGGGATTCGCGGGGGATTACTGCGAGATCTGGCGCGTTTGTGTTCTTGGGCGATTTGCCAGAAAATCCGCAACAAGTCGTCATTTCGACGGCGCTTATTTATAATATATTTTAACGGGCGCGTTTATTTTCGACGAAATTTTCCGCGATTTTCTTTTCCTGGTATAACATTCTACATGTGGTCGATAAAATGTCCGCCGAAAATTCCTGATGGCGCTATTTAAATGTTGTTGCGCGTTCAAATTAATTTTTTACTCGTACAGGTTGTTGAAATATAGTTTCTCTTTTTCAAGGGACATCCTGTATGTTTTTGAGTTTGCGGTATCTTCTAGAAGGGCGAATTTTTCAACTATTTTAAACCATTTTTTAACCATTTCTCAACTATTTTTTAATCATCTTTCTTTAACCATTTTTGAAACAATCTTGAACCATTTTGCAGCCATTTTTTAACCATTTTTAACCATTTTTTAACCATTTCTCAACTATTTTTCAATCATCTTTCTTTAACAATTATTGAAACAATCTTGAACCATTTTTCAGCCATTTTGCAGCCATTTTTTAACCATTTTTTACCAATTTCTCAACAATTTTTCAACCATCTTTCTTTAACCATTTTTGAAACAGTCTCGAACATTGTTCAGTAATTTTTTTGCCATTTTTCAACCATTCTTTAGCCATTTTGAACTATTTTTGATTCATATTCGAAGCATTTTCAATACATGTTTGGACTATTTTTGTACTATTTCTAGACTATTTGTGAACCATTTATGAACCATTATTGGGCCATATTATCTATAACCAGTTTTTAACAATTTCTCAATCATTTTTGCCCAACTAATCTTATACCGTTTTCGAAGCTTTATCAAACCATTCCTGAATCATATTTTCCATCATCCCGACCATTTTTGAATTTTTTTGAACCATTTTACAATCATTTTACAACCATTTTACAACCATTTTACAACCATTTTACAACCATTTTACAACCATTTTACAACCATTTTACAACCATTTTACAACCATTTTACAACCCAGGTTCGAGCCCGGAACGCGACGTCAGCCTACCGGAGCCAATGAGCGGCCTACAATCGTCCGAGAACAGTTCAGAATGCCCGGAGGAACTGTACAATCTAACCAAATTGGCCGAGGTGGCCGTGGCCACCGGACAAATTCGCCTCAATTCGACCAATTCCGGTCGATCCGACGACGACGACCCGCCCTCGTTCAATTACACCCACAAATTGTTCGACAAATCCTCCAGGATTCCCCGACCGCATTTAACAAAGGTACTACTACGCAACCTAATATAGCATTTCAAATCGATTACCTCCGACTCTCGATTCGTTTAGACTGAAGAAGATTCCGTCGAGCCTTCGCAGATCTTCGATCTCTCCTCCAAAGCGCAGCTGCAGCAGCAGCAGCAGCTTCAACAGCAACAACAGCAGCAGCAGCGCCATTTGGGCGATGCCCAATCGGAGCACCAGCACGAGCACGAGTGCTCCGAGTGCGGCAAGCGCTACAGCACGTCGAGCAACCTGGCCAGGCATCGGCAGACCCATCGATCGCCCGCCGACAAAAAGGCCCGCCGGTGTCCGCACTGCGACAAGATCTACGTCAGCATGCCGGCCTACTCGATGCACGTGCGCACCCACAACCAGGGCTGCAAGTGCCAGTACTGCGGCAAGTGCTTCTCCAGACCTTGGTTGCTCCAAGGCCACATCAGGACCCACACAGGTACGGACCGTTTCTAACCCATCAAACGTTGAAACAATCTATCTAATAGTCTCTCTTGAAAACCTTGAACAACCTTTTCCTCCGCAGTCTTGTACCATAAAACAGTGAACAATCTATCTATTATTCTTGTACCACATCCACAAACCTTGAACAACGTATTCCTCCGCAGTCTTTTATCATAAAACTTAAACAATCTATTTATATCTACAATTTCGTAGTTACAACATCAGCAAACCTTTAACAACGCCTTCCTCCACAGTGTTTTACCATAAACCAGTGAACAATCCATCTATCTGTTAGTCTCGTACCACATCCACAAAGCTTAAACAACGTATTCCTCCGCAGTCTTGTATCATAAACCTTAAACAATCTATTTATATCTACAATCTCGTAGTTACAACGTCAACAAACCTTGAACAACGCCTTCCTCCACAGTCCTTTACCATAAACCAGTGAACAATTTATCTATCTATTAGTCTCGACCACATCCACAAACCTTGAACAACTTATTCATCCACAGTCTTGTATCATTAACCTTGAACAATCTATCTATATCTACAATCTCGTACAACATCTGCAAATCTTGAACAACACATTCCTCCACAGTCTTTTACCATAAACCCTTGAACAATCTATCTTGTAACAGTCTTGTACCACAAACCTAGACCTTCTATACCACCAACCAGCTTGGTTTCGACGTTTTCTCATGCACCACATCCTCGTCCGTACCTTCTCCGGGTTAACTTTGAACATTTTGCAGGCGAGAAACCGTTCAAATGTACCATATGCAACAAAGCGTTCGCCGACAAATCGAACCTGCGCGCCCACGTGCAGACCCATTCGAATACGAAGCCGCACGTGTGCGGCCGTTGCGGCAAAGCCTTCGCCTTGAAGTCCTATCTCTACAAGCACGAGGAGTCGTCGTGCATGCGCTCGAACCGGCAGGGCTCGCGCGAAACGACGCCCGACAAGGGCGTCGCCTCGCCGACGCCCGTCATCGTGTCGTTGGCGCCCAGGCCGCAGGACTCCGTCATCAGGACGCCCATGATCTACAGGTGAGTTTTTTTGCTTCGGGGGAATCTTCTCGGATGAACTTTTTTGGTTGTGTAGGTCTGTAGGTCTACAGGTGACCTTTTGTAAGTCTACAAGTTGTAGGTCAAAAAGGGAGTTACTTATTGTCAGTTGTTGTCTACAGAAGAACTATTGTAGAAGGTTAGAAATGGAGTTGTTGTCGTTTAACAAATGGACAAAAAAGGGTGCAATAGAAACAATTTTAAGTTTAAAGAGGGGTTATTGTAGGTTTACAAATGGTCAATTGTAGGTGTACAAATCACTTTTAGGTTTGTTGATTTACAGATGACCTCTTTTAAGTCTACAGAAGAATTCTTGTAGATGGTTAAAAATGGAGTTGTTATCGTTTAACAAATGAGCAAAAAAGGGTGCAATAAAAAGACTTTTAAGTTTAAAGAGGGTTTATTATAGGTTCAAAGAGGGTAAACAGGTCTGTTGTAGGTTTGTAGAATAATACAAAACCCTTCTGTAAGTGAACAAAAGTAGCTATTTAGTAGATATCTTGTAAATAGGTCTATACATGCCTTGTACATTTGCAAAAGGTCAATTGTAGGTCTGTAGAAGACCTGTAGATCAATTGTAGGTTAATTGTAGGTCTGTAGAAGACCTGTAGGTCAATTGTAGGTCAATTGTAGGTTAATTGTAGGTCTGTAAAAGACCTGTAGGTCAACCGTAGGTGAAATTTTCGCTATTATAGAAGGTGAATCTTGCAGGTCGACGGTGATATCTCCGAATCCCGAGCGGATTTTGTACTCTACCATCAAGCACCCGTCCGTTATATTGAACGCCAGCAGGTTGGCAGAAAGTATGGGCTTGCAGGAGCAGCCTATGGACTTTTCCGCTTCGTCCGGTAAGGGGAAATCGTACAGGGGTAGCGAGAGAAGTTATCTCGGTATGGCCATAGCGGTTTGAGAGTTGGAATTCCACGGATTTATTTTATTTTATTTTTTGTATTTTTCGAGGGACCATTTGACGAGAGAGGTTTGATTGGTGTGTGTGTTTTTTAAGTAGTAATATTTGCATGTGTAAATTTTGTTAGAAATAAACGATTCGAGATTTTTGTAGTTTTTTGAATCGTGAGATTTTGTTAAATGTATGTATTTTTTTGAATATTCACGCAACTAGTCGACACGCCAAATAAATTGTTTTAGTCAAAATAAGCACATAAATATAGCGTTTTTAAACGATCGGTTTGTTTTGAACTGATTTTAGAAAGACTATATGCTTGTACATAAAATGTGCCTTATGTAATTGGCGAAACAAAGTGCCTTATATACTCTTAGGTTAGTTAATTTTAAGTGCAATTAAAGCCCTTTGATGGATTCGTACGTGCCAATAAAAAAAACTTTTGTAAATATTTTTGAGCTGTTTCTTAACGGTGCTAGAAAATTATGTTAAGATTATGTCCGAACAGGCAGCTGTACTCGATTATTTTTTTCGTATAGGAAACGTGTAAATGTATTTCGTGTTGCTTCATCGTTATCTCATTAGTTAGTCGAACAAGCGGGTATAGTCTTATCAAAGTCAATTGAATATACATTTTGATAAGTGTGGATGGATTATTCAATTGATTTTGGAAACGCTTTGTTTACCGCGATTTCATGTATAGTTGTGATGTTTTTTTTATGTTAGATTTTTATGCGGTATATACCTAAGAGTACGTATTTTTTTGAATTAAACTATCCAGTATTTTACTAGTGGTTAGTTAACTTTTAGATATTAATTAATGCTTGATTTGCTACAATCAATTAAAATCGAATGACGTTTACGTCACAATCTTCTGTCAATTTCAATTGCAACAAGAGTGCCAACTTTCACAATTATTTGTCAATTTAAATTGCAGGAGTGCCAACTTTGGATATATTTTTTTTCGATTGTAGAGCTAATTTAATTAACGAAAACTGGTAGATATATTTATCTAATAAATCATACACTAGTTTTCTATACAGGGTGTTAATTAATTAAATGCCGATATTTCAGGATGTGAATATTTGGATGATTTTAAGAAGAAAAGTTTATATCAATGTTTGTCCTAAATCTCTTAGTTCTTTTAGTTCTAAAATTTTAACACCCTGTAGCTCGAAAACTAAGAGGTTTAGGACATACATTGATATAAACTTTTCTTCTTAAAATCATCCAAATATTCCCATCCTGAAGTATCGATATTCAATTAATTAACACCCTGTATAATATACACTATTTTAACGTACTATTAGCCGATAGATGATTTTTTTTTTAATTTTTTAATTAATTATTATTTCTACATATTTTTTTTGTTTTCATACGAGGAGTATCCAATATTTCCTTCGAGATAGACGAGAGTGTAACTAGTCGTTGAGTTCGCGTCGCGCAAGATTTGTATATTTACCCCGGTATGTAATTAGCAATATTAATTACCATATTAATTAGCCCGGATTAATATTCGATCTTGTTCGGACGCATTTAAGTCAGTTAAATTTAAGATTATTTATTTATTTATTTATTTTTTTCTCTCACTAACATTTCGCAATAGGGATTTAGGATTTTAGTTTACGGGGAGTATTTATACCTCAATTTATATCGGCTAATGATATAAAAAAAACTGCTAGTCATTATTTATTGTATAATTTAAACGATTTGTGTTGAATCAAAATGGCCGAAACGGTGCAATATTAATTAGTTTCGTGTGCATAATTTGTACGGTGTGTGTTTTATTATTAGTTTTTTATTTATTTATTTTACCCCATACCATAAAATCGATTATTGAATCTATTAATCGTAATTTAGTGTCCATTCCTATAAATGATCTTGTAAGTAGATTTACCAATGTATTTTGTAAATTTGTGTACTTTTATACAATAAATATATCTTTTTTGGAATTTATTGCGACTAAATTAATCTTCCACAAACCAATTTAGACGAAAACAAATGTACCCCGGTCGTCGCGTCCACCTGATTTAACCCCTCTATAGAAAAACAATATACAGGGTGTTCCTAAACATCGTGTACATCCGAAAGGGGGTGATTCCTTGGCTTATTTTATGACTAAAAGTTGAAATTTCAAGATTTTTTTTGGTTTTTCTTAGTAGCTCCTGCATTTTTTGAGATATTTAGCTCAAATTTTGAATCTAGATTGCTTTATAGGGCGCACACTATTGGGTATTTCAAAAGGTTGTTGAATTCTACAGGGTGATATTTTTTCAGGGGTGATGTACCCTTTTTTCCCACCGAACTATTTTGCTGTGCGCTGCTGGTAGATTCTAAAATACAAAATTAATTGTCTGTTTTGTTTAGAAACTTTTTTTATTTTTAAACTTTTTTCGTTTCTGTGACCGTTATCGAGAAAAAAATTAAAAATGATTTTCTGTACAAATGATTTATTTTACAAAACAAAAACCCTAAATAATAATTATTAAATTACATTATAATAAATGTTGAAAGTGACCCCCTCCTACTCAAATTACACTCTATACCCTATATAATATACCTAATTTGAGCTAAATATCTCAAAAACTGCAGGAGCTCTAAAAAAGAAACAAAAAAAATCTTGAAATTTCAACTTTTAGTCATAAAATAAGCCAAACAATCACCCCCTTTCGGATGTACACGATATTTAGCAACACCCTGTATTACAAACCGCCCGAATTTCCGAATATATCTTTTTTTGGAATTTATTGCGACTAAATTAATCTCCCACCAAACCAATTTACACCAAAAAAAATCTATAACCCCGATCGCCGCGTCCACCCGATTTAACCCCTCTATAGAAAAACAATACATCACAAATTTCCGAACCTACTCGAACGAATCTTCGAACGAAATCGCCACATACAATATACAATAAATATTACATTATAATACACGAGCGATTATCGTCCATGGGACACCATGTCAGGGGTCACTCGTAAACAGGAATGAGATTTCCCATTCGCCTGCATACCGCCTCGGCGGGCCGGTCTTTTCGCAAAATGGACGACTCGTTGAAGGTTTTCGGTGTTGTTTTGTGCCTGATTTTCCACTGTTGTGCCCCCCGATGCGCCGCTTCGACTCTATCAGAGGTAAACTATAATGAATTCGTTGAATTTCCCGGTGTTTAGGGAGAAATCGGACGGTTTGGCAACGCCGCCGGTGTTGTAATTAAATCGATAATTAAGGTGTTTTAAGTAAAATATTGTAGAGTGGGTACGAAGTTTACTTGTAGCCCTCGTATGTGTGTAGAAATTTTCGATTAATTGTTAAGAAGAAGAAGATTTATATTTACAATGTTTGAATATAAAAGCGATTATAAAATAGAGCATGGCTGTTTCAATGAACTATAGAAACGAAAAAATACACACAATTATTACAAACAGTTAGAAATTGTGCGATAACGATATTTTTAGTGCTGGATTCGAAGACGCGGATAAATGTTAGAATTTATTGGACGATTACGAAATTATCAATTTAATTAACACGATAATATAGGTCAGATTTGTTGAAATTTTTCGCTAATTTAAAGAATTTTGAACTCGTATCTGGTATCGCTTTGGAAATTCGTGTTGTTTTGATTGCGTTTTTCACCGATCTCTCACTAAAATTAACCCGAAAGTCCGTAAAATGGCTAATTTTTGATTGTATACTATCACCAAACTCAATACATTTCAAATCTCCCTCGTATAAACAATCGTTTAATTAATTTATACCGAAAGTACCTACCTAATAATATCACGTTTAAATAGTTTTCAAATCTACCTCGTATAAAAAAGTTTCATTTAATTCATACCAGGAGTATGTAATAATTCACTTCTAGACTGAAGAGAAGTCTTTCGATACATTATGAACCATCCTCGTATAAAAATCGTTTTTTTATATACCAGGAGTATGCAGGTATCTAATAATTCATCTTCCAATACATTTCAAAATGCCCTCGTATTGTTTTATTTATACCAGGAGTGCGAATAAGTAATATCGCGTTCCAACAGTTTTTCAAATCGACCTCGTATAAAATCGTTTATTTAATCTATACGGGGAGTATATATTTAATAATCCACCTTCCAATACATTTCAAATTGCCCTTGTTAACAATCATTTATTTCATTTATACCAGGAGTACGTAATAATTCACGTTTCAAAACATTTAGAAATCGCCCTCGTATAAACAGCCGTTTTATTCAATTTATACCAGGAGTACGTAATAATTTACGTTCCAATACATTTCGAATCGCCCTCGTATAAGCAACCGTATTATTTAATTTATACCAGGAGTACGTAATAATTTACGTTCCAATACATTACAGTATTATTTCTAATTTTTCAGAATTCGATTAGCAAACAAGACGACAACAACAACAACAACAACAACAACACATCCGTCGAACCTCCCGCGAAATCTCGCACTTTATACGACTATCAAACGGTAAATACCGAACCTCCCCCGTATACAATTACCCCATTAATCCATCGAATTTCAGCGTACTGTCGCTTTCAAAGACCTGGTAGAATCCAGGTGCATCTTAGAGGTGCTCAACGGCGGCGAGAGCATCATCGGCCAATGGAACTCCAACAGGAAAATGAACACCATCTCCAAGCAATTCATACGCAACGAATTGCTCTCGAAGCGCCAGGTACATACGAAACACCCCTCGTATTATACATCTCATTACCCGTTTTGTTTCTTATAGATATGGCGCTTGGGCGGGCAGCGCATCTCCGAGTTCTGCATGGGATTCCCCACGTACCTCGTCAAGAACCAAGCCGACGTTGACGTTGACGTTGACAGCTCCGACGGGCTGTCTAACAGCATAGACAAAGGCCGCGCCAAACGCTCTACCAGCAATTACTTTCGAGGAAGGGTCGGGGGACAGACGCAGTCGCAGTACCTGAACTACGGCGGCGGGGAATCCCCCGGAAGGGCGGAGGCTGAGTCCAATTTCGAAGGCTCCAAGGCAGTAGTGGGTAAGTCCAATTGGACGATCTTTCGGGATCGGGTCGGTACAATTCGAACGGATTTTTTGTAGCGGGAAATTCCGGCATGGGCCAGGCGCAAAGCCAGAGCCTTTCTCTGGATTGCGGCGATTGCAGGGACCAGGAGCAGGTCATCGAAATCCAGAGAAGGCCCGTCGGGAGTTATCCAGAAGCTATTAGGCAACCCGGTGGGACGTCGCAACAAACTGGTTTCCCCAGTGGATTTCCTGGACAAGGACAATTTGGTAGAGGACCTGGACAAGAAGGACAAATCGGTAGAGAACCTGGACAACAAGGACAAACTGGTAGAACACCTGGACAAGAAGGACAAATTGGTAGAGGACCAGGACAAGAAGAGCAAATCGGTAGAGGCTTTGGACAAGAAGGGCAAATCGGTAGAGGACCTGGACAAGAGGGACAAATCGGTAGAGGACCTGGACAAGAAGGGCAAATCGGTAGAGTACCTGGACAAGAAGGACAAACCGGTAGAGGACTTGGACAAGAAGGGCAAATAGGCGGAAGACCTGGACAAGAGGGGCAAGTTATTGGAGGTCCAGGACAAATTCCAGACTGGCAGAGACCGCCTGGAAGTTGGACGGGCCAGCCTACTACGGAACAATGGCCTGTAGGTCCTGGGCAAACAGAACCTACAGGACAATGGCCTGTAGGTCCTGGGCAAACAGGACAGACGAATTGGCCGCAACAAACTGGAAATAATTTACAACCCGGAGGTGTATCGAATTGGAAATTACAGCCGGGTAATTTCCCCGGACAAACGGGTGTTGGACAACCGGTTGTTACGGCGAGTCGTCCTGGAGCAACTGGAAATGTTGGACAGCCTGGAGCAACGGGAAATTGGAATTTACCACAAGGACCAGTTGCTGGAAATTGGCCGGGTTCTGGACAACAATATCCAGGAGGTACGAATTGGCCTAGTTATCCGTCTAGTTCCACGCAAACAGGACAAAGTGGAGTAAATCAAGTAGGAACATGGCCAGGTCAATGGCCGAGTCAATCAAATCAAGGAGTTGAAGGAGGTCAAAGGTCTCCTCAAAGGGGAAATTTCGGTGGGAAATTAAGCGGTGATTATCAAAGTCATACGGGACAATATGGTAGATTTCAGGGTCAATTTTCTGGACAATACGAAAATTTTGGACCTACGGGGGGTACTGGACAAATTGGTGGATGGCCTGGTCAAACAGGAACCACGGGACAAACTAGCGGATCAGGACCGACAGGAGGATTTCCAGGACAAACTGGAGGCTGGCCTGGACAAACAGGTCGAGGACAAACTGGAGGTACAGGACAAATAGGTGGTCCAGGGCAAATTGGTGGATGGCCCGGACAAACAGGAGGACCAGGTCAAATTGGTGGTACTGGGCAAATTGGTGGATGGCCTGGGCAAACAGGAGGTACCGGTCAAATTGGTGGTCCTGGACAAACAGGTGGTACTGGACAAATTGGTGGATGGCCCGGACAAACGGGAGGTACCGGTCAAATTGGTGGTCCTGGACAAATTGGTGGATGGCCCGGACAAACGGGAGGTACCGGTCAAATTGGTGGTCCTGGACAAACTGGTGGTACTGGACAAACTGGTGGATGGCCTGGGCAAACAGGAGGTACCGGTCAAATTGGTGGTCCTGGACAAACTGGTGGTACAGGACAAATTGGTGGATGGCCTGGGCAAACAGGAGGTACCGGTCAAATTGGTGGTCCTGGACAAACTGGTGGTACAGGACAAATTGGTGGATGGCCCGGACAAACGGGAGGTACCGGTCAAATTGGTGGTCCTGGACAAACTGGTGGTACAGGTCAAATCGGTGGATGGCCCGGACAAACGGGAGGTACCGGTCAAATTGGTGGTCCTGGACAAACTGGTGGTACAGGTCAAATCGGTGGATGGCCCGGACAAACGGGAGGTACTGGTCAAATTGGTGGTCCTGGACAAATTGGAAGATGGCCCGGTCAGGGGCAAGGTACTGGACAAATCGGAGGACAAGGACAAATTGGAGGACCAGGACAAGGACAAATTGGAGGACCAGGACAAGGACAAATCGGAGGACAAGGGCAAATAGGACCAGGCCAAATTGGCCAATACGTAGACCAAGGAGGTAGAGTAACCGACGATTCGGATTCCCAAGTCCAAACGTCCGTCCAACAATCCCAAAACGGCACGACCGCCCAAGCCCAAGCGCAAGGCACCTTCGAAGGCGGCACCGCCCAATCACAAGTATCCGGAACCTACTCGGGTTCGGGTTCTTTCAGCGCCGCCGCGGGATCGGACGACGGCAAAAGAGCCGCCCAAACGAACGTCCAAGGCGGCAAAGAGGGCGCCCAAAGCTCTGCCCAAGGAACGGGCGGCGCCGGGAAATCCCAAGCTCAAGTAATTCTATCGGACAACGGCCAAACCGTCGCCGATTCTCAAAGTTTCGGCATATCCCACGGCACCCAATCCCAAGTCAAAGCCTCAGAAACCGGCGGACTGGCCGACGCCCAATCCAACGGACCGGGAAAAACCTCCTCGCAGGCCCAAATCGGGTTCCTACCTTATGATAATAGCGAGAGCACCAACCAATCGGTACCGTTCATGGGTAGCGGCACCGCTGGAGCCCAAAGCGGTTCTAACGCGGGTATGACCCAATCGCAAGTCCAAGGTAAATTCCAATTCGGCATCAAATACATGGGATCCGCCCAAGCGACGTCAGGAGGAGCTCGCTTGGAAGCAAACTACACCAAACCAGGTCCGTTCAAACCTTCAAACATCAACTTCAAAGATAAACTAACTCAAAACCAAGCGAATAGAGCTGTACTATCCGCTAACAAACCACCACCAATTGCACAAAACCCCCAACAAGAAGACACCCCCCCGGCGAAGGTGTTCAAAAAATCTTACCATACACCCACCAAACCTACAGATGATTACTCAGAGGAGGAATACGAAGATGAGGACGAGGAAGAGTACAGCGAGGAGGCTCAAAAACCACTCACCAGGAGCATCTCTACGCCCGCCCAGCACGTGGTGAAACCCAAAATCATCGCGCAAACCGGCTCTAATCAAAGACAACACATCGTCTTAGACCCGTTGGAGGATTTGGACATAACAGTACACCAGAGTACAGGCGATTTTCCCAGCGACGGTACCGTCATCCAACCAGGGCAATCCATTCCAGGTGGGTTACTGTTCATTCAAACCTACATCTTATTGCAGGCGCTCTACATTCAAACCTACATCTTTGCAGGTGCTCCAGGCTACAGGATCCCGCTAGGTTTCCGAGGCACCGTGAAATCCATAGCGAACGGTCCCAACACCTACGCCATAGGCAAGCATTCGCAGGCCCAAAGCGTGACGGTCTCCCCGGGAAGCGGCAGGATAATCTACAAGAAACCCTTCTACGCGGTGACCTCGAACACCCACTCGGTAAAAGGCCAGTACGGTTACGGATCGGGCTACACCTACCAACCGGCCTACTCTCCAATCCGCTACCAGCTGAAGAACGGGAAGAGCCCGCCCGGGTTCGTGTCGCTGACCAAGTCCGAATCGGGTTCGAGGAACCTGTACACCGGAAAGAAGACGCCCAGCGTGTACTACACGCAATCGTCGACCTGCGGGGTGTTCACCAATCAGTGCGTGTTCAACGCCGGCAGGAAGCTCTGCTTCCCAAAGGCCAAGACCAATCCAGACGGTAGCCTGATGGGCTGCTGAACGTATTATAAAAAAATCTAGCCTGTAAGTTAGTAATCGTAGAAAGTAAATGTAAATAAATAAATATTTAATTGGTTTTGTTGGTTATGTACAATCTGGTTGATCAGTAGAATAGGTTGTTGGTGAGTCCTGTGGTGGTTCTGGTCGCGAGAGGTATCCGGATGATTCGCAGGTTGGTCTCCTGCGGCGAGACGTTCCTGAGGAAGAACTTCTGGAATCTGGTGCTCAGCAACCACAGGTACCCGTCGCTTTTCCATCGCAGCTCGGCGCAGAATTGGAGCTTCTCCGGATCGTAGGCCAACAACCTGAAATTCGCATTAGTTTATTTCGTAGTCGATTGTATCTAATCCGGTACCTTTGTTGATTGGTGATTGGATTCCAAGCTGCTACGGATGTTTCCGTCAACGGACTGAAGTATATAGTCTCGTCTACCAGGTTCACGGTGATGCCTAAACCTTGCGATGATTTCTTACCGACGAATTGCACGGGAAGCCTTTCGAATTCCCCCGGAGGTCCTTTGGACAAAACCGAAGTCGGTATACTAAATATCCTGCAAAAACAACAACAAACGCCTGGTACTCCACCAGCAACTATCAATCTACTAGCAAGCAATTATACCTATCAGTAGCAAGGGGTTGGTAGTAAACCACCCCCAATTTCGGCGAATGAGTGATACCAACGATCCCGTCCATCAACGTGAAATCCTCCCCGTTGATGTTGTAATCGGAGAAATTCGGATCCGGGAACATCGAAGGATGCACGAACCTCCAAGCCTCATCTCTTCTTCCATCGTACACCACCAAACCTGGTGCAGCCGTATCAGACATGTAAACGAACGCCGAATCGCACCTGCCTTGAATGCTCTCGTCCACCACCAGATTGGTCAGCAACGACGAGGGCCTCAGCACCCCGTCGGGCAAGTACACGGTGCGCACCACGCGATCGGTGAAGAGGTCGATCACCACCAGCTTGGGCTGGCACACCCGCCGGAAGTCGTCCAAGGAGGTCGTCACGCCCGAGTCGAGCACCTGCGGAGATGGTTTAGATCATGTAGTTGTTTCGAGGAGACCATTGAAGAGGATGAAGAGGCTATAGTTAAGAAGGTTAGTTGTTGAAGAGGATAATTCTAGAGGGTAATTGAGAGGGACTAGTTGAAGAGGCTAGTTAAGAAGGTTAGTTGTTGAAGAGGATAGTTGAAGTGGGTAATGGTGAGGGACTAGTTGAAGAGGCTAGTAAAGGGAGGTAGTTAAGGGGGATAGTTGATAAAAAAGGTAATTGAAGAGTGTAGTGGAGATGGACAAATTAAGGGGGATAGTTCATAAAGAGAATAATTGTAGAGGGTAGTAGAGAAGGACTAATTGAAGAGACTAGTTAAGGGAACTAGTTGAAGAGTATAATTGAAGAGAGTAGTTGAGAGGGACTGGTTGAAGAGGTTAGTTAAGAAGGTTAGTTGTTGAAGAGGATAATTCTAGAGGGTAGTGGAAGGGACTAGTTGAAGAGGTTAGTTAAGGGGGTTATTTGTTGAAGAGGATAGTTGAAGTGGGTAATGGTGAGGGACTAGTTGAAGAGGCTAGTAAAGGGAGATAGTTAAGGAGGATAGTTGATAAAAAAGGTAATTGAAGAGTGTAGTGGAGATGGGCAAGTTAAGGGGGATAGTTCATAAAGAGAATAATTGTAGAGGGTAGTAGAGAAGGACTAATTGAAGAGACTAGTTAAGGGGAATAGTTGAAGAGTATAATTGAAGAGAGTAGTTGAGAGGGACTTGTTGAAGAGGCTAGTTAAGGGGGATAGTTGATAAAGGGGATAATTGGAGAGGGTAGTTGAGAGGGACTAATTGAAGAGACTAATTAAGGGGAATAGTTGAAGAGGATAATTGCAGAGGGTAGTTAAGAGGGACAAGTTGAAGGGGCTATTTGAGGTATTCAAAAAGTGTTATTCGATGGGAAATAACTACCGATTAAATAGTTTCTTTGGATGTTATTAGAATTTTCTTTATTTATTAGTATATTCTGGAGATTCTGGGAGTATCTTGGAGCATCTGGGAATAACTGGGAGTAACTGAGAATATCCGGAAGAGTTTGGTACCATCTGGGAGTGTAATTTTCCTGCATTCCCACGTTTATTCCCCACCTATTTACCAGCCATTATCAATTAAATCGCTGTTGGTGTGACAACAATGCATCCATCATATCAATGACATTGATTGCATAATAGGTATAATAACAAAAAAAAATTGATCGATGCAATCGAATAAAATGGGATAGTTCCTGCGGCGCGCCCTGCGCAATTTTCCACGTTGATAATCGCGCGCGGTTTCGAAGGTGCTCCGAAACCAAAAAAAAAATATATATATATAACAGGTTTTTACACCGCTGATTCGAGAAATCTACAATTTACCGGGCGATGAATTTATTTTTTTCTTTTCTTTCTTTCTTTTACCCGCAATGCGTTGCAGCAGAAGAGAGAGACGAGACCGAATTGAATTTCCTGCCCCGAGGGGCCCAAAGTTGAAACGGTTCGTTGGAGAAGTGATGGAGCTCGAGAAAGATTCGAAAAGAGTAAATGGAGAGTTGAAAACGCTAGATGAAGGGTTGAAAAGTGTAGAAAAGAGTAGAATAAGCTAGTCAGAGTTGAAAATGATAAATGGAGAGTAGAATATAAGCTAGTCAAAGAGTTGAAAAGGGTAAATGAATAGTAGAATATAAGCTAGTCAAAGAGTTGAAAAGGGTAAATGAATAGTAGAATATAAGCTAGTCAAAGAGTTGAAAAGGGTAAATGAATAGTAGAATATAAGCTAGTCAAAGAGTTGAAAAGGGTAAATGAATAGTAGAATATAAGCTAGTCAAAGAGTTGAAAAGGGTAAATGAATAGTAGAATATAAGCTAGTCAAAGAGTTGAAAATGATAAATGAAGAGTTAAAAAGGCTAGATGAAGGGTTGAAGAGGGTAAATAAGGAGTCGAGAAGGCAAGTTGAAGAGTTGAGAAGGGTAAATGAGGAGTTAAAAAGGCTAGTCGACGAGTTGAAAAGGGTAAATGAAGAGTTAAAAAGGCTAGATGAAGGGTTGAGAAGGACAAATGATGAGTTGAAAAGGCTAGTCGACGAGTTGAAGAGGTTAATTGAAGACTTCACAAAGATAATCGAGGTATCGAAACTTTGAGTAAGTTACTTAGTCAAACTTAGTGAAAAGATTAGGTCAAAAAGAGTTGAAAAGGGTAAATGAAGAGTTAAAAAGGCTAGATGAAGGGTTGAGAAGGGCAAATGATGAGTTGAAAAGGCTAGTTGACGAGTTGAAGAGGTTAATTGAAGAGTTCAAAAAGATAATCGAGGTCTCGAAACTTTGACTAAGTTACTTACTCAAACTTAGTGAAAAGATTAGGTGAAAAAGAAAAGGGTAAATGAAGAGTAGAACAGGCTAGTTAAAGAGTTAAAAAAGCTAGTAAAACAGTTCAAAAATCTAATCTGGAGGTCTGGAAACTTGTACAAATTCCATCCTTACCCACAACCTGTTGCAGGAATCCGCTCTCATCCTGTACACCGATATAATACCGTTACAACTGTAATTTCCAGTGATACCATCGTGAAACGACCAATCCGGGTAGGCCCTGAGAACCGGACTGGATCCCCTGCGAGTATTCCTGGGAATCACCGCCAACGTTGCAGGAACTCCAGCTCGTAATCTGGGCATCGCCAGGAATATCCTGTCGTCGGTGACCTCCAATCCTGTGAATAGGGTATTTTCCAATCGGATATCGGCGTAGTTGTAGTGAAATGGCAGATCGAAATCCAGGAATTTCCATTGATTGACGACCTCTAGTTGGGAGGTGGGGGCGATCAGGGCGAGGGCGATCAGGGCTAGGCATGTTGCCGGAAACATGTTGAGTATTTGCAACCTGAAAAATCGGTTTTAATTTATTCTAGACGTTCGTATGTTGCTGTGATTTACGCAATAACGACAAGCGAAATGCTTGGGTAAAAAATGTGGGTGTGTTGTGGTTAGTGCGATAAATAAGTGTTTTTTATGTTAGAAAAATAACTGTAAATGGTTACATGGTCGGTTTAATTAATGGAAATTTGTTGTTAGATAAATCTTAGGGGGGTTGGGATTGATTGGATTCCAGTTTTGTAATATGTTGGTAGTTTTTGGAAATGTGGCAACAATGATGTGGGTGGAAGAAAATGTTTACTAGTCGGTGGTCTGAAATTTGAAATATCTCGGAAATTTGGGGGTGTTTGGGAATTTTTGTTGGTATGAAAATTGTAGGGAATTGTTTTTTCTATAAATGTTGAAAATTTTGTTTTTTTAGCTCGATTGGTTGTCGAGATAATTGAGGGTTTTTGAGAATTGCACTAAAAATTAGTATTTATAATAAAAATGTAGAAATATCTCGGAAATTTAGAGTTTTTTGAATATTTTTGATTCGTTAAAAGTTGTAGAGAATTGTTTTTTCTATAAAATAGTAAAATTTTGTACTTGTATCTCAATTTTGTTTCGAGATAATTAGACTTTATTAAAGAATTTCACCAAAAATTAATTCTCCACGTATTTATAACAAAAAACTCGATATATCTCGGAAATTTTGAGTGTTTTAAAATTTTTTGATTCTTTAAAAGTTTAAAATAGTAAAAATTTTCTTACTTTATCTCTATTAATTTTCTAGATAATTAATGTTTTGCAAACAATTCCACGAAAAATTCAATTTTTATACATTTACACCAAAAATTTCTGTTTTTTTTCCAAATTTTCGAACCCTTATATAGCTCATCCATTAACCATGATCTGATACACTTTCGATATTATCGAATCAGCCGCGTTAAGTTCATTAACAACGTGAAAGCGACTCTTACTTAAACGTTATTGCGACACTTCGAAAATTATTTAACTAGCTCCTCGTCTGATCGATTAATTAACCAAAGATTTAACGAATTACGCAACAAAAATTCGTAGGAAATGCAAAAAAATGGAACTCTCCATGTTGATATTGAAATATTCAATAACACGTACTAATAACGATTGTAAAATTAACTTTATTAAGGACATTATTTTGTATTAAAATTTTACATATGTAGAAAGTATAAATGAATAATAGTGGTATAATGATTTTTGTCACGAACTATTCTCGTTGATTACGGTACTGTAATGATATTCATTTTGTACTTTACATGTAAAACGGACAAACAATTCTCCGGATTCGCGATAAAACTGTCGCACTTTCTACTACTTGACTTGATATTATTTTTATTAAGACATTTCCTCCGGTTATAAATTAAACAAACTATTGGGAAAGAAAATACTTTCACGCATTAATCTCGTAAAATTGCTGAAATTTCAATTCGAAAAATATGTTTAACTCCCCCCCGTATAAGTACTGTAGTGTATAGGGTAAATACTTGTCATAGGACGGATGAATCAGGGATTGTTGTTGAAATATCTCGGATATTTTGTGTTTTTTGAAAATATTGGTTTCTTTGACAGTTTTGGAGAAATGTCTTCTCTATAAAATGATGGAAGTTTCGTTTTATTATCTCTATTGGTTTTTGAGATAATGGGTGTTTATTAATGAAATGCGCCAAAAAATTAGTTTCTCTTGTATGTGTAATAAAAAAGTCGAAATATCTCGGATATTTTGTGTTTTTTGAAAATATTGGTTTCTTTGACAGTTTTGGAGAAATGTCTTCTCTATAAAATGACGGAAGTTTCGTTTTATTATCTCTATTGGTTTTTGAGATAATTGATGTTTATTAATGAAATGCGCCAAAAAATTAGTTTCTCTTGTATGTGTAATAAAAAAGTCGAAATATCTTGGATATTTTGAGTTTTTTGAAAATTTTGGATTCTTTGACAGTTTTGGAGAAATGTCTTCTCTATAAAATGACGGAAGTTTCGTTTTATTATCTCTATTGGTTTTTGAGATAATTGATGTTTATTAATGAAATGCGCCAAAAAATTAGTTTCTCTTGTATGTGTAATAAAAAAGTCGAAATATCTTGGATATTTTGAGTTTTTTGAAAAATTTGTATTCTTTAGCAATTTTGGAAAAATGTCTTCTCTATAAAATGATGGAAGTTTCGTTATATTATCTCTATTGGTTTTTGATGTAATTAATGTTTATTAATGAAGTGCACCCAAAAATTAGTTTCTCTTGTATGTGTATTAAAAAAATCGAATATCTCGAAAATTTTACGTTTTACAAAATTTTTGAATTTTAGAATGTTGTAGAGAATTATTTTTTCTATAAAACCATGAAAATTCCGCATTTTTATCTCGATAATTTTCGATTTTCGATTTTATCTCGATAACATATTTAGCTCCCCCTGTACAAGCACTTTACAGTTAATTGTACGGCAAAAATGCGAAAAGTGCATAAACAAATGTCGAATGCAGACCTTTAAAATCGAGCAAATACCACGGAATAAACCAAACACAAAATTACAATACGTTTTTGCAAGAAATAATTCGCCCAAAGTATTTCTCAAAGACCGTAAAATTCATTTCATAATTACGCCCAAGGTGAACCATTGTTAATGGAGCGTCGTTCTTACACACAAAAAAATATATCCTGTATTGTGTGTGTGTATTTCAAGAATTCCTTGATTTATTGATAGTATTGTTAGTCATTGAACTATTAGATACACTAATTAATTGAGCAATTTATTTTGATCTATTTTATGTAATAATATGCAACTGCAATTTAGGCAACCCCAGAGGCTGTGACGTCATTTACCTTGTTTTGTTTTAACTACTCTGCTAATTGTAGTTTTAGTTAATTAATTAATTTGTGTACCAACAACCTTGATTGTTTATAAAGTGATTTAGACAGTAAAAGAGGAAGTTGATTCTAGATTTATTATTGAACCGTGTCCGTTTCAATTTTGTTGTATTTTATTGAAATAAATCGGGCAAGTATTACCAATGAAATTGTTCTTTTACGCAAAATGCTTCGTTTAAATTAATAGTATTAATTAGGCAATTAATAGTGATGAGTATAAACTTGAATTTTTGCTAAAAGTGAAACCGGATTGGGCAATACAACAAAACAAAAATAAGCAAACTTTTGCATATTGTCGATAACGTGGAAAAAAAGAAAGTATAATGTGTTAACCTTTAACGCACTTTTCTCATAATACTGTTGCCGTTTTTTTCAACAATACTTGCGTAAAAACACACGTTGATACTTATCTTATAAATTGCACGTTTACACAAGAATTGACACATTTACATGTTCACAAAAAAAAATAATGTAATTAACAAAAAGGGTTGTACTTTTAAAAATCCCGCTGTATAATAACTGATTGACATGTTACAGTAAATTAAAGACCTTGATCTAATAAGTATATTTCGGCTGATCTACATTAAATTTGTATTTCCTTTTGCATAGATACAATTATAGAGATTACGTGTCTTTGCTATAGGCAATATCGTGCAACATATACTTAAAATATTGACTAATGATCAATAAAAACGAAAGTAAAGTCCACACTGTGCTGTACGAAAATTTAGAAATTGCTTTGAATATTCCCAATTATTAATTATAAAAATTAATAAGTGAGTAATTAAGGGTGACAAGTGTAATTGGTTTTTTGTGTGGATTGTATCAATACAGTATAGGGAATTTTGGCAATTTTGGTTTTTTTCATCTCGATTGGTTTTCGAGAAAATTGAAGTTAATTGCACTAGAGATAATTGGACTAGAAATTAGTTTTTTATGTACTCGTATTTATAACTTATAAGTCGAAATATCTCGGAAATTTTGGTATTTTTGAAAATTTTTGGTTCTTTGAAAGTTGTAGAGAATTGATTTTTCTATAAAATGGTAAATATGTCGTTATTTTTTATTGATTAGATTTCCAGATACTTAAAGTTTTTTAATGAATTGCGCTAAAAATTAGTTTTTTACTAGTACTTGTAATAACAAAGTCAAAATTACTCGGAAATTTTGGGATTTTTGAAAATTTTTGATTCTTTAAAAGTTGTAGAGAATTGATTTTTCTATAAAACTGTGAAAATGTCGTTATTTTTTAACGTTTAGTTTTCTAAATAATTAATGTTTTTTAAAAAATTGCTCCAAAAATTTGTTTTTCTGTATTTATATAAAAAAAAGTCGAATTTTCTCAGATATTTTGGGGTGTTTGAAAATTTTTTATTCTTTAAAAGTTACAGAAAATTGTATTTTCTATAAATTGAAGAAAATATTACTATTAATCTCCATTAGATATCGAGAAAATTTATTAAAGAATTTAAACACTAAAAATTACAAATTGCTTTAAATATTCCTAATATTAATCGTAATTAATAATTTAGTAAATGTAATATAATAAAATGAATGATTCTACGTGAAATTGCTTCTCTCGTATAATATGAATTATGTCAATTCCTTAATCAAAATCACGACTCACGATCCTATTTGGAATTTCGATTTGGAATTCGATACGTAAATCGATATATTTTTTTCACTTTCGAAAATTAATTAAATTTTCTTTCTTACAAGAGAAATAATTAGTTAATAATTACAAATTACAAAATTACCCGCGTAAGTATACCAATTATTTTTCCCGACACAGTTATTAACAATTTAATTAAATACAACGTTAAATAATTGTATCGAGCGCATTTCGCAATTTTCTTCTAATTAACAAACTTGTTTTTTTTTTCTATAACAAGTACAACAAGTGCGAAGTACTCAATAAAAATTTACAACACCATAATTCCACGAATTAATCAATTAAATACCTCCCATAAATCGATAAAAAAACATTACCAAAAAAATACAACACCCTTAAGCCTATAATAATCCAAAAATCAGTACCTCAAACGAAAACCACGCCGGACCAACTCCGGTACTAACCGGACTTCGATCGAACAAAATAAAAACAAATAAAACGACCACCGCGCGACAGTACCTCACAAAAACGAATAAATTTCTTATCAATCAAATAAGCGAGTACCGGGCCCGGGAGGTCGGTCGTACTTTCCCTTGACGCCCTACCACCGTCGGTACGACCTCGTCCGCCACGCCCGGAGCCGAATACCGCCGTGCGTTATGCGATCTTGACTCCGGCTCGTTGCCCAAACAATTCCAATTCAGTACTATTGTATCTGGTACTATTAGATCACCGATTGATTGTATCGATAGGCGAAAGTGTATCGTGGCATCATCGATGGACCGATTTTGCGGTAGGTGGAGGTCGGTACTACTTGGAGGTACTACCTCGACATTCCCTGTAGGTGATCTAGTAGATAATGATATAATATAAACTCCCATTTTCGTACCATTTTAGGTCGGTACTATGGTATGGAGTACTGAGATAGATAAGAGATAGTACGAAAGTATCAATTTTATTCCATTCTTCATCAAAATCCCATTCGTACATCGCTTTTTAGGTCACTACCACTCTTTCTTTGGAGTACTACGAGGTATGGACCTATTTAGTACTTATCCAAACGCAAAATGAGTACCAAAAACCATGTATTTTATTCACAAAAAATCGAAATTTAACATTGAAACGAGATCCGGTAGGACAATTTTCTGTAGGTAATCCCCTGTAGATACTCTAATAGATAAGATACAATACAAATTCCCATTTTCGTCCCATTCTAGGTCGGTACTATTCACTTGGTGGTGGTAAGTACTGAGATAGATAAGACACAGTAGAAAAGTTTCAATTTTATCCCATTCTACATCAAAATCACATTCGTACATCCCTTTCTAGTTCAGTACCACTCTTTTTTTGGAGCTCTAGATGGTATGGACCTATTTAGCACTTATCCAAACGCAAAATGAGTACCAAAACATGTATTTTATTCACAAAAAAATCGACATTAAACATTTTAAACATTGAAACGAGATCCGGTACGACAATTCTCCTCGTTCTGTCTGCACCATTCGGGTTCGATGGCGTCGGCGTCGATGCCCATAAGTACCAATCGTTCCCGGTGGGCGAGGAACCTGTGCTCGGCCGCCTCCCAGCCGGTACTGGCGTTAGACCACAGTACTTCCGCCATAGCCGCAGCTCTGGGCCACAATCTTCCATCCACCGACGATGAATCCGCTTGTTCCGTCCACAGAGCTGCTTCAGCTCCTAGTACTTGGTGCACTTTGTCGCCTGAAATGGGTGATTTGTAAGTGTTGGTATGTTAGGGGTACTCGTTGGTACTACCTGCGATTTTCGAGGGGTTGTTTTCGTAGACTTTTTGCCAACCGATGTAAGGCGAGCACCAGTTGTTACCGGTCGCTACCCACGATCCGAAACCGCAGTCCATATACAGGGCGTCCGAATTGCTCAGTATGATCTTGTAGCCGTTATCCAGCAACTGCTTGATTTGATCGTCGTCGCTCTCCGACCAAACTTGTATGTAGTACTTATCTTTGGGCAACGATTCGACCAAGTACTCGGGCGTGGTGAGGTGGCTGGTCCACATTATGGCGGGAATTTCCCTGCCGGCTTTCTTGTACAACCTCTCCAGCGCGTTGCTTTGGAAGTGGTTCCACAATTTCACGAAATCCCGGTCGGTAGTACCCCAACCTTTCGCCCTCATCCACTCGACGATGCTGGTTGTATTCTCCCAGCACTTGAAGGTGACTTCATCGCCGCCCATGTGGAAGACGTCCGGCTCGAATTGCTCCAACATATCCCCGTATAAATCTACCGAAACAATCCGGGTAGTACTAGAAACTATTAAGTACCGTTCGATTACCTTCTATGGCGTCGTAGAGGCCTTCTTTGGTGGGATCGAATTGGCCGCAGGGCGGCTCCACGCAGTAAATCTGCCAAGGTTGGGCGTTCAAGCACACCAAGTACCCGGTGTCCTGCCAACCTTCGCCCACGTGCGCGGGCGCGTCGAACTCCGGTACCACCTTAACGCCTCTAACTCGGGCGTACTCCACCAGGTCCTTCACATCTTGCCTGGTGTAGACTTTGCTGGGGTCGTAGGCGCCGATGCGGTGGAGCTCGGGCAGCGACGCCGACTCGTAGGGGAAGCTGTGGGTGTCGGTGAGGTGCCAGTGGAAGGTGTTCAGCTTGGAGGCGCCCATGGCTTTGATGGTGCGCTTCAGCGCCGACGTGGTGATGAAGTTCCTGGAGGTGTCCAGGACGATGCCTCGGTGCGCGAACGCCGGTTTGTCGGTGATCGAGGCGGAGCTGGGATCGGAGCGAGCGAGATGATTAATTGGTGATTTGGTACTCTTACTGGTTAATGATTATGGTACAGTTTGTGCTCGCTTGGAGTTAGTATTATGCGATGGAACTGCGATGGAACGATTGGAAGATTGTGGTGATTGGAGCGAGCGAATAGATTAATTTAAAATGGTGTAGGGTAGTAGATTAATTAGGTGATTAATTGGTGATTTGGTACTCTTACTGGTTAATGATTATGGTACAGTTTGTGCTCGCTTGGAGTTAGTATTATGCGATGGAACTGCGATGGAACGATTGGAAGATTGTGGTGATTGGAGCGAGCGAATAGATTAATTTAGAATGGTGTAGGGTAGTAGATTAATTAGGTGATTAATTGGTGATTTGGTACTCTAATTAATAATTGAATATGGTACAGTTTGTGCTCGCTTGGAGTTAGTATTATGCGATGGAACTGCGATGGAGTGATTGGAAGATTATGTTGATTAGAGTAAGCGAATAGATTAATTTAGAATGGTGTAGGGTAGTAGATTAATTAGGTGATTAATTGGTGATTTGGTACTCTTACTAATTAATGAATATGTGGTACAATTTATGCTCGCTTGGAGTTCTAATCGAAACAGAACTGCGATGGAGTAATTGGGAAGAATATGTTGATTGGAGCGAACAAGAAGATTACTTTAGAATGGTGTAGGGTAGTCGATCAATTGGGTGGTTAATCGGTGATTTGGTACTCTAATTAATAATTGAATATGGTACAGTTTGTGCTCGCTTGGAGTTAGTATTATGCGATGGAACTGCGAAGGAGTGATTGGAAGATTATGTTGATTGGAGTGAACGAAAAGATTAATTTAGAATGGTGTAAGGTAGTTGATTAATTGGGTGATTAATTGGTAATGAATATGGTACAATATGGTACAATTTGTACTCACTTGGGCATTTGCACTTCGTTTCTGATGTTATCGTAGATGATGAGTTGCGTGAGCGTTTGTAAACCGTTTCTAGCTCCGAAGAAAGTTCCTGCTTGTATATCAACTTTGATGCTGCTTGATCCTGGATCGGATATCTTCAAGGAATATCCCTCTGGAGTATCCAGGGTAAGTCTATTGGTTGTTGTATCGGATATACCGAGCGAAACAACAACGGAAAGTCCACCTGGATTGATACCAGACGTTATGGAGCTCTGTGAATGCAATTATTAATTTATTTAATGTCATCGAATTTTTTAATGAATACTTTAATATCATTCTTGAATTCCTTGATGGCTTCTTGAACGAGCGCGTTGATCGGTGTATCCGATGTATTACTAACGACGTCTATGCTGTAGTAATTGACTTTAATCAATCGATCGCCCACTGAGACTTCTCCGGTGGGTATCGGCCAGATTCCTGCTGAGGTGGAGCAGAAATACCTGCAGGCAGGTAGGCTGAGAATGGCGAGATCATTGTCTTGGTCGGTGATTCTCCGTTTCTGGCAGGAGTTCTTCTCGCATTGCCATTTCCACACCGGTTTGGCGGGGCTGGAAATCGAACTGGCGAGGATTAGCAGGAGAAATGAATCGGGTTTGTTTTTGTACTTACTGATTTGGATTTTCTATTGAAATATCTTTGGTTTTCGAAACTATGAAAGATACTGTTAAAGTTAGTGTTATAAGGCATGTTAAAATCACAATTCCTGTTAAAACGTAGTATTTTCTGTTACTTATCTGGAAAGCCATGATTAGATAGCAGGAATACAAACCGAATGAATTGAATACGAGTTTTTCGGGTATTTGTATTTTACTATTGTTCTCAAATAAATCAATAAAAATGAATTCGAAATGTAATAAACGAGAGATTAACGATTTATCAAATCAATAAAATTAATCCGATTTAGAAAAAATATTATCTAATAATATTTACCTAGAACAAGTTGCTGATCCTATCAACAAAACTGCTACAATATGAGAAAACTTCATTCCTGAAACAATTCCAAAAAAATATATATTATATTATTTTTCATTCAAAATTTAAATAACCCCTAATCGAATCAATTAACCACCCAATAGAGTCGATTATCTAACTAATAGAGGCAAATAACCACCCAATAGATTCGATTATTTAACTAATAGAGTCGATTAATCAACTTAGAGTCTAGAGAGCCTATTATCTCAACTAATAGAGGCAATTAACCACCCAAGAGAGTCGATTATCTAACTAATAGAGGCAAATAACCGCCCAAGAGAGTCGAATATCTAACTAACAGAGTCGATTAATCAACTTAGAGTCTAGAGAGCCTATTTTCTCAACTAATAGAGGCAATTAACCACTCAAGAGAGTCGATTATTTAACTAATAGAGTCGATTAATCGCCCAAGAGAATCGAATATCTAACTAAAAGAGTCGATTAATCAACTTAGAGCGTAGAGAGCCTATTATCTCAACTAATAGAGGCAATTAACCACTCAAGAGAGTCGATTATTTAACTAATAGAGTCGATTAATCGCCCTACAGACTCTATTATCTTAACTAACGGAGGAAATTAACCGCCCAAGAGATTCGAATATCTAATGTAATAAAGTCAATTAATCGGCCTAGAGAATTTATGATCTTAACTATAATAGAGGCAATTAACCACCCAAAATAGTCGATTATATATCTAACTAAAAGTATCAACAGACCGTCCAAAACAGTCGATTATTTAACTAAAGGTGGCAATTAACCAGCGAATAGAGTCGTTTATCTAACTAGAACAGTCAAATAACCACTCAAGAGAGTCTATTAAAAATTATCCACCTAAAACAATTAATTATCTATCTGAATAAATTATTAACGACTTTAATAAACAATTAAGGTACGAACTAGAGAGTCGATTATTTAACTAAAGGGGGCAATTAACCAGCGAATAGAGTCGTTTATCTAACTAAAAGAGTCAAATAACCACTCAAGAGAGTCTATTATCTTAACTAAAAGAGTCAATTTTCTAACTAATTGAGTCAACACTACGAAAACGTATCAATTCAACAGCTTTATCCACCTAAAACAATCAATTATCTATCAGAATAAATCGATTACTAACGACTTTAAAAAACAATTAAGGTATCTATCAAAACAAATATATGTTTACCCAACATATCAACCTCATATAAACAATATCAACGCCTTCTACGATACAATTCGTCTACTTTTATCCCCGATTAACCGACGACACAGATTACACAATGGCACTTCGAAATAGAATAATTGTCTATTATAGCGCCGTTTTCGAAGCAAATCGCTTTTTAGCGACAAAAACAACTTACCGGGCAGGGTTTTCTCGATTACACAACGCACTCGAAGCGCTTATCTAACGAGCATTCCGCGTAGAAAATCGCGTACAAGTGGAAATAAACACGTAAAATATCGAATATCGGTGAAAGTATTACAACTTGGACGCGATAGAGCCGATACAAATGGCGGTCGTGATCGTTGAACTTGCCAGGACTGGCCGAATGAACAACAAAAAAAATACACAAAAGGATTTAGAAACCGAAAAAACCGGACTACTAATTAATGCAGAAGATATACACTTTGATGGTTTTATTGCATACAGAACGTCGCTGGTTAGAAGATGCTATAGGCATAATTGGGAATTTGGGACGCGCTGTATTAATTGAATAATTCAAGTTGTGTCGTTTAAAGAAGTCAAGTAGGCGGCAATTGAATGCTCGAGGATAATTTGCATATTGCTTTTTTGTAATATAATAACCCGTTCGCGAATATTCTTGTGTAATTATAGTCCATTCGCTGGCGTTGTGGAGTAGTCGATGTTGCTAAACAATGCAAGATAGGCTTGTACAAAGTGAGCCAAATAAATTATGTAGGTGTGAAAAAATGTGGTGTAATTAGAATCTATACAGGGTGTAAAAGAATGGGTCGTACATTAGTTGGTTTACTCTACAGGGTGTCTACTAAAAAAGCGTCGAACTTCATAAAAATATCTGCCGTAATAAGAAAATTATGGTAGAAAAGTTATTTTTTTTCTAAAATTTTAGCACCCTGTAGCTCGAAAACTAAGAGGTTTAGGACAAACATTGATATAAACTTTTCTTCTTAAAATCATCCAAATATTCACATCCTGAAATATCGGCATACAATTAATTAACACCCTGTATCTCAAAGACTGCGGAAGCTCTAAAGAAAAAACAAGAAATTCCAACACCCTGTAGATTGATAACGAAGCGTATATGGTCAAAGAATTACCCCCTTCCGCATGTGCACGATATTTAGAAACACCCTGTATAAAAACTTATGTTTAGAAACATTTTTATTGCCTAATCTACAAGTTTGCGAATGGACTATATATATTATTAATGGACCTATAATTATTAATGTGTTAAAATATTGTTTGTGTTTTTAGAAGATAAAACTATCAGGGAACTGTGAATACCCTGTCTTGAAGTTGCATTAATATTGTGTTTATTTATAGATGTGAATTTTCTTGAGATAAAATGTAGAAACGAAAAATTGTGTAAATTACCGCATTCGTTTGTTCACGGGATTTATTTTGTGTATTGAAGAGATTTTGATATATAAACTGCGAGGATGCGGTACGAATATATCAGTCAGCAAGTGTCTTTTGATATTCATTGATATTTATTGATATTCATTGATATTCATTGATATTCATAAACGAGGTAAGTTCAATTTTTACACTTTTTTATTAGAATTAAAATTTTATGATATATTTCTTCATCCAGATGTCGCTGTATCAAATATTCTACATAGCATTGCTAGCATTTGTGCTAGTCGAATGTAAAAAGCATCGGAAAAACCCATGGGAAGTTAATCCTGGAGTTGGTAGAGACCAAAATGGCAACACAAATGCTGGAGTAGAAATTAAAAGACAAGGGGAAAACGGCCATTTTGAAGCAGGATGGAACAAAGTAGTCCATGGACCTAACAAAGCTAAGCCTACTTGGCATGTAGGAGGTACTTTTAGATTCAAACGTTCACCTGAAGGACCTTGGGAAGTTAATCCTGGAGTTGGTAGAGATCAAAATGGCAATACTAACGCTGGAGTAGAAATTAAAAGACAAGGAGAAAACGGCCATTTCGAAGCAGGATGGAACAAAGTAGTCCGTGGACCTAATAAAGCGAAGCCTACTTGGCATGTAGGTGGTTCATTTAGATTCAAACGATCTCCCGATGGACAATGGGAAGTACAGCCTGGTGCTGGTACTGATCAAAATGGAAACACTAACGCTGGAGTAGAAATTAAAAGACAAGGAGAAAATGGCCATGTTGAAGCCGGTTGGAACAAAGTAGTCCATGGACCTAACAAAGCTAAGCCTACTTGGCATGTAGGAGGTACTTTTAGATTCAAACGTTCACCTGAAGGACCTTGGGAAGTTAATCCTGGAGTTGGTAGAGATCAAAATGGCAATACTAACGCTGGAGTAGAAATTAAAAGACAAGGAGAAAACGGCCATTTTGAAGCTGGATGGAACAAAGTAGTCCGTGGACCTAACAAAGCTAAGCCTACTTGGCATGTGGGTGGTTCATTTAGATTTAAACGATCTCCCGATGGACAATGGGAAATTCAACCTGGTGCTGGTAATGATCAAAATGGAAATACTAACGCTGGAGTAGAAATTAAAAGAAAAGGAGAAAACGGCCATTTTGAAGCTGGATGGAACAAAGTAGTCCATGGACCTAACAAAGCCAAGCCTACTTGGCATGTAGGAGGTACTTTTAGATTCAAACGTTCACCTGAAGGACCTTGGGAAGTTAATCCTGGAGTTGGTAGAGATCAAAATGGCAACACAAATGCTGGAGTAGAAATTAAAAGACAAGGAGAAAACGGTCATTTTGAAGCTGGATGGAACAAAGTAGTCCATGGACCTAACAAAGCCAAGCCTACTTGGCATGTAGGAGGTACTTTTAGATTCAAACGTTCACCTGAAGGACCTTGGGAAGTTAATCCTGGAGTTGGTAGAGATCAAAATGGCAACACAAATGCTGGAGTAGAAATTAAAAGACAAGGAGAAAACGGTCATTTTGAAGCAGGATGGAACAAAGTAGTCCGTGGACCTAACAAAGCTAAGCCTACTTGGCATGTAGGTGGTTCATTTAGATTCAAACGATCTCCTGATGGACAATGGGAAGTACATCCTGGTGCTGGTACTGATCAAAATGGCAACACTAACGCTGGAGTTGAAGTAAAAAGACATGGGGAAAATGGCGATTTTGAAGCCGGATGGAACAAAGTAGTCCATGGACCTAACAAATCCAAGCCTACTTGGCATGTAGGTGGTACTATCAAATTTTAAATATGTATTGACTGATTATTTAATTGTAAACTACTAAAAAATTATTACTTTTACCATATTGTATAAATCATTAGGTGCTCAATTTGTAAATATATATAATTAAGAATAAATTACGGCCATATAATAATTCGAAGATTTTATTTCAACTACTTCTCATATAAATTTACAACCATTTTCCATACAGTAATGCTCCAATTAAAAACGTATGATTGAATTACATTTGCAAACAATAATATTTAATTTCAACAAAGAAAGTTAAATATAAAGTTCCCTTCCCTAAACTAACTAATGTTACAACTTTCCTTTAGTCTCCAGTGAATAAAAACAACAAAAATATTAGAAAGACATATATTTAGAATTGTAGGTACAAGTGTATAAATAAAATTTAGTTACATTTATTACATAAATTGCTTTCGTATATCGATTTGAACATACTATTAATGCCCATTATTAAATCAGGCTTGCCGTCCAATTCTTGAAAATCCCAAGATTTCTACAACACAAAATTTATTTCAACCAAAAACGAATAGCGTTAAAAATACCAATCTAGCCACCTTTCGAGCTATAGCGCAATCGATCAGCTCCAATATAGCCGATTTATTGGTCACCGATTGATCGACGATGGCGGGCAATGATCTGGATACATGCACGTCCAATTTTCCAGCCGCTCCGAATCCATTAAAACTGGCACACGGTCTGGAAAACCCATTTTTTTAGGCTCACAAAGAGTTAGATAGAAATCGGTACCTTAAGAGCCTGTTGTAGGCCTTTCCAGATTTCTGCAACCTCCACAGGAACTCCACGTAGGAGTTCGTCTTGTCGTTGTTCAGGAATACATTGGGACCGGACAGCAGGAATTTTCCCGAGGCGATTCTGCGCGGTAGCACCGCGAACGGGTTCTTCGCCTGGAGCACCAGCAGTTTGCAATGTCTCCTGATGTTGCCCAGTTGTATCTAGCGCATAAAATGAATGACCCAGTGATGTTTTTTATTGGATTTTTATTTACTTGTCCGCTGAAGAACTTCGCGTTGGAATCTGCTGGATTGGGAACGGTCGAAAATCGATAGATGGAAGGGTTGAATGTTCCGGTTAATCCTCTGGAGGGGTGCAGATTGATGGGTTCGTAGGGTTGTTGTAGCTTCAACATGCCTTTGGATTTCGTTATGTCGCGGTAATATCGCAAATTGCTGTATTTTTCTCTATAAAACACGTCCAATGTCCTGCCGATTTAACACATTTATGCCGCGGTAAAGAGGTAAAATGGTAAAGAGGTAAAGGAGTAAAGTGGCAATGGGGAAAAGAGCAAAAGAGGTGAAGTGGTAATGAGGTAAAGGGGGTAAAGAAGTAAAGTGGCAAATAAGTAAAAAGGAAAGGAGCAAAAAGAGGTGAAGGGGTAAATAGGTGAAGTGGTAAAGAGGTGAAGGGGTAAACGGGTAAAGTGGTAAAAGGGTAAAGGGGTGAATTACCTTTCGTGCGAGGGTAACTTCGATTCTCGCGGCTGCGAAGTTTTGGAAACTTTGTGGTACCAAATGTAACCCATAAAAAAATATAAAAAGTCCTTGCGTGAATGTAAACATGAATAAAATATTTGACAAAAAATGTGACAATTTTTTCGGATTAAAATTGACAGTTCGACGATAAAAAAAATGAGGATTTTTATAAAGCAACTTTAATAAAATCAGAAAATATTTTAAAATCAACATCAATTGAATACTTATAGTTAAAAAAAATCGAAATATCTACATAATTTAATTATTTAAGTTATACAGTGTGTCCCTGGATGGAATAGACGAGAAAAAACTCGTTATTAAACACCCAAGTTTGCCCTATTAAAATCTGTAATACAATATACAGGATGTTACCAAAATAAAGCAACGTTAAAATTAATATTTTCTTCTTAAAATTGAAAATAACAGGGACATACTGTATATATATACATTTGTATCTTATACCACACATATTCAATTGACTTTGCCAACACTATAATAACAAATTCTATCCCGCAATCCATAAAAAATCACTTAATACAGTACATTTTCATATACAGATAAATGCAAATTTGTACCCAATATGGGTGCAACAAATAACTATTATATTGTAATTCTGGGAGTGCATTCAGTGTTGAATAGTCATATTATAACCTTTTCAATGTCCTGTCAAACGTTGACATATTTGACAGTTTACGTTTTCTTTAGTTCTGTTGTTCTATGTTCGTTCATTTTGATGTCGTTACTGATAATGTACTTTTTTGTACTTAAAATAAAAGTTTATCTTAAGATAAAAGGTCTCAACAGTGTGTTTATCTCGACAATAATATAATATTAACTTAGTTTCATGTAAAAGAAAAGAGGAAAGAGCGATATTGTGGCCACATTGCAACTCTCTCACTCTTACAACTGTTTAGACCTATTAAGTAGTTAAAAGGTCTATGATATTAATAATATAATAACCTTTCTTCGTTCAACTCATAGAATTGCATACAAATTTGCACTTATCCATAGACATCGCTTAAATACTAAAAAAAAATCACAATACCTAATCGTTATACCAATCTAAAAACAACAAAGAAAATGACATCACCAATAAAAAAAACAACACATACACCCTCAAACCCGCATTCCTCTGTATGGCCTGCCTGATTTGCTCGTTGGCCTCTTTCACGTTCTCCGTCGAACCCACCACGTTCGTGGCTATCCGTTCGATATCAATCTGCTGCTGTAGAACCTTCTCGGTGAACAATTCCTGCAGCTCCGCAATGTGCACCACTTTGCCCTCCATCTGCCTGACCTCGTCTACAAAACGATATATACAATATTAAGTAGATAAAAATGCGTTTGTTCGATTACCAGATATGCTGTTGAGTTCGTTGTAGAGCATCTCGTTTTCGGCCTCGAACATCTGCATTTCCTCGCTGGATAGCTGCGGGTCGTAGTCGACGGACGGTCGAGGCTCCGGGTCTTTGTTCGGGGGATCGTTGCCGTGGAGATCCGGTTTTCTGTTGGCCGGATTCGTTTCTAATTTGGATAGTTTGTGGGTGTCGATGACTCGCTTCACTCGGACCGCTTTGGCTTCCGTGTAGATTTTAGAGACGTTTTCCAGGTAATTTTCTAACGTCGCGGTGATGTTTTGATAGTGTTCTTCTCTTTGGGGAGTCTTCGTTATGGCGTTGGTTTCCTTTTTGAAGCTGTTTATCAGTTTTCTGCATTCGTTGATTACTTCCTCGGCCATCGTATCGACTTGTTGTCTGTCCAATTCGCTCATCGTTTTGTTTGTCGAGAGGTAATTGAGGACGTTCAAGTAGGCTGCTTTGTTTTCGGTTAGAAAATTCCTGAGTTTCGTTATTTGTTTTACGACGTCCTTAGCTGTGGACAGGTTCGCATCTTTCGAAACTTTTAATATGTTCGATTTCTGCTCGGTATTTCCTAAGGATTTGTTAGTAGTACGTACCGTTTTAACGCACGCTTTAAATAACGTCGTTATATCCATTTTTATGCCCTACCGACTTTCTGTTTTGAATTTTTTACATCAACATATGAAAATTATAAATATAACCTAACATTTATGTGCCAAATCGTGGCCAACGGTTGTTCTGTTATTCAGTTCGCTTACGTTGCAAGCTGGATAAACGTGAAGTATGTGACATAAATGTAATGTCGAAGTCAAAAAAATACTCGAAAAAACTAGTTTTAGTTGGATTAAGTGATTTACGTAGTTTATCGTACACAAATAAACTTATATATTGCCTCATTCAATCCGTATAATTGTAATTGAATATATTCCAATTTTTTTCTGTCAAATATTGAACAATGATTATTCTGTTATTCAGTTCGGTAACATTGCGGCGTGAGATTTGACATTTGTTACTCATAAAAATCTAAAAATTCCAAAAAAAACTTTACTTTTTATTGATGTAAGGATTATAAGTAGCTCATTGAATCGAATTATTTAAACTAAATTGTATGTTCCGAATATTGAACAACGCTTATTCTGTTATTCAGCTCGGTTCCGGTGCATCGTGAAGTACGCGTCCCACCTGTCACGCGTCACTCATAATGTAACGTCAAAGTCAAAAAAATTAGAAAAAAACTTTAGGTTTAGTTGGTGTAACGAGTACAATTAGCTCAATCACATTTTAGTTAATAGTTGTACGCGACTGTGGACCGAGCGATCGTTCCGCATTCCTCACGGTTCCGATTCTCAACGCGACGTGTGCAGGCGCGCTCGACAATTACGTAAGTCTCGAATTCCGGCCCGCCGCGTTCCCCGAAAATGATGAAACTGCGATCGATCGGCAGGATGGCGCCCCTCGCGGGGCGCAACGTGGAGGCGCGCGCCCTGCTCAAGTGCCTGCCGGCGGCGTCCAACCGCCTGCAGGGCAGGACCTACGCCGATCACGTTATACCGGACAGGCTGAAAGACATGCCCACCAACCCCAATCCGAGGTTCTTCGACATGGTGGAGTACTTCTTCCACAAGGCCTGCGTGCTGGTCGAAGACAAGCTGGTCGAGGATTTGGGCAACGTGAAGGGATCGAAGCTCACGTTGGAACAGAGGAAGGCCAAAGTCAGGGGGATCTTGACTTTCATGGAGCAATGCGATCACATGCTCGAGGTCTCGTTTCCCATTAAAAGGGACAACGGCCAGTACGAGATTATTAAGGGGTACCGGGCACAACACAGTACCCATAGAGTACCGTGTAAAGGAGGTGCGTATAATCATCTGTATACTCTACTAATTTCGAAACCTCGTTAAGTATATACTAATTATAGAAACTTGGACTCGTTTTTCGAGTAGGAAACTAATTATATTTAATTGTAACGAAACAACAAACGGTTTTGTGTTAATCGACAATCATATTTAAACAAACACTATTATGTAAAAGATTGATTAATCTTGTTTTGCTATGTAGTAAAAAAAAAGATAACATAATAGGTAGGTGACATCCTAATTTGTAAATAAACTTATCTGGTTTCGATATGATAACAATACGTACATCGTAAGCTACGCAACCAGGTAATGGATTTACATATCAATTATTTACTCAAACAATTCGCAGTTTATACAGGGTGTTTCTGAAATAAGTCGTCAAAGTTTAGGAGCAAGTAGAGAACCTCAAAATATGACAAATGTCATTTGTCGTTTAATCTTCCCTTGTACTAGGTATACTGAATGTCCTCGTAATGTTCAAATTTTTTGTCCCTTCGAATACACTTCTTTCAATCTTCCCTGTCTATATACAGGTTGCTCTATTTTTGATCGCAACATAGGTTATATAGGTCATGGGTGCGATAAAGACAACTTCCATTAGACATTTACAAAGGAAAAGGAAAGAATGACATTTGTGTCATTGCAACTTTTCACTCTGACAACTGTCATTTTACTAATCTTTCTTTGTTCCACTCATGGAAATGACCATGTTGGAATCGGAAATGGAGCAAGGTGTATATACGGAATGTCCCGCGTGATTTACTGAATTTTTTTTGTTCCTTTTCGAAGGTATGCGTTTCTCCATGGACGTGTGCAGGGACGAAGTGAAGGCTTTGGCCGCCCTTATGACGTTCAAATGCGCATGCGTCGACGTGCCCTTCGGCGGTGCCAAGGCCGGCGTGAAGATCGACCACAAGAAGTACTCCGAGCACGAATTGGAGAAGATCACGAGGAGATTCACGTTGGAATTGGTGAAGAAAGGTTTCATCGGTAAGAGAGGAAAAAAATCTATAAGCCAATGGCGAATTTGTTTATTTTATTAAAAGCGGTAAACAATGAGAATATACTAGCAGGTGCGAGCGCGGTGCTATAAATACGATTGGTCGGAGGCAAATTCTGAAATGTAGCGTTATCGTTGGTTGGGTATTTTTAGGAAGTGCGGTTCGTGCGATAAAAATAAATTCGTTGGTGTTTGAACAAATTGAAAATAATCGCGATGCCGTGGAAATACGAGGGCGAGGTGAAAAGTTCTCTGGGCACGACAATAAAAGACCGCGATTTTCGGCGTTGTTTTTCATATTAAGTCGAAATCTTCAGTTCTAGACAGTTCTAAATGGTTTTACGCAGTTCTAATTGATTCTGGAGCGTTCTAAATGGTTTTACACAGCTCTAAATGATTCTGGAGCGTTCTCAATGATTCTGGATCGTTCTCAATGGTTTTACACAGTTCTTAATGATTCTGGAGCATTTCTAATTGATTCTGGAGCGTTCTAAATTGTTCTATACGGTTTTAAATAGTTCTAGGCATTTCTAAATAATTCTGCAGCTTTCTAAACTGTTCTAATTTATTCTAGAGCGTTCTAAACAGTTCTAATTAACTCTGATGCGTTTTACATTGTTCTGAACAGTTTTAAATTATTGTAGCCGAGAACTTTTTACCCTACCCTCGTATATAGTTTTTTCTTACGACTTGACCGATTCGTATTATCTTTGGTTATTATATGAGATTTTTTTTTTCGATTATGTAACTCGATGAAAACAGCCTTGAAAGTGGGATTTTTTTTTTGGCGTTAAATTTAATTGGAAACTGTGCGTTTGTTCGCAACACAGCGTCGCGTTTTATATATTATTATCAGTACGGCTTCTCATAAATGGAAATTTATTTATAGCTCCCGGCCGAACCCATTTAAATTTCAATGAAATACACCCGTCATTTCGGTTGCGTAACAACAATGCAAAATGCAAAAATTTTATCGTCGACTCGACGTTCTTCTATCAATTAGATATTAAATTACGCAAACGTATATACACTGCAATCTATATTCATTAGCGCTGATTTATTGTAATTGCCCTATTTAATTTAATCGCCTTGCCTTAACTTAATGTTCCCAACTATAATGAAAATGTTTACGGTTAATTTACAGGACCGAGTATCGACGTACCGGCGCCCGATATGGGCACGGGCGAAAGGGAAATGTCCTGGCTGGCCGACACCTACGCCAAGACCATCGGTTACCAAGACATCAACAACCACGCTTGCACCACGGGTAAACCTATCAATCAAGGTGGCATACACGGACGTGTCTCCGCCACCGGACGCGGCGTTTTCCACGGTAAGCCAATTTTACCACTCGACCTACCCTCGTATAATCTATCATAATCGACCCACCCTCGTAATACTAGTTTTGCGATATTCGTTGTAGTTCGACAGCTTGTCAATTTGTAATACTTTTGGTGCAGAATGACAGCTGTCGAACGTACGACAAACGAACGTATCCGGCTGTCATTTGTCGTTTATGCGATTTTGTTGTGTTTGAATTTTAGGAATCGAGAATTTCATGAACGAGGAGAGTTACATGAAACAATGCGGCCTGACGACGGGCATTCGAGGAAAAACGGTGATCATTCAGGGTTTCGGTAATGTCGGTTTGCACACGATGAGGTACTTGCACAGGGCCGGAGCTAAAATCATCGGGGTGATCGAATTCGACGGGTCGATTTTCAACGAGAACGGTATCGATCCTAAGGTAAGACGATTTATTATTGAATTGAGTTAATTAGGTGACTGGATTACTAGAAATAGCGATTGATTTGATTCGAATGCGATTTTTTTCTGTTGAAAAATGTCAACTGTCAAATTGTTCAGTTGCCAGCTTCATTCGAGGGATTAATTTTAAATTCATTTAAATGTTGTCGATCGCAAGGTGACACGATTAATTAATTGATGTAATTAGGTGATTAGATTACTAGAAAGAGCGATTGATTTGATTTGAATGCGTTTTTGATGAAAAAAGTCAACTGTCAAATTGTTAAGTCGCCAACTTCATTCGAGTCGTAGAATTCTAGGGATTAATTTTAAATATTTAAAATGATATCGATCCGAAGGTGACGCGATTAATTGGGAATTAACTAGATTGTAAAAGAGAAATTTAATCAGAACGCGATTTTTACGTAAAATGTCAACTGAACTGTCAATTTGTTAACTTAACAAGTTGCCAACTTCATCCAAGTCATCGGATTTATCGAGTTCGATTGATTTTGAATTAAAACGCTATCAATCTGAATATAACGCGCTGAATTAGGGATTAAACTAGATTATACAAAAAAAAGTGAATAATTTAATCCGAACACGATTTTGACATAAACTGTCAACTTAACAACTAAGTTGCTAACTTCACCCCTGTCGAATTGTTTGCTGTTATTACATCGAACGATAAAAAACGAAATAATTAACCGTTGTGCTTCTTCATTTCGCAGGATCTGGAAGATTATCGCGTCAGCAAAGGTACCATAACAGGATTTCCCGGAGCGAAGGCCTACGATGGTAATCTCCTCTTCCAGGAATGCGACATCCTCGTGCCGGCCGCCACCGAAAAAGTCATCACCAAAGACAACGCCGATAAAATCAAAGCCAGAGTAAGCTCGTTATTACAGTTATTACCTTAATAATAAACCACCGTGGCCTCGTCTGATGCTTCGTTAGCCCAAAGATTCGTTACACTGTCTTTGTGGCCTCGAATAATGCGGAAATAATAAAGCAGTTACATAATTACTAATAGAAAAACGAAATTAACACCATCAGCCCGTGGCCTCGTCCGTTGCGTTCACCCAGCCACCGGCTTCTAGAACGGTTACTTGCTTATAGATTGTAATTTTTTTGTGTTTTTTTTTTATGATTAGTTGATCGCCGAAGCGGCCAACGGTCCGTTAACGCCCGCCGCCGACGATATTCTGCTGAAGAAGAACGTGCTGGTGATACCGGATTTGTACGTGAACGCCGGCGGTGTGACCGTATCGTTCTTCGAATGGTTGAAGAACATCAATCACGTGTCCTACGGTCGATTGACGTTCAAATACGAGAAGGATTCCAATTACCATCTGTTGCGTGAGTTCCGTCGATGAAATGAAATTGGTCCGTATTCAAGCGACTTGTTTTAACCTTTAAAAAGTAGCGTGTATGTGAAAAAATAACTGTTACAAATCGAAACGACCACCTCTAATCAATACGTCAATTCGATGGTATTCAACGCTTTTTTTTCATTGTACTGACAGTTTTACATTGGTTGTTATGGAGTAACTAAAGAGATTCTTTCACTTTTGACAGTTTTGACAGTTTTACATTGGTTGTTATGGAGTAACTAAAGAGATTCTTTTCCTTTTGGCAGTTTTGACAGTTTTACGTTGGTTCTTATGGAGTAACTAAAGAGATTCCTTCACTTTTGACAGTTTTACATTGGTTTGTTTACTTTAAATTGTCATATTTAAATTGAATACGGGCCAATGTTTGTGTGTGAGTGAAGATTTGTTTGGTTAATTTATTTTTATTTTGTTGGTAGAATCTGTACAAGAGTCGTTGGAGAGGAAATTCTGCGATGTGGGTCCCATTCCCATTCAACCTTCGGAATCGTTTACTAAAAGGATATCGGGTGCTTCGGAGAAGGACATCGTACATTCCGGTCTTAGTTTTACCATGGAAAGATCTGCTAAAGTAAGTGCGAGAGAGCGGTGTGGCCTTTTACTTTACTAGTTTTTTGTTACTGTTGTGTGGTTTTTTTTATTTTTCGCTTCTTTACTCGTATGCAGGGTGTTAATTAATTGAGTGTCGCGATACTTCAGGATGTGAATATTTGGATGATTTTAAGAAGAAAAGTTTATATCAATACATGTCCTAAACCTCGTAGTTTTCGAGCTACAAGGTGTTACAGATTTAGAAAACAAAAATAAATTTTTTGAAGTGTCGGCACTCGATTAATTAATACCCTGTATGTTGTTATCGAAAGGTGTTTTTTATAGTCTTGTAAATTCGCTAATTTGTTCAAACAGTTTTTTTGAGTTTATCCTTTACCCTTTGTGAAACTTAAATTGCATCAAAATCGACTATGACAAAATTCCTTTCATTGTTTTTTTATTTTGTGAGTTGAATAATATTATTTTCATTAACTGTACACGTGGCTGAAGTTTTTCGTGTTCTTTGTTTACTAACTAAAAGAATATGTTTTTATAGCGAGTTTTTTGCATGTTAGACTAAAAAAAATTTCTTTGTTTTGCCATAAGGGTAATCAAACTCAAAACGTGCGAATTTTTATCACGATTTTAAACACCCTTTGATGATAAATTCTCCAATATATGGACTCTAACCACCCTACAATACAGCCATCGTAAATCGCCCGATCACATGCGCTAATACAGGGCGTCCCAATGAAAAGTAGACCCTTTAGTGAGCTAATTATTTTTAAACGCCTATTTATTTCGCAGATTTACTTAATTACTACTTCTACCATTTAAAAAATCGTTACTGTGAATTTAAAAGAGGAAATTTTGATGATTGGTAATGCATAATTTCTGCATCAATGTAACAAAACTTACAATAAAATAGAAAACATTTGAGAAAAATGCATTTTTTAATGATTAGTCGTTTCATAGCTCATTAAAGAGGATACTTTCCATGTAGACACCCTCTATAATCTAAGTAGAACACTAAGAAACTCGACTTGTTAGTTCAGTAAGCGCGATCACATCGAAAAACTTCGGCCACAGAGCGAGATAAAGAGAATCGAAATACGAAAAAAACCCAAATAGAATCCTATTTGACGAGATCTCTTGCAGGCCATACAGGAGACGGCGGCAAAATACAATTTGGGCCTGGACTTTAGGACGGCCGCTTACGTGAATTGCGTCCAAAAGATATTCCTGACGCTCAACGACGCCGGTTTCGCGTACTAAAAAAATCGACGGAACGAATCCCGACGTCGAAGGACCATCCCGACGCTGTACGGTCGATAAAACGTATTTGTTGTCGAAATGTTTTTGTGTGGCTGTTTGTCCGGTGGAGTTGGAGTCGTATTAATTACTTCGACGTGGCGATTCATTCGGTGGATTTGTCGACAGTCGTGTACAAGAAATCAAATTCGCTGTATATAAATTGAAATTTTCACACTACGTGTATCCCTTTAATTAAGTATTAATCGGATCTACTCGACGGATTAAGGTCGACCGGTCACGGAGCAACTGTTTTGAAACAAAAAATTGTAAACTAGTTGCAACTATTTTGCAACTATTTTGCAACCTCGGCAATGTACAGTAGTGTGGAATCGCACACAAGTCGATTCAAATGAAACTAGTTTGTAATTAGTCATAAATCAGTTGTACCCGATCATTTCCCGCGATCGAAGTCGCTTTGCGGTTTCAAGTTGCTTTAAATTCTTGCCAATTTCTGGTGCGATTCATTCGACATTCGATTAATTACTATGGCAACTGATTGACTATACATTGCCGAGGTTGCAAAATAGTTGCAAGATCGACTGGTTTACAATTTTTATTTCAAAATAGTTGCTCCGTGAGCGGTGGGTTTTAATCGTCGGGGTAGATTTGTTTAGGCATGACTAGTTTATTTTTTTTTCTTGCTCTTTTAAGATATATTTTTCGTTTAGTTTCGAGTAACAAATCGCGTCATTTATTGTTTTTTAACTTCATTATTCTTGTGAACATTCCATTAATTTTAAACTAACAGTTAAGTATAAATCCGATTTGTCTTGTATAAAAAACGTACTGTAATATTAGATGAATGTAGAAAGAATATATGGGATATTTTAAAACGTATGAATTTGAATATAATTGAAATAATACGAGAGGAAAATGGAATTGTTAACATGTAAGTCATATTTTAATTAATTACGTTAATTTCCTAAGGTTGGTTAGAGTTTCATACAAAAAAAAGAGGATTTTCTTGATAAAAATTCTAGCAAAAACGAGTACATTTGATTTATTTTTAATAAAATTTTCAGGCCATCATGCGGACATCCAGCCAATATAACTTGGGTTTGGACTTGCGCAGTGCGGCTTACATCAATTCGGTGACGAAAATATTCCAGACTTATTCGGAAGCCGGTCTCACTTTCTAAAATCGATCGAAAGGTTTCCTTTTTAAAACGAATCGAAAAATTTTATCCATATTTACGATGTTTAAGGATGCACTAATCACTACTACTAAGATTTACAACATGTTTACACTGTTTTGCGTTAATTTGTTGGTTCGTTATGCGAAAAATTATGTAATAATAAGGATAAATAAAGGTTGAGAAAAAGTATTCGGCTTGTTTGGCGTATATTCGTTGAAACTTTAAAGGGCCACCCTGTATATTTCGTTTTTTAGAGGGGTTTCTGGAAAAATTGTTATCATAAGATTTAGGATAAGATGAGTTATGTGGCAACAATGCGTACTGGTAAGTTTATACCTATTATTAATTATTTATTAATTTGTGATTGCATTATAGCTTATACAGGTTGCTCCATTTTTCATTGCAACATAGGCTATGGGTGCAACAAAGACAACTTCCATTAGATACATATAAAGGAAAAAGAAAGAGTGCATTGCAACTTCTCACTCAGACAACTGCCATTTTAATTAATAATCTTTCTTCATTCAACTCATATAAATAACCATAGTGCAATCGGAAATGGAGCAAGGTGTAGGTTATGTAGGCTATGGGTGCGATAAAGACAACTTCTATTAAACATTTATAAAGGAAAAAGAAAGTGACATTTGTGTAATTGCAACTTTTCACTCAGACACCTGTCATTTTAATAAATAATCTTTCTTTATCCAACTCATAGAAATGGCCATAATGTAATCGAAAAAAAGAGCAAGTGATACAAAAGAAAAAGAAACTAATTGTAGGATTCTCTTGCTTTGTCTTACCGATATATGCACGTATTCGTTCAAAATATTTTTAATACATACCGACCTTTAATTCATCACTAACGAAATATCCAAAATAACAGTTTTTTGTTTCCCCCCCTCATTTACATAGTAAAGCAACTTCGCCTGACGTTTAATCGCGAACAAATGATTTATTTATAACAAAACCGAACATTTGTCAGACCCATGATAATTCCCAAAATTCCTGATTCCACAATTTTTCCTAATTTTTTCCGAACATGAGTGTACGAGCCGTGGGCCAAAAGGTGCTGAGGCGATGGGGGTCCGCCTCCAAGAAGATCGACCTGAAGGGCCTCGTCGGCAAAAAAATCAAAAAACACGCCACGAAAATCAAGAAGTTCCTCAAGCAGTACGGCAAGGAGAAGGTGATGTCCTACCAGGTGCACCAGGTGTTCGGCGGCATGCGCGGCATCAAATCGATGCTCTGCGAGACCTCCCTGTTGGACCCCAACGAGGGCATCCGCTTCCGCGGCCTCACCATCCCCGACTGCCAGAAGAAACTACCGAAGGCGCCCGGCGGCAAGGAGCCCCTGCCCGAAGGCATGTTCTGGCTGATGCTCACCGGCGACATACCCAAAAAGGAGGAGGTCAAATGGCTGTCGCAGGAGTGGGCGCGCCGCTCCGTCCTCCCCGATCACGTGGTGAAATCCATGGACACCATGTCGCGCAGCGTCCACCCCATGGCCCAACTCTCCGCCGCTCTGACGCTCTGCCAAACCGAGAGCCAGTTTCTCAAGGCGTACAACAGCGGCGTGAAGAAGGCCGTCTACTGGGAGTACATCTACGAGGACGTGATGAATCTGCTCGCCAAAATCACCGTGATCGCGGCGAAGATCTACAATCACACCTACAAGGAGGGCGGTTGCGAGTGCGTTAAAATCGACCCGACCAAAGATTGGAGCTACAATCTGATGACGATGATGGGCTTCTGCGACAAGGACTTCGCCGAGCTGATGCGGCTCTATCTCACCATCCATTCGGACCACGAGGGCGGCAACGCTTCAGCGCACACCATCCACCTGGTGAACTCCACGCTGAGCGATCCTTGGCTGTCGTACGCCGCGGGAATGAACGCGCTGGCCGGTCCTTTGCACGGTCTCGCCAACCAGGAGGTGTTGGTGTGGATCAACAAGATGCGCGAGAAGGTGGGCGACAATCCCACCGAGCAGATCATCCACGATTTCGTGCAGAACACGCTGAAATCGGGCCAGGTGGTGCCCGGCTACGGGCACGCGGTGCTGCGCAAGACCGATCCGCGGTACACCTGCCAGCAGAAGTTCGGCCAGGACCATCTGCCCAACGATCCGGTCTACAAGATCGTGCAGCTGATCTACAAGGTGGTGCCGCCGATACTGCAGAAGCTGGGTAAGGTGAAGAACCCGTGGCCGAACGTCGACGCCCATTCGGGCGTGCTGTTGCAGTACTACGGTATGACGCAGATGTCGTTTTATACGGTGCTGTTCGGGGTGTCTCGGGCTTTGGGCACGCTGGCCCAGATGGTGTGGTCGAGGGGCTTGGGATGGCCCATCGAACGTCCCAAGTCCACCACTTCTGATATACTCATGAAGGAGATCAAGAAGAAGGCGGCTGGTAGTAAATGCAAGTAATTCTTCTTCTTGTTTGACGGTCTCCGACTTGGCAGTAATGCTAAAGTACGATTCCGTTTCGCTCCATTTTTATTTATTAATTTTTTTTAAGTAATATAGTTTTTTGTATTGCGCGCTAACGATATTGTGTTTCGGGGAATAACCGGGAATGGGAACGACGTAAAATTTGTTGCTGGGAAAATTCTTTTGTGCAAATATTATTTATATCGTGAATCTAAATTGTATTTTTTTACTCCCTGCATTTATAGCGTGTTTTTTTTATTATAATAAACGTATTGTAACCCCACATTTGTAGCATTAATTCCACCACTATGGTACTTCAAAAAGGATAATTAATCGAGTACTGCGTAGTGTACCGCATTGGCGCGTTATTTAGGTTCAAGTTCACCTTTACCGATTTCTCGCAGAGACTATGTAACGATATATACGTCGAATAGTACCCGAACGGATAGTACTCGACTAGTACTAGTCGTTGGTGTTTCGCGCGATGTCGATTCCGTGAGGCAACTTTCTAAAATCGACGATCAAAACGGAGAGAATTATGCATCGGAAGTCGCGGTACCTGCGAATCGTCGTGGTACTCGTTTTATTAGGATGTTTTATTGTAATTGGTAAGAGTATACTACGAATTTTCTGTATATTTGAAATGCTGATTTGGGCGTGTTGAGAGGAAATTTGTAACCTTTGGCACTTATACAGGGCGATTCTAGCGAAGCTAAAGTGCTCGAAATACGAAAGGTAGTACTCGAATCTCGTTACGATAGCTCCTGTACAATTAAATCGCCATTTTACGAGCTTAGTAATTTACAATTTGCTCAATAACAGTAGTAACGAGTACCTTATACTTGTACAAGTTACTCAATCGAACGCGATTTGTTTATTAATAATACAACAATCAGAAGTGGGACAAATAATGAAGTGTACAACCCAACCTATCGACACATGTCGTGTTCGAACAAATCGATTATTATATTTGGCTGTTACGAAACGAAACAAACAATAAAAAAAAAACTAATTTAAATTAGTCCAAGGAAACGTTTAAATAAATTCGAGCGCCTCCGGGCTTCGTTTTAATCTCTACAGTCTACACTATACTTTACGCGATTTTCTTAGATTGCTACGAGCAGAGGACGAGGGCGAAACGGCCGAGGGCGCCGCCGCCCGAGCCGCCCCGCGACGACTTCGACGAGAGGAGCAACGAGCTGGACCCCAATTCGCTGCCGCCCGGGTTCCTCAGCCCCTCGGTCATCGAGTACTTGGAGCTGGGAAAATCCATTCCCGGTAAGCGTTCTGAGGATGTTACAATATAACGGTTATTTTGTAACAGTCGTTACCGCGCCTCTATACCGAAATAATAATTGCCATCTCTATTAAACTTCTGTCAGATTCGGCATGTCATTAACGTCAATTTTTGACAGTTTTCGCTTGTTACTCGAGCTGCGAGGAGGCGATAAAATGTTTTAGTGAACAGTGTGTACTTGAAGGTTGATTGAAATTAATTAATTTTGATTGTTTTTGCGCGAGTTTTATCGCATTTTGTGCATCGTTCGCGACCTCTTAACGATCTCTTGTGACATTCGGCAATGGGCCTATTACATTTTAATCGTTTCGTTACCTAATTGCTCAATTTCGCGTCCGTTGAATTTTTCTACATGCTAATACAATTGTTGTTTATTTTACACCCTATATGATGGTAATTTATAATGCAAATACGGAGTATTTTACTCGGAATTCGATCTTTTACGTGGCCCGAAGGCGACGCGAATTCGGAGCAAGGCTTCTCCTAAGCGCAGTTTAGATTAAATGCTCGAATTGCATTCGGGAAAGAATCGACAAAAAAAAACACAACAAAAGGTCGAATTTAAATGCGATGAGTTAATTAAGGTCAATGTTACAATATGGGCGTATAGTATTTTATAAATTATTAATTTGTTATTGAAACTTTAAGTTATTATAAGTATTTTCTCCACTTTTGTTGTGTATGAAACGCGTCGTGTTTTACAAACTTTGGAAGAAGTGAGAGTAGAGTAGATTCGGAGTAGATTTAGAGTAGATTCAGAACGGAAGAGAGGAGTGTAAGGTAAACTATTTTTTCCATACTTTTATTGTATTGCAAAACTTTAACAACCCTGTATATCGAAAACCAAGCTTCTGAAGACATGCCTTTATATGAACTTTTCGACTCAAAAGTACCCCAAATAAAAAAAGTATATTATATTTTACATATTTTATAAATTATTTCTCCATACTTTTACAGCTTAGAAAAATGGAGAAAATACTTCTTTCTACGAATGAAGAATGACACCCATAAAATTTAGAAAAATTAGGAGAAAATCCATGCAAAATTATATGATAATAATAATATGAAGCTAGAGTAGATTAGATTCAGAGTAAATACAGAGTAGATTCAGAACGGAAGAGAGAAGCGTAGGATAAACTATTTCCTCCATACTTTTATTGTATTACAAAACTTTAACAACCCTGTATATCGAAAACCAAAACATGCCTTTATATGAACTTTTCGACTCAAAAGTACCCCAAGAATTACCTATAAAAAAGTATATTATATTTTACATATTTTATAAACTATTTTCTCCCTACTTTTCCAGCTTATTAAGCTTTACAATACAACTCTCGCTTGCTTCGCGAGCTCGTCAATCCAACCGGTAATCGTTTGTTGTTTCATTCAGGTCGTCCCGGTTCGGATTATCCGGTACTGAGCACGGTACCGTACACGAATTTCTACTGCGACGAGCAGCCCTATCCGGGCTTCTACGCCGATCCGGAGACGCGCTGTCAAAGTTGGCACTACTGCGACATTGACGGGCGACAGACGACGTTTCTGTGCCCCAACGGCACCCAGTTCAGCCAATTGGTGTTCGTCTGCGATTGGTGGTTCAACGTGCGCTGCGATCTGAGCGAAAAGTTTGTACTATTTTCTTATTTTTTCTATAGTCCGTTCGCTATTAGGCCAATAGTAATGGTGGAAGTTTGATGAAGGGAATTCCGCGATTGATTCGTTGGTGTTTGTTGTATACAAAATGAGGTTTATTTTTATTGCCTGATGGCGAACGGAGTATAATTATTCGAGAAATCGATTTATTTTACTATAATTTTCATTGAGTCACTATAGTGCTATTTTTTGCGATAAAAAATTAGGTTCATTTTTATTGCCTGAAGGCGAACGTAGTATAATTATTCGAAAACGAATCGAATTTTTTTCATTGAGTCGATAGTGCTATTTTTTGCTTTACAAAATGAGGTCCATTTTTATCGCCTGAGGGCGAACAGAGTATAATTATTCGAGAAATAATCGAATTCTTTTACTATAATTTTCATTGAGTCACTAGTGCTATTTTTTGCTTTACAAAATGAGGTTCTATTTTTTCGACTGAGGGCGAACGGAGTATAAATATTCGAATTCCTCTAGAAATGAAGGCTAATTACAATTTTTTTAGGTTGTATGTTATCAATAGCCGTTTGTACGGGCGGCCCAAATTGGACCCCACGAAGCCCCATCGGACTATCACTAAGCAAATTCTGGAAGATATTTTTAATGATGATGATGATGATGAATGAATGTCATATCAGAGACTTGCTTGCGGTGTATATTACATCGTTTGAAGTGGTGTTTTATGAAGGTATGAAGTCTACTTGATTATTTTTATTAAAAAAACCGATATTTTTTTTGTATGTAAATAGTTTTAATAAAATTTTATAACAAAACAGAGGTAGGTTTAGTGCAGGAAGGGAAATTAAAATTGCCAGTAAATTTATCATTAAATATAAGACTTTATTCACGTTTAATATCGAACTAAATCAGTACATATTCTTAAATGACTAGAATTTTAATATACAATATTATTTTTTTAAAAAACTCCCAATAATTAATTCGTTAACGGGTGCTCCGTATCATTCAACAACTGGCCAGTAAAACATTATCAGGAATGTAATCAAAAAAAAGCTTTATTTTCTTACATTTAAACAATAGGATAGATATACTCAGAATAGGGATAATTTTTTTTAAATTCGTATAAATATATAAAAAAAACGAGAGTTTATTTTTCGTTTTTCGACTTACTAGAGACAATAAATAAATAAATTTAAACTGCGTTGTCACAGATTGACTAACCACTGTTTTCGTGGGAAAATAACGATAGAATGACTAATTTTTCCACCGTTGGTAGAGGTGAAATTAACAATATTATTTATTCCACCGCTCTTTGGTTGCAAACAATAAGTTTCTTCTCGTCAAATTAAACACGTCGACTGCCAAACTACGAGATAACTCGTAGATCGCGTTCTCTGGCAGTCGACGGGTTAAATTTGAACGATATTCGAGCTACAGATTAAACTAAACTAAAAATTAATGTGCTTTATTTTTTGTTCGTTTTTGAATGTCGAAATTATTAATCTCACGTATCGTTTAGGCATAATAATAATAAAAAAAACAAACGTATCGTCTTACATTTACGCTATAATCAGGGCGAATAACAATGGTAAAAACCTCGACAAAATATACATTAATTTGCGCCCTTCTTATATAAAAAAACTATACACATACACCCCCACAATCGGAAGCACTGTAGTCCCTCTAACAAACTAGACAAAAATAATAATAAGAAACCAGAAAAACATCTCGACCATAGACCTATTAATTATGGACGCTATCGGTATTTTGAAGGTTATTCAGCTCTAAAGATAGAGCGAAAGGTCAGTGAGAGATGGAGCTAGTTAGGGCAAGATCAGTAGGATGGACCAAATAAAAATATAAGATAAACTGCCCAACAAAAGTTAAGGCAGTTCGCAAATTTTGCGATTATTTTAAAAGTTTTTGATCACCAAATTTTCAAATATGCAAAATTAAATATTTTCTCGCATATCTGAGTGGATTTTTTGCCCCTACCTCTACAACTCGTACTAAATTTGGCGATCAAAAAACCTGCAACTTCTAAAATTATCTCAATGTTTGTGAACTTTCTTAACTTTTGTGGAGCAGTATATAAAGGGTGTTAATTAATTGTATGCCGATACTTCAGGGTGTGAATATTTGGATGATTTTAAGAAGAAATGTTTATATCAATGTATGTCCTAAACCTCTTAGTTTTCGAGCTACAGGGTGTTGAAGTTTTTGAAAAAATAACTTTTCTGTCATAATTTTCTTATTACGGCAGATATTTTTATGAAATTTCGGACGTGGACGTCACTAATAATAGTAGAAAATGAATTTTTATCCCCAAAAAAAAAAGTGTTTTCATGCATGGTGGGCGCCTATCAAATTTCAACAAAATATCAAAAGCAATCTCAAAATGAACTTGGGAAAAAATGGTTTTGTTTTTATTTTTTTACTCGAAAATGGTGCGTCGTACGAAAATAAGTCTTCTGACCGAATTTGCTACAAAATAAATGAGGATTTTAAAAATAATTTTAGTTTTTAGAAAAGCAGTGGTGTACCATTTTTGTTTTCAAACATATTCAGTTTAAACCCCGTACGAACGTCACTGGTGAAAATTTAAAAAAATCTTATTACTCAAAAAATGCTCCTTAATAATTCAAAAGTGTATACAAAATTTCTTAAAAATAACTGGAGTAATAAGAAAATTATGATAGAATAGTTATTTTTATTCTAAAATTTATTTTTGTTTTCTAAATCTGTAACACCCTGTAGCTCGAAAACTAAGAGGTTTAAGACATACATTGATATAAACTTTTCTTCTTAAAATCATCCAAATATTCACATCCCGAAGTATCGGTATTAATTAACACCCTATATACAGAGAGAGTGTTCTTTATCTACATATAAAACCTTGCATTTCCGCAAACGTAAATCACGTGGTCTTCTACTTTCTTACTATTGGCTAACGCATTATCCAATCACTCATTCCCATACGCCCAAACTACCTACATCTCTCTCTCATCCATCACCAACCCTATACCTCTCCGTCACACACCCGCGTCCACAGTTAGTAGATCTACGATCTTCGACACACACACACCCAACAGGTAACAATTAATATAACCAACATTATACATATCGAAACGGTTCCCTCAGGACTTGTACGTCCGTATGACGTCCCTGATGACGGCCCTGCACAGCGGGCAATGGCCGCCCCCTTTGCCGCGCCACTGTTGCAGCGCGCACTCGTAGCACATGCACATGTGGCCGCACATGTACAGGACGGCGTCGATCGGGTGCTCGTAGCATATCGTGCACTCGGCGCCGGCGCCGGGCGGTTGGGGCGCGGCGCCGTTTTGTTCCATCCAAGATAGCGGCGTCGAGTAGGTGCTCGAATCCGAGATGGGCTGCAAGCGAAAGAGAAAAACGAGGTTTAATTTTATGAGTTTTAAAGGTGGAGAGAACGATTGTTGCGTAAAAGTGGTGAGAAGATGCTTGGTGGAATGATGAATGTATCGAAAGGTAGGGAGAAACATTTTGTTAGCGGTTGTTTGGAGGTTAAGAAAGGGTTAGAAAGAATCCGAGATGGGCTGCAAGCGAAGAGAAAACGAGGTTTAATTTTAAGCGTTTTAAAGGTGGAGAGAACGATTGTTGTGTAAAAGTGGAGAGAAGATACTTGGTGGAATGATAAATGTATCAAAAGGTAGGGAGAAACATTTTGTTAGCGGTTGTTTGGAGGTTAAGAAAGGGTTAGAAAAATTAGGAGAAATTACTCTTGCAAGATTTTAATTATAGTAAAAGTAGGGAGAAAATACTTGTTGAAGAATGGCACTTTAAAGGTTGGGAGAATGAGGAGAAGATAGCTGCAAAATTATGATGATAAAAGGAAGGGAAAATATTCTTGATTTTTGGATTTATTATTATTCTGTGAAGATTTGAAAAATGGAGAAAATAATTCTTTCTACGAATGAAGAATGACACCCATAAAATTTAGAAAAATTAGGAGAAAAACATGCAAAATTCTATGATAATGATAATAATATGATAATAAAGGTAGGGAGAAGATACTTTTTTAAGAAATACACTGCGACGATAAGAAAAATTGAGAAAATAGTTCTTTTTAAAAATGATGCATTAAAGGTTGGATATAACTTGCAAAATTCGAATAACAAAAGATACTAACTATTAACTATAATAAAAATGGAGAGAAACCCTTCTTCAAAATGACAATTCATAAGTTATAAACTAGGGAGAAAATACATGCAAAATTCTAATGATAATAACGGTAGGGAGAAAACACTTTTTTTAAGAAATGTACTGTGAAAATGAGAAAAATGGAGAAAATAGTTCTCTTGAAAAATGATGCATTAAAGGTTTGGAAAACTATTAACTATATAAAAGTAGAGAGAAACCCATCTTCTTAAAAATGCCAATTTTGTAAGTCACAAACAAGGGAGAAACTATTAAATTCCAAACGATATAACAAAACTCACCTCGATATAATTACTGCTACAAGTCGACAACATAGTACCGGCGGGATGGTTCCCGGCGGTGGGTACGGGCGCGACGATCTCCTGCTGTCGACCGGCGTACCCGCCGTAATCGTGCGCCGCCTCCTGCGCGCTCGCTCGAACCCTCTGCTGCGCCGCCGCCGCAGCCGCCGTCGCCGCCCCCACCACCACGTTGGCGTGGCTCGGCGGCAGGATGACGGACAACACGGCGCCGCCGTCGGGCGCCGGCGCCACGGCGCAACACAACCGCCCGTTCGACTGTTGTTGTTGTTGCGCGCCGTTCCGGCGCATCTCCGATCGATTGTTGATGCTGTTGATCGACTCGCTCGACCGGATGTCCGGCTGCTGCTGTTGCTGCTGATGATGATGGTAGTTCCTCGGCGCCTGCGTGGGCGCCGCGCTGTTCAGTACGCGCACGCGCTGCGTCGAACCGTAGATATCGAAGAACGCCCACAATCTCAGCGTTTGATCCACGTGGATGACGACGATCGGCGGGCCGCCGTTGCGCGTGATCTGCACCTCGCCCTCTTGCGATATACAAAAACCGATTTCGTCGCCTTTGTTCAGATTCCTGGCGAAGTCCCGGCTGAGCACCCAGTACTCGGGCCTGTCGAGCAGGAAGTTCGAATCGTCCGGCAGATCGGATTGATCGAGCAACGCCGGATCGCACGACGTCAACCCTAAGCTCAAACAACCTTGGAACATCGCGTCGGTGCCCAATATCTGCACGACGATCCTCTCGCCGATGTAGAGCGGCCGGTAGGTGAACACGTAACCCTGGCAGAATTCCGTGTCGGTTCTGAAGGCGACGCTGCGATTGTTCGGCTGGAATTTCACGTTCCTGCCGCGCGTCCGGTGCAACGGCATCGGCTGGTAGCCCGCCATCGTCGGCTGGTAGCGCAACGCCGGTAGACCCGGCTCTTCGTCGCGTATCGACATCTGTTGCATCGGGTAGACGATCCGCTCGACCGGCTCCGGCGCGTTCCTCGACGAGTTATTCAACTGGTGTCTAATATCCACAAACTCTATAGCGGTGGAGTTACCGTAGATGTCGATCAAGCACCAGAGCGGTCCTCGGGCGTCGACGCCGCCGAAGAAGACGCCCTTCTCCTCGCCGTCGATGCCGAAGTGGACCTCGCCCGACGAGGTGGCGTAGTAGAAGAGCACCGTGCCCTGGGTGCAGAAGCGCTCCGGCAACGCCTTGGCCCAGTAGCCGGGTTTGTTGGTCAAATCGGGACAGGCGTATTTGGGCAGGGCGTAGCGCAGGCCCGTCGGGTCGTTGTAGGTGAAGCCGAAGCGGATCACGCCCGACCAGTTGTTGGATATCTCCAGGAATTTGATGCATACCTAATGGGGAACGAACGGTTCGTTTAGCAAAAGGTTTGATAACGACGATAATATCGGAGAATGGCGAACAAAGAGAAGCCTGCACTGCTTGGGTTTTTTTTTCGGTGGTATCGTTTTTGTTTAAATACATTTTTTTTAATCGATGAACTGCAGATTTTGTTGTAGTTTATTTTGACATAATATTTAATCCTTGACTGTCCTTGGATAAGGAGAAAGAACCTTTAAGGTTGATCAAAATGATGGAAATGTTATCTACTCTGTATATTCAGATTAATAGTTAATAAATAAATCATACTAGATTTGGAATTATTTTTTAAATTTTATGTAAATAAATCGCATTGTAACATTTATTTCGACATGCTAGTTCGTTCAGTGTAGAAAAGGCATGTTCTCTCGACTATGAATCGAATCTAGAAAGTCAATAAAAGTAGAGAGAAAATAGTAAAAATGTACTTTAAAGTAGGAAGAAAACACTTAAATATTTTTCTAATAAATCAAAACTAGAAAGGCAATAAAAGTAGAGAGAAAATGCTTAAAAAGTACACTTTAAAGTAGGAGGAAAAAACTTCATTATTTGTCTAATAAATCGAATCTAGAAAGGCAATAAAAGTAGAGAGAAAATACTAAAAATTTACACTTTAAAGTAGGAAGAAAACACTTCATTATTTGTCTAATAAATTGAATCTAGAAAGGCAATAAAAGTAGAGAGAAAATGCTTGAAAAGTACACTTTAAAGTAGGAGGAAAAAAAACTTCATTATTTGTCTAATAAATTGAATCTAGAAAGGCAATAAAAGTAGAGAGAAAATACTAAAAATTTACACTTTAAAGTAGGAAGAAAACACTTCATTATTTTTCTAATAAACCAAAACTAGAAAGTCATTAAAAGTAGAGATAAAATACTAAAAATATACACTTTAAAATAGAAAGAAATCACTCCAGTATTTTTTTAAAAAAACCAAAACTAGAAATTCAATAAAAGTAGAGCGAAAATACTCATTTTATATATTTATATATAATATTTTTCCAAGCAATTCTATATCAATGGGACCGACAATTAGTGTGGCTTCTCTGTGTTCGTTATTCTCTGTCTATAATAATACAACGTACCTTTTCGTTAACTTTGACGGGTCTGGAGCTGAAGGCGATGCCCTTGCAGAAGCTCTCCACTCGCTTGGCCACCGTACCGTCTCTGGATATTCTCACGTTGTCGCCGTGCACGTTGTGGAAAAGCAACGGCGGGAGGTTGTTCGTACCGCCGTTGGTCGACGAACGAGACGCTGAAATAAATATTATACTCTATTAATGAATGATTAATTTTTGTACTATAAAGGGTGAGTATGTGTAGTGAGAGATCTAAAATAGGCTGTAAATAGGTACACTTTAAAATTATTAAAGGTAGGGATAATATTTTTTTTAATAAATGATGCTATAAAGGCGATAAAAGTAGAGAGAATATGCCTTGTATTTTTAGTAGAGATGTAGAGACAAAATATTTCATTATTTTCCTAATAAATATCACTAGAAATACAATAAAAGTGAAGTGAAAATGCTTAGAATTTACACTTTAAAGTAGGAGGAAAACACTTCATTATTTGTCTAATAAATCGAATCTAGAAAGGCAACAAAAGTAGAGAGAAAATACTTAAAATGTACACTTTAAAATAGGAGGAAAACACTTCATTATTTTTTTAAAAAATCGAATCTAGAAAGGCAACAAAAGTAAAGAGAAAATACTTAAAATTTACACTTTAAAATAGGAAGAAAACACTTCAGTATTTTTCTAATAAATCGTATCTAGAAAGGCAACAAAAGTAGAGAGAAAATACTTAAAATTTACACTTTAAAGTAGGCGGAAAACACTTCATTATTTGTCTAATAAATCGAATCTAGAAAGGCAGCAAAAGTAGAGAGAAAATACTCATTTTTCCAAACAATTCCACTATAAAGTAGCAAGAAAACACTTCGTACTACCCGTACAAAAGCGAGCCAATAAAATCCGCGACACTCCGTATATAATATACATTATAAACGAAAAGATGCATATGTCGACATGTGCGGGGCTATTTCCGAAGGCGAATCTTCCTCCCCTTCGGCTCGCCCAACGCCAGGTGCTCAGCCCTATAAGCAACATGTCGGCGAGGGCTTTTATCGAGGGCTCCGAAGGTGCCCCTTGCAGCACAGCTGTACAATAACGTGCGAGAGAGGTGGAAGGGAAACGGTAAGATTTCAGGTAGCCGGAGAAGATCCGGTGTGAATGCACCCCTCGAATAATAGAAAGTTCCGATGGATGTGGACCCGTTTTTGCGTAATACCACAGGATACAGGATGTTTAGGGTTTGAGTTGTTTTGTTGTACAGGGTGATGTATTAAATTGAAAATTTATACTTTATAGGGTTCTTTGGTAAGGTGTTTTCTATCTACTTTTATAGCCTTTCTAGTTTTGGTTTATTAGAAAAATAATGAAGTGTTTTCCTCCTACTTTAAAGTGTACATTTTTAATATTTTTTCTCTACTTTTGTTGCCTTTCTAGATTCGATTTATTAGAAAAATAATGAAGTATTTTCCTCCTACTTTAAAGTGTACATTTTTAAGTATTTTCTATCTACTTTTATTGCTTTTCTAGGGTTATTTATTAGGAAAATGCTCAAGTGTTTTCTTCCTTCTTTAAAGTGTAATTTTTTAGTATTTTCTCGCTACTTTTGTTGCCTTTCTAGATTCAATTTATTACAAAAATACAGAAGTGTTTTCTCCTTACTTTAAAGTGAAAATTCTAAGCATTTTCTCTCTAGTTCTATTCCCTTTCTAGTTTTGATTTATTAGAAAAATACTAAAGCGTTTTCTTCCTATTTTAAAGTGTAAATTTTAGTATTTTCTCTCTACTTTTGTTGCCTTTCTAGATTCGATTTATCAGAAAAATAATGAAGTGATTTCCTACTACTTTAAAGTGTATTTAAGTATTTTCTCTCTACTTTTGTTGCCTTAGTTTTGATTAATTAGAAAAATACTGAAGTGTTTTCTTCCTTCTTTAAAGTGTAAATTTTTAGTATTTTCTCTCTACTTTTGTTGCCTTTCTAAATTAGATTTATTAGAAAAATAACGAAGTGTTGTCTTCCTACTACTTTACTCTTGGTAAAGTTCGTTTTATTAGCATATTTACGCTCAGGTTTTTCGTCTATATATCCTAATACCGTAATTGCGTAATTAAATCAAAGCCGAGAGAAGGCCCGTTCGAAGTGAAAGAGGATTCCTTTGTGTTCCGTTCCCACGGCTTCATCTCTCGAATCGCGCGCTCGGTGAGAACGCGAAGAAAATTATAATCGCGTGTCCATCGGAGGGATTCTACCAACGCGCGCCGTTTGGACTATTTCTTTACAATTTTAACTCGTTTTTAGGCGTATTAAAAACATTATTTTTATTATTTAGTAATAAGAGTAGAGTGGAAATTGTTGATGAGTGAAATATATTGGATAAGAGACTCTTTAAGCGATCGATTAGTGCTTGGAATAAAAGACCTTCAACTTTAAAGGATCCTTTATTATACACAGGAAAACGCAAACTTTCTTTTTCCTTTATACATGCGACTAATGTAAGTTGCCTTTGTTGCTCCTATAAACACAATATTTCGTGCAAATTTGACAATATAGCCTTCATTGTGACCCAAAAAATTACTGTTTAAATAAATAATTTTTTATTACGCTAATTAACCGCTTCCTTAATTACATTACAAAATATAGTCCAAGCTCAATTAAGAATCCAAAAAAACAGTACCATAAACTCTCCTATACAACACCTTAATATATGCACTAAAACTCACACATAATAGAGTCGAATTTCACGTGAAATTCACAAAGATTTATCGATGGTTCGTGCAGGGTAATCGCAACGAAACGAGATTCACCGGCTTCCGGTATCTTTTTTTTTACCGGGCTCGAACGAGAAATTTTATATCGAAATTTTATCGGCGAGAGAGACCTTCATCCTGTCGAGGCCCCCTCCGGTCGTTTCCTCTCGCACAATATTCGAACGCGATCGTTTTTTTTAGCACGAATTGTTTTCGATATTCTTAGATATTTTTTATTTATTATATAATTAAAACAAATCCACAATCGAGAACTCACTAGACCTACTTAATTTTCGGCAAGCGTGGCAACGTCGCGAGCCCCGTTTAAGGTAAACGAACCTGATGTAGATGCAGACGAAGTTTTGGTGGTGTTTTACAGTAAATTACATCAAAAAAACCGAACCAATTGTACGAGGAAACGATGGAGACTCCATCTCTGACCCTTTAGGGGAGCAACAAAGACTGTGAATCGCTCGAAAAATGGTGTAAGAACAAAAAGAATAGGCGGATAAGTGTCCACTACACCTTATATCCGGCGTAGGAAACGGATGTGCGGGGCACGTGCGAGCACCGTAGATCCTCTAAAAGTGCAATAAACGCCGATCGAGCATCGAATATTCGAGCTGAGCTCTTCGAATGAATTTTATTTACCCCGATTCGCTATAGGGGAGGATGTTATTCAGATCCTCTTCGACATTCTTCCACTCTGCGGCCTCTCCCTTTGAACTTATGGCGCAACGAAAACGACTCAATTCGATGTGACATTGAGGATTCGGTTTAATACAAAACGAATATTTTCACTCGGGGGACGGTTAATCCCTGCACCATTGGCGGAACAAGCCTTTATTCGTCGATTAAAAAGTAGAAATTCGAATCAAAATGAACTTATTATAAAGTTCGAGATGAAAAGTACTAAATAAGAAAGTTAGTTGTAAAAGTTGTGTAGTTGTTAGTTCTATAAGAAACTTCATATAGAATGATTTTATACTTCTTGGATCCTTAGTCTTAAATTTGAAGTAATGGGTATTTATGTCTCGAATCTTCAGGTCTTGGGTCATTCATTAGGTCTTAAATCTGTAGGTTTTGGATCATTCCTTAGATCCTAAATCTTTACCATTTGAAGTCTTAGGTCTTTAGGTCTTGAATCCTTCCTAAGTTCTTATATCATTAGGTCCTTAGATCCTAAATCTTTACTATTTGAAGTCTTAGGTCTTTGGGTCTTGAATCCTTCCTAAGTTCTTATATCATTAGGTCCTTAGGTCCTTAATCTTTAACATTTGAAGTCTTGGGTCTTTTGGTCTTAAGTCTTTAGGTCTTAGGACCTTCCCTATAGGTCTTAAATCTGCAACTTTTGCAACCTTCAGGTCCTTAAATTTAATATTTCCAAATCCCCAAATTCACACTTATTCATCTACTTAACATAACACACTTCCTTTGCTTCTTATCTAATCGTTTTTACTGATTTTTTTGGTATATGAATAGACCCTTGTTCTGGCACGAATTCGAGCGAATTTTACTATCGAATAACCGTCGAAACGCCACCAATGGTTTGTTTTATCGCACATGTGTGTGTATGTACACATTCTCCGGAGCATTCAAAAGAGCTATTTATTATACGAGGGGAGCCGCAGTCAATTGATAGGTCCTGTTCGTTCGAATAGAATTCTCCAGGGTACCCTCGTATACACTTTTCGCTTTGTGTTTAATACGAATAGTTTTACTAAAATCATCACAATTATACATACAACATTTCGACCGTCCCCGGTAATTGAGCAATTAAAAATACATTTAGAAAGGAAAATTCGAGCGAAGGAATAGAAAAAAAAACCAACACCGATCGAATAGCAAAAGGCAAATTAATAAGAATCGTAGAAGACGGCCCGTTTAAGGTCGCCTTTCGATTGTTCTTCGTGATGTTATTTCCACGTTTTCGAGCGCTTACGCACGACTCTTCGAATGGGTTCCCACGGTGGCGGTACCGGCGGCGTTGCCGGTTCTACGCGCCGATCGCGGTACTTCTTGTATTTCATCGCGGAACGAATTTCTCCGGATTCGGCGAAATCGCCGAGGCGACGGCAACGCCGCGATTTCTATACCGATTTCGGGAAAATTAAGCGAAACAACCCACTTTTGGCGTTCTCACGATCTTCTAACTCGAAAAAAAAAATCGAAAAATTTCTAATAACGCGAGCTGTTGAAGTAATTTTCTTCATTAGTTTCTATTCAGGCTAGATGAAAGAGCTAGGTAATAACAAATGGGTATTTTTAGGTCTCCTTAGGGGGCGTTAGATTCTATCTAGGAGGGATTGTATCCTTTAAATCCTAGATATAGGGGGTGGGTGTTGAGGAAAATAACGCCAGATGGGAACGTTCTCGGGAGATTTTCTACTGCGACAGATGTGCGAGAGTTTTCCATATATATTTTTCTTCCGCGTATATAGAGAATAAAAAAGAAATGTTCGAGTAATTACGATGGTTGCGCAAGAAGAAGAAAAGGCAACGGTCTAGGAAATCATCGGGCCGGAAGAACCACGTTCTGGATATTCGACCAACTATAAAAGAAATACTCGAGGAATATACAGAAAAAAAATCGGTAAATAAATAAGCAAACAAGGTCATTTAATGGTCTACAAGCACGCTATTGTCCGGTACGAATTAGAAATTTTCAAAGCGATATATTTTTATAAACCGTTTAAGTTTTTTTCCATTGCGATAACTAATCGATTTTATACACTATATCATTGAAACTCTCCAATTTCCCCACACGAATATAACGATTCCTTTTTCCTAGTGTAGCGAATACACCGAATTACGCTTACACTAAAAAAAAAAAACGTAATTGGCGTTACGAGCTAGAAAAAGTGTGCAGTAAAGAACGAGTAATAACGATTGCACAATGTAGATACTTTCGCGTTAATAAATTAAAGATATCGAAGCGGAAACGAACGGAACGAGAAGAGTTGGAATAAAAAAAAAAAATACTTTCCCACGCTCGACGATCGGGCGAATACCGTTGGAAGGAGCCTTTTCTACCGATTCGATAATTCGTCATCGATTCGCCGTAACGACAACGCGTTGCCAAATTTATTAACATTTAAACATCCATCATAGTGTATAAATATACTGCTCCACAAAAATTAAGGAAGTTCACAAATATTGGTGGGATTAATTTAAAAGTTGCAGGTTTTTTGATAGCCAATTTAGTGTGAGTTGTAGAGGAAGGGGAAAAAATCCACTTAAATATGAGAGAAAACATTTAATTTCGTATATTTGAAAATTTGGTGATCAAAAAGTATGTAACTTTTAAAATAATCGCGAAATTTGCGAACTTCCTTAAATTTTGTGGAGCAGTTTATTATGAGCTGCGGGTGCAACAAAGATTCGTATAAAAATGAAAGAGATAAAGTGATATATTGCAACTTTCTCACTCAAACCCACTGTTAAGTATAATAATCTTACTTCGTTTATAAAAATTAGTTCGCATAAAATTGCACTCACCTAATCCCATGCGCCTTTTAATCTTCTTCAACACCTTCATTTTTCCTTTCAACGGCGAAAAACTACAATTCTTGCGCTCGGCCCTACCGCAATCACAATTTTCCTTATTATCCTGTATCCCCATCAGTCACACAATTAATCGAAAAAGATGAAAAAAAAATCACCAAAAAACACTTCCGAATTACATACGAGGTTACCACCGATAGTTCCAACCGAATTTAGATAAATATATACGAGGGTAGGTCCGGAAATTCGGACGCTTCGATCGGTGCTCCTTCTAGCGGGAGAGCGCTCGCGATACTGAACGTGGGAGTCGCTGAGACGCGCTACAAAATAGCCGAGCATCCGCCGCGACGGGCCCGGCGATGGGTGGGGGGCACCATCGACATCTGCGGGCACGAGTCGCCGGCCAATGGGGAGCCGGACGCGCGCCGTATGTCTTTTGTCTGCGGGAACAGCCGCCTCGGCAGATGGGCGTCCAAATTGTTTCTATAATATCTCTACCTATATGTATACATAGGTATAAAGTGAGTATAGGTATACCTGGATAGCGTGGTGGCTACGATACCGATTGTACGGAAGGTTTTTTTCGTTGGAGAAAATTGTAGTAGAAACTGTTTAGGTTCCACACACTTATACTCTATCTACTTTATACTTTCTAATTCTATGTTTTCTACCTTCTATTCTCAACTATCAGCTCTATTTTCTACCATTTACCACCTATACTCTCCGCTCTCTACTCTCACTAGTCTACTCTTTATTATTTACATTCTACTCTGTTCTCTCCTCTCTATTATCTATTTTATACTCTATAATTCTCTGTTTTCTACCTTCTATTCTCAACTATCAGATCTCTATTTTCTACCATTTACCACCTATACTCTCCGCTCTCTACTCTCAGTAGTCTACTCTTTATTATTTACATTCTACTCTGTTCTCTCCTCTCTATTATCTATTTTACACTCTATAATTCTCTGTTTTCTACCTTCTATTCTCAACTATCAGCTCTCTATTCTCTACCATTTACCATCTATACTCTTTGCTCTCTATTCTCCCAACTCTACTCTTTATTATCTACATTCTACTCTCTTCTCACGTCTCTATTATCTATTTTATACTCTAGAATTTTCTGTTTTCTACCTTCTATTCTCAACTATCAGCTCTCTATTCTCCCTACTCTATACTCTTTATTATCTACATTCTACTCTCTATTATCCTCTCTTTTATTTTCTATTCTCAAGTATCAGCTCTCTATTTTCTACCATTTACCACCTATACTCTCCACTCTCTATTCTCCCTACTCTACTCTTTATTATCTACATTGTACTCTCTTCTCTCCTCTCTATTATCTATTTTATACTCACTAATTCTCTGTTTTCCACCTTCCATTCTCAACAATCAGATCTCTATTATCTACCATTTACTATCTATACTCTCCGCTCTCTATTCTCCCTATTCTACTCTTTATTATTTACATTCTACTCTCTATCCACTGCTCGCTACTCTCGATCTACTTTCTACTCTCTGCTGTCTCCGTTCTCTACTCTATATTTTCTGCCCTCTACTCTCAGCTTTCTATCCTCTATCCAATGCTCACTACTCTCTATTCTGTATTCTCTACTCTGTATTCTCTGTTTTCTACTTAGTATTCTCTATTTTCTTCTACTTCTTTATTATTCCAATAACGGTTGTGATGGTGTAATTTGTAATTTGGAAAAATTAAGAAAACTTAATCCGATCGTCCGACTGACTCACTTCCTGCATTTAATTGCTTTTTATCGAACGTAATTACGGCGGTAATTTTTTAATTGTTTTATATTCGGAGGCTTCCTTTCCGAGAAGAACGTCTAGCGCTCATAATTGCATTCTTCTGCGTAATTAAATTGTTGGTATTTAATTCGTAGGTACGTAATATTCATTCTTTCGTGATATTTTTAATCTAAAAGTAACAATTTGTCTTTCAACGTTTCGCACTTTGACATATTGAAAACCTAGTCAATGTTTTCGCCTATTCAACATTTCGTTTATTTGAAATCCTAGTCAATATTTCATCTTATCAAAACCCTTGTCAATGTTTCGCCTATTTAATAACCAAGTCAACATTTCGTTTATTTGAAAACCTACTTAATATTTCGTCATTTGAAAACTTAGTCAATATTTCATCTGTTCAAAAAGCTTGTCAATATTTCGCCTATTTAATAACTTGATCAACATTTCGTTCATTTAAAATCCTGGTCAATATTTCATCTTTTCAAAAACCTAGTCAACATTTCGTCATTTGAAAACCTAGTCAACATTCGACCAAATATGATACAATAAACTACTTTATCCCAATTTTTTGACCTCCTCTCCAAATTTTGTACCTTTACTAATTAACTTAAACCCTGTTTATAAACTTAGACAAATCAATAAAAAACCTATTGATGATGAAGCTAAAATCAGATAGTCACACAGAAGAAACCAATCCACATTCGAACTACAAGAGACCTAATCAATATATTGACTAATGATGCTGAACGAAACAACAAACTAGTCAACTTACGCTGAAGAAAAAAGAAAAAAAACAAACAATTTACGCAAGTGTAAGAAATCTCTTTCTTCGAACAACATCGGTGGATTTCAATGGGAACAAAAGTTTCCACGTGTTTCCCTAAGAGGTAACTACAACCTTCAGGTAGGTAAATAAGCGAATACCTTCTGGTGGGTTTTCAATGGGTTCCTTTCAAGATGTCGGGTTCGTTCCCACGGGGCGAATTGCAGGGACCTTGCGTCACAAGTTTACGAAAACCCGTAGGTGTACTGGACACATTAAAATTATTATTTTTTTTTTCCTAACAAAAGATCGTCGTGCGAGTCAGCTGTTCTGGTGCAACCTTACCTGGACCTGAACATAATCGTGCTGGTTCCTTAGAAACACAGCGGCGGGTGGGGATTCCACAAAAAAATAACTTTACAACTATTCGAAACAATTCGAGTAGAATCAATTGGCTCGATAATACATACAGGGTGTTTCTGAAATAAGCGGTGAAACTTTGGGAGCAAGTAGAGAATCTCGAAATATGGATTCTTGAAGAAGGATTTTCATTAATAACTTCGTTAATAGTAAAGGTAAAATGTTGAAATTTGGTACACATACTAATCAATTGAAATGTCTTACGGCGCTATTCAATCGGGTTAAAAAAGTTATCCAGGGGTGGGTTAAAAAGGGGGGGTTCATGGGGTAATTCTAACCTGACTTTTTTTTGAAGTTTTCTACATAAAAAAGGTATACTTGTTGATTTTCCATAAAATGACTTAAAATTCGGTTACACAAAATTACTAAACTATTGTCATCTTTTAAAAATCTAATAGGAATGAATTCTTTCAAAAACTCGACATTTCGATAAAATGACATTTAAGTTTTCGTCACTTTTTCAGCTTATCTATTTACTCCCAAAGTTTGACTTATTTTAGAAACACCCTCTACATCAACATATACAGGGTGTAATCAAAAGTAAATTATGATAGAAAAGTTACTTTTTTTTCTAAAATTTCAACACCCTGTAGCTCGAACACTAAGAAGTTTAGGACAAACATTAATATAAACTTTTCTTCTTAAAATCATCCAAATATTCACATCCTGTAGTATCGGCATTCAATTAATTAACACCCTATATATAGAGTGTCCCACGAAAATCGTGTCGATTGAATTCCCGTTTACCAGGAGCACCTTTAGAAAGAAGCAATTAAACGGAATCGAAGTAATAAAACGAACGCGGACAATTCGCAAAAGTCCAGCCTAGCAAAAAAAAGGCATCACCTGCTCTGCATACGCATTGAGTAGAATTATTTTTTCCGAGTTGCCGTAAGAAATGCGGGAAAGACAGATGCAGAGGAGCCTGCGTACAGTGGCGTGCTCCAGTATATGTTATAAAAATGTTATAGAATTTAATACAATATATAGCAGTTAATACATTGTTTAAATGAAAATGAAAAATGTTGTAGAAGAAATTGTATAGAACTTTATCGATATTGCTTCGAGTTAATAAATAGATAATACTAATTATTCTAATGGCTGTTAGATTAGTAACAGCCATATGGTAGTCTAAATTTTTAGTAGCTGGATTTATCTAATATTATTTAATATTGCGGATGAATTATTTTGATAATAATTTCTTAAATAACAAGCGGTTTTCGCCGATTAATCGGCAACAGAAAACTGTCGCGAACGAGATAAACCGGTAACGACTAGAATTATTTTATTGATAGAGTTTAATTTCTAACGAAATGATTTATATCGATGGAATTATTTTCATTAAATAATTTTTGCCAATTTTTGGTCATTATGAACCAAAAAGAAAACTAGTAAACGCGTGTAAGGGTAGAAAATAAATCGAATTTCTAACAGGGTGTATCAATAAAAAGTAACCCCATTAATAAGCTTATAATTTTTGAAACGCCTAATCATAAAAACTTGCGGTTTTTTCAAATATGTTTTATTTTATTATAAGTTTTGTTACAGAGTGATACTATGCATATACACCAATACAGGGTGTTTTATTATAATCTCCTCTTTTAAATTCACTATAACCATTTTTTCTAATGGAAGAATCCGTATATGCAGAGGTATTTTGAAAGGTACTCTTCTACTTTTCAAAAATGTATTATTTGTACATGTTATTCTAGAAAAGAAGATGATGTCCTATTTCATAAAATTTGGTTAATAAGTGAATTTAAAAGAGGAGATTTTTATGAAACACCTTGTATACAGGCGATACAAAATGTTTATGTCACTGTAAATAGCACAGAAAAATTCAGTAATTTTTTGCAACTATTCGACTATAAATTTACAAATAAAAATCGAAAATATCACCGAATAATACGCCAAAAAAAGGAAGCATGTGGTGCGAAGGGAGGTTTTACTACTTATAGAATAATAAATAACATAGAACATCAATTTCTCCTTTCCCCATTTCCCATTTCCTGGCGCGTCAAAAAAAAAATATACCGGACGCGAAATGTGCATAACAATGCCAAACCGCAGGCTCCTATAGGGCGAAATTTTAATACGGGATGGATGTCGATACGATGCACGATGATGATGATGATGATGGGTTGTCCGATTTTTTTTTTCCTCGTCGCCCTTTCGAACAGAATCGATCTTCTAACGGGATCGGGCGCGTGTCGGGACAGCGAGACTTTACATCAGCTGGCGCTCGAGTTTCCTTCTTCATTGTGCTACCTATACATATATACAGGGTGGCCCGTTCGAAACGTGCGGAGAAGTGACTGAACAATCGAAGGGGGCGCCGCC